GGCAGGACTCGATGTACTTCTCGACGGTGCGCTTCATTCCAGGCCAGTATGCGACTTTGGCCAGTCGGTCGTATGTCTTCTCGACTCCAAAGTGTCCAGCGAGGGGCGAGTCGTGGACCTCTTGGAGCAACTTGGTCTTCAACGACGGAATGTCCGGCACACAGACACGGCTGTCCTTCTTCAGGAGGAGCAGGCCATCACGCACTGTGTACTCGGATGATTCGTCGTCCTTGGGGAGCTTAGACACCTTTCGGAACAGTTCTCCGAACTGTTTGTCGTTGGCGATGTTGTCTCGGACAACATCCAGCATCGTGTTGTCGACACTGACAGTCGACTCGTACAGTGACGCCAATTGGTAGTCGGGGCGTCGGGACAGTGCGTCAGGCACCACATTGAGTTTGCCTTTCTGGTATACAACCTCGTAGTTGTACTCGGCGAGGAACTCCATCCATCGCGCTTGGCGTCGGCTCAGGTTCTTCTTGGTGTCGAGGTAACGCAGTGACTGGTGGTCCGTCACAATCTTGAAGGGCTTGGCGGTACCGTGGAGGTACACTCGGAACTTCTGCAGCGCGTAGATGATCGCAAGCTGCTCCTTCTCGTGCACGGGATAGTTGATCTCGTGTTGGGACAGTTTGCGCGACTCGAAGGCAACGGGCCTTCCCTCCTGCATCAAAACAGCTCCCACCGCAAAGTCGGAGGCGTCGGTGTGCACGGAGACATCCGTGTTCGGGTCGAACACAGCGAGGACAGGAGCGTTCGTCAAGGCGTGCTTGAGGGTCTCGAACGCTTGGCGTTGTGGGTGGTAGGCATTGTGGCAACTGGTCGGGGAATACGTCCTTGTACTCGTCGAGCAGCTTGGTCACCACAGGCGGGGGACCGGGACCGGCTTGGTCGGTGTCGTCGACCTCACGCACGACACAGAGGAACGACGTGTCCTTCTTGATCAGCCTCTTGAATTGCATGGCTGAGAGGAGAGGTGGCATGTTGGGTGAGGCCATGCCCTGCAGGACAATGTCAGGGCCAACACGGACAGTGCGGCCTTTCCAGTCGACGACTGGAGTCGGCTCGGCACGAGCAAGCCAGCTCATGCCGAGGATGGCATCGAACTTGGTGTCGATCACTTGGAACAACAGGACAGGATGGTACTTGGGATGGAGGGCCACTCGCAGGACCACTTGGTGTGTGCACTGCTGCACACGATCGTCTGCAAGCGCCACACTCATCGGCGACTTCTTCTTGGTTGCATGTATGTTGAGCTCCTGGAGCAAGCGTCTGCTGACAAAGTTGCAGCTTGCTCCAGAGTCCACCATCATTCGGACGGTGTGACCTTGGACGGTGGCAGGGAGGTACAGCAGGGACTCTTCATGGTCCTCCTGCACAGCCTCCTGCACCATGACTTGACTTGGGGGAACGGGCGACACTTGGTCTTGGTTGGCTTCATCACGGCCACTCGGACATTTTGGATAGGGTTCGGCCATTGCGGGGGCCTGCGGCGTCAGCACGCCATTGCACACGACGTCCACGGCTTGCGGACACATGTCGGAAGCATCCGACACACACGACTTGACAGGGGTGAGGGCACAGGCGGTCCTGTCCCTCAAGGGTTCTTGATTTTCTTTTTTGTTTTGGTTTTCAATTTTGGTTTTCTCTTCACGTTCGTGGAGAGGCAGGCGGCTTGCGCCACCATGCACCTCTCGCACGACGCACAACACTTGGTTTGTTTCTCCTTCGGGGGAGGGGGCGAGGTGAACTTCCTCTGGAGACGCGTGGACTGCATTGAGCAATCCACGGCGTTGGTCTCCTACTAGGGCTCCAGAGCCACCTAGTAGGGTCGGCCGTTTCCCGACTTCATGGGGCACTCCTTGGCCTGGTGTCCCGGTCGGTGACAGAAGAAGCAGGAACCATGGCGGAGGTCCTCCTGCTTCTGTCTGTCCTTGGGGGAGACAGTGGCAGCTTGCTGGAACCGGGAGCGGGGAGGGCCACGAGCCTCCATGGCGTTGACGTCAACGTCCATGGGCTCAGGCATGGGTCTTGCGGGCGGGGCCGGGCGAGGCGGACGGGCTGGGACGTGATGAGACCGATGGCCGCCTGCCAGCTGCGGGTAGAACTGGCGGCCATGGTACTGGACGTTGTCGAGGTTCTCGGCAACGTCCATCATCACGTCCAGGGACTTGCGGGCATCAGGGTTGCTGGCGATGTACTCTCTGATCTTGGGCTTGAGGCCCTTCTGGAAGAGGTACATCGCATCAGCAGAGCCCAGCTCCTCAATCTGGGAGGAGAGGTCTTCAAACTCCTCGATGTAGCGGGTCACAGAACCACGCTGCACGAGAGAGTATAGCTTGTCACGGGCAATGAGTTCAGCATTGGGGCTGCCGAAGCGGCGACGGAGGCGGTCCTTGAAGTCGTCAAACACACCTTCGCTCTGCTCGTCGAACCCTTGGCGGCGGTACCAACGGTACGCCTGGTCCTTTAAGCAGAGCTTGGCGGCGACGATGTGGTGGGTGGGGGCGACTTGGGCAGCATCGAGGTAGTCCTCGAGTTGCTGCAGCCAGTCCTCCACCGAGGAGGAGCGGCTCTTCCCAGTAAACACTGGGGCACGGAAGGTCTTGAGGAAGGCTTCCGGAAGTGGGCGGGGGTTGCTCATGGCAGGGGCAGGCTCCAGGGACAGAGAGGAGAGTCGGTCGGCAAGAGAGGCGGGATCCAGCTTGAGGATCTAGAAAGAGGACAAACAGGACGAAAACAAGACGAGGATTTCCGATGCTACCATGTAACGTCCACTACTGGGACGTTGGGGCAAGACGGGGAGGGAGGGGGTACAAGACAAGACAGGACGGGGCAGAACAGGGCGGTGCTAGGCTACTCTAGCGGACGGGTGAGCTCGGGGAGCACTTACGTTTATTCACGATAAAACCGAACTCCAGACAAACGGGGGGAACGGGGGCAACCCGCAGGTATACCCTGCGGTGGCCTGCCTGCGGTGCGTGAAAACGCAAAGCGCAGCACAGGTCACGACCCACTGCGCCGCGCAGTACGCGCAGTACGCGCAGCACAGCGTCGGAGATACCATCTCCTACAGGTCACTTCGGTTTTATGTCAAGTGGGTTGGTTACCCACACTCGGGCAACACATGGCAAACACTGGAGGACTTGTCCCATGCACCCGAGGAGCTGAGTAAATACGGTAAACACCTCGAGGAGCCCCAAATAAAGAGCACACGCAGGGCTCCTCGCAGGAAGCCTTCTTAAGTGTGGGAGTGTAGGAGATGGTATCTCCGACGCTGTGCTGCGCGTACTGCGCGTACTGCGCGGCGCAGTGGGTCGTGACCTGTGCTGCGCTTTGCGTTTTCACGCACCGCAGGCAGGCCACCGCAGGGTATACCTGCGGGTTGCCCCCGTTCCCCCCGTTTGTCTGGAGTTCGGTTTTATCGTGAATAAACGTAAGTGCTCCCCGAGCTCACCCGTCCGCTAGAGTAGCCTAGCACCGCCCTGTTCTGCCCCGTCCTGTCTTGTCTTGTACCCCCTCCCTCCCCGTCTTGCCCCAACGTCCCAGTAGTGGACGTTACACCTTCTCCTTGAAAGCCTGCCGGATCGTACGGTAGCTTCCTCGAGGAATGCCTTTGACATAGACCCAGGCGGCGCTGTCCATTCGGTCTTTCAGTGACCCTTCCTCGACAGGGACCGCAGCTCTGATCATTCGGAACGGAGTGGCGGTCTTGGGCACCAGCCACTTGCCGTCGGTGGGGTCGCGGCCGCGGAGGATGGCTCCGATCGCTTCGTTTTTCTTGGTAGAATCAGTCTCCTGGTGGACCTTTTCGAGCGCCGCCAGCTTGCGCGCGTCGATTGTCTTGTTGTCGGGTTGCTTTTTGGCACCCCGCTGGGCAGCTGCCGCATAGGACGTGGGAGCTGGGCGTTCCGAGATGGCTCGGGACGCATGCTCCAGCTCGGAGGCGAGCGTCTGCATGCACTCGGTGGCGCTCTGGGTCAGGGCCTTGATTCTAGCAACTTCCTCGGGTTTGCTGATGTAACGTCCACTACTGGGACGTTGGGGCAAGACGGGGAGGGAGGGGGTACAAGACAAGACAGGACGGGGCAGAACAGGGCGGTGCTAGGCTACTCTAGCGGACGGGTGAGCTCGGGGAGCACTTACGTTTATTCACGATAAAACCGAACTCCAGACAAACGGGGGGAACGGGGGCAACCCGCAGGTATACCCTGCGGTGGCCTGCCTGCGGTGCGTGAAAACGCAAAGCGCAGCACAGGTCACGACCCACTGCGCCGCGCAGTACGCGCAGTACGCGCAGCACAGCGTCGGAGATACCATCTCCTACAGCTGAGGTCCAGCTTGGCGAGTTCTTCATTGATCTTTTGAGCTTTCTTGAGAAGCTCACTGTGAATGCGTTGAAGCTGCTGTTGGGGACTCTGCTTCTTGCGCATGTCGGTGGCGCAGACGCGCTTTCCGACAGCCCTGGCATCGGCGAGGGAGGCCCGTTGTTTGAAAAGGGGATATCCTTGAAGTCGATCGGGATAAAGGCCTGATCGCTGAGCTCGTTTCTTCTGGCCTTCTCGAGAATGGAGGAAGGGGTGATCACCCAAAGGGCCTGTTTCGTGGGTGACAAGGGTGCTCGAGGTGTCTATGGCCGTCGCAGCGACGGCCACTCGATCCGAGACCTTGATAGTGGTTGCTGGTTTGGTTGTGGTTGCTGGTTTGGTTGTCGGAGCGTTTGGCTTAATAAAAGAGCGACAGAGGGCCTGTATCTGTGGGCCCGAGACCCGAAAATGAGATCGAGGCCAAGAACCAGCGGCTGGCATGGCTGCCGCGGGCTCAAGCAAATCGCAAACCACGGCGACGGCCATGTGAGACCACGTGACCACAGAGGTATGCTGTGGTTATATAGGATGGTGCGGTGTGTCCAAATAAGGAAAGAGATTTCCAACAAGCCATGATAGTATAGTGGTAGTACATTGCGTTGTGGCCGCACCGACCCTGGTTCGATTCCAGGTCATGGCATTGTTATTTTTGTTTTTCGTTTGAGCTCCTGCCTGGGTTTTTCATCGCCGCCTGCTTGGTCAGTGGTTTGGTCGGTGTCGTGCCGCTCTCCCATTGTCGGCATTCGTGGCGGGCCGAATGGTTCCGCTCGTGTCCAGTTGTTCCCCAGATATTATCGGTGCTACTCTGAATGGACTGTGAACAGCGTATTCAAGTCAACACTGTGGTGGTAGCCTCTTTCCGACGCATGGCCACACCATATACCCAACCGAGTGTGTTTGAAATCGTGTCCTTGCATATCTGTCGGCCAGGTTCGTCGGAAGGGCGCGGGCGACATGGCTCGGTGTTCAGCCGGGCGGTCGATCAACCGGATTCTTTTGTCATGGGTTGTGGGATGTGCCCGAGCTCGGACTGGCTGTGAAACAATGCGTGAAGGCGCGCGAGACAAGCGCGCTCGCACGTAACAACGCGTCTGGACACGCACAGGAATCCGCCTCGCGCATCGTGATTCGTCCGGACGCGTTCGCGCTGCCTGCTTGTGTCGCTGCCCTTTGCCCTTGCTCCCTGCCAGCCTTCTCGCCACCTGGCTCTGGCTTCTTTCCCGTCTTCGCTGTTTGGTCGCCGTCCTGCTCCGTCTCCTTCTGGTCGACTCTCATCCACCGCTCCTCTGGTCGCCTTGGTCCATTTACCAAGTTTCCCATTCGACCTTCTCCACAATTCTCTTTCTTGAGGCGTCACTTGTCCGGTACCCTCCGCCATGGTTCCGGCTTCTCCTCGCTGGGCCATCCTCCCGCTGCTGCTCTTGGCATCGCCCCTGCCGCACTCCACACATGCGCTGAGTACGTTCATTGTCGGGCTGGCCTTGACAACTCCGGATGGTCGCCAGCAGTTTCGACGTCGCTGGGATGTCTTCTTATCGTGGTCTGGCTCTGGCGTGTCATTCTTATATGTCTGACCGGATGTTGATATTGTGGCGAAGATGCGTTTGTCTGTTACGCAACTCCACACCCACCGCTGATTCTTGGATGTCGTCTCTCCCGTAGATACTCCACCTGCATCACTGTTGCCGGGAAATCTCACGACCAATCCATACCATTCTGGCGATGGCGCCGTCTACGGAATCCCGAGTGGCCAGGTCATCCAACTGAGCGTCTCATACTCACCTATCGCCCAGACCTGGATCAGCTCCATTACCTTGGTCGCCATCCAGATCATCAACCAGCATACCGGGCCGACGCTGTACTCAGCCCAGCCAATTCTGTGGCTCAAGCAGTTTCCCAACATCTCCACTTTGCCTCTCTCGCTGGACACCTCGTTGATTGCCGTCAACCCACCGTATGCGTTCGAGATGGACTTTATCTACACTGAGGTCGACACCACAAATCCAACCATCACTTGGTCCAACACCTTCAGTGGCCCGATTTTTGTGATCTTTCCCCCCTCGGCAGCGTCCTCTCAAACCACATCCTCGACAGCGACCCCGGCGCCCTCGGCGGCGACCAGCTCTTTGATCGGCAACAGCACATCGACTGGCTCAAACTCATCCACGCCCGCCCCCACCAGTGCCAGCAACTCCTCAGCTTCGCTGTCAAGCATTACCTCCGCCCCATCCGTAACGCCCACGGATTCTACTGTCAGCACGGTCCCTCCTTCCACCATCCTCATCCTCAACCCTTCGTCTCCAGCCAAGAGCCAGAGTCTGAGCACTCTGCGACACCCAGACCACTCGCTCCTAGTGTTGGTCGCCAGCTTTCTGCTCTTGGGCCTGCTCTTGTAATTTTGATCCATAGCTTTGGCTGACTCTCCAATGCCATGTGTAGATGGTCTGTACACCGATCCACGACCGCGATTCCTCTCCGTCCACTCAGACAGCGATTTCTTGTCGGCCGAGTTTTCTACTCTCTCTGTTTTCTGCTTCCTTGATCCCCCCTGCCATTGTGTCCCATACTTGTCCCTTTTCCAGTGATTCACGGGTTGAATATAAAAGCTGGTTGTGCTCTTGGGTACACCTTGTGTTAATGAGACTGACCCATCAATGAGACTGATCCTGGCAAGCTCTTCGGCACTCACAAGGATATAGGATACCCTGTCCATGTCATCGATTGCTAGTCCCTCTGGATCCTGACGACACGCCCTCATTCAGCACTGTTGTCAATCCTTCAGTATAATGGCTTGGCTCGTAGCCTACAGCTTGTCCAAAGCGAAACGAGGGGCCATCTTCTCCGGGTCTTGAATACACCTATCCACCGTGACCAGTCACCAAGGAAAGGGGGATGCGTACCGAGTTTGCCCAGCTTTGCCAAGCACTGAGCATTCCCACCATCACAAGAGATGGCCATGTCCCAGAGCATGGCCCCCGACTCGCTCGATCCGACTGCCTTGTTGTCGAGAACCTATGGAGAGGGCCAAAGGTCGAATGCATGCACCACATTCCAGAGTCTCGACATCACTGCCAGTTGGGCAATTCCACAGGAGATCCACCGGGGTATTCAAGATGATGCTCCCCAAACCACCCGAGGCCACTTGATTGCCAGCGACGGTCGGAAACAGTGCCATTTTGGTCGACACACAGTCGCGGGCTCGCTCATTCAAATGGTGCGATGCCCCATAGTTTCCAAAACGAATCAATGAATTCCATCCCAAGCACTGTGGATTGCAACTCGTGTTCAAGGTACAGGACTGCGACTGGACCAATGCACATGCCCGTTTCAACTTCATTACGGCTCTATCAGATAAGGACTCTTGATTGCTCTGCATGAGCAGCTCGTTTCATGAATCGAGCATACTAGAGCTCCAGGTCGCGTGCCTTGAAGAGCACATGCGGAGCCTCGATGTGTTTCTTGCTTTGGATAAGCCGGAGTTCCCGTCTGCGGATCAACAAAGTGGTACCAGGACCATCGACTGGCTCTCCGGATGATCCAGTGCTTGCTTCCGCCGATAGCTTGCTCGTCTCCATCAATACTTGGTTCATGGTCGCTACCGCCAATTCACAGGCCTCTTCGAGCCACCTCGCTGTCTGCAGTGACCCCTGGTGCCTGGACTGCGCCATGTGGATGTGTGCCAGCAGCAGCGATGCAAACATGTCCCCCGTGCCGGTAAAGTACCCTTGCAGCTTTGGAAAAGAAATCAGGAACGCCTTGGCTCTCGCTTGATCTTCCAGACGAAGATAGGCCACCAGATGGAGGGTCTCCGAGGGATTGTCCTGGTCGCCGAGCTGCGCCGATGTGATGATCACGATCCGGGCACCCATGTCATTGATTTTGCGACATGCCTCGATCGCTGAGGTGGTGCAATCGACCTTGACGTCGCTCAGGATCCTTTTCATTCACCAAACATCAAATCGCCGTGAAGCCAGTCAATGTCGTGCCAATCGCTGTTGAGAGGCGGGATAGGGCCCATGGTAGATGCGGATCTCCCACTGCTTGCCTGGCATAGCACGACCGCAAGTCCAACTTACTCAGCCTCAAACGAGTTTGGAGTGACAATGTCGGCCAGACGACACATTTGCTTGTAGATCGGAATGAGCTCTTCAGAAACATAGAGCCGGCCCTCGTCGCCCATCACCGGATCCAGAACTAGAGACACAACATGAGCATGAATTCAGATCAGGCGAGCATCAAACACAATGACCGAGCGCCGAGACAAAATAGCACTCGCGGTGCCTGGAATGCTCTTGCTGATAACGGCATCGGAGCGGCCGAGATGGCGACTTTGGCGACGTGCTGTGATGCGCATCAACAATTCATACCGCTTCTTACCATACTGGACTGAGGGATGTTTCCGCTTGAGCTTCTCGATGAACCGCTGGGTCACCTCAAGGGTATTCTTTCTACCAATGTATCCTATGAGCATATTGACAGACATATGAGGCTGCAGATCGGCCCACGGCGCCCACAAGAACAAGAGCTGAGCGCACTTTGCTTGATTGCATTTTGGATGCTGTTCGAGTTATCGCATTGAATGCCAAAGATACGCATCGCCTCTCCCCATTCTCACCTGTGATGACATTCGAATAATCGTTGAGCATTCCATTCTTTTCCAAGCCATCGAAAAGGCTTTCGAGTTGGTCACCATCGATCCGTTGTCCTGTAAACGCTGGATAACCTGTTGAGCCCCGAGGTAAACCCGCACAAAACACCAGGCCGAGCAAATAGACGATCAACAGAACGGAATAGCCCGGTCAGACAGCGTCTTCCGGGCGGTCAACCGAATGCAGACGGCCGACGCCCGATCTCCTCCCCTCAGGATCAGCCACAACAGCGAGCAAGCTAACCGCAGCGCCGATCGCACCCCTGGCTTTGCCATTCTGATGAGGATGACTAGGCGCGAGTGTTGCAGAGAGTTGCTGGGTTGTATACGATGCACATACCCGTGTGGTTGGAGAACTGGACGGTATTGATGGGATCGACATCGAATCCAAGCAGCTGGAGAGGAAAAGTGGAGGCCTTGTTTCCTATAGCGGATGCAGTGCCGCCAATGAGCAGGAGCCCTGCTGCAGAGCAATGAGGGGCATATGGGTGGCTCTCCTTTGGAGCGATACAAACGAGTCCTGTCCTTACCGACGTAGCCATAGACGACATGCGACTGAATGGAGAGCACCCTCCGGGACGGCTGGGGGCCATGCATTTCGGATGTCGGGGCAGATCAAGACAGAGCCGGAGGGCTGTGCGGGCGAGGTGTCTGGCCCGCATTCCAAGGCAGCAAGGGCTGTGAGCCCAGCAGCTCGTTGTCTAACTAGAAAATGCAAGATTTCCACCCAGCACTGCCGCCGATCGACCCGATGAGCACCAGGCTCGGCACTGTCGCCCAATGTCCCCAATCAACTGCTCTCCGGCGTATGGTTGTTGCCGCGAACGCATGCTTTACAGGCAATCCAATAAAAAACGGGACACCCGGGTTTTTGACCATTCATCGAATATTTTGTTACCCAATGTTATCGCGCGCTGGCCATGACCATTCGCCGCTGGCACTCCGAGACCAGTGTGCAGGTCGATTGTGGAGACCGGAGAGCGACCGGCGGTCTTCACTCGGAGGCTGCCAAAGTGATCTGTTTTATTTCTTGTGGCTTTGCTTGACGCAAGCACAGCACATACTACATGTTCATGGAAACGGCTATATTGTCCCGTTTTCTGAATAAAGTGTACAGCGCACCCTTGAAACGGGGCACTTCAATGCTCGGATGAGTCATGAATTGAATGGCATTGATCGGCCGCATGGCTGAATCACACGGCGCTCGCACGGACGCAATGCACTCGGCCGATGAGACATCGATCGCAGAGTTGTTCCCCTCCCACAGTCACATCCGTCATATCTTTCCTAGCTCGATACCCAATTCGACCCATATCCGACCCAACTCGGCAACGGTGATTCAAGTCTCTGGCTGTGGCGGCGACAACGGGGGCTGCCGTTTGGTTTTGCACGAGCTAGATCAGTAAGGGCGATGCCCGTCGCAGCGAAAGTACATATGTGCAGGATGGGTAGTGCACCGATTCGCTATCCAAGTCGGGATGTAAAGTCCATCCCAAGGGTGCTGGTGGGTCGGGACGATGCAGGGGCGCTGGCCTGTGGTTTGCCGCCCATCTTGGTGGACCGGTGGTCGGGAGATATATGAGATCCAGGTCAACGATCAATCGCAGTCAACCACCCCATGCACAACCGCAACAAATAGGTCTCCAGTCGGCTTTGAGGATATGCCTACGAAGCCTTTGCGACCTCTGTATTTCGAGCGACGGTGTTGATCATCATGTCCCCCTGAGCGCGTGCACAGCACAGCTACACTTACATAGTTGACATAGTCAGGACTTTCGCAGGCGACGTATTCACCGATGAGCTCCTGAACGACCTCCCTGACAGGAAAACACGTCTCAGTAACCGCAAGAACAACGGCAAGTTCCAAGCCGATGTGCAGGTGCCGTTTGAAGTGAGTCATGATCTTACCGCGAGGAATCAAACTCGGCGAAGCCATCAGCAAACATGGGCTCGCGCTTGTATTGCTCGAGGAAAGCGTTGCGCTTCCGCAGACGATCGTACTGATCGCATGTTCTCTTGAAGAGCTGCAGAAACAAGCCATCTGTGAGTCAGCCCAAGGTCTGCAGCGGGCAAGTGCGACCAAGGAACGAGCTGGTAGTATCGGGCATCAACTCGAGGCCTTGCATCGATCCAACATCCAAGGGTCTGCCGAGCTGCGATCGGTATCGCTCGAGGGCTGTATGGCGAAAATTTCCCAGAACAAACATACCGATTCGATGCTGGTATGGTTGGCAAGCATCAATCCCGAGACCCGGTGGGGCGTCTGAATGTATGGGCTTTTCCGTGAGAGGGCCACTTGGATACTGGCTGGGCCCCAAGGGATGAACTGGGCCAGACGGCGCTCGCGGATCCTCAGCAGAGACTTGTGCACCTACAAGTCCAGCCAGCGTGTCAACATGTAATTCAAAGAGTTCCGCCTCCATCTCATTCCCGAGTCACAACAGAGAAGGCCGCTTCACTTTTCAGCAGATCAAACTCACATCTGTGGGATCAGCCTCGCCCTGGATGATGTTGAGAATAGAGATGTAGCAGCTTTTTTTCGATGGGTTTGTCGAGACCATCTTGTTTTTGGGCTGGAGCAGCCGTCGCATGACGTCGAGGACTGTGGTTTTTCGGATGCTTTGCTGCAGGAGGCGGTTCAAATGAGTGGCGAATCGCGACAATGAAGGTTGGGGAATGGGTGAATGGAAGTCACAGGGCGCAGCCGACGAACCAAAATGCGCAGGACGACAGACTTCATTTGGCCACGTCGTCCGGACACCTCACAGACTCTTGTTCATGTCAACATTCGCCGATCGTGCTAAAGGCAGTCAGGCCAACCGAAGGATTGCTAGATGAGCCCATACTTACTTTTTCGCCACCATCTCCGGTGAAGGGTGTATAGCTTGTTTGCAAGAAGTGGCAACGGGGCGTTGGCACCAGCGATGCCACTAGCCCCACAAGATCGTTGTTCATGTATCCGGGATATCTCAGAGTAGTTGTGCTGGCGCTCATCACCGTCGAAACCTGACAAAGGGCCAAGTCAGCTCGATTTGTCAGTAACAAGCGCATGCAAGGTGTAAGGACACTTGGACTCGCAGATTCCGTTGCTCATTGGTGCCACGGACAAGGATTCAATCGATCGGCGACGATCACCCATGCTCGGTAGCACCAAAACGTACCAGCTTATTTGTCTGCGCAAATGTTGGGTTCTGGATGTGCAGGGTGTCCACGGCAATGCGGTTGAGGGCAGCGTTGTCCAGCACAACCTGAGGAGGTATCGTAGAATCGATGTATCGGTGCGTGATTGTCAATGGGGCCGGAGTGACAGGTGATACATGACTGTACCGCCTCGATGGCAAGATCCTCGCCTCAAATCGACAGTGGTCGATTATCGAAATCATATGTGTCAGCGACGGGCAGTGGCCAGCTACTTACGACCGAGTCTGCATTCAGCGTCAGGCGCTTGAGACTGAGAATCGAGTTGTAGGGCTGAACAACAACGTCGCTGGTCTCCTCGCTGTTTGGAAAGACCGAGTAAGTCTGGATGAGCTTTTTGGGGTAGCGATCATTGAGGGTTTCGAGAATGTAGGATCCCAGACCGGATCCTGTTCCGCCGGCAATCGAGTGCAGCAGCATGAAACCCTGGGCAAGAAGTTCACCGGAAGGAGAAATGTCAGTACGGAGCCTCTGTATCGATCGGGCTCCAGGACGCAGGACATGCTGCTGGACGTGGCTATATGGTCGCTGCGAGCATCAAGGTCCTCCGCGCTTGTGTAAGCACATACCTCGAGACTGTCGCTTCCGTCGGCCTCTCGATCCAGCATATCGATGATTTCTTCGTGGATTTTCTCTCCATTCGAGTATCCACTCGCCCAGTTGTTGCCCGCGCCGCCGCCTTCCTGCGACATGAAGATATTTTCCGGGTTGTATAGGTTTGCATAGGGCGACTGAAGAATGGTGTTGATAACCTGTCGCAATGTGTCGGTCCAAGGCAGTGATCATCAGAAAGAGATCCGAGCACCGTCTCCAGGCTCTACCATCGACAACGAGTGATCCGGTTGGTCTCGGAAGGAGCCACGAGACGAGCCCGATGTGGCACTTGCTGAATGCAATGCCCATGCCAGCTCGGTATGTGCCTATCGCGAGGTCGGAAATACAATAGCCATCACATTGTTTCTGGTGGCTTGTTGGAGGATGATGGCTGGGCCGATGTTCCCATCCTACAACGGTTGACAAAGCGACGAAAGTGTCGTTGGCTCGAGGCTTACTCTGGGCTCCAGATCAAGGAGAATAGCTCGGGGAATGTAATGCTCATCATCGGCTTGGTAAAAAAAGACATCCTTTCGATCACCGCCCTCGGTCGCAAAGTCTTCAAGGATGCCGTCAGGGCTGATTCCGTGTTCGGCACAGAGCTGCGACCAGAACTCCATGCCAACTTGACGAAGGAAGGCAACAGGGAAAACAGAGCACATGTTGTAAGCAGCGCGAATACAGAGCGCATGATCCGGCAATGTGTGTGCCAGAGGAAGGATCTATGAGGGTGGATCGGATGGAGCGGCTGATCGCATGGGTCGCATTGACAGGCGATCTGGAGGCGACGGTTCCAAACACTAAACTCCCGGTGCAGGGAGAAACCCACTTTGGTTTCCGCATTGGCCCGTTTGAATGGTGATGATTTCTCGCGGCATATTTGCAGGGGAGAGTGGAGGGGGGGGGACTGCTCGCGGCGCTGGGGAGGGGGTAACTCGATGCGAACTTGATCAGGGAGTCAGAGGAAGAAGGACGGGGACACTGAAAAAATCTCTTGTTAATAAAATGAGCGAGAACGAAAAAACGCGCTCTCGGAGCCACCTCGGTCGGCGAGAAGAGCAGTCTCTGGCGAGAGACCCCCGAGGGAAGGCGAGAAGCCTCTCGCCGTCACACACACACACACACTTTGCACACACACACACACTTTGCAAGGGAGTCAAACACCTCCCATCACCATCCCAAGAGGGATGGCAACCCCGAAGTGGACTGCCCAGAATATGGGCGACCCGGCATCCACTGTCGACATACTCAAGGAACAGTGCGAGATACTTACAGTCAATCCAGAAAGAAACGGGACACTTCCCCTTTCTGGCTTCAGATGTTTGAAACCCGCTGACTGACTGTAGGCCCAGCGGGCAGGCCATGGCATTGCACTCCTGTCTTCGTTGGCAATCTCTTTGTTTTGTTGGTTTGGGAAGCACAGCCTTGAATACACCCGGTCGATCTCCATGGGCGATGATCGACTGGCATACCGAGATCATGTTCCTGGCTACATTGACGTCTCGATCCCACAGCGTATGGCAGCTTGCACAGCTCCGGACAAAGTGTGGTTTCTCGACATCAAGATGCTCGGCGTTCTCGAGTCGCTTGGCTTCCCGACAGTGTGAGCACACCTGGGATGTGTTGAACTCGTTCACCGAGCACACATGGATCTTGGAGATGGATGGGTCTGGTGGGCGTCTCTGGTGGTGGTGGTGGAACTGCTCAAAGTACTTGGCGAACCTGAGTCTCCTGGGACTGGATGCATATCCCTTCCCTTGCTTCCACGAGGCATTCCCAAAGGCAATCACCATGTCGGTCTCCCTTGGTGCCTGGTCGATGACTTGCTTGCACATCTCGTGGACGGTGCGCTGTCGCTTGCTGTGGAGATCGAGTCGCTTGAATCGCCGACGCCGGGTCAGGCTGAAGGACAGCTGTTTGTCCAGCATGTCTCCATCGAACACATGGCGAATGTATTGCAGGAAGGAAGCCAACCCGGGGATCTTGGGACTTGGTGTGGTGCTCATCCATTCCTGCAGACCAAGGATCTTGTGGGTGCTCTGGATCCACTTGGTCGCTTGGGTGGTGTCTTTCGCTTGGGAGCCATCTGGCGAGAAAATAGCAGCGATGGCTGGTTCTGCCCTTGGGGAAGAAAGAATCTCCTCAAATCCAGCGCATTTTGGGCTGGCAGAGATACTGCGCAGTGGCGTCCTTGATTCAGATCCAGAAACGCATCGCTCGCTCAATCAGTCGTGGGAAGACATCTTGTCAAGGTGAGTCTTGCCTGATAGCCAAACGATCATGTCATCTCGCTGACACACAGCCACGCTTGACTAGGTTTCCAACCAGAGAGATTCAGATGGTGGTGGTTCTTGTCCGCAATCGGAGTGGAGCTTCCAACAATGATACAATTGGTCATTCCTCCACACCAATTGCCCACCACCACCGTCAATCGGCTCAAGGTGATACCAAATGCCGTCAACCGACCATGGCCGGATTCCAACTTTCGCTGCACCACATACAACGTGACTTTCAGGTGACCGAGATGAGCAGCCGCGAGGGGCCGGAAAAAATTGATCGTGGGAAGGAGCAAACCAACGGCGCCGCGAATGCCAGTCACGTGTAACCAACTGCGCCACACAAAGCAGCACACTGAACACAGACGGCCTCCGAGCGAGACACAGCCGCGAAGGCCTTGGGAGAGCCGCATGGAGGAAAAGGGAAACAGAAAACACAGAAAGGAGAGCAAGTGGGCAATGGCCAGGATCGACAGAGTGTGAAAAGGGTGCAAAAAAGATCGCTCCTAGGTGGGCTCGAACCACCAACCTTCCGGTTAACAGCCGAACGCGCTAGCCAATTGCGCCATAGGAGCCGATCGCCCAACGTGGGGGTCGAACCCACAACCTTGAGATTAAGAGTCTCACGCTCTACCGATTGAGCTAGCCGGGCGGACGAGTGGAGGATCGGGGTATCGATCCCCGTGCCTCTCGCATGCTAAGCGAGCGCTCTACCATGTGAGCTAATCCCCCGACGGCAAAATTATCTGTACCCGTAATTTGAGCCCAACTGCACTCCGGCAGAAAAATCCAAGCAAAAACCAGCCTTTCGTCGACCATGACACTCTTTGGTGAGCAGCGTGTCGCCTGAAACCGCTGCGGCCATGATCTGCAATCAGTTAAAATCAAGGCACCTGAGCAAAGATATGAATCTCGCACTTCCGAGTGCACTTTGGCAAGCTGCACCCATAAGAGGACGTTGAAGTCCGTACTTCCCCACCGTTTGTCCAGCCAGCCTCGGGCAACCGATCATCTCGGTGGCCAAATCAGTCAATCGATCAATCAACTTGCATGTGTGGGTACGGGGCGACTGGTCGTCGATTGTACTCTCAGACAGTAAAAGCCCTTGCGGCGAACATGCATTTTTCTTTTATTCAGTACCAACAAGAAAAACAAAAAAAGGTCGAGCGCAGGTGACGGAGGTGGGCACTCAATTATTCAAGGAGCGGAATTACACTGCCGGAGACTGGCTTTCCTTTTTTGATCCACCTTTGATTTGACTCTCCTTGATTTCTCTTGACCCAGCTCAGTCAGGTTGTCGCCGGCTATTGTGGATCTACTCTAGGAGCGGGGTAATCAAGCGGTCTGCACATGGTAGCCGTGCTTGTCGCCGGTCTCCGTGAACCACTGGAGGCCCTTGGTGACGATGGGCAGGTCCGGCAGACTCTTGGGGTCCGTCCAGGCAGCTCCGTCAGCCAGAACCGAGAGAGCGCCGGTGTGTTTCAGGGCATAGAAGAGAGTGGCGTCGTGCGAGGTGACGTAGCCGGTCTCGTTCTTTTGGGCGTCGCTGCCGATGGTGACGATTTGGACATTCTCCTTGTTAATTTTGAGTGTGGCTTGCTTGAGGATCTCATCGACGACGGCGTCCTCGGGATCCTGGTTGTACTCCAGTTTGCGGACTGACGGAACCAAGCACAGGAACGTGGAAGTTGAGTTTAAAGAATTCTTGTCATGATCTGCCATGACGACATTGCTGCGTGTCGATCATTTCGTTTCGCCAGTCTACAGGGCAGTTCACTCGCTGACCAGCCCGAATAGACAAACATCGTGCGATCCAGATGCCACAGATATAACACCATCGACTGTCGTCTTGGTCACTGCCCATCAGGCAGGCCAAATCTTCCGACACGGCATGAGGCCGGTCAGAGAGCGAGAAACGTACCGGGCAGAGTGGGCTTGCCATCCTTCTGGACAGTCAGGATGCGGATACCCTCGGCGGTCTTCTGGACAACGAAGAGTCCAACGTGGAGGGCTGAGGCGGACAGGCACAGTCAGAATCAGCGACCAGTCGCTTCCACACACAGAAGCCAGAGCCAGAGCCAGAACCAGAGCCAGAACCAGAACCAGAGTCACAAAATGACCGGAGCAGGTTGGTGGGAGCACCAAGGGAGATCTGGCTCCCAGCCGCGTCCTCGTCCTCGTCCTCGTCCTCGTTCTCGTTCTCCTCTTCTGGCTCGTTTAGCTGTTGTGTGCGGGTGGATCTGCAATCCAAGTCTCGGGCAAGGAGGACTCATCTCCCGCACAGATCCGCCAGGACAGTCGCCTGTGTATCGTTTCAGCGGGCATTACCGGGGTTGCGATAGACGGGCTCGCTGGCCGGAGGTGCCGGGGCGGCCTGAGGTTCGGCAGCGGGAGCAGCAGCAGAGGCGGACATTTCGTTTTCAGCAGCAGTGTTTGAACGCTTGGGTTGGGAAGCACGATGTCCAGAGAGTGCCCGCTTGAGCGCACCCCAGAGGGATTTTACAGATGATTTAGTCGTGCTCATGATGAAGACGAAGGAGGACGATGACGGATCGAGCGACGGCGCGGATGGATGGATGGGCAGCGCTTTCCGCAGAAGACGTGCAGAGGCCCATGTTCAGTCCTTTATACTCACATTGGAGGGGTTGTGTGGGCGAGGCAGATGCGGCCACCGGCTCCGGACGGCAAGACTGTCGCCTTTCGAAGCGGGGAAGCGACGCCACCCCATCGTGGAGTGCCGCTGGCATCCATGTGACACATCCTCGCACAGACGCCATCGCGCTTGCAAACACGCCCTGGGAGGTGGATACCCTGGAGCAGTGTCGTTCACTTTCTCGCGAGCTTGTCTCAGGAAGTCAGGACCCAACCAATTGCCGAGATGGCAGACGCGGCGCTCACACATCGGTCGCGCACACCGCACATGTTGGGTGCACCAGTTTCGAGCAGCATGGACTCTATTCCGCGGCTCCTGGGAAAGACAAGACAGGCAGGGAGCCATCAGAGGCGAAGGGGCCAGGACCGGCCATTCGCTTGCTCGCTGTATCCGATGGCCGAAGGAGCAGCGCACGCCAGCACAGTGTGATGGATGGGGCAGGCGGGTGTTTGTGGTGTGTTGGTGGGTTGGATGGAGGCCGGGGGGGGCGAAGCGGGAGTGGCGGGGACGATACACTGTGAGGAAGGAAGGAAGGGGGAGATTGCATCGGGACCACGCCCATCGGCGACATGGTCCGGATGCATTGGATGGACAGGAGACAGACAAGCAGGATGACCTGGTGCAAGTCAAACACAAGGCCACAAGACAATGCCAGAGCAAGCTGCCGCGCAGAGAGGCGGCCGTGCATAAAAGGAAGGGTGAACGGCGCGGGAGCTAAGGGTGACAACAAGGCCAAAGCCAGTCAGCGGGAGAAGAATCGGGAAGGCGAGGGGCCGGGAATGACGAAAAGAACAGGGAGAGGGGGAGGGGCGAACTGACTGGCGAGCGCTGGCTCGGCGGCGGCTCGGACGGACTACCTGATGCTGCTGGTGCTGCTGCCGTCCGTCGTCTTGCAGAGGGCTTACTGGGCGCCGGGCTGCTTTCCCTCGGGATCTTCGACATAGAAGCCCTGCTGCTCGCCCGTCTCCTTGAACCACTTGCGGAACTTGGCGACGATTTCGCCGTGGTCAAAGGCGAGCTCGGCTCCGCCCTCGAGGCCAGCGGTCTCAAATTCGATCCAGCGGGCATCAGCGGCATCGTCGGAGCCAGCGAGATCCTTGAGGGTCTCGGGCTTGACCTTGCAAGCGTAGGCAGCGGTGACGATGTGCTGGCGGGGATCGCGCTTGGGGTTGCCGTGGACAGTGATGAGGTGGACATCAGGGTATCCAACCAGATGGGTCTCTTCCTCGAGCTCTCTCAGCACACCGACAGTGGGATCTTCGCCATACTCGACAAAGCCGCCTGCAGTAACGGGTCAGCGGGGTGTAAGCGATCACGATAGCATCTGGCCCTGCCTACAGTCAACTCGAATGCAGCAGCCCAGGGACGAGACGCTCTCGGAAACGGCATCGTGACATGTACCAGGAAGAGCCCATTTGCCAATGTGGGGCTCACGACCGCGCTGAATTGCGAGGAGCTCATAGCGGTCAGTCTTGAGGTTTTTGCGGACCACAAGGGCATCGGTGGTGAGGGCTGGCAGAGGGTCGCAGAGCGGTCAAGGTCGAGCAAGGTTGTCAGCACTCTGTCGGCAGCTGGCAAGTGCAGCGCAATCGCCTCCAGCCAACGGTGCATTGACAGCGATCTTACCGGACTTTTTCGTGGGAGCAGGCTTGGGCGGGGCGGCGGCAGGAACGGGAGTTTCGATTTCGGTGCTCATTTTTGGGGTGCCGGAAAAGGTGCGCTTCAGAAAGCGGGAGTTGAGCACAGAGATTCGATTAGCAGCCTTGGACATGACTCTGAGACAGGAGGCGAGGCAAGAGGCGAGGCAAGAAGCGAGGCAAGAAGCGAGGCAAGAAGCGAAGCGAGGGGGGGGGCAGCAGCCGAAAGGCAACAGCGAAGGACAACGCAGAGGGCTCACCTGTGGGGATTGTCCGAGGAGTGCAAGCTCAAACGTGCGCGACGGCGCTGAGCGCGAGCACCTGAGCACGACGAGGCCATCGCCTGGGTCACGTGCATGCCACGCCGCCCTGCGTCCGTCGTTCCATCTGCTGCCGCCAGCCCGATCTCGAATACCTCCAGCGGCCCTTGGACACCTGCGAGCTCCTGGCACTCAGATGCCTCGATGCCAGGCCTGTCGGGGATGTCAAGTCTATCGGGGATGCCAGTCCTATTCTCAGCTGGATGAGTTTCTCGGCGAGAAGAGAGAGGAGGCTTGGATGTGTGCTGGGGCACATCGGGTGGCGACATGTCTGATATCGGACCTGTCAGACAGCGGGGATCCTGTTGGAACACACTCTGGCAAGTCCAGAAGCGAGTGCGAACAGGGGCCCCGCATATTCGCGCCTCGATGACTGCGTGCTCAGCGACCGGAGCGCACGATGTCTGCCGAGTTGCCGATGCAATGTCCTTGCGATCAATGTCCTTGCGATCTCACAACATGGCTGTGGCGCACAAGAGCTGGCCGCCTCGAAGATCGACGCGGTGGCGCTCATGATGCTCATGATGCTCATCGCCCTGGCTGCACAGCCGAGCCTGCCACCAGTCGCCACCAGTCGCCACCAGAACGCACCACCCACACGCCGTCTCTTCAACGGAACTGTAAATGTGCAAATGAAACGCTACGTTTCATATATTGATATAGGCATGATTTTACATCTCAAAATATGGACAGCAAAGGACGATTATGAACATAGGCTTGCTTAAGCAAGAGCGAGGTAGCGGTACTGCTTGACAACAACCTCAGAGCTGCGGAAGGCAATGGAGGCACCCTGGAGATGGGGGCTGAAGAGCGAGCAGAGTGTACAGATATGTCTATGTTAGCGTGTGTTCGGATGATAGAGCAGGAGACCGGGGGCAGACGGCAACTCGGGCCATCGCACAACCAGCGAGCGACGGTGATGCTTACCCAGTCTTGCCAGGGTAGATGTTGTTCTCGTGGAAGGCCTGGGTGACAAAGAGGGGCTTGCCGTCCTGCTCGTGGCCACCGAGGACGGGGGTGTGCTCGGCAGTGGGGGCAAGGGCACCGGTGAAATCGATCCAGCGGATGTGGCTCTCATCGCCAACGAGGACCTCGTACTGGCTGACGGAGATAGCACGGCCGGCGTAGGAGATGAAGGCGTTGCCGCTGCTGGTGAGGTGGCCAATGTGGACACCGCCCTCGTGGTAGGCACGGATGATGTACAGGCGCTCGCCATCGGCAGAGCCACCGGGGATAGCGTTGGAGGGGATGGGCTCAGAGGCCTCACGGAGGATCCAGTAGGCAGCGGGGCCCTCACCACGGTTGGAGGCGGCCTCGACCTCGCGGCGGCGGTTGCGGGCCTCCTCGGTCCAGTTGCCAGAGTTCCAGGACTCCTGAGCACCGTGCTGCTCGACGTAGTGCTGTGGCAGAAAGACGGGGCGCATCAGTACACATCAGACAGAGGCAGGTGCAGCGACAGGTCAGCCATGATGGACAAGCAGGCGGCTTGGCGTTGCTTGGCTTGGCTTGGCTTACCTGGTGCTGGCGGTACTCGTGGACACCAAAGGCGGCGAGACCCAGGACGGCAGCACCGGCGGCGACGCCACCGATGATCTGGTTCTGCTTGGACCAGCCGCGGGGGTCGAGCCAGTTTTGCTGGGTGCTCTGGGCGGGCTGGGCCTGGTCGTAGGCCTGGTAGCCACCCTGCTGCTGCTGCTGCTGCTGCTGCTGCTGCTGCTGATGGTGGTGGTGGCCAGTGCGCTCGAAGAGCGAGTGGGCAACCTCGGGGGACCAGTCAGACTGGGAGGTGTGGGCCTGGAGGGAACGAAAGAACACAATGTCGGTGAACGAGTCAGTGAGACGATCGGATGGGTGGGCTCGACAGCAGACGCCACCAACATGGCCGGCGATGAACCTCCGGCCATGCAAAGACCACGGCGACACGCGGGATGCTCCGTCTGCAGCAGACAGGCATGGCTGTGGCAGACCAGAATGTTACCTGGAGGACGCGGTAAGAGCTACCGTTGAAGGTGACGACCTGGCCGACCTCGTAGTAAGTACCAGAGAACCACTCAGACATATTGGATAGAGAAGAAAGGCGAGGGAGAGGCGGGGAGATGCAAAATCGTGCGATGAAGAGTGACGGAGAGGGCCACCTGCCCGATATTTATACTTTCGTCGCCCGAGCACCCCCCACCGCCCAGCGCGAACCCGACGCAGACCAACGCAGTCCAGCATCCGCCCTGCCCTGGCGACAGACCAGAGGCTCGCGACAAGGGGTCTGGGCGACAAGGCCGCGCTCGCCAGCGTTGCCACGGCCAATCGGCGCGCGGCTCGGTCTGCGCTCTCGCCCGCAGCGAGAGGTGCCGCAGCGACACACGCCATCGGCCCGCGCGCTGTCGTCTGTGCATGTGCATCTGCTTTGAATCCATGTCCCGCACACCGGAGGCATCTCTCTGCAGCACATGTGTGGTGCATGTTCATGGCATGTTATGGCATGTCTTGCTGGTCTTGCTGGTCGTCGCTCGCATTGGATGGCCAGCGAGACGGACAGCGAGACGGATAGCGAGACGGACAGCGAGGCCACAGCAAGCCACCCGCCACCCGTCATCCGCCATCCGCCGCTCGCCTTCCCCAAACAAATGACCTCGCGCCCATTGCAACAAGCCGCACGCCCGCATCGCCCGGCGCCCGCCCAGCCAACCCCAAGCCGCAGCAGCCGGCCAATCGTGTTGCGCGATTGGCGGGCCGCACGAGAACGTTCTGCTGCGCAGCGTCTCGCTGCGACGGGCGAGAGCACCGCGAGGCCCCGCGAGGACCCGCGAGAGCGCCACCGAGAGGCCCGCGACCAATCGCCGCGCGCCGTTCACCAGCCAATCGCCGTCGCAGTGTTGGCAGCCCCGCAACGGCCCCGCACCGCCACTGGCTGCTTGCGGCGTGTATGGATCACACAAACAAACGGCCGAGGCGACATGCCGGCAGCGCCATGTCCGCTGCGATCAAGGCCGGTGGCTGGGACGATGTGGTGGATGAGCCTGGCGGGCGATGGTGGTGGATGGACGACGGCTCGGCCCGATGTATGGGACTTGGCTGCCGTCGCGGCTTCGTCGATAGAGTTGCAACCTGGCGGGCTGGTGGATCGGGTCGGATGTCTCTGTGACTGCGCGATGAGTTTCCCCGTGGCTCAGGAAGTCGCTGGTGGTGTCGTTGCTGGTGGTGGTGGTGGCGGCTCGGCTCCTCTGATTCCACCCGAGCAGCCAGCACGCGATTGCCGCCGTTGGAGCCGCCATCGCCCGATGCACCACCACCGCGCTGAGAGCAATGCCGACAGTGGATTGCTCCATCGCGCCATCTTTGACGTAACGACCCTGTCGTGAGTGTCTCGGTCGTCATCCGAGGTCCGTTGCCACCAGTGCGGGCTCGTGTTTCTCCATGGGTGCCTGCAGCAAACCAGCCTGGTCGTCAGCCCCGCCCCAAGTGTCTGAAGAATCGTCAGCCTCGGCAGTGATTGTCGCTTGGCCAAATGCAGCGCCCTCCGATCAGCCAGCCGCTCTCACAGGCATCTCTTCACAGGAATCGGACTTCCAGGACATGATGTATTTCCGCTCGGTAGTGACAAGGGGGAGCGCTTTTGAACCGTCGGGTTCCCTCGCCTTCCTTGGAAGCGCCTTGGGTGTATCGTACATGTGTGTGGTGCTGTCGACGGAAGCAGAAATCGCAGCCCAAACTGCAATCAAAGGCGCCGTCGTCTGGTTCTGCCGGGTAGTCGCAGCCAACTATCGAGACTGCGACACAATGGCGGCTGACAGGGTCTCGGGCACGGCGTTCCCACTCAGTCGTTCATCTGCAAGAAATAAAGAAGGTATCTGAGTTGTCAAGCTCGGGGATCGCTGCTTCGGGCACCCGCAGCTGGTTATTGTGCGGGTTCAGATACATTCGACAGACGGCTTGTTTGTGCGGTGGTCAAGTTTACCTATCAGATACATTCCGACTACAAACTCGCTCTTGCTCAGCATGCCATCGCTGTCCATGTCCGCCAGATTCCTGCAGGAAGTACGTCCAACGGCAGACATCGTAGCACCGCCGAATTGGTGAGTGACAGCTGGAGAGGGACATTTGGAAGTGTGGCCGTACTGCGCGATGGTGGAGGAGCATGGCCCTCTGCATGAGATCCAAGCGCAGCATGTATCCAGATCGCCGAGACCCACCAGATCAGTCCTAGGGTTTTGTTGTCGAGCATGGATCGGAGCCAGATCGTGCGGACTTGGTCGCCTTTTAGATATCCCGCCGCTGCTTTGTCAAGTTCGGCAAAGAGCCGCTCGTATCGTTTCTTGGCGCCTGCAGTGAGCGTTTGTACATCGCTTGTTGCTGTGGTCGAGAGCCGAGACCAGCGGTCGTTAGTGGGAATGTTACGGGGATATGAATGCCCTTCAATGACCATAGCTTTGCATAGCTAACGTCACACCATGTACCATGCACCATGCACCATGCAAGTTGCACGATGTAAGATATAATACACAAGATGTAAAGTCCCTGGCGCACTTCAAATCAGTCCGTATGTTGCACAGGACATCAAGTGCATCGTGCGCATCCGTATCTACGCGAGAAGGACGGATCGAAGCATAGCGTACCTGGCTTGCGGTGTGGTAGGGGCGGTGGTAGATCGCTCTTGATGTTAGGTCGGGGTGGGAGCGGCGGTCCGCCACTGGATACAGGGGCGGTGGGAGGGGCCGGAGTGGCGCTGGGCGACTCGATTGGCCTCACACCTCTCGATGGCGGCGGCACAGGCGGCTTCGGCTTGATGGCAGGCGAAAGCTGGATTGAGGCAGACGATGCGGTGGGCGCTGGCTCCGTGGAAGACCGGGTGATAGGCGGCGCTGGTTTGGTTCGCGGCTCGGGCGATGTCTGTTGGGAGGCAGGTGCCGTCGCAATTGCAGTGGTCGATACAGCCTTGATGTCCTTCCAGGGATTGCCCGCGAGAGCATCAGGATCCGTAAGCACCTGGGCTGCTTTGATTTCGGATGGTTTTGTCGACCACGGTGCTTTGGATGTCGCCGGGGCGCTGGTTGTGTCGTCGGGACTGCCTAGTCCCTGCAGCTTCTTAACCTCGGATGGACGCAGGGCGCGCGGAGCCTCATCGGCTTCAGAGTCGGACTTGATGCCGCCCTTTGCCCCGACATTGTAGGCTTTGATCTCAGCGGGTTTGCCTGGAACTACCGGCGGCTGAGCGGGCTTGGATGCGACGCCGCCCGAAAACTTGCTGCGAAGTGCTTCCACGCTCGTAGACTCCTGAGTTTCTTCGGTGCTCGAGGCGGCGGCGCTGGGTACGACGGGCTGCGTTGGCCGCCGAGGAAGCGAGGGTGGTTGGTCCCCCAGAGAGCTCAATGATGTAGCGCTTGAGGACGACTTGATTCCGGTTTGCTGGACTGCATTTGGTCGTGGATCCTGGCTCTGGCTCTGGCTCTGGCTTGGTTCGGGCGACTTGGGCTTGATGCCGGCTCGCTCCATCCCCGAAAGGGCAATATGTCCAGACTTTTCCACCAGCGCTGCGCGCATGGACTGTGGATTGACCTTGTTCCGCTGGACCTCCGAATCCGATACCGACCCCGGCCGCTCGTCGCTCTTGCTGATCTTGCGGAGATTGGCTCGGAAGTCTGTGGCCAAGCTGGAGATGGAGCCCGACGATCCCGATGGCTTCAATCCACCGGACGGAGGGTTGGAAGACCCGGTTTCCTTTTTTTCAAAGTTCTGGATCGATTGAGCATCGGGATTGATGGACAGGGACGGGGGCAGGGAAAGTGGCCAAGAATTGCAAGGGGTCAGCGAGACGGAGCCCACACAAACTCATCACATCCATTGGACACCCTGTTCGAGCTGGGACGACAAGGCTGTGAAATAGCAGCAGCAGCCAAGTGCCAGTCTAGTCCAGTCTAGTCCAGTCTAGTCCAGTCTAGTCCAGTCTAGTCCAGTCTAGTCCAGTCTAGTCCAGTCTAGTCCAATCCAGATCGCTTGGACCGACAGAGTGCTGTTGCCCAATCTTGTCAACCACCGGACTCGTTGAGCGAATGATGCACTCGTACCAGTTGTGCCTGTTTCACGGCCGAGACGGGCGCTGCGTCGGCGTTTGGCTTGATTTTGGGCGGCTGCGTCGGGACATCAAACAGAGTGCAGGAGCATTGACGGCCGCAGAGACGCATTGAGTGAATACGCTGCAGGCATGCGGCGGCACTTGGTCCCAGCGCACGGATTGACAAGGGGCTGCTAGCCAGCCCCAGATATCGTCGGTATCAACCGAGCCAATGTCTGGGAAGGCAAGAGGAGAGGGGAGGCGATAGGCTTACATCCTCTTCAAACCGGACATAGTTGCCTGGGAATAGTCCGACGGTGCCGTTTTCGAGACGGCCTTGGAACCAGCCAGGCTCCGGGTCCGGGGTCACTGCGGATAGGCGTCCAAGCGGTGGCAATCGCCGTGAGTGTCGCATTCTTGCCTCGGACAAGCGGGGGCACCGACGCAGCGCTGTGGACAGAGCGGTCGTCACCTTCGAGGATGAGCTGGCCCACAGAAAAGCTGATCTCGCCATCGCCATCGGCGAAGCAGTCGTAGAGCGCAATGGCCCGCATGGCGGCGGTCTTTCTTGGACGCTTGCAGCAGCTGGCTCGGTGATGGGAAGGGCGGGCGAACATCCAGCCAAGGACGCCGAGAAGGCGCGGCTGATCTGGATCGAGCCAGGCTGCATCCACAGGGACGGACACGTGCCGCCGAAACCGCGCGCCTGCATGCCCTTGCTGCCGCGGCCTTCTGGCTCTCCTGCTGTTGCTGCTGCTGTTGTTGCGCTTTCCCAATCTCGCCTGCCCCCTCCCAGCTCCACCCCTCCCGCCCTCTGAAGCGCTTTTCGCCCATGGCATCAGCAGAGCCGCCCCTACCCGACCTCCAGGAGAGTTCCCAGTCTGTTCCCGATGCTGCTCTGCCCAACCCGCCCGGCGGTTTGGACATGTCCTGGGAGCAGTTCTGCCAGGAACGAATCAAGCGGAAGGCCAGCATCGATGCCCTCAAGACCCGCTTAGCAGCGATCTCAAAGACACATCCGATGCCCTCTCGAACACCCGCCAACGGTCCAGCGCCTGCTGCTGAGATGCATTGGCGTCGACCACAACCCAAAGCCACCCTCCAGATTCGGCGACGGAGACCCACCTGTCCCCCGCCCGAGCGGCGGTCGCCAAAGGTGGGCACCAGCGACGAAGACTGGACCGACGATATGGATGGAGACGACGAGCACGATTTTGAAGCAGAGGACAAGTACAGCGACTACTATGACGATCAGGGTGATGGAAGGGTGAGCTTCGAGCAGTTCGACGGGCACGAGGCCCCTGTTCGAATCGCATCTCTCTCCGACGGCTCTGCGTCGCGGCGACGCACGACGAGTCACGCAAAGGCAGCCGCAAATCCGCCTGAATCACGGCGGCCCATGCCAAAGAAAGCAGTCCCGGCCAAGTCTTCGGAGTCATCGCCACTGTCGGCCCACATCAGCAGCGAGAAGACGCGCATCTCCATTCCGCTGAAGCCCACGCTGTTTCTCAAAATTTTCCTGGCTGCCTTTGCCTTCCGAGCCTACAATGCCGTCTCGGTCAAGACCTTCTTCAGCCCTGATGAATACTGGCAGTCGCTTGAAGTCGCCCATGCCTTTGTTTTTGGATATCCTTTTCATGACGCCCGTTGTGCCGGCCATGCCACATCATGTCTGTCTGCAATCTTCACCCTTATGGCCTGCATCGATACCGTTCCAATGGCGGACTGCCACAAGCATCTTCCTTAACTCGCACTGTCCCCGATGTTACCTATGGACATCTGACGTGGGAGTGGGCCCACCAAATTCGCAGCTTTGCCCATCCGTTCATTTTCGCACTAGGATACCAGGCCCTCAAGAGCCTCGGGCTAGACAACACCGAGCTGGTGGTGAGTTGCAGCACTGGGACTTGGACTCATCCAAGAACGAACGGTACCCACTGATCTACCATTCTGTGGGCAGTTGGATTGGTCTAATGGATGCCACCATCTATCATGCTCTCCCGCTCAGAGGGAGTAACGCTCTATGCCGATCCGATGTTGTCGCTCACAATATGTTATACTGACTAATTGTCTGCACTTGTTTCTTGAACACCTCTAGATTTTGACCCCCAAGCTGATTCAGGCGGCTTTCTCGGCCATGACCGACACGTACACATTCATGCTGACATGGAAGCTTTTTGGAAAGGACGCTGCAAGCTGGGCGGTATGTTTGTATGCAAGAGTGACCGAGGGAGATCGGTCTACTCTGACTGAGAGCAATGGAGGAACGAACAGGGTGCATCTGACCATCAGGAACTGACCCTTTCATCACCAACACCATCTCGCGATCGATGCCGTGTATCGTGCCGGCCAGCTCGCTGCGTCATTCATGTCGTGGTTCAATTACTTTTGCGGCGTGCGGACGTTTTCGAACTGCATGGAAACGACCTTTACGGTCGTGGCTCTCTACTACTGGCCATGGACGCGGATCAAGTCCCAAGCACAGGACAGGTATGCCACTCCAATGCGCGACTTGTCCCGGCCCAGGAATGTGCTGCGCCCATAGCTTCCATAGAATCTTATTTGCTTCCGTAGGTTAACGCGCTCCACATGTGTTTGCAGGGATCTATGGATAGCGCTTGCTGTTGCTGCGGCTGGATGCATCGTCCGGCCCACAAACGCAATCCTGTGGATCTTCATGGGCACTCATCTGCTTTGGCAGAATCGGAAAAACTCACTCTCGATCCTGGGAAAGGTTGCTGTGGTGGCGTACGTATAGTTTGATCCTGTCGTGATGGGATCGGCTTGCAGCGGCGCTGTGCTGGACGTCTCACAGCCGACTTGTCGTCGCCGGCTCTGTTGGTGCCGTTGGCGTTGTTGACTTCGTTGGCGCTGCTCTCATGTTGCACCTTTTGTCTCCTCCTTCAGAACGGTGGCCATAGTCTTTGCAGTCGTGATCGATAAGGCCTTCTACAAGAGCCTAACCTTCACGCCCTTCAACTTTTTCAAAGTCAACATCGTCCACAACATATCGATATTTTACGGAGGACATCCATGGCACTGGTATTGGACCCAAGGATATCCAGTTGTTGCCTTGACCTTCATTCCAGCCATGATCTTGGGAATACGCAAGACACGCCTTCGGTTGCCGCTCTTTCTGATGCTGTGGACGATCGGTGGATATAGCCTCCTTGCCCACAAAGAGTTTCGTTTTATTTTACCAATCCTTCCAATCACGTTGGCATATTCCGGCGTGCAGCTCGCAAGCTTGGCCAAGGCTGTGAAGCTCGATCGTGAACAGGCGGTCGAACAGCCAGTCTCCTGGAAGATGAAGCTCGTGCGCCGCTTGGACTTGTACATCTGGCTGGCCTTCTTGGCGATCACCAATTTTGGCGCGGCCTACTATTTTTCCAATGTGCACCAGCGCGGCGTCATTGACGTGATGACCTGGCTGCGAACAACGATTCGAAACCAACCAGTCTCGGTCGACGGCATTTTGTTTCTGATGCCTTGCCACTCGACACCGTACTACAGCCACATCCATCGGGATATTGAAATGCGGTTTCTGAGCTGCGAGCCGCCCCTGGGCGTCGTCGATCGCGGATCATACATTCCAGAAGATGATCTGTTCTATTCCCAGCCGCATCAGTTCATCCAGCAGTACTTCTCACCCAGTTTTGGAAACAAGACCTTACACACAGTCGCCGCTGCTGGCGAGGACACAGAACCTATCGCCGTCCCGGGTCAGCCCTACAAGATTCAAAGGTACAGCTGGCCAAGCCACATTGTCATTTTCCAGACACTGGAGGCACTCATGCGGGATCTCATCCTTGGCTCGGACTATCGAGTGGTAAGCTGTGAGAAGCTGTGGATTGCTACGGACATGCGAACGGGCATTGTTGTGTTCGAGCGACTTTGCCGGAGCTGGCGCCTAGGGTAGAGCTGCATCATGAAAGAATGAGTCCCCCTGCAATTGACACGTACTCTCATCCATATCTATGCAGTGTGCACGATTCTTCAACAGCCACTTTCATGACGATGATCGAAGAAAGGGCGATGTCATTGTGTACTGTCGCTCGTGATTGCGTCGATGCTGGCGATCCTACTACCGAAGATGTGGCTGGCCAAGAGCTGCTGTGCGTTGCTCTGATCTGCTCTGCGCTGCTCGATACATTCAATAGGGTGGGATGCAGGGCCGAGTCTCGTCTGCGACAATGTCGTCACATTTGACTCCACAGCCCATTCGCTTTAGGTTGCGACTGGATGAAGGGATGAGGGGGACGGATAGATGCAGTGGAATGCAAAATGGGTTGAGCGACAATCCTGGCTCAAAGATGGTTCTTCGTTTCGCTTTGGACGAGCTGTCTTCTCCGGGTCTTGAATACACCTATCTACCGTGACCAGTCACCAAGGAAAGGGGGATGCGTACCGAGTTCGCCCAGCTTTGCCAAGCACTGAGCATTCCCACCGTCACAAGAGATGGCCATGTCCCAGAATACATGGCCCCCGACTCGCTCGATCCGACTGCCTTGTTGTCGAGAACCTATGGAGAGGGCCAAAGGTCGAATGCATGCACCACATTCCAGAGTCTCGACATCACTGCCAGTTGGGCAATTCCACAGGAGATCCACCGGGGTATTCAAGATGATGCTCCCTAAACCACCCGAGGCCACTTGATTGCCAGCGACGGTCGGAAACAATCTCACGGCTTGCCCACCACGGCCCACAGATCACTGTCAGACACTCAGAGACACTCAAAGACATTCAGGGACACTCAGGGACACCCTGTTTCGGTTTGTTTCAAATATGCTGTATTACTATTGTATGGCATACCCCAAGGATCTAGAGAGATAATAGGTGGGCTGGCTTTATGCGAGCGACACAGCTGGCTCACGAGTTGATGGCCAGCGACGACTTCACGAGGACCTTGGGATCCAGCCAGCCCTTGTAGATCGGAGTCAGAGGTTTGTCCAGCTTGAGCAAGCCGTAGACAGCAATTTGGGCACAGCTGTGGGAATGAAGCAGACACGGTCAGGACTCGGCGACATCAAACCCAACCACCAACCAAAGAGAAATGCGATGGAGTGAGGCGAATGCAAGCCAATGCACAGAGAGGCGGGATGTAATCCGTCACGTACCGGACAGAATATTCGACCGTAAAGACGGTGTCTTCCGGGATACTCTCGACAAACTGACTCATGAAGCCAAAGTTGATGGCATTCTGAGGGATGACCTTGGGCCGGTCGGTGATGCGGCGCTGGTTGAACTGGCTCATGGTGTACGGGAGCATGGACGGAATGCAGTTGGCCGATTTCAGGACAGGCTCAAGAATGTCCGTGAATTGGTAGTGGTTCAAGAGCTCGATCAGAATCTCCTCGCCCGAGCACTCGGTCATGGGCTTCTTGACAAAGTTGCCGACCCGATCGGGGAAGAGAGAGTAGCCCCACATGACATTGACGTTCTTGGGCTGGTTGGCAAAGTGTGGCTGGTGAGGGAAGACTGTGGACATGAACCAGTTCGAGTCCTTGAAGGTCACCAGGGCGCCTGTGCCGGGTTCGTTCTTGGTCCACTCGACGAGGCGGTCCATGAAGGTCGAGTCGTGGAAGGTGACGGAGAAGGACAGGAACTTGGAGTCGTTGATGTGGTCATAGAAGACCTCAGGTCGACCAAAGTCGGGCTGTCGCTTGGCAATGTCGCGCCAGAGGACCCAACATGGGTCATTCTTGGCCGCCTCGTTGTCGATCTTGGGCGGAGTGCTCATGGAACCAATGCTGGAGCCGGCCGTCATGGATCCCAAAGTGACCAGACACAGGTCCGTGCGCTTGATTTCGGTATCGAAGCGGACGCCCTTTCGGGTGCCGTGGATTGCGTAGATGTATCTGAAGATATCCGGAGGAAGAGTGGAGACACACAAGTCAGGATAAGGGCGCTAGGACGCCGATGAGGGTCTGCAATGGCCTCCTGGCAGCCGAATCAGGTGTGGGGCACGACCAAGAAGAAAGCAAAGCGTACGTACCTTTGGTTTTCAAGAATCTCAAAGTCCACCGAGGTGACGATGGTATCGTACTCGAACTGAACACCTGGATGGAGACGTGATCCGAGGTTTGAGGTTAGAGGACCAAAGCCATTGTCAATCACCATAAAACAGCGTCTTTGATCAAGCAGCATAGCAGCGTCATAGCAGCGTCATAGCAGCGTCATAGCAGCGTCATAGCAGCGTCATAGCAGCGTCATAGCAGCAGCATAGCAGCGTCATAGCAACATCATAGCAGCGAGTCGCTGGGGCGTCGTATTGACATTGTACCTTTCTCGCTCAGCCACTTTTGCAGCGGATGGATGATCGAGTCGTATTGGTTGTAGGGAGTTCGCCAGACACCAGCCAAGGTGTCGAGCTGGGGCACCTCGTGCATGAATCTCAAAGCGTATCGACGGAACTCGAGCAAGCTGTGCCAGGGCTGGAAGGCGAATGTGGTGCAGAAGCAGTACCAGAAGTTGGAGGTGAAGAACTCCTCGGTGAAGTAGTCGTTGATCTTTCTGCCGTCGATCATGGCCTCGGGCAAGAGGATGAGCTCGGTAAAGGCAGCGCGGTCCTTGATATTGAGGCCCAGGGTGTGGACGTCCATGATCTTGGCTCCTTCGGCGACGACTCGAGCCTTGGAGCAGGTCTTGAATTGGGCCGAGAACTCAAAGATATCCTCCTTGCAGGACTTGCCAGGGGTTCGGAGCGAGGGGATGTTGGCGAGAATGTCATAGAGACAAGTGTAGGCCTCTGCAGCGGAGACGGCGATGCCAAATGTCGGGGAGCGGTAGAGTGTTAGAGGTATGGGGATATGAAACACGAGGGCCCGTGGGCGCATGGAGAGGAGTGACCAGCATGCATCAGGCCAAATGAACTGTGGCGGTGGCCGTCCGACGAAGAGCGCTGGGGAGAGTCAGGATCTCTCGCATGTGTCTCGAAAGAGCCGTACCTCTGTCGAACATTCGTCCGCCACGCATCAGGTAGCCCTTTTCGGCAGTACCGTGCGCGTCCATGCTGCCACCAGGCACCTTGAGGTTCTCAAGGACGTGAATGTTGGCGCCATCCATGCCAGCATCCTGGATCAGGTAGAAGGCGGCGCTGAGGGCAGCAATGCCGCCGCCAACCAGGTAGACTTGCGACTCGGCAGAGGGATGCTCGACGGGCTCGGTCTTGGTAAGGTTTCTGATGATGTTGAACTGAGCTCGGGTGGGCAGCAAGGAATCAACGGGCGTGAGAATCGATGGACGGCGACGGACGGCGATGGGCAACAATGTGCCTATCATCTGCCAGTGGGAACCCCGAACACAGGATGCGATGCCAGTGCTTACCATGATGCGGGTGAGAGCAAAAGGATGGATGAGATCGCTAATGTGGGATCTAGTTGGTTGATATAAGTCGTTGGTGATGGGACTGACTGAGGTGATGGGATGGCTCGACCAGCGGCCGTCGCGTGAGATTTATAGCTGCTCGCACACATATGTCCTGCCAATCATGACTCATATCTGCAGAGCACCTCAGAGACAGGTGCTGGAAGCGCATAGATCCGAGGACAGCCGGCGAGCCCTGGAGGTTTGCACGAGCTGGAGCGATGCTGGATTGGCGGCAGCGGCTGTTGTGCCGATCAGGCCCAAGACAACGGATTATCACGTGCGAACGAGAAGGCACCGGGAACCATCGACAAAGGAGTGACTGTTCTCGGCGCAGCAGCCACGCCAATCAGGGGGCTGCTTGCATGTGCAGCGACATATGAAATGCGGAGCGAGAGACGGTGAGTCAAACTGACGGGGATTGGATTGTGCTGGTGCTGGCGCTGGTGCTGGTGCTGGCGCTGATGCTGATGCTGGTGCTGGCGCTGGTGGGGAACTGGATGGTATGAACGGGCAGTGATCCGATGTCTTCACCCTGAGGCAGCTGATCAGGTTTTATTGCATACGACTCCATCGGACTCAAGCCATTACAAAGAAGTGGTCAACACCCAAATGCAGTCCTACTCCAGTTTGGACGGACTGGAAGTGCCCCGATGTGTCTCGAGGCGATGCAGCCCCCCAAGATTGTGACCACCTCCCTGGTGGCATACAGGGTCCACAGGTCGAGCGAGTGTGCATGGGGTGGGGAGTGCGGTGAGCTGGAGCTCGTTCAGTACCGTGATGCAAATCTGCGAAATGTATTGGATGGAGGGGGGATAGATAGGGAGAGAGAATGTAGAGACGTATTGGTACACATACAGGAATGAAAAGTGCGCATCACACCATATCATGGCATATCATATCGCAACAGCGCCTTGGCTTCGCGGTCGGATTAGAGGGGCAGAACTGGATGCCGTTACTTGGAGGTGTTGGACGAAGCGCTGAGGAGCAGATGTGCAAATGGCCAGAGGGTAACGATCAGACTGTGGCCATGACGGAGAGCAACAACAGAGCAACAACAGAGCAACACCAGAGCAGCGATCGGGTTTGTGGTGGTGTCTACCTGCGAGGCTTGGCTTGGCGGAGGGGAATGGTCTTGCCATCAGGCCAGAGGAAAGAGCGGCCTGGATGAACCGGGGCAAATACATTCGAAAGTCAACAGGCATCAGCAAGCCGTGTGCAGAGAGCGCGGGCCAGTATCAACGATCTCGACTGCTGCCATGCCTGTCTGAGGCTTACCGCTGCTCTTCACAAAGTAGCAGACGCCGCCGAAGCAGGGGGCGACCTGCTGGGCCAGCGGGGTCGAGGTGTGGGCTGTGTCGGCCTCAAAGCCTACGACGCTGAGCTCGCTGTAGAGCAGGGCGGCCATCTCGGAGCAAAAGACGGCGGTGTCCTGCTTGACCAGGGCCGAGTGCAGGACCTTCCAGACCTTGGCGATCTCCTCGTCGACAGCCGAGAGCTGAGGAAGGGCCGAGAACGGGTAGCTGAAGGTGCTGTACTTTTGGTGGAAGGCGCCGATCTTGCTTCGGGACTCGTGGATGCTGTCGGTGATGCGTTGGTACTCTGACTCGATGAGGGGGCAGATGCCAATGTCGCCGTCATACTCCCAGATGACCTTTTCAAACTCGCGAATCTGGGGACCGGCGTGGCAGCCCTTCTCCAGCGCCTCTGCAGGACGAGTGTGCGTAAGGACGTGATGGCAACAGACGAGACAAGCTGGGCTGGGGAGGGGGAACGAGCGATCGAGACGGGCAGAAGACGCTCGCGACCAAGGGATTCCACCGTCGGCCGCAAGTGAATCGCAGACAAAACAGAGTCTCGACAGTCGAAGGCGGTTCATACAAGAGATACGTACCAGGATGGTCGACGGGCATGGTCTTGGTCGAGACGTAGCCGGCGATGGTGCCGGTGAAGACCGACTCGTAGACGTAGAGCTTGCCTGGCTCGAGGCACTCCAGGTCCAAGATCGAGCGGTCGACAATGATACCGACATGCGACCAGAGTTCGGCAAAAGGGCTTCTCAAACTGGGGGCAATCTTCTCCTTCTCGATGTTCTGGATCCACTTGGACACAGGGTCGTTGCCGTGGAACAACACCAGGTCCAAGGGACGGAGGGGGCCATATCGCACCTTGGCCGGAATACCAATGGCACCGCCGGTGGCTTCGTGGGCCTTGGTGAGGAAGTTGTCGAGAGCACTCTTGGCCTGGATGGCAAACTTGTTGAAAGCCAGCGTGACCGAGTCTGTGCTGCGGTCCGCCTCCGAGCCGTTGCCTTGAGAAGGGGCGACATGGTCAAAGACGCCCGAGCGACCACCCATGGTGTGGAAGTGTTCGGAGGGTTTCTATGCATTCAAAAACGGGACAGAGCGGGGAAGAGAGCGACAGAACATGAGCATGGCCTGCTCTTTTTGTTTGAGGGAGGGGAATCTGGTCCTGCAAGACAGAACCAGCCGGCGGCGGCTGGGGTGCGGGTGATGGCTGGTGTTGTGCCGGCCAAGGGAATGTCGGTGGAGGACTGATGGCGACAGCGCATGACGATGGCGGGGCCGTCATTCAGCAAATCAGAGGACTTGCCTGCCAGAGAGCACACATTTCGGATGGACTAGTTGAGCTGGGCGTGGAGCTGGGGCGGGAGCGGCTGCGAAGGAGGCGGGGAGGAGATGGATGGCAAGCCTGCGATGGGGTCGAGCGAGCCCAACACGGAGGGTGGCCGGGTCGCGGATTGTGCGGGTACAGCGCACGCGGGACCAGCAGGCAACCGGACGATGCAGCCCACCGGACGTGGTGGCGAGCAGCGACAAGCGTAGATATGGGAGGATGAGGGCAGATGCGGGGCGGATGTGGACAGATGCGGGGCGACCGGGACAATGTTCATTTCGGCACAAGCAGGATCACTGCGACAGCAACATCATGAGCCAAGCACTCTATCGATAAACCCCATTAGGTTGCCGTTTGCCAAACCCATCTGTGTCAGGCTGAATGCGGGAAACATAAAGTAGATCCCGAGAACCAGGGCAAAGGTATCGGCTCCAAAGAGCGTCGCCAGGGCTATCCTCAGAGCGCTGCTGCGGCTCGTCTCGATCGACGGCAGCCGAATGCATGCAATCGCAATCCTCCCAGCAAGAACATATGCGATCGCACAGATAGCCAGCGCCGCTGTCGAGTAGGCATACTCCCGCCGTAGACAAAGATCCTGCAGAAACCATTGGTGGTTGGGCCCCAGGCAGATGCAAGGCTGCCATCCGTCAGCGCAGAAGGCATTGGCCGATGACGGAACGCATCGATGAGTGAGCGAGAACGGGGCGATCATGGACGAGGCAGCCTCTGTCCGGCTCATTCGCACATCTGCCTCGGTCAGCTGCATGCACATTCTTCACAACACCCCTCAAACCTCTCGGCCCGGCGGTCGTCCGACTCTGGCCTGTCGAAAACAGGCCTTTCTCCAACAGCACCCGAATCCCAGCTCCCACCATACATACCAGGGCAATTACGGATGTTAGGATTCCCACCAAGCGACCCACCACAGCCACGAGGACGCCTTGGAGCTTGCTCCGAGTCCTGAGGTACTCTCCATCTTCGATGATGTAGTTGGAATGACAGAACTGGATCGCACCGGCAAGCATTTGTGAGAATATCACGCTCGAGGGTCCGACCTGATCCCATCCGACGGACCACGAGGTCCGGGTTTCGTTCATCGATCTTGTTGAGGTTTCGCAGTTGGATGGCAACTGAATGCGCGACGAGGACAGAGATGCCGAGTTATGCATGCGAGGGCTCGAGCAACTCGAAGGATCGTGGAGATGGCCGCACGATCGGGCAATCTTGAGGCTGATCGAGTATGGACCTGAGCGAGCCACACCGGCATCATCGCTGGAAGGGCCTCGGGTCGGCTCTGGCGGTCCGAGCCTTGTACCGAGATGCTTCGAACTCGGCTCTGCGAGCTGGAGGGGATCGCAGCCGGGCTGTTTGATCGATACCGATGAGTCTGTAGTTCCGGCCTTTGCAGGCGCAGCGACATGGAATTCGGTCGATGCCAGCGGACTGGGGTTGCGACTATAGCGCTCGCTCTGGGAATAGAACAGGCCCAGCGACGACTTGAGAATGGGAGGGAAGATTGTTGTTTTTGTGGTGCTGATCGATCCGCTCGTACATTTTTTCCGATCGGCCTTGCTTATATCCAGCATGGAGGCACCATCGAGCACTACCATTGTGGTGCCTCCGCCGAGCTGGGCCGAGCTCTCGGCACTGCTGTGGATCAGCCGGCCGCCTGCAAACCGAATCAAGGCTTGAAGGTAGTTGTAGTGGCTGTGAAGCGCATCCAGGAGGATCCAGAACAGGTCCAGAAGTAAATAAGCTCCAAAGGGGATGTAGAACTGGTCGGACCGCTCAAACGAGTTGGTGACGGAGATTCCAAAATGCATGGCATGCTGTCCATCCCGCAAGAGTCGGGTCATATGTATCAAGGCCGAGATTGCCGCGAAGACGGAGGAGCATCCACGACGGTGTCAGTGCCGATGCCGATGCCGATGCCGATGCCGATGCCGATGCCGATGCCGATGCCGATGCCGATGCCGATGCCGATGCCGATGCCGATGCCGATGCCGATGCCGATGCCGATGCCGATGCCGATGCCGATGCCGATGCCGATGCCGATGCCGATGGTGTCGGAGAAGAACAGTGAGTCAGTATTATTGCTCTTGCCGGGGATGGCCTGGTTCGACGGATTGTGAGAAGGGAAGCAGCGACGGCACTTGCCCATGTCTCGACCATGAGCCGGGAACAGTTAATGATAGTGCACAGGTCGGCGCTCCAAGTGTCCTTTCCAGGCGCCGTCACGAGGTTGAAGATTGCGGTCGAGATCAGATCCGCAAAGACTCGGAACGCAACCAGGGTCGCCAATCGAGCTGGGATTTCAGGGAAGCGTATGAGCACGTAAAAAAACAGGAGCTTGACCACGACAGCAGAAAGTAGACGGAATGCCAGGTCCAGTCGAGGTCAGCGGTTGGCGGCGGAGCACCGAGTCGAGTTAGTTGGGACCACCACAGCAATGTTCGTGGGAGGATACTGCTTTGTTTGACCCATCCGCTATCAGTGTCTCTTTGGTTACTCGTTGGGCATCACGACTGTCAGACGAGCCCATCGAGCCAGGCCATTCGCACAGACCGGGCTTCCAATCGCACACTCAGACGGCCACCTGCCCCACGAAGACACTGTCGGCAATGGATTCCCGCACAGCTTCATCCCGGCCTTATCGATCCGTTCGGCCCTGCCCTGCCCTGCCCTGCCCTGATAGATTCTGCGCTTACCGAGCCAAGCCAGAACAGATGCGTGAAGCCCATGACTGATATCGACAGAAACACCCGTTTCCACCACCCTCTGGAGTGGCGAAGGGCGGCTGGACCCCAGTTTCCAAAGGTGGTGCCGATGATGACAATGTCCAGGGCTTGGCGACAGGCGACCGTGAGAAGCGTTCGGATCGGGTTCAGGAAGCCAGCCACGAGAAGCAGGGTTATGTCGAGACCGAGGCAGTATCCGAAATGGGCAAAGACGGGAACCCAGCCCCGAACGTAGCTATATCTTGAGAGCGGAAGGATCATCAACTCGTGCGCAAAGAGGGTCGACAGGAGTGACGTGCATGCGAATGAAGGCAGGCGCGAAAAGATATACATCCAGACGAGGGTGAGCCATGCGCCGCTGCCGAGGCTGTCGCCGATGGGGTAGGTGAACGGCAGGGCGGCCGTCAGGGCCGTCCATAGCAGGATCGAAAGTAGAATCGCCGCCAGGTGCTTGAGGAGTGTCTTGGTCGGCGTCCACGCACTGGGATGCGTTGCGATCCCAGAGTTGCTCTGGCTCATTGTCCGATTGCCGACACCAGCGTCGGTTGTCTCGACCACAAAGTCGCTGTTCAGCATTCAGTGAGTGGGTGCCGCGGCAGCGACGGCAGTAGCAGCAGCGGTGGAAGCCAAGTGGTGCCGAGGCTCGAAAGTCGACCAGGCTCTCCAGCGATGCCGGCTGCAGGCGACTGAAATATCGCTGGCGGATCACTTTGCTCCAGCCGAGGGGATCGATCCCGGCCCTGCCTTGCTCTCACGTCATGTCGCCTGGCCTCAGCGACGACCGTCCAACCCGCAGACGGCCCCGATGCAGCCAAAGCAGTGCTGACGCAGCCATGGACAGTCGCTGGCAGTCGTTGGCAGTCCCGACGAGGTCCTCCAGAGCAGGGGTGATTGGGCCGACCAGGCGGGCCTGCCACGGACCGGCAACCGAGGCGAGGCGACGAAACCATCCTGCGAAGTTGTGGGCTTGATCTCGACCTGCTGCTCCTGGTCGCCCGTCCAGCCAGCATGCCACCCAAGAAGCCCTCCAAGGCCGCACAGCGAAGCGACAACTCCCTGATCACCTCTTTCTTCAAGGGCCGGAACATGGCTGCCGGATTCCATCCGGTGCCTCCCCCAAATCGCCGTGCTGAGAGGGTTCAGACAACAGCCCAGACAACAGCCCCGACCACACAGGCAGCAACAGCACAAGCAGCAACAGCGACCGATCCCGGACAGACCCGTCCTCATCGATCGCTTACAACAGAGCCTGTCAGAGTTGGCCTCAGCATGACGGGGCTGGACATACCCGCTCGCCCACGGAGGATCCACAGTCCCAGTGATCTCGTCGAGACCCTCAGCAGAGGTGCGTAGCCTCAATGATCGAGCGATCCCCAATCATGCCAATCCGATGACGTCGCCACGGCCGTCGGCTGACCACACAGTCCTCTACATTGCCTCTGCTGGATCGATATCGACACTAGTGTTCAAGCTCGAGCGATTTCGTGGCAATCAGGAAGAGATCATCAAGGCAACGCTCGAGGGCAAGTCATATTGCATCGCGCCAGGACCCGCTGTTTGGCTGTGGCCGTTCGCATTACAGGCTGTTTGTCGCTCTAATCAAGATGACGATGTGAATTGCAGGAAAGGACTGCTTTGTGCTCATGCCCACCGGTAAGACGCAGGGAGCCATTCGGCTTCCGCACTCGATCCAAACGCTGGACATCTGGTTGTGCATCCCGAGCTGAGCCTCTACTGAACAACTCTCTGCCAGGCGGAGGCAAGTCGCTTACGTACCAGCTTCCCGCTGTACTCAGCGACGGTGTCAGCATTGTTGTCTCGCCGTTACTTGGTGGGTATCTTGGTCGGGACGAGGTTGCTTGTTCGCCAAGAGGAATCCGGCATGCCTTTAGAGAAGCTGGCGACATCGCTGCGGTCTGCTGATCCTGCACCGATGTCGATCGTTATGGGATCGAATAATACATCGGCTGATGTATCGGGTCGTGCTATCTCGAATCGAATGGGACTCGGCACTATAGAGCTCACGGAATTGTGCTGGGGCGGCTAGAATGGGTGCCAACAATGCAATGCACTCTGCTGTGCTAACACATCTTGGCCGGCCTCGCTTGTGTGTTTCTTTAGCCCTGATTGTGAGTGTTTGCATCCGTCTTATCCAATGCTACCACAACCGTCAAACAGAGTGCTGCAGCCCTCAAGCAGAGCGGTCGGCTGCAAATCGCTTCGCACTCATCCGTTGCATCGTTGCGACTGCTCAACATTCCGACCTTTGCTGCAGCAAAATCAAGTCGGCGCACTGGTGGACCTCAACATCCACGCAGCCACGCTCAACTCGACCATAAAACAGAAGGACAAGAACATTGTCTGTGTTTGTGAATGTGTATGCTTGCTCTCAGCGGTGCATGGACAATACCACCTGCCCTCGACACGAACACTCACTCCACTGCGCTTTTGTAGATCTTGAAGGAGCTTTCATCAAAGCAGCCGTCAATCAAACTGCTCTATGGTATGGTGCTGATCAATGACCCGCAGCAGCGGCTTCTCAGTGCGACTGATACTGCTATGGAAATGATGGGCGGGATGAGCACATGGCGTACTAACGCTTCTAGCATCCGTCGGATCGCAGTGACTCCCGAGTTGATGGCCACTGAGAACTTCCGAGGCATCCTGAAGCGACTCCACCAGGGAGGCATGCTTGCGCGATTGGTCGTAGACGAGGTGGGCGACTCTTGCAACTCAAGCGCGATGAAGACGGCCGATGATCTCTATCGCAACGGGATACGCCAGTGGCGATGGCCCTGACGAGAAAAAGTCAGACCGAAGCCACCGCAAGCGACCATACTGATGGCGTCCAAATGTTGTCTGTGAACGATTGTTCTCCAGGCCCACTGTATCAGCGAGTGGGGTCACGACTTTCGCGACGATTATCGCAAGCTATCGTACTTCAAGAATACGTTCTCCGATGTTCCCGTCATGGCCTTGACGGCTACAGCCACAGCTAGGTACGCTAGCGCAATATCCATCATGAGCAGTAGCTCCTACGGCGTATTGGCAGTAGACAGCCGCGACCCGCTGCTTTTCGTGGAGAGGGCGGGAAATTCCGGGCAGTATCAGGGGATTTGACTGAGGGTTGACCAAATCTTCAATTCCCCAGCGTTCGAAGGGACATTGTGCGGCAGCTTGCTTTGGCGCCAGATCACCTCGTTTTCGTCTCGTCTTTCAATCGGATAAACCTATACTACGAGGTGCGCTTCAAGGATCAAGATAACGATCCATATACTGATGTTCACAAGTTCCTCAAGGCCGTGTACGAGAATCGACGACGGAGGCTGCAGCAAGTCTCACGCAACGAGCGGGTCGATGGTGTCTGTGGCATCATGTAAGCCGTCTGATTTGATCGGTTACGATCCGCCTCCTTCCGGGATCGGAGGGATTTGGCGGTAACCCTCCGATTCGGCTCTGCTTTCCCTGTTCCGATTTAATGTTTCTCACGGGGTTCACAGATACTGCAGCACCCGGAAGATGTGCGACGAGGTCGCTGAGCGGCTGCGAGACGACTCCATTCGCGCGCAGTCCTATCACGCCGGTTTGTCGCCGAGTGTGCGAAAGCAGATACTCGAAGCATGGACAAAGACTAGCTCCAGGATCCCGCTGATGCAGCCACCGCCACCGACGCTCGCCTTTACATCCCAAAATCATCCAAATCCTGTCGATCTTTCGGCGGTAGAAGGAGCTGCCTCAAATGAGGGCGAGGCAGGCTCCTCTGATGCCATTCCCGAGATTGTCGATATCGTGGTTGCGACGATCAGCTTTGGCATGGGTATCGACAAGAGCGATGTCCGCTTTGTCATTCACTGGGACATGCCCAAGTCGCTCGAAAGCTACTACCAGGAATCTGGGCGGGCCGGTCGAGACGGCAAGGCGAGTCGATGTATCCTATACTACTCGCACCAAGATCGCGACCGCATCAGCTATCTGATCCAGACCGAGTCACAGGCTGTGGACTCAGCAACCAAGAGTGACAGAACGCTGCGGGCCAAGCAAGTTGAAAACTCGATGGAGTCATTCAAGAAGGTGGGAGCATCCATAGGGCCTTGCGAGCGAGTCTCGTGCGTGGATCATCTGGCGGCATAGCTCAGACATGATCGCAGCCTTTTCGGCGGATTGCTCGTCCCTCTATCCTGCTCCGACTACTCATTCCACAACCCACATTCTCCTCGCACCTTCTGCGTGGCGCGCAGGTGATTGAGTTCTGCGAGAACACCAAGCTGTGTCGACATGTTTTTATCTGTCGGTACTTTGGCGAGTCGCTCTCCGAAAGCCCGACCCAGAAGGATCTCGATATTGTCTGTCCAAACAAGCGCTGCGATGTTTGCAAGGATCCCGCGGCCCTTGAGAAAGCCAAGAAGACGATCCTGGAGCGGCGAAGCCAGGACGAGGACCGCTATTCTCACAGGGAGCGCACAGAGAGGTTTGTGTTTCGTGGATATTGGGTCGGGGCGCATGTGTCTCAGATATATCTCGCCGATGGGGCCTGATCATCGCTTCCTCCAGCTCGATCCGATTTGTAGACGGCAGTCGCGCACTTCGTGCGAGCGAGCCCGTGGCGCCTCACCGCCGCGAGATCTCGATGGTCGATGATGATGTCGAGTGCACCGGCGGCGATGCTGGGTATGGGCGACCGATCAAGCGACAGCGTCAACAGCCCTATGTCCAGGACGATATCGTTGATAGCGATGACGACAGCAGCGCTTCTCGCGGATCGTCGCGCAACTTCATCAACTCTCTTGGGGGATTCAGGACAGCGGCTGGCAACCGGATCAACGGTTTTTGCAGCAGTAGCACATTGCTGTCAGGTACGCACGGGCTCGACCGAATCTGCGCCCATTCGTTTGCTTGGTGTACTTGGTGTACTTGGTACTCAAACGACTGCTGCAACTGCTACGGCCCGAGCACGCCTGGTAGAGTCCAACGGAAAGCACTGATGGCCAGTCAAGCTAATGCATGGCACTGTCAACTCTGCTTTCAATATGCGGTCGATACTGGAAGCGGCTGGGAAGCGCACTCAGGTTTCTTTGTCTGGTATGTATCGCAACCGAGTGGTAGATCCTCTTCCCGATCGATTGGGATGCAGTGGCTGGACTCTGTCCGCAGCATCGTCGCTGTCGGAGATCCACCTCCACCAACCACCCGAGAGGGAGGTAAGGATAGCGGGAGTGAGTTTATAGCTGACGGGCCATTGCCTGTCACTCCAGAGAACAACCGCGAAACTGTGTCCGAGTCGCCGGAGCCGATGGTGTCCAGCTTTCCCATCATTTTCCGTATGGGACACACGATCCCGAACCTGAAGACCAGCGAGCGCGAGCAAAAGTACCAGTTCATTTTGAAGACCCTCGAGACACACGCACCAGCAGAGAACAACCAGTGCTCCTGGTGGAATGATGTCGCCTGGAGTCCGCATCTGACAACGGCACACAGGAGGTAGGGCTGGCCGTCCCCGCGTGCGATAGTATCGACACAATGCCCTCACGGGCTGCAAAGCATCGGGGGCATCGAATGGCTCTGTGCGAGCGCCCGACTCACACGCATGGGGCTCACTTGGCAGAGAGTTTCATCAAAGGACTGCGATTCAGATTGAAGGCCGGTCCTTCCTCAACGCCAAGAACAAAAACGTCTATACCAACTATATCGTACAACGGCTGAAGGAGCTGCGAGCCGGAACCACAGCCTCCACGGTGCCGCCGACGGTGCTGAGCGGGATATTGTCTGATGTGTGCAAATCGCTTTCGATATGAGTCGACGCCGAAAGAGCGGGCCAATATCATCAACAGTCGTCTGATCGCGCATCCGCGAAGATGAATGGTCATGCGGGTGGCTGGATGTGCATATGTGTATTCAGAGTCCAGAGAGATAGCCACCGGCTATAGAGGCAAGGCGACCCGTATCATCAGGCGAAGAAAAGTTAGCATTATGATCAGTAATGGTGGATGAAAGAAAAGGAAAGTAGGGACAGCAGCGAGATCGAGACATACGGCATGCATGGGGAGGGAGAAAGGGAGAAGAAAAACAGGAAGGGAAGAAGGGGGGGGGCATATTTTTGGGTGACTGTTATTTCATTGGGGGGGGGGTTGAACGTCCAAGGAGACAGAGCGTCGAGAGGCAGCCACGGCCTCAGTGTGGTGTGGTCAACATCAAGTGCGCAGGGATGCCCCAAATCGCCATGATATTGCTGCCACCGGCTTTAGCGAGGTCATTCATTTGACATATTTTTTGAGGTGAGGGGGGGGGAGAAGAGCTCGTCAATATATAATCCTGCTCATGTTTTGCTAGTTTTGTTTGTTTTGTTTTGTTTTGTTTTGTTTTGTTTTGTTTGGGTTGGCTGTTTTGCGGCATTATTGATGTATTTGCCGATGTTGTGCCTTGAGGCTCGAATGATGGATTGGATTTGGGGAGGGGTACTCCGTGCTCGAATGGACGGTGGGTCCAAGCTATTGTGGCTGTCGTTCGGTCGACCTCTTCGTGTCGAGGGGTCTGGGCTGGGCCGGAACTTGGATCTTCCACGGCACCGTCAAGGGGCACAGGGGTCCGAGCACGGAGTCGATGCGGTGCGGGGTAGAGCAGAGTAGCTCATTCTTCAACCTGGCTCAGCTGGGCATTACTGTCGCTGGACCGCGATCTGTCCGCGACAGCGCCGGGAGGCGGGCTCATTGCTCTGAGTGTCTGCATTTCGTGCTGCAGCTCCTGCACCAGCTTGGACAGGTTGGTCACTGTGCCGACGAGCTCTTCGTACGTCGGGTAACGGGCCGAAGCATCGCCAGCAGCACCACCAGCAGCAACAACAGCAGCGGCAGCGGCAACAGCAGCGGCACCTGCAGAGGCGACAGTCCCCGCGCGAGGCAGCGAAGGCTGGGTAGTGCCGTCGGCATTGCGGTTGCGGCGAGTGAGGGTTTCAAAGTCCAGTCGGGGTCCCTGGCTCCGCGCAGGCTGGATGGAGAGTGTGTTTTGACTGTCGCCGGCGGTGCTGTCGTCCAGGGAGCGTGCAACTGATCCGCTGCGAGAGGCATGCTCGGCCTCGACCGCGGCTACGGCAGCGGCAACGCATGCTCCGAGGTTGATCATGGCGCTGTCGCGTGGCCGCTGGTCGCTGTCGTAGTAGGACGAGTCTATGGTATTGGCCGAGGGGGTTGGGCCAATATCGCTCGGGCTCAGTTCATCCCCGAGGTCGCGGGTGATGAGACTCAGACCAGGTCGGCTGGAATCGCCCACGACGGTGGCTTGGCTGTCGATGCGAGTCTTTGGCGTTGCTGGCCGCATCGAAATCGGCTCGTTGATCAGGGATTCGACAGAGGAGCTGAGCGAAGGTTGTGCATACAGCGTCGCCAAGTTGCTGCGGTCAAAGGTGGTGATGAAGCGGCCACCAACACGGGTTGACCGGTCCGAGAGTCCAGGCGAGAGGCCTTCAGGAGATCGTGGCTCGGGCGTGGTCTCGTCGTTCGAACTGCCGGGCTCGCTATCGAAGATTGCGGCTGCGCCATTGCGAGGGCGGCTCTGGCGCTGTTCGGTGTTCAGGAAGGCCGTGCGCCCTCCCGTGGACTGGAGGAACCCGTCTGCCGCTTGCGAGATGCGAGTCGATGGCGAGGTGAAGCTCCTGCTTCGTCCCAGCGATCCGTAGCGGCCTGACCCCTGACGAGCCATATCGGGGCCTTGCGGGGCGCTCGGGCCGGGTTGCTGATCGCCAACACTCGCCCACTGGGCTGGAATCGGAGGAGGTGACGGCAGCGAGGCGACTAATCCCAGTTCCGAGGCACCCCATCGCTGTCCGGTGCCCTCAACCCGACCGACACTGCGGCTCTGCGCTAGAGACGGCCGCGATGGCGGGTGATCGTCCTCGCCGATGATGATGATTTCGTTTTTGCGGTCGTGGAGGTTTTGCATGCTGTTGCTTCGCTTCAGGAACTGGAAGGATCGCAGTGATGTCATCAGATCCGTCACGCTCGGTTTGCGGGCGCGGGCAAAGCCGTCCTCCTGAGCACGGACGGCGCCATCCGATGCTTGGCGGCGGTGGGAGCTAAGCGGTAGCCCAGCCGATGGTTGCTGCGGTGATGATTCCGTGGCGGGCTGTGGGGAAAAGGGGCGGAGCAGCCGGCGGATCGACTTGTTGCCCTTCAGCATACTGTGTTGTTGGCCAGGCTCGGCAGCTGCCGCCTCCTGATCGCCTCGGGACGATTGGAAGTTGCCCAGGTCCTGCGACAGCGGGTCGGAGGGAAGGTGGGTTGAGGACTTGGAGAACTTGATTGAGAGACTATGGCCGCCCGTGGCAAGCTTCTTGCGACTGTTGGCAAAGAAGCCACCGGGGGCTGCTTTCTGGTTCGGGGTGGGTGACTTGTTGCTGGCTCGGAGTTCGATCGGATAGCCCGTGTAGGCAAGGCTGCCTGTGTACGCTGGTGCGCCGACGTCACTCACGGCGCCTCGGTGTGGCGGCGGCGTGGGAATCATGCTTCTCGATGGACCTGCAAACACCAAACACAAGCATCAATCATGTGCACGAGCGATGGGACTGCATAGCCACAAGCGAGCTGAGGCTGCAGTCGAGCAGCAACAGACGTGGGAAATGCTGGGGGTATGTGTCCGCAGGCCGCAACACGACGAAATCAACAACCACATACCAACGACGCTGGAGCCTCCGTCATACGAGAACCGGTCGTCAAAGAGCTCGTCGTTTTCATGGTAGACATCCAGGTGCTCGGGCTTTTGTTCCTGGGCGTCCCGAGCGCCGGTCACAGTCGAGTCGGCGGCTGGGGGTACATGTGGCTGGATGGTCGAGGCTGACGAGTCCGTGGTCATGAGCGAGTCGCACGCCCGCACTTTCTGGACCCGGGGGTTGTGATATTCGGGCTGCAGAGAGGGATGCTGGGAGTTTGCGAGGGTTGTTTCGGTTCCGCGACTAGGCAGCGAGCGCTTGGGGGCGATGCCGCCGGTGGCTGGGGCGACCGCGAGTGCATCGGTTTCCTTCGCAGGCTCGCTTCCCGAGCGGCTCTTTGTGCTCGCCGTCGACATGGGCTTCGGCCCTGATCCGCGGCCAGAATGCTCGCTGTGGTGATCGTTGCGCACGCTGGCTTCGGTTGGATGCGACAGCGAGCTCGGGACCACGCCTGGATTCAGCTCTTGCGAGCCTTGAGAGGAGGTTACCATCGGCACAGGGATGAGCAGCTGTGGCTCTACCTCCGGCGGCGGGGTGAAGAGTTGGACGTCAACCTGGCTCCGCGCGCTCTTGTTTGAGCGCATGGCGGTTAAGCTTGGCAACTTGTACTTTTTGGGCCACCATTCGTGTCGAAAGGGAGAAGACCGATGCTCGTCGGGGTGGTTCGGCCCCCGGGCAGTAGCACTGCTGTCGTGCGAAGGGGTCATGCTGGCGTCTCGTGGAGCAAGCGAGGGGGGCCCTGGTGGCGCGCCGACGGCGTCTGGACTTGCGAGATCCATGTCTTCAGGCGCTGGCTGCGGGTAGTTGTATGGCGTGTTCTGTTCGAGCTGCTGCGTGATGGTCTTGAACCACAGACGTTTTTGGCTCGAATTGAATGCCGTGACGGTGAGTTTTCTGGACTCGCCGTCTGGCCCAGAGTACACGATCTTGAACTGCAGTCCACTGCCTGTTTACGCACCAGTGGTGTAGAGCGTCAGTGCGCTGTGCGAAAGCAATCCGGGGCAGTCCAGAGCAGGCCATGCACCCGGCAGAACTCAGCAGTCAAGCACAGGACCATTCGGATCAGATTGAGCGCCACACGGCTCCTCGGCATACAGACGATGACAGCTGGCACACGGCCGCATCCTTACCGTTGGGCTGCTCCGACTCGAGGGCCGCGGTCCGGGCTGGATCGAGAGGCACAACTTCGACAATCTTCATGCGCTGATCAGGATTGTGGCCGGGAGTTCCACCGCCCACGAGCTTGCCGATCCGCTTGGTCTTGCGCAGGATGACCAATGCTCCCTCGAGAAGGTAAAAGTTGCGCTCGCGTGACCGCGGGCCCTCTTGCAGCTTGAGTCGGGCCTCTTGTAGAAGGAGGCATCCGTAGTAGCGGAGTGTCTGGCCCTGCCGAATCAAGTATCGATACCAAGAGTGCATTGTCGATGAGTATGACGACTGGAATGGCGTGTCGTGCCGAGTCGCATCATTCGTGGGTGCGTGGCAGCACTTCACGGCCAAGCAAAGCAGCCTGAGATGCTTCCTCAACTTGGAGCTTGGAGCTTGGAGCAAGCGCGATGCGGCAGTGCTGCTTACCTCGGGGGAGTCGATGCGGTGGATAAGATCGTACAAGGCCTCATATCTCTCTCGTCGCGAGCGTATCGCCTGCACGAACTGCTCAAGCTTGGTGAGTTTCTCGTGGGCCTCGAGCGCATAGCCATGGTCGGCGTGGACAGCAGAGGGGTCGGCAGAGCTGTCCTGCGGTGTGAGTTGGGTGATGTCTTGGAAGAATCGCTTGTAGCGGTAGAGATGCTGGTCGGGTGCATGCAGGTGCGCTATTAAATGGATGATGCGAGGTTCGGTCTCGCTACTGGTGGTCTGTTATGAAAGGCGACAGGCGGCGGAATGTTAGGCCTCTGGGGCTTCGTTTGTGTGGCCAAATGGTGGCCATATTCAGATACTGTTCCGCGACCAGCGATGCCTCAGACGAGAGTAGCATGGGGTATGTCCACATGTGGCGATGCAGCAGACGTCGCATATGCTTACTTGCAAAAATGTACTCATGGCTGCGTTTTTGGCGTATCGGGCGGCGATCGCCGAGGCCGAGGTCAGATTGGATCCATAGTTGACATACAGAGTTGAGATACGATCCCACTACATAGCAAGGGAGGAGGAGAGGAGGCGACAGATCGTCAGCGCAATTCGGACTCCACGGCGAAGACTGGCGGTGACAGTGGGACTGATGGGCGCCGACGCACAGCCAAAGACCCACATGATCTACAAAAAGCTTGCCAATCATCTGGCTTTCGGGGGGAGCCTGCAGGCACGACTTGATGTCCTCTGCAAACTCGCAATGGAACAAGAACAGCTCATGCGAGCTCTGGAAGATTTGTCGGTGGTCGGTAGCGGGAAACCACTGTTCTTGCTGGAGCGGTTCGTAGTATTCCTAGAGTAGAAAGCGCAGCAAAGATTGGATCTGATCAGCCGAGGTACACCGGAAGCCGAGCAGATGAGGCCGGGCGGTTTGAGTGCAAGCGAATCGGCGGCGGTCCACAAGATCCGAGGGAATCCAGCCGATCTATAGCAATACAAAGTGGAGGCTGGCTGGCTGTCTGCTGCAAATCCGCAGGGATCAGCCGCCGCGGGGCAGACGGCAGAAGGCGCCGGCGGCGAACCAACCTTCTGCAGGACCGTCAGACTCTTGAGAACAGTGTCTTGGTACGAGTTCAGTCCACGGATCGCCATGGCCCGTGGGGCCAGATTGAGAGCCACGGTGCTCTCAGAGATGCCCGCATGCTGGTCGAACGCGAGCTGATCGGAATTCAAGTCGGCTTGGATCTCGCTGTTATGCTCTCGATTGCGCTGGCGCAGGATTTTGGTTTCCCCGGGTGTCTCGGCAAATGGACCGATCTGGGTGGGCGGGGTGGATCGAGGCGTTGATAGGCAGGCCGCCGGACATGTGGCAAGCGAGGTGGATGGCGTTGTGAGTGCAATTCAGATCGTTAGCGCGAGGCTTGGGCTGTCAGCGGCCGCATGCTGGACCAACAGAGCATGGTGGAGGGGGTCACGATGGACGGGGGTCCCCACGGAGGACCGATGGGCTGCGGCAACATGCAATGGACGGCCAGCAACCCGACGACAACAGGAGCCGGGCGGGTGCAAGACCGACAGAGCGACGGGGCCAAGCAGAGGCAAGAAGCAAGTGGCAATGATTGGGCAGCGACGCAACGGATGAAGCAACGTTCGTGGGGGGAGGGGGCAAATGGAGACATACCTGCTCGTCGCCGTCTTCGAGACTCGGATTGCCATCGGCGTCTTTGGGAAGCGGATAGCTCTCGACGTAGTTGGCGGGGAACCAGCCGACAACATGCTCCTGGTCGAGCTGGCCTTCCCACCAACCGCCCTCGGCCTTTTGCAGAACGCGGATGATCTGGCCCTCGGCAAAGGAGAGCTCGTCCATGTTGGATGCGGTGTATGAGTACGACGTGATGCAGAGCTCCAGATTGGCAGGATTCAGGAAGTGGGACTCCGTCAGGATCGGGGGCAGAGCTTCGTCGGGCGAGTCTGCCGGCGTAGGCGAGGGACGCAGGGGGGGAGTGACCGACGAGACGCTCGAGAGCGACGAGCTGGAGCCACGGCGATCCCAGGAGGATTGGGGTGGGAGCGGGTACTTGAAATCCATGACATTTGGCGAGGCCGTCCACGATCGACTCGAAGACGATGACGACGAAGAGACAATGTGCCTGATCGGGTTGGGCAGCGACGGCAGGCTTGGGAGGGATGAATCGGGTGTCTGGGAGGTCGACGGCGACAGGGGAGGAAAGGACAGCAGCGCCGAGGAGGGGCCGTCGGAGATGTCCGAGTGTGGTCTTTGGGATGACGGCAAGAGCGACATGGTTTGACAGTGCAGGGAGGCTCTTGGAAGCGCGGGCTGGATCGCAGATACGAGTTGGAGCTGGGTCAGGATGGCGGCCCCGGCAGGCCAACGGCGACGGATGAGTTGGCGACAGGGAACCGGAGCAGCGCGAGCCCAGCGGGTGGAAGTTGCCCCAGCGACGTATCGCAGCGATGTGCCGAAGACAAGTTAAGGCTGGTCGAGCCAGATACGGCAGCAGCCGCAGTGGCGATAAGGCCCGCAACAATAACGGCAGCAGCAGCAACAGCAGGGCGAGAGACATCCAAGGCCGCGCTGGAGACAGCGACATGTGCCATGCTTGCGAATGGCACGGGCTCGAGCCAGGGCCGGGTGCCGGTGGACAGAGAGACGAGACTTACTTGGCACCGGACGGCAGAGTGCAGTGGACTGGCTGATGGTCGCTGGATCCGAGAGGGCAGCTTGTTCCGGGGTGGTAGAATGGCCTGGGGGAAGCCCGGCAAAGGTCGGTGATGGATGCAGCGGTGGTTCAGATGAGAGAGACGAGGAAGGAAGAGAGAGGGATTCAGACGCCAGCAAGAGCGAAGGGAGTTGTGCGGCAGCAGGCGCCGTTGGGATGGGGGGGGCCAGATGCAAAGGCGAGGCCGGCGCTGGTCTATAGCAGGACGATAGGGGATCGAAATGGATGGCAAAATCAGGACCGATGTCCAGGCGACCGAGCCGTTTTGGACCCGAAAAAAAGGCCGGAGGGCAGCAGGTGATTTCAAAGACGGGCGGACGGGAGCGCCGCGAAATGAGCCGAGCGCGTCGGCGCAGTTACTGTGGGAGTTGGAGCTGTTGCTGTTGGATTTGGAGCTGCGGCTGTCGCTGTCGTGGCCGTGCCACAGTGTCTGTGGTGATGTTTCACCGTGTTCCCAGCAGCTGTCCGTGTACTCCCGGATGCCCTTGTGCGCTGTCCTTGCACGGCAATGGCTCAGCTGCCGTCCGGCTCGCTTTGTGGGCTGTGGGGCGCGTCGGCGCCGGTGGTGCGGCCAGGCAGCAAGGGCCGGCTGTGCGACGCAGCGAGAGCCGCAGCGAGAAGCACAGCGAGAGCCACAGCGAGAGCCCGACTGGCTGGTGCCCTGGCCCTTGTTGCGCCACACCCATGTCCACATCCGTGTCCACACCCATGTCCGTCGCATGTCGAGTCCTTGCCCTGGCTGCACGCCGTTCCATTCCGTCAGGGATTGGGATACTGGACTGCGATGAACTCCATCGGGCTTGGGTGTCGGCGAGTGTCGCTTGGGTGTCGACCGTTGGCGAGCATTCGCCTTCAACGCACAGCGCTCTGCCGAATCCCGTCCCGCGGCGTGCCTCTGAACTTCACACCACAGCATTCCATTCAATTCCATTCAATTCCATTCAATTCCATCCAACCTCGTCCTTCTCTATCCACAATCATCCGTCTCTCTGCAGCACCAGCTTTCGCATCCCATTGCGGTTCTTGCCTCTATCCACTGCCGACCCGCCAAGTCCATCGGCTGCCTGTTCCCACGCCCCGTTCTCCCTCCGCCCGAGCCCGCTCGCCTCTCGTTTGGTCCCTGCTTCTCGCCCGCGATTTCTCCCACGGCCCTGCACTACTCCCCACCCCTCCGCCATGCCATTCGCCCCGCCGCCTTCTCTTCTTGCGTCCTCATCTGGGCTATCTGCCTTCTCTCTACCACCGTCTTACCGCCCCTATCGTCTGATCGTTTCCAATAATGTCCGTCACCCGTGTTAGCGAATCTCGTGTGTTTTCCACCCCCGTCCAGAGCGTCTGGGCTCGCGTTCGTCCGACCACCTTTGACTGGTGGTCCAACGTCGTCAAGGCTGAGGTCGAAGGTCATGCTGATCAAGGTACGGCCGTTTCCACAGCAGCGTCCCGCGTGGGGTCATGGCGGCTCGCCAGTCCGTTGTGGTGGTTCTGGCGAGGCGTCATGGACGAGGCCATCGAGATGCGGCTCGTCTGAGCGGCGCCGCATTCGTCCGCACCATGCTCGGCCCATCTGCCATCATGGTTGCTCGTTGGGCGATCGGTCCTGGATGGTCTGGGCTTTGTTGTGGTGCCGCACTCGTCGTCTGACTTGCATGTCGTCTGACCTGCACCTCCTCTGGCTTGCCGGTCGTCTGGTCCAACCCACGCCGCTCGATCCCTTTTGCCAGTCGGCTCGGTCCGAAAGGTTACCTTCAAGGACGGCACCGTTCAGAAGCTCAAGATCCTGGAGCTGTCCGGTATGCCGTCGCGTCCCCTTGGCCTCGGCTTCCTTCCGCTCGCTGTGATAGCGAATGGTTTGGATCGCCCTCGTGCCCATCCCATACTCCGCGACTGATCCTGTCGGTGTCTTCCTCTGCTTACTGCCTGGGTTGCTGCCTGGATTGCTGTCCGGCTTGCGGCTGCATACATGGCCGACAGATCTCGACAACTTTGTCACCTACGAGGTGATCGAGAGCAACCCGCCCATCGACGTCCTTGCCGCCATTCATACCATACGTTTGCGAAAGGTTACCTTTGTAAGTAGCCCAGATTCGCCAACCTACTGCTCGTCTTCCTTGACCCATTCCCAACAGCAATTCAGCTGGCTGCTTGCACTATCCCTTCGTCAATCGAGTGCAGCTGCACATTCGGCTCACGCTTCTGTCGGCCACATTTTCAACAGGACAACAGTACCTTTGTTGAGTGGACCTCGGACTTTTCGAGCGGATCCAACACCTCCGCTGTGGTTGAAGACTCTCGCTTCAAGAAGCGCGAGGCCTTTGCCGTAAGTTCGGCTGCTTCATAGGCTCTTCTTGATCCTGGAGTGATAGGCAGCCGCTGTTGTTCTGCACAATGCATCCATCTCTCTGCATGTACTCATCTTGCTTCCTGTTCTCGTCTCGCTCCATCCACTCAGGACCTGTCGACTGCTCTCGCCAAACACTGATCCTCCAATACGTGCGAGCCGGATGCAGCCCTCTCGGGTGACTCGCCTCAGATCCGCCAGGGTGCTGCTGCTGCCTGATCCCTCGCGGAAACTCGAAGCTGCAGCACCATCCCGATCTATCTGGGAGGCTTCAGCCAGATCGCCACTGTCTCGACGCTGTTTCCATGCAGCCGAGTCGCTGCCCAAATACAGTTGTTTTGAAGACAGTCCGATGGCTGTGTCGTGCTGGTTCCGAGCTTTGCACCAGCAGAATGTGCGTCCAGCGGTCTTGCGCTTGCCCGTTGCTCCTCCTCGTTGCCTTTCCGCCTGACATTTGCATGTGCTGGAGCCCGCCGCGTCCGTGGTGCCGGCTTGTTCCTCCATCGGCCCATACCCCCGCCATCGCCCGCTCGTCCCCGCTGATCCGCCCGACTGTCAATCGTCTTGCCGATTCCCCATCGTCCACTCGGCCTGATGCTTTTCAAACCTGTCCATCCGGCCACCACCCGGCTTGTCCTCGCCCTCCGTCCAGGATCACGCACCTCGGCTCTCGCGGCTCGCCCAGCATCGCTCGTCCAGCGATCCCTTGCCTCTCGGACCTCCACCATGGCTTCCTCGCAGCTGCCCACCGATGTCGTCCCCGCGATGGACTCGAGTCGCCCTCTCTATCGCCACCAGCCGTCGATGCCCTCGCTGCCGGTTCCTCCGCTCAGAGACACTCTCAAGAAATATCTGGCAAGCGTCCAGCCCCTGACCACTCCTGCTCAGCTGCGCCAGACGACCGAGCACGCCGCCCAGCTGGAGTCTGGGGCAGGTCCGCTCCTGCAAGAGCGACTGGAGAAGGCAAGTGCGGTCATCCGAGTCCACAAGCAACCGAATCCTGTGTCGGGCATAGGGCTCTCGCATCTGGCACCAAGCACTGGAATGTCGCATCTAACCATCTCCTGCTTGCTCCGTGACCCTCGTCCTTTCGGATGTCGCAGCGAGCGAAGCAAGCCACAACCTCATGGCTCTATGACTGGTGGAACGACCTGGCCTACATGTCCTATCGTGATCCTGTCGTCTTCTACGTGTCCTACTTTTACGTCTTCAAGGACCCAAAGCCCATCGCCGGCGCCCTCGATCCGGCCCAGCGAGCCGCCACCCTCATCACTGCAGCACTCGAGTTCAAGCGGCTCGTCGTGTCGTAAGTACTCAATCCTTACCGAGCGCTGGAGGTTCGCGCAAGGACGCAAGAATATGCATGAGGGTGTGTGCAATGGCATGTGTGCATCAAGAATGAAGGATGCAAGGGGTACATTCTGTCGTGGTTGGTGCTTTCCCTGGCTCGATGCCATCCACAACCTGCACGCCGTGCTCCTTCTCGACCAACCGACATACTCACCACTGCTCTGGATCTGGGCTTGGTGTCGACGCTGTGGCTGTCGTCTACCTCACAGCGGAGAGCTGTCCCCGACAAGGGCAAGGACGGCCCGCTGTCGTCCGACCAGTACGGCTACATGTTCAATACTTGCCGCATCCCCCAGATTCCCGCCGACAAAACTGCCGTCTACGATCCTGCTCGTCACCACCACATCGTCGTCATCAGGAAGAACAAGTTTTTCCTCCTCGATACCGTTCACGCCGATGGCCACCAGCTGTCGACGCACGAGTTGCAAAAGTATGTCCTACTTTGGACTTTGAGTTTTAGAGATGGCGATGCCCACCATGGTCATATTGTGCGCTGCTCGGCAACCTGCACCGGCGACCTGCATCGGCAACTGATGGCATTATACCTCCCGCTACTGCTGTGAATGTGGTATCCAGGCAACTGAGCAAGATCGTGGATCTGGCCGGATCGGGCAAAGACGAGCCGCTGGGTCTCTTCACGACCCAGCACCGAGATACCTGGTCAAAGGTACATGGTCTTCAACAAGCACATGGCGTCTTGCACTGCACGCTAGTACATCTCTCGCCGCTCCTCGCAGTGTCTGGCTGGATATTGCGGGACTTTGTATCGCCTCATTGCATCCCGACATTTCTCGGTGTATCTCACCGCCCTTCATTGCTGCCCCTTCTATGCTACTCGCCGACAGATCCGCGACGAGCTCCTCAAGTCCCCCTCCAACAGAGCTGCTCTGGAGAAGATTGAATCAGCGTCGCTGGTGGTCTGCCTCGATGACACTTCGCCCATCACGCGTGCCGAGGTACTGATGGTTCTCGATATCCAAGAGCCGACGGTGCTTTTGCTCGTGCTATGGGGCTGAGCAAATGAACCCGTGGCTGTTACTGTCCTGGGTGATGCGCTGTATCGGGACTATCGCTTTTCGCGAGGGCGGCAGGGGGGCAGTTTACCCTGTGCTGTAGCCGAGCTTTTAGCCCGCATCGTCGCTTGCTTGTGACTCACCCCCCCATTTCATTTGCTCGCACGCACTTGGCTTGGTTGAACTTTTCCTTTCCCTGGGCAGGCTAGCCGTGCTTGCTGGCACGGCGATGGCCAGAACCGATTCTTCGACAAGCCCTTGCAGCTGATTGTCTTTGAGAACGGCAAGGCTGGATTTGCTGGCGAGCACTCCATGATGGACGGCACGCCGACTAACAGAATGTGCGACTGGATCCTCGAAAGGTACCGATTGTCTCAGGGATCGTATAGATGCCCGCCGTCGTACGCCACTGAGAGGAGCGGCTTGTGCTCGGCAGTTCCAAGGTGTCCTGGTTCTGATTGCTCGAGTCGTTGCCGTAGTTTTTTGTCCGCTCCCAACCTCACATTCCCACCTGCCCTTTCCTTCAGGCTCAGCCGAAACGAGATTGCCCACGGCTCTGAGTCTTCCACTGATTCGTTGCGTGTCCCTGAGCAGCTGGCCTTTGATTTCCAATCGATTCGACCCCAGTTTGCAGAGGCCCAGCGTCACTTTGACTCTCATCGCGACAAGCACGACCTCCATGTGCTCTACTACCCCGGCTACGGAAAGAACTTTATCAAGAGCGCCAAGTTCTCGCCCGACGCTTACGTGCAGATGGCCATCCAGCTCGCCTACTACAAAATGCATGGCCAGTCCTGCGCCACATACGAATCCGCCCAGACCCGCAAGTTCAAGTATGGCCGAACAGAGACCTGCCGAACATGCTCCACGCTCACGGTGGACTTTGTCAAGAAAATGTGTGCAGCGGATGTGCCAGCATCGGTGGTGCTTGGTAGCTTGCGAGCCGCAGTCGATGGCCATGTCAAGTACATGGTTGATGCCGTCGAAGCCAAGGGTGTGGATCGCCATTTGATGGGTAAGCCTCCGCTTCTAAGCTGCCGATGGGCGGACAGGACTCACGGCCGATTGATCTGCGCACCAATGGCGCCTAAATTCGTACTGGAGCTCACCCAAACTCGTCCTTTGTGCCTCAACAGGTCTCAAGCTGTGTCTCGAGCCCGGCGAGCCTGTCCCTTCGTTCTTTGACGATCCAGTGTACCAGCAAACTCGCCACTGGAAGCTTTCGACGTCACAGATCACATCCGAGTACTATGACGGATACGGCTGGGGCGAGGTCGTCCCAGACGGTTACGGCATCGCCTACATGATCAAGGACAACAGTTTGCACTTCAACATTGCCTGTTTGAACGAAATGCGAGCCGATCGCATGAAGCACTATCTTGAGGAGGCCCTCGACGAGATGCGCGTGCTCACGGCACCAGCCCCTGTCATCAAGGCTCGACTCTGAGGGCAGTGGAGGGAATTATCGTGTCTTGGGAAGGCTGCCTCTTTTTTTATTATTATTTTGCGACGATGGCTTCGATTCAATTCGAGTCCGATGCAGCCGTCGCAACGACAGCAGGAGACGCTATAGTAGCACTTGCTGCTGCCGCCGCCGCCGCTGCTGCTGCTGTATTGAAATCGTCAATAAACTTTTCCATTTGATCCTCGAGCTCGTGCTGGAAGGTGAGATTGGCTTTGGGATTGAAGGCCAAGATGGTGGCATCCGAAAGGCGTGGGGGCTTCTTCAGAACCTTGGGGATATCCTCTTCAAGCAGCGAGGCTGGCGCTTGGTAGCTAACACAGACCTTGGTGTTGTCCATGACATCCCGGGGTGTTACCCCAAAGGGACTCAGCTGGTCATCGAGGGTCGCTGCGGCGGGTGAGAGGCCGCCACTCGAGGGTGGTGGTCCGCCATAGGCATTGAGGTTCTGTGAGGAGACTTGTTGCCATATGCTCCAGATGCGATCGATGTTGCTGGTTCGGCGGAGCGACACGGGGGCCATAATCGGCGAGATCAACCATCCAAGAGGTATTCCAAGAATTGTAAGACATGGTTAGAGGAGTTTGAGTCGATGGTTTGGCCCCCACCCCGCGACTGTCACGGCCCGGGGGTCGATGAGATCATACCGGCAAGGCAATATAAGCGCTGAGCCACACAGCGAGCGCAACGACAGACCACGATGCAAGGAGAGCTTACGCATGGTGAAGGAAGAAAATGGGGTCGTTTGGGGACCACATGTTCGTCATGTCGCCACTAGTGCCTCCGATATTGACTGGCATGGAAATGACGAGGCGGAGATGAGAGCATATCGGGGAGGCAGCGAGCCGATAGCGGGGGAAATAGGGAAAGGATGGTCAGGAGAGCAAGGCCCGAGCGACTGAGCTTAGTGATCTGGCGTCAAGCGGGCTTACCGTGCGGGATGCCGTGGTAGCCCTCAAGTGACTGTTCGAATGTTTTGTAGTCGGTGATCGACATGAGGTTGTCGATCAGGCCCTGCGGCGGAAACGCAGAGATGGATGTGGGCTGATCCCACTGCCGCTTGATGCAATCGCCGGCGCTGCTTTCAGGGTACACCTTTTTCCAGCCTGTGTGGAGGAGAGATCAGCCAACAGTGACGCTCTGTCTGGAAGCCGTGGGAACGTTGCTGGTGTTCCTCGGTCCCCCCCACACCGGATGGTCATCATCGCCGGGTCCACTATTGCGGTGCAGTATCCTGTCACTGATCTTCGAAATCGCACCCCTTACGCCCATGGCCACCACCGACATGACACGGGGGGGGGAGAGCGTCTCACCTGCACAAATGCCGTCCACGAGGCAATAGTCGGTTCCCGAGCCATGCGTGCCCAAGGCCGATGCGGTGAAGATGCTGCTTCCGGCGGGGTTCTGCGAGATCTGGAGATTCGACCAATCCCAGTATGGCAGCGAAACAGAGCTGTCGATGCGCTGGAGATGCTCTTCATATATCTTGATCATCTTGCGGTGCCACGGGAGGAAAGCACCCTGGAATTCGACGGCCGAGGTGACAGAGGTGACAGTGGTGACAGAGGTGACAGAGGTGCACAGTGTCCCACGTCCCAAAGTAAATAACAAGCGCCAGGGCGAAAGGTGACATCGTCTGCGCCTGGTACATAATTTCGGCCCCCCCCTCCAACCTCTTCACTATCGCTCGTGGCATCGACGGGCTTACCACGCCATGGGCATTGTTGGTTTGGTCCAAGTGTATCTTGACAAAGTCGTCGTATTGGTACTGGTTACCAGGTGCGATCGGACCGGTCTTGAGCTTCTTTACAGCAGCAATAAACCTATTGCGCTCGTCCTGGGCCAGAGTATCCCAGCTCTTTCGGACTCCACAGAGCGCGCTTGGTGGAGGAGGAGGAGGAGGAGGAGGTGGTGGTGGTGGTTGAGGCGGCGGAGGCGCATTGGTTGGTGCTGGCGGAACAGATGATGGCGCAACGACCGAGGACGGTGGTGGTATCGGTTGCGATGGACCTGCTGTTGGGTGATTTGAAGCCAACGACGCACCGTTGCCGGAAGATGGCAGTGCCAAGTTGGATCCAGAGCTTGAGCTTGAGCTGGAACTTGAGCTGGAGCTGGAGCCTGAGCCCGAGTCCGTCGACAGATTGCGGCCCGAGTCAGATCCCTGGGCATGACTGATGCCTTGCCAGATGCCGATGGAGGCACCTGTGACAACCAGGGCCGTGACCGAGCCGATGACGAGCTGTTTCTTGGTGACCATGAGGGGGGGGTGGAAGCTGCAGGGAGGTGGGGCCGATATCCTGATGTAGGCAGCAAGACAGACGAACCTGGCTCGACGCTGAGTACTTTTGAGCCAAGTGCCGACAGCCCCGTCGGAGCTGCCTCCTCGAGCAGCTTTTATATATTTGTCTCGCGGCAACTTCGCGGAGTCGATGACCTCGATGAGAGTAACCGGCGCATCCTTTAGAAACGGACGGTGAATGTTCGCAGCGACTGGTTCGTTCGCATGCCGCTGGGCTGTCGGAATTCCATCCCCCTTCCCGATGACCAAGAAACTCATCGCGACAGCAAGCACCGCATTGACACAGACGACGGACTGCTAGTGGTCTTCCGATGTCCGTGCGATACACAGTCACATTGTGGGCCACTGTCAGCGATACAAGTCGACAAACTCCCTCCAGTCATCTCTCTCCTGTGTTTGTGCTAGCATGGGCCTATTGGGCAAACAAAGGGACAGGGTTCTGAGCGAGGCTCGCCTTTTGTTTTCGCTATGACTGATCTGGAGAGAGAGTCTTTCCTGGAAACGCACGCAAACAGCAGCTCGCCGGTCAAGAGAGTTTGCGTCTGGCTCGCGCAGAGAATGCATGAGAAGCGACAGTGGGATGGGGGACAAGCACCCCCTCCCGATCGATTCGTCGAAAATGCGACCGAGACCCAATCACGCACAACAATTCTGTTCACCTGAACAAGCAAATGCCGGGGAGACAGTCAACAGGCGCATCATCCGTGGAGGAATACTGGTATGCAAAGAACAGGCTGCGGAGGCTCGCTATTGGAACTTGACCGTCTTCTTGGGCTTCTGGTCCTTCTACAGGCCGCACAGATTCAGGAGGTAAGCATCAGCACATCGTCGGGGGGGGGAGCTGGGTGCTCTGCCTTCGAAGAACGAATACACTCCGGCAGGGGTCATGTAGCAGCGTCGCTTGGCATCAAGCGGCACGGCAAGGAGCCCAAATGGCAATGACATCTCCACACGAATCGAGTAGCCGCTTCGGCACTGGTGTCTCACCGGTACTTCTGCAGGAGCCTCGGGCTTGCTGCTGGGCTTTTTCTTCCGCGACAGAATCTCGGCCTTGACTTGTTCCTGTTGCATCCCAGTCGATTAGTTGTGCAGCACAGCCATATTCAGCACCATCATCGCCGGCACAGTGGCCGCGACTTCCGATGAGCAGAGCACATGTGCCAACATATCAGCCCATCCGGATGCCACGGGCGATCAAAACAGGCCGAGGCAGAGCCCGACTCACAATTTTTTGGCGCTTCAGGCTCTTGCGCTCCTGGATTTTCTTCTCCCGTTCCCGGACCTTCAAGTTGATGGCGTTCTGGACGAGAGGGCATCCAATTCATAAGTAAATAGCGAGCGGCAGCGGCTACTGCGTCAGATAGATCGCCCAAACGACGCTTGGGGGTGCGAATCTGCTCCCTTCAAGCAGCCGGCAGCCCAGCCACCACAAGCTGCATCCGGTCATGGAAGGCACCGTCTGTTGCAGCCACACGATTCTGTGACTGATGGTCAGCAGATCGACTCACCACTCTCTCGACCTTCTTCTGTGTCGACTGCTCCTCCTTTGAGTTGATCGAGTCGATGAGCTCCAGCATTTTGCTCTGTCCAAGATCCAGACGCAAGTCCATTTGAGTGCCGCCGAGGATGAAGATGAGCTTCGTTTAGCTCGGGATGCAGACACATTGAGCGGACAAGTATCCAGCATGCTCCGCTGGACCTAGATATGCTGTCTCTCGATGGCGAATGGACGCCAGATCGCTGCATAGTCCCAGGCTCGCGCACCGTACCTGGTCGGCAAACACTTTGCCCTTCTTTCTGCGGACGGGGAGACCATTTTCTGGCGCCGCCGGAGCCGTTCTAGCTCCGTCCTCGGCATCGACATCTTCACCGGCATCAGCTGCCGCATCAGTAACATCGTCAGCGTCTTCGTCGGCATCATCGCTGGTGCTGATCTTGCTGCCGTGGTCGGGCTCGACATTGCGATTGGGTTTGGGCTCGTGCTTTGGGCGCGGCTTGTGCGGCGATTTCTTCTGCACCTTCGAGTGGGCGGCCTTGGCTGCCAGCGCCTTTGGTCCGGAACGCGGGCCCGACACTGCTTTTGCGACTGTCTTGGGCTTCATAGCGACTGCAGGTCGGCAAGCTGCGAGTGCGAGCCGAGGAGATGCGGTCCCAGATTTTTTCGATCGGCATGACAAAAAAGTGAAGCGCGCTCCCTTCTGCGATTGGCTGGCTCTGGCTCCTGGCTCGAGCCGGAATGGAGCCATCGCTTCTGGCTCGAGACTCAAGGGCACCGCGTCATGCAGCGAGGGAGGCTGGGCTGTCATGGATGGCAAATGGCGACAACGGAGGAAGAGTGGCAACGGAGGAAAGAGCGGCAACGAGGCCATCAGGCACTGGTACAAATTAATCGGTCCCACGGGGGCGGACCAGTGTATTTGGAGACCCAGAAGATAGCAGCTGGTTGCCTCGGAAATGAGCGCTCTGCTCCCATCGTGTCCCCGCCTACAAAGACTGCAGCACTCGCTTGACAACCTCCGAAATCAGCTTCTTGGGCGCCGAGCCGTCCAGGGCCGGGCCGACCTCCTTCATGACCTTGCCCAGGTCCTTAACGCCCGTGGCGCCGATCTCGGCAGCCTTGGCGCGGACAACGACCTCAACCTCCTGCTCCGATAGCTGCTTTGGCAGATAGTCCTTCAGGACACTGATTTCGTACTCCTCCTTCTCGGCAAGGTCGGCGCGATCGGCAGCGCGATACTGCTCGGCAGCATCCTGACGCTTCTTGACAGAGCGCTGGATCAGGGTCGAGACGGAGGGGACGACGTCGGTGCCTGCCTTCTCGGCATATGTGATGTCGGAGAGGATCGACTTGATGGCAACAGTGCGGGTCTTGTCACCACTGCGCATGGCCTTTTTCAGATCCTCCTTGAGGGTGGCCTTGAGATCGGCTGTGGGTCCCGGATGCAATCGCAAGTCGTTGTGGATGGCGACGATTCAGCAAGAACGGTGTGTCAGACCCAGGCCCATGGCTCTATCGTGTTCGCAGCTCCAATAGCCATGGCAGCGACATATGGCCTTGGCCTTTAGATGCACTGCTGTGCTGCACGCTGCCCGACGATCGGTCCCCTCATCCCGAAGCGAGTGTTGCGCGGACGATGCCATGAAACAGAGCAATCCCGAGAGGCGTACCATCGGTCGAAGCGAACCGGAGCGACGGAGCAAATCGCAGAGCCGGCCGGACAGAAGACCGGATGACGGGGCGTGCAGCAACTAGGGCGGCGACAGTGGCTCGGCTGAAGATCCAGCTCATGGTGGTAAGATGGGTGCTGAGGAAGATGGATGGATCTGGGCCGATTTTGCGCGACAAGATCGACAGGAACGCACCGAGACGCACCGAGACGCACCGAGACGCACCGAGACGCACCGAGACGCACCGAGACGCACCGAGAGAAAGCGCAGCCACCCAGGAACAGCTGGCTGCGCATTGGGTTGCTGTTCTCATGTGCCATGGTGATGGCTCCGTACTGCCCTTTCCATGCCAGGACAGGACAGAGAGGGCACCGGCGATCTGCGGCCTCGCAGCCGCGAGTAGAGATCCAGTATGATATGGTAAATGGTTCAATCCTCAGGGCCCATCGCCCCAGTCGCGATATTGGCATGGCTTCGCAGTGACTGTTGGCAAGCCGCTCGCTCTTCACCGACTCGATCCGCTGCGATGCCGATCAGACATCTGGGCTTACTTCGGCGTCCCTGGACATGCGATCTGCGTGCCGGCCATCTCCCGTCGTCCGTGGGAGCGATGCACATCGTCGGCGCTGTCAAATCGGCGGATGGCAGGTCGCTGCGCCACACTGCAACGTGGCGATCATGTGACCGATGATGCTCCGATCCGCCTCGTTTTCTGTCGAGGACCGCGATCAAAAGCCGGCTCGCAGTCATGGTCGTCAGGCCGGCAACAGTAGCCCGCACCACCATTGCACCGATCCATGTCGCTCCTGTCTGCGGCGTGCCTGAGACTGGTGTGCCTGGGCATCCAGGCATCCAGGCCGGCGGGCCTTTTGTCTGCCCGCCGCATCTCGTCATCGGCTCTGCTCTGTCGCCAAGGACCCTTCAAGAATTCGTTCGATCCGTTTCCGTTCGGGGCGCCGTCCAGCCGAGAAGCGGCCGATGGCGCTCCAAAGAAGCAAAGAGGCCCGCGTAAGAAGAAGACCAAGGCCGCATCGTCAGCCGAGTCCAAGGAATCGCAGGAGATTGCCAGCTCCATCGCTGCCGAGTTTTCGTCGTCTGGCGGATTTGCCTCCGCATACAACCTCCGGCCCGTGTCGCCGCCGGATTTCCCTGGATTCGAAGAAGCCCTGAATGCCGAAAATGCCTCGATTTCGTTCGCAAAGTTCCGAGACGTCATCGAGGATCCGACCGAGTCCGCCAGGCTCAACAACGAGCATCTCTCTCGCCTGATTTACGTCATGTGTCGCCGAGGATCCCCGAATGTCCACCAGCTGGTCGATGTGCTGGTGTGGATGGAGAGCCGGAAGATCCAGCCGACCCTGGCTGACTTCAACGAGGTGCTCTTCTGCTGCGCCCGCGAATCCGAGAAAGTGGTCGCCGGTCAGATCCTGGATCGGATGATCGCCATGGGCCTGCGTCCCAACGTCGCCACATACAATGCCTTCCTGACGCTGCACTTTCAAAGCAGCCAGCCCGCAGCCGCCTTCGATTTCTACAACAAGATGAAGCACGAGGGAATCGAGCAAGACGAAGAAACCTTGCGGATCATGATCCGCGGCTGCACCCAGAACAAGCTGTATGCCGAGGCCGAGCAGTACCACGCCGTCCTGGAAGAGTCCGGAGTGCCGATCTCAGGCAAGACTTTCAGCGCCCTCATCAGCCTCTATGAAGCCCAGGGCAAGTTTGACCAAGTCGAGCGCTGCTTCGAGCAATCGCTCCAGTCCGGAGAGGCCATGAACCAGCAGCTTGCCTCCAAGATGATCCTTATCTACAACCAGCAGGGTGCCTCCGAGAAGGCACGCCGGGTCTTTGAGGCGCTTTTGCAGGCCGGCGTTGTCCCGGATCTGCTCACCTGGTCGGTGCTGATTCAAAGCCATCTCGGTGCCGGAGACGCCGATGCTGCTGCCGCGGCTCTCAACCAGATGATCGAGAAGGGCCTCCAGCCGGATGCAATCATGTATGCAGGGCTCATTGAAGGCTTCTGCAAATGCGGCCGGCTGGACGAGGCTCTTCAGCTGGAGCTGAACATGCGTGCAGCAGGGCTCCGAGTGATTCCAAAGATCACAAAGTCTCTGGTTCTGGCCTACTTTGCCGCCAAGGAGCCCATCGAAGCCTCGCGCTGCGTTGAACAGCTCAAGGCCGATGGATTCAAGCTGTCGGCGGAGATGTTCCAGATTCTGTTCGAGGGCTTTGGCGAGTGCTTCGAGGTCAACTTCTTGAAGCAATACTGGGAAGAGATGAAGCGCACGATGCCCAAGGTCACTGCCGACCTCTATCAGGCCGCCATCACAGCCTTCCTTCGGACACAGAGTCTTGCCCAAGCCAACACGCTCACGCACGAAATGGTCGAGGCGGGCTTCCAACCGACGCTGCAGACCTTCACCCGACTGGTCGAGGGCCAGATCATCCGCGCGGACTATTTGGGTGCCGGGTCGACCCTGAGGCTACTTCGGGTGTCCAAGCACAGCCACGCCAATGTCGCCAATCTCATTGCCGTGCATCAAGCCCAGTTCGAGAAGACGATCCCGGCTCTGATAGCTGCCAAGTCAAACGACCGCAGCGATAGTCTCGAGACGGCCATTCTGATCTACAAAGAGCTCCTGATTGCCAAAATCCCAATGAAGGAAGAGACCTACCAATCCGTGATGGCGGCGCACATCGAGAGCAAAAACCTTGTCGATGTGGTGCGCACATGGTCGTCGCTTGAGGCACAGGGCATCCAGCCTCAAGCCAAGAGCGTCTCGCTCCTGATCCGCTCGGTTGTCGATCTGGGACAGGAGAAGACGGCCACGGCGCTCTTCAGCATGATCGAGAAGAAGCAGTACTCGATGGACGAGGAGACCTACCAGACCCTGATTCTGCTGGCGGCCAAATACGGTCGCAGCGAGCTCATTCACTACACCGTCGATCTGCTGAATCGCGGTCATCGCGTCACCCCATCGCTGTTCAAGTCGGTGGAGCAGAGGCTCAAGGACGGCGGATACAAGACCTTGCTCAAGAACTACACGGAACTGATAGACGAGATCGATCCTGCTGCCCTTGACGATCCCATCGACGACGATGCCGAGGAGCCGGATGCGTTGAGCGGCACGGCGCAGCCGCACTAGGAAGCCAACTGTCCCACGCCATCCCAGGCAAGCTTCTCGATTCACTGTATATACTGACCACGCTATACTAGCGCATCAATATAGCCCACTCTAACGCATGGGACATCCCGGATACTCAAAGCCGATGTCTGTATTGGAGAGTCTCGCTCGAATGTCCCATGGCTCCATCGCGTTTCATTTCGTGAGCGCATCAATAAACTTGGCGAGCTTGATATCCCGCTCGCTCAGGCCAGGAGCGTCGTGGGTGGACAGAGTGATGTCGACTTTGTTGTAGACGTTGAACCTGCATTCGGAAGCGAGAGACAACGGACGCCGTGGGTGGGTCAGTCGATGCGGCACCAGCTATGGCTCAGCAGAACCTGGGGATCAGCCGAGCACGGATATGACCATCGGTGCCGGTGCCGGTGTTGATGTTGGTGTCGGCGGGGAGCATCAACACATTGCACCATAGGACGCTTTCAGCCAAGCAATACGCACCACTCCGGATGATGGTCCATCTTGTCGGCTTGGATAGCAATACGAGTCATGAATCCCCAGGCCTCGTTAAAGTCCTTGAACTGAAACGACTTGTGGATGGCATCCCGCGACTCGACGAGGGACCATCCAGCCGAGAGCAGCGGGGCCAGATGCTGCTGGCGCTCCTGCGCATCGAGCGACCGGACCATGAGCGACGATGAGGTGTGGAACTTGGACAGGAAGCGAGCCTGAGCGGGGATAGCAGGACGGGCGGTGGCGAGGCAAGCAGCCCGGTTGAACAGCATGTCGAAGGCCTGGCAACGCAGATTGACAGAAGCGGATCGGCAGAGACAGATCGGCAGAAGCGGATCGGCAGCCCGGTTGCGATGGCCGACCGACTTGGTGCCCGGCTGGCGAGCCGCGTCCTCCGACGAGCCGGGATGGCTGCACTCGAGCCGGCTCGACCCAAACTCCGACCTCGCCTCGCTGCCTCTCGGCGCGTCTCGGCCTGTCTCGGCTGTCGCTGCGTCTCGCTGGGATATCGGTCTCAGGCGGCTTCCTTCCCACGCCTCCCCACCACCCCGCATCTTCCTCCAGCACCAATCCCGATGGCCTCCCTTGCCGACAGCCCAGGGCTCAAAGCCTCGCAAACATCGATACAGAGCGTCTCCACGGCCAAGCTTGCTGCGGGCTCGGCTTCTGCGGCTGCGGGGCGGCCCTCGACCCGGATCAACTCGACCGCCGGCGCCTCTCTCGCGTCGCTGATGCCCACGTCCTCGACAGATTTGGCGACAGCGCAGTCCTCCAACACGCGCACCGTCCCGTCAGTGCTCTTCAACATCAGTAAAAAAGAGGCCTTCACCCCGAGCAATGGTCTCAAGACAATGCAGCGAAAGCTCAGGAACAGCTTCAAGATTGGGCTGTAAGTTCGCGGCAACTGAATGTCTGCTCGTGGAGGAGCGGGGAAAGGAGTCGGGTTGGCTGAGAGCGGTCCCACAGTATTGAGGATCGGATATGATATCGTGCATACGAGCAACAGATGAAGGTTCCAAACACGCCAGTGCATGGACTTGAGCTAAACGCCATGACGATGTCGCTGTGCACAGATACAAGGACGAAATGAATGCCCAAAAGCTCTCGGACGCCAGCCTGCTTGTGTTTGGAGGGCCGCGCGAGAAGTTCTCGACCTCAGAAGTAAGCCAGACACAACGCGGATGAGGGAACAGGCAAAGTTGTCAAGGGACGCCGTGGCAACGAGCTGCGGACCCATGACGAGCCTATCGCCCATATACGATCCCATCCCGGTGGTGACCATCCCGAAACGCCTCTATTGACCTCGACTACCTTCTTGGTCGCGCTGTCTTCCCGCTCACGCATTCATTCGCCTGTTCTGTGCTAGTTCTCGGCGCTCAAGGCGTATCTCGATCGCGGTGGATCCATCCTGTATCTCACAGGCGAGGGCGGGGAATCTCAGTTCAACACCAACTTCAACTATCTCTTGGAAGAATACGGAATCATGGCCAATCCAGGCAATTATCACTGCGGCTGCTTTGATCGTCTAGCTTTCGCCCACCACGACTCTGACTCGGCATGTGATGGTCTATTTCTGTCCTGACACGCCTCTTCGGACTTGAACTCGATATCAATCTTGCGGAATCTACCTCTTGGGCTGTTGGAATCGCCACCACCAATGCCGACTGATTTGCGACTGAATGCTGCTGGCGATACATACCCCACACGGTCCCTCACTGGCCCATTCCACGGAGACCAGACTGCGTGACGAGGACCGTGTACTATCGCTACTTCCATCCAAAGGAATGCTTTGTTTCCAACGGAGTCTTGAACCGAGAGATCAACCGCGCTGCTGGCAAGCGCATCAATCCGCGGACAGCCACGCCAGGCGATGTCGAGGCCGGCGGAAGATTCAATCCAACGTAAGCATGTGCTCCTTGGCAAGACCACTGGCGGCAGATATCGGAAAGGAAGGGTGCGCTGGGACGATTTGTCGATGCTCGCGTGGAAATCAGTGGCTCCCATGAGATCGCCATCCTCCAGTCTCGCATGGACATCGTGCTGACTTTAAACCGACTTGCCACTGTGCTGTGCCTCCGGACTGCTGCCGTGCCATCTTCATATGCAATCTCGATCGAACGGGCCAATCAACTCAAACGCCATATTCATTCCCCGATCGTGCTGTTTGTCGTCACATCTCAAAACCGATGTCACTTGAATGATGTTGGTATTCTCCCGGATTTCGTGGGAACAACCATGGGCATGTCGGTTATGTCGCAGCGCCCTGGCGTTTGTCTACCCGTTTGGCGCCACCCTGAACGTTCAGAAGCCAGCCATTCCCATACTGTCGTCCGGAACGGTGTCGTATCCCCTCAACCGGCCGATTGGCGCTGTGTATCTGAGCCCGGTAAAGTTTGCCGTTTGCATCAGCCTCCAGTCGCAGGTCCCTTCCCAGCGTATATTCTGAGCCGCCGCTTACGACGCGAAGGAATCTCGGCCATACGAGCACTTCCATCGAGGCCAGCGCCAAGGCAGAACCAAGCCACTGATTGGTCCTGCACCTCCTGCCATTGTGTCCTTGACAGAACGGGAAAGGCAAAATGGTTGTTATTGGATCGGTTCACATGTTCTCGGACCAGTACATAGACAAGGAGGAAAATGGCAAGCTCTTTGACGCCCTGGTTCAACTTTTGACGTCAGGCAAGTCGCCGCGTTTCACTGAAGACCCAGTTTCACCCACAGAGCGCGCGGCCTCCCTCGGCAAATTGGTCGTCGATCGGTTTGACAACTAATACCGTTTCCTCTCCGCAGACAAGATCGTTTTAAACACCATCGACGCCAGCGAGCCCGACGTAGGTGTTGTACAGCGGTCGTATCGCTGTCCAGAGATCGTTGTCTGACCAAGGCTGTGGGTGGTTTCGTTCTGCCAGGTCTCCGATTATCACTACCTGCCTGACACTGCCAAGCTATCCGAGTCACTGAGGTCCTGTCTACAGGTACGCTGATGTTGGCTGCGGTGCGAGTGGACTTTGTGCTGCGGCCGGCGTCATCCAGTAACTTACAAAACATCGTGACCGGATGCCACCACACCGGCGGTATGACTCGGCAATGGTACCCCGCCGCGTCGATCAGGAAAGCGAGGAACTTCCAAAGGACTTTACCACTCTATTCGACCATGGCCTCTTCCGGTTCGACACAAGCCTGGTTCCGCACGCTATCAATCTCTATGAGGTACTGTGCACCTGGACGCTATCGTGCGAAGGCTTGGTCGCGTCGCAGATCCTGCCTTGGATACTGCCTTGGATACTGACAGGCCATCATCCGGCATCATTGCAGGATGTCCGCTTGAAGCACGAGCCGCTGACGTTGATCCAGCCCCAGGTGAGACTCGGCTGCTCTCCAATCCATCGCGACCTGGGTTCGTTCATGCTCTCGCTTCGTGCGGAGCCATGGATCTCAGCCAAGTCCCCCCCTTTTCCCGCCGCTCCGATGCCTGGGACTGCCCTTTGTTGGTGGAGCGGATCGAGTCCGTCTCCACCACCGCTGCCGCCGTCGCTGGGGTCACTCCCTCCCCATGCACTTCGGCTGCGTCGATGTTGGTTAATACTGCCGCTGTTGACCTTCTCGCTCCCCACTCTGGACCCAGTTCGAGACGCCGCTGCCTCCGCTGCAGCCGGCGGTGTTCCCTCCGATCCTGAAAGACCTGCCACCGCCGTCACTGGACCTGTTCGACCTGGACGAGCACTTTGCATCCGAGAAGGTCAGACTGGCCCAGCTCACAAACAAATGTAAGCACGGACTGCCCCCCCCCGGCTGGTTCGGTGTTGGGATCGGCGCCGCTGCCGCTCTCTCGGCCTTCGTTCATCGCGTTTCAGGCACTGTGATCGCGTCTTGGGCAATTGGCGATGTCGGGTGGAGAGCACGGTGTTGACCGCTGGCGATTGGCGCACCGCTCGGTTGGTTTGTTGGTCTTGCTGGATGGATGCGGCCGCCGACGACGATTGGCGGGAGATCATGCGGCGCCAGCTGAATGGTTGTTGGGTGTCCGGGGGGGGGTGCGACATGGCGGATGGTTTGGTGGTGCCGCTGCAACAACCGGACATGCGGCATGCCGCTTGCTTCTCGCTCCTCGCTCTTGCCATCCTGCCGCCTCGGTCTCTTCTCGCTGCAACCGACAACATCGCATCTCATCTCGCCCACCACTCCATCCGTCTCTCCCATCCCGCCACCGCCCCCCCATGCAGGCAACGACGACGATCTGGAGTATTACATCCGCGAGTGCGGCGAGATCCTGGGCGTCATGGAGAAGCTCGAGACGGGCCAGCGAGACGCCCGTCACGTGCTGGAATATGTCTTCAAGTCGATCGTGAATTGGAAGAAGCTCGACCAGTCCTGAGCACCGATTGCCATTGCCGGCACCACCATCACAGCGGCACCACCACGGCAGCGACAGCGACAACGGCAGTGGCGACTACCAGGATCATGATTGCTGGTGCTCTTTTTTACGGAGTGAAGACCGAGGCGAAATCGGGCTGCGCGGACGATGCATGGCCCGGATCGAGCCGAGAGAAACGCCAATACAACGTGCCTCTCTGGCACTCCTGAAAACTTGGTCGACTCCATACGGGGCCCACGGCTGCCACCCGGCGATAGAGGTGTGGTCCCGGGTGGTCAAGGGGCGGAGACAACCAAGGTGTGCCTGCGGCCGGTGTGCTATGAGTCACCATGCGTGAGGCATCATCCATGCGGGATGTTGCTGCGGGGTGACCTCGGCTGTGTCGAGTGACAAACGAACCGATTGTGCTGTGCTCCATCTCCATCTCCACCACCACCACCACCACTGACCGACCGAGAACCAGAGCGAGAGGCAGGAAGGACGACAATGGCTGCTTTGCATCACTCGGGATAGTGTATGAGGGGCATGCAACAGCGTGAGAACAGGGTCGCACTTCCTTGGCCAAGAAGCAGGGCGACTCCGCTGTGTGCTCCCAGATACCAAAGTAGTGGACCGACGAACATCAAAACAGACGAGACGGATGTGCTGACTCGAAGGTATTGTTGCGGGTTTCGCCGACCACGGCCATGCATTATGGGGGATGAGTGTATATTCAGTATCCAGAAAAAAGCGACAGCCCCGACTCAATAGGGTGACCCGTTTCATTTTTTTGGGAGGGGGCGCTATAGAAGCGGGATGTCGCAATTCATTCTGCGAACACTGTTGATATTGCAGTTGGGAGACGAGAGAGCAGAGAAAAAAAGAAGAAAGGGAGGAGAAATAGCTCAAAAAGAAAGAGCAGCCGGGGCTCAAGCGATTCAACCGCTTCGGTGCCGAGGGCTGGTCTGGGCTGTGTTTCCAAATCACGAGATGAAGGGAGGGCAGCAACTTTGGAGATGGCGGCGGGAATCGGGGAAGAGGGAATGGAGTGGTACGTGCTGTGGTGACGGGCAGCGAAGGGGGCCAAGTGATCCGAGGATGACATGGAAGCATGTCATCGATGACTACGGATGATAGCGGTGAGCAAGGATCAGGTGGACTGGTATGGATGGACGAGACGGGAAAGAGAGGAGAGAGGAGAGGGGAGAGAGAAACCAATGGCGACGGAAATGGAGATGGCCGAAGGGAAAGGAAGGGAGGAAAAAGTGCATGCGGGACAGAGTGTGGGCAAGGTCTCAATGAACGAATGCCGGCGAGATGTGGGAATGGGATAGGATAGGATGGGATGGGATGGGATCGGATGGGATGGGATGGGATCGGATGGGAAGGGATGGAAGGCAGGGTCAGAGCCCGAGGGTAGCATGAAAACGAAGCAAAACGATGGTGTGTGGTAACGGAAGGAAGTCTAGGTGAATTTGAAACACAAATGCAATGATGGGATGCGAAGGATGCGAGGTATGCGAGGGAGAGCGACTGCAGTCAAAAAGTGCGCATTGCTCGCTTCATTGTTGCTTTCTTTCTTTCTTTCTTTTTGTTCTTTCTTCTTGGCGAGAGATAGTCTAAGGGTATCGATAACGGCTGACAAAACTGAAGGAATAGTCAAAAAGCAAGCCATCGACGCCGGAGAGGAGGCAGCCTGGGGCGGGTTCGTGGGCATGGGACATTGTCGCCAGGCAGCATGCGCGGAGCAGGGTCATATCGACGGCTCGGCAATCTCGCCCCAGCCGTTGCCCCACTTTTTCCGGGCTGCGAGGGGAATGGCGTCGAGGGACCCTGTTGATTCGGTTTGGATGAGCACGGATGCCTCCTTGCGTTCGTGGGTGGCCTTTGATTTTTTCGACTGGGCGGCAGGCAAATGCTGGAACTCGGAGACGTGGGTCTTGGCAGGAATGTTGGGGTCCAGGTTGATGAGCGACAGAAGCAGGGCAAAGACCGAGACACGCTGGGAAAACGGGCGGTCCGGGTCGCTGGCTTTGAGGGTGGAGATGCCAAAGAGCCGGATCAGGCTGTAGACCTCGAGGGTCGAGAGCTGGTCGACCGGATAGCGCTCAAATGGGAGCGAGGGCTGGACGCTGGCTGGCGAGATGTTGGCGAGGGACAGGCTCGAGAGGGCGAGCAGATCGCCGCGATGCAGAGACGAGTTGCGAACGGGTGGTTGGGCGGCAGAAGCAGCCTTGGCGAGTTCGGATGAGTCGTCGACAGCATTTTGCTCGGATGTATCCAAGACAGAGGACAGTTTGTCGGTAATATGGAGGTTGCTGGCATTTGCATGGTCAGGCGAAGACCATGAAGTGATGAGGTTGATGCCAGGATCTACAATCCGAATAAATGTTTCGATGCTGGAGCTACGACTGAGTGACTGCGAGGGCTCTATGGGAGGTGTTGGGAGAAGCTGTGGTTAGCAGGGTGTGGCCATAGGCGAGGACAGTCGTGCTGCCATGGAGATGGCGACCCATGGTGAGTGTGCAGGGGATGTGACGGCGCGATGAATTGGCCAACCACCTGGTCGTAAAAGCCAGCCAAGATACTCTGTGAGCCGTGCCCATAAAGTAATGGCAGGCCGCCGCGACCAGAATGGATTGCCGATGGAATGCGGGCCCAATTCCAAAGCCGGCAGCAAGCCATGAGGGGGGGGGATGGCGTGCAGACGGGAGGTGCCGCACCTGTCTCCTCTATGGACTCGGATAACAGGATATCGCATATCTTGCTGGCATTCTCAGAGTACGAGTCGTCAGAGCCCGTGTGAGCTAGGATGCACAGCGAGGCGGAGAGATTAGCCAGAGACAGAGACGGTGGCGGCAGCGACAACAGCAACGGCGTTGCCCTCAATGGTCGACAGAGAGCATACCGAGGCTCTCGCATGCGGATAGAGCCGAGGAGAGGAACATGGCCAGGCTGGGCCGGCCACCATAGGATAACATACAATCACGGCCCACGATGAGCGGGTCGATATGGACGGGATCAAGAGATTCATTTGGCAGACAGAGGGTCGACGTCGAGGCATTGTTGTTGGTCATCACGGAGCGCTCGGATATGGAATCGGAAACCAAGGATGGCGTCGAGCTGTGATGGCAAGATCCCAGCCCAGAATCGGGATTGAGGTTCTTTTTCGAGGCCTTGCGCTTGACTCGGAGCGAGCTGGCCAGCGGGGCGACAGTGGCCTGAGTCCACTGCAGGAGCTTTGTGAACCCCATGAAGGCAGAGAGCGGGAGAGCGGCAGGGCGGAAAGCAGGGCGAGATGCAGGGCAGACACGGCACTGGGGCAGGCTGATCCCGAGCGGGCGATAGGATCGTGCGATGGATCGTGCGATGGGATCGTGCGAACGAGCAAGGCAACCAGGGCCGCAGAACAACCGGGAACTGGGGCAAAGACAACAAGCGAGGGCGCCGCCAAAAAGCAAACAGCGAGGCGAGAAGGGGGCGAGGCGAGAGTGGGAGAGAGAGGAGGCGAGAGAGAAGGCCGTGGCTGTGTCTCCCATGACCGCCATGTCCGCACCCGGGCGCGACGGCGTCATCGGGGCCCCCAACAGCCGCCGCTGGACCGAGAGGCCGGCGCCCTCGGCGGCGCTCTCGCGAGAGCGGCCGTCTGGCGCACGTGGACACACATGACACACCGACAGCCCTCACGTGCTTCGGATCGAGTGCGGGTCGAGCCGGTGGCACCGACGCCAGCGCGTGTCTGTGTGACGGGGGGGGCGGGGCGCGCCTGTGCGGGCTGTTGGCTGTCAGTGCTCAGTCGGTCGATGACAACGACGAGCGTATGAACATTGCCATCGGTATGAACATTGCCATCGGTATGAACATCTCAACCATCAGCATCAGCATCAACATCTCAACCATCAACATCTCAACCATCAACATCTCAACCATCAACATCTCAACCATCAACATCTCAACCATCAACGTCGCCGTCGCACCCGCCCATTCTGTTCCTCCTTGCAGCCCGCTTCCCAAATGGAACCCCCCACACGACCGCCGTGCTCCCTGTGTGGCCCGAGATTGCCCGTGGCCGTCGCGGATGGTGCGCTGTATGGTGCGCATGGCCGATGCTCAAGGCCGATGCGAATCAACAGTGCGCCTCCAGCATCGCACACGCAGGGCCTGGCGAGCACAACCCCCCCGAGGCGGATGCCCACAGGCCCGTCTGCCACCGCCTTTTCTTTCCCGCCGTCCTTGCCGGCTGTCCTTGGTGTGCGCAGCCCTTGTCGGCTTCCCCTTGCTCGGCTGCCGTCGCTGCCACAGGGTCAGTGAAATCCCTTGCTGGCTCTTCGTTGATGCTGTCTGGCATCAGCCAGCACTGGCCAGCACTGACCAAAACCGACCAGCATCCGCCAGCATTTGCACAGCGGCGTCCCAGGATCCGCCTGCTTTTGCTCAGCACTTGCCGGCCGGCCCAATGTCCCTGCACGCCCATCGCCGTCCAATCGCACCCCCAACAGCTCCGGCCCTGCCCTCTGTCCTCATCTCATATCGCCGTCGGCCTGCCTCCATCCCGCTCTGCTCCTCTGTACCCGTCCTCCCAGGCTCATCTCGACGTTACTCCCTCCTAGCGAGCGCGAGGTCCCCCTCAGGATGATCAGAACCCGTTCCCCGTGGCTCGCCACTTGGGCGGCTTTGGCCTCGGTGCTCCCGGGCCTGGCCAATGCGGCGGGAGTCTCCATCTCGGTATGTCTGCTGGCTCAAACCTTGGGCAGCATCAGCGCAACGGGCGAAGGGAGCAGTAGCAGCACTCTGCAAGCTCGCCAGAGCCAGCACGGCCCGGCTCCTTGGGTCTCTTGGATGTCTCCCTCCCCGTCCGTCCCGCCACCGCTTTCCCCCAAGACCAGAACATCTTGTCCGGGTCCTCCCAGCATGCAAAACTCACTCTGCGATTGCTCACCCGTCTCCGTCGGCGTCGCAGTCTCCCAATGCCGGCAGTGGATGGTACTCTTACCATAACCAAGTTGTCTTGAGCGTTTCTTCCTCGGGCCAGTTTGACCCCAACGGATACTATGACCTCAATGCCGTGGTAGGTGCTCTCGCCGGCGCCCATTCCATTCCATGGTGGAATGAGTTCATGGACAGACCCGGCCTCCTGCACCAGCCCCACTCCATGTTCCATGTCCACCAGCCCACCACTAACCTGTCCTGCCAACCAGTCCCTGAACGGCGCCACCTACTATATCAACGGCGGCAGTCTGTCCGATGGGCAAACCGTCTTCAACGTCGACACCACCTGGAGCTCGCTCCCGGCTTCGCAGATGTACATTAGCTTCTGTCAATCTGGCACCTGTATCAACTCGCAGACCTTTACCTACAATCCCAACGGTGCTCCTCATCCTCCTCCTCCTCCTCCCCCTCCTCCTCCTCCTCCTCCTCCTCCTCCTCCTCCTCCACCACCACCACCTCCTCCTCCTCCTCCTCCTCCGCCGCCGCCGCCGCCGCCACCGCCGCCTCCTCCCAACTCGCCTCCTCCTCCTCCTCCTCCGCCTCCTCCCCCTGGATCTGCCCCTGCTCCTGCTCCTCCTGCCAACACTGGAACTGGATCGCTTCTTGGAGCCGTCGGCCCAAACACGGCCTCGGCTGCTGGTTCTCAGGCTTCGGCTGCCGCGACCCAGGCCGCTGTGTCGAGCAGCATCCCGCCCACGATTACCAGCGGCCCGAGCCTCGCCATCGCCAACGGCCCCGCCGGCGCTATCACCAGCATCCCTGCTCCAGGCCCCGCTGCTAGCAACTCGGCGAGCCCTTCGTCTTCCTCGGCCGCACCGACCCTGTCGACCCCCCTGTTGGCTGGTGTCATCGGAGGCGTTGCGGTATTTATCGGCGTCATGAGTATGGGTCTGTTCCTGGCTTATCGCCGTCGCAACAGCAAGGATGCCAACTCAACCGGCCTTCTCATTCACGGCGGCAAGCCCTCTCCGGGTCCGGCACCGAACCTGATGGTTGGCACCACCAACCGCAGCACCATTCGCGGCATGGACTCGTCGCCCGGTCTCAACGCTCACCGCACCCTTCCAAAGGATCTCTCGGCCCCCACCCTGCCCATGCCCCTGGTTCTCACGCCCGAGTCGCAGCAGCGCACTCTGCAGTTTTCGAACCTTGGCCTGACCCCGCAGACCTCCCCCGAGATCAGCCTGGCCCCCGTCCCCAACACCCGTCCCAGCATCGACACGACCAGCACCGTCCGCCCCAGCTTTGATGCCCAGCCCGCCCACCAGAACAGCAAGCAGCCGCACGCTCTCACCCAGATCCGCGTCGATGTCCATCCGTCGCTCACCGAGAGCACCTGGAACACCCCCGTGCTGACTACCTCAAATGTCTCGCTCCCTGGCCCGAACTCGACCCTCAAGCCCATTCACTCGCCCCACACTTCGCCCCGTGCCTCGCCTCGCTCTTCGCCCAAAGCCGATCTCTCCGAGTTTGCTGTCGATCGTCGAAGCGTGCGTAGCCGCCGCTCGCAGCTGAGCAACCAAGGCAGCTCCGAGACCGTCGATCGATACAGCGTCTACTCGCGACAGTCGATTTCGGACACCGTGGCCCCCGAGGTCGTGGATGTCAAGGGCAAGGGCCGCGCCGTTCCCATCGACTACAGCGTCATTCCCACGGCCCAGCCTGCCCCGACTACTGCCGCCCCTGCCGCCCCTGTCGCCCCTGTCGCCCAGGTCTCTCCGCAGCTCGGAATCAAGCCCGTATTCAAGGTTGCCAAGGTCGAGGCATCCGTCCCCAGCCCCGACCACTACTATGCCAAGATCGGCCAAATGTCTCCCGACTCGCTGACGGTAGCAAACGACGATGCCTCCCTGTCCATTCAGCCGACGCCCACGCTCCCGGCCGAGCCCCTCGCCGAGATGGCTCCGGCTGGCTCTCGTCTGTCGCTCCCCGTCGTTGGCGTTCATTTGAGCAAAGCCTCGCCCCAGGGTGCCTTGACCCACGGCCTGGCAAAGCATCCGTCGCTCGAGTCGATTCAGGCACAGCACGGCAGCGTCGATACGGCGTAAACGATCTACTCTTCTTATAGTTTGCCGCCGATGAAATCCTGCGCAAGACTGGTAACAGAAGCATAAGGTGAAAAGGGTGTGCTCATCGAGATATTGTAGCCCATCGACACGCCTGCTTGCACCAAGGGGGCTGTCAAGTACCACCAGCCCCTGCCCAAGTACAACTTGCTTGATGCGACGACACGCTCGTGGCATTCGGATACTCGAAGTATTCTGGGGGGGCCGCAATCGTGGCGTGGCTTTGATTACTATTATTTTCGATGCCTGCATCTCTCTATCCGTTTGGTATCCTCATCTGCTCTTGCGCTATTCTTTCGTCGTTTAGCGGCATTGGATTGCTTTTTCTTTCTCTTTTGGCTCCAAATCGGCGACGAAGCACACAAAACAAAGAACTTGGTGGTCTATTGGCTGAATCGTCATGCTAGGCGTCTCCCTCTCTCTCCCTCTCTCTCTCTTTTTTTCTCTTTCCCTTTTTTCACACCCCTTCGTTCTATAGCCCCTCTATGCGCCCTCCCTGTTATTTTCTTCTCTATGTTCCTCTATCCTTACTTTCTTCATTTGTGGTCGTCCACTTGACCTGCTCGTTACTGGTTTGCATCAACAGCAGCCGACGCGGACTGGGGGGGGGGCAAAGAGAGCGAGACGGTGGGCAAATTAAATGGTAGACCAAGACAAAGTCCGGTCGGCTGGCAAGATTTTTGCAAACGAACCACCCATGTCTGCGAACTCCTTCAGGCGCATAGATATTTGATACAGTTGTCTCTCTCTCTCCTGCACCTCAGCCCCCTCCTTCCCTCTCCCCCACCACCACCCATCAATCCTGCTTCTCCACACTTTTCTACAACCGCCGCGTTCATCGCTCCCTTATAATTGCTCTTCTGCTCCACGTTCTGATGGATGACATGAGCCGGCATAGAGCATCGTCTGTGTGCCTGCCGTTGCTTTTTTGCTCATCTCGGCCATGGTGGTTTCTCGGACCGCCACCCCGTTCACTCGTCGCCCTCGATATTCCGTGCACACATCAGGGCTACCCCTACTCCCTTCTTCCCAAGCCCAAACCAGTTCTCTCGCCCTCCCCGCCTGTCTTCGCCGTCGCTCCTGTGTCTCCCCCCCCCTTCCTTGCTTTGTTATCTGATCTGTTGATGACCTTCCAAACCACCAGTGATCTTGACCACTCGACCCAATATCGTTATCTTCTTGCCTTCTCACTTTGCCCCCTTTCCTCTATCTTTCAATTCCAACAGTTGCAGCCAGGTTGTTTTTACTTCCTTTCTTCGTTGGTTTCCACAAAGGCTATAGTCTCTGAACAGAAATACAACTTGCCAGGCGCACGCTTATTTCGATCTTTGGTCTTTCTCTCAATTCTACCAGCCGAAAGTAGAGCCAAAACGCAAACCAAAGCACCATTTGATGGTTCTTTGCCAAGTACTGCAGAGCCACACGAGATAATCGGTCCGGTGATACAAAGCGAAAGAGTCTGTGAGCGAGGCTCATCCCTCCCAAACAGAAGGAATGTAGTAGTAGAGCGATCCGATGACGTGCTGGGGCGTGTGGAGGCTGAGGTCGACCCATTTGTCGCCCTGGGAAGTCGAAATGAGAGCCACCGCAGCCGCATCGAGCTGATGTCCGCCCTGATGATCGCCCTTTGATCTGGCATGGTCGTAAAAGTAGTGCTGCTGCTGCTGCTGTTGCTGCTGAAGCGAGCAAGCCGATGATCCAGAGAGGGAAGAGTATGAATATGGGCTCCCGTTGAGCCCGAGCCCGATCCCACCCATGCCCGGTCGCCGGAGCTGGATCGAGCCTTGTGGAAGTATATCCGCTATCATCGGGAAGGTGATTCGGATGGGAACTTTGTCGTCTGAGAGATGGAGCACCACGTGCTGGCTCAGCGGCACCGCCTTGGCGATTTCGAGAAGGAGCTTGGATTCGACAGTTTGCTGGGCGGACTTGGAGCAGGAAATGACTCTGAGCTTGGGGTTCTGGACATTGTTCGAGAAGAAGGAAATCGGTTGGACCAAATCCAGCGCAACCCATTCCATTCCATTTCAGTCCATTTCAGTCCAGTTCAGTCCGCACCACGAGGCAATGTTGGATGATAGGAATGAGTACAAGTGCGATTCCACCACTATTTTTCTGCTGGCGGCTGGCGAAGATCATCGGCCCTTGGCCACGAATCGACTTTGCGCCGCTTGTTGTCCCGGTGCCGTTTCCTCACAACAGAGCTGGCCAAAGATGCTCACCCTCTCTTCATAAGCCTTCTGCGCCAGCCCAACTTGCAGCGTTCCTGTCGGTCCAGAGGCCAGGAAAGTGATGGAGTTTTTGCCTGCGTTGATGGTGACTTTGACGGCCACACAGTTCCTTGTCAGTTGGTGCAACAGCAACGATTACCCAAAGCAACGCCTGTCAATCCATCTACCCACCTACCCATCAACCCATCAACCCATCTATCCATCGACCTATCTGGCTCGCCGGCCATTCTCTCGCACCGCCGATCCAGAGCACACAACCGGCTCACCTATTTCACTCGTTTCGGCAAGACTGTGGACGATCCGGCTGAACTCAGCCGAGGACACCTGGCAGACCACGCTGTACTTCATGGGCTGCAGCGCAGTAATGCGTCCGGTGCTGGAAATGGCATCGACTTCATACATGCACTTGCGGGACTTGTCTGAGCGAGAGAATACACTATCAACAACGCCGTCACATCCACTCGGTCGAGGCCAAAAGTCAATCAGGGCAGCTTCCGGATACGTACCAGGGCTCTCAAAGTACATTTCGTAGAGAGCCACAAAGTCTCGATCGCTCTCGTCCGCCCGGATCGTCAGGGAGTCTTCGTCGTCGACCATGCTGAGCTGCTTCAGGAACACGGCCGGATCGATGCCGATGATCATGCTGTCCTTCTGGCACACATACGACGAAAACACGCCCGTGAAGGCTGGGTCGGCCATGGGCAAGTCGCCGGACGGGTAGTCGCCCAAATCACCCGGGAGGCCCGAGACCGAAGATGACGACGACGACGAGAACAGCGGGGCCTCATGGGACATCCTCATCGCCGTCGTCGCCATCATCATCATGGACTCTTGATCGTCCCGCTGGGGTCCCGGGATAGGAAGCGAGGCACCCGTTGGGACAGTCTGGTTGGAGGACGACACTTGCGGCGCAAGCGAAGGAACAGTCGGGACGCTCCCGACGCCTCCGCCGTGCGTTGAGTAAGTGCCTGCTGGTTGCGCAGGACAATCTTGCTCTGGGGCATCCAGGTGGAAGGAAACGACGCAGCCGGGACCCAAGAGCGAATCATAGGGCGTCACGAAGCGGACCAACAGACCGCGCGGAGTAAAAACCAGCGAGAGAGTGCTGAACTGGGCAATGTCCTTGACGGCGGAGAGCAGATCGACCAGGATGCTCTTGGATCCTGGTCGGAAGACCACCTCGAGTTGATGGGTCATGAGAGGCGAAGGCTATGGGTAATGGCGGGCTCGATCTTGGAGTCGGGCTCGATCTTGGACTGCAGGATGGTTGTGCTGTATTATCCCCCCCCCCAGCCAAGTGGTAGAAATAGTTAATAACAACCGTGATCCACCCCGTGCAAGCGAAGAGGCAGAATGCTGGGACCAAACAGCGATGCTCCTGGAATCGAACAGCGCCGAGACCACGGCAGCCGCTCCCAAGCAGAGCGGTCCGATGGATGCGTGGCGAAGGCGCCAGAGCATCCGAAAGGAGCAAGCAAATGGCCCCCGACAGGGTTAAGGAGCGAGGGCTTGCGGAAGCTACCCAGGGTCGATGGCAGCACTTACTATCGGACACCCGCGCTGGCGGGCTGGTGTTGGTGCTTGCTGGAGCTGCGTCCGCAGACGAGAGCAGTGACGGGAAAGAGCCAGCGGCGGCTGCGAAGGAGGGAAGCGATCGATGCGGACGGGGCCTCAGGGTGCTGCGGGAGCAATGGAGCAGACAGAGAGCGATGGGAACGGAGAGCTGACGACCGAGTTTTGCGCTGGGAGTGAGATGTCCGGGCCTTGATCGGCGCTGAAGCAGCCGCATGTCCAGGCAACGCCACTCCCATGTCTCTGCGGCCTGGTCATGCCGGGTCCAGCGCGTTCCAATCACTGTCGGTTTGGCTGGTCGTCTGGCGGCTTCGTCCAGTTGCGCATATTGCCATGGTCCGTCTTTCGGTTGGCCGTCTAGACTCTGGCAGTGTGCTCGCCCGCTTGTTGCGCTTCGGAGCAGGTCCCCATCGACCAACACCCAGTGGATTTCCAGGGACAGCGGCCATGTGGACTGACACACACACATATTATTCGGGAGGGGAGGAGGAAAGAAAGGCACGCCATGGTGCCGCTGTCGCTGAGGACGCAGGAGGGGCCACTTGGACAGAAGAACGCAGGACTAGCCTCGGGAAAGTATCGGATGGGTAAAATCGGTGGCAACGGAGGGCTGGAGCAAAGGAAGATTTCGGCAAAGATCAATAACAGAGTGCACAGGTGCATGTGGCCAGAAGGACCAGGGAAGAAGCGCCCGCTCGAAGGTGGTGCAGGGGATGCAAGCCCGATCAGTCACGCTTGGAACTGCCCTTGGGCTCCTGTCCCATCTTATCAAGGTGAGACAGGTGCTTTCGCAGCGCCTGGTTGAACGAGGGCTCGATGATGTACTTGATGTTGAACTCCTTGCACGTCTCCTTGACAATGTCGAGGATGGCAGGGTACCAGTGCTGGTTGACGCCAGGGAACAGGTGGTGCACAGCCTGGTAGTTCAGGGCTCCAGCGGTCGAGGTCCAGAACCACGACTCGTGCGCATAGTCGAGCGTCGTCTGGACCTGCATCTCCGCCCAGTCCATGGTGATCTGGCCGCCCTTGTCGGGATGGGGCCAGAGGACATCATCCACGACGTGGTTAGCCTGGAAGGTGAACGAGAGCCAGTAGGACGACACCAAGTCCGAGACAACGAGCAGGATCAGGACGGTCGACAGGGGCACGCCAAAGGCCAGGGGGAGAACAACCCGGTAGAAGGCCCAGAAGAGCTTGCCGCCCCAAAAGATCAGATGGTGGTGGAGAGGAGGGGGGTTGATCTGGTGGCCGTCCATGCTCTTGGTGATGTACAGGGTCTTGATATCCGACAGGCGGAACTTGAGCGCCAGCAAGCCGTATCTGTGTGCGTTTGGGAAGCCAGCGGTGGCGGAATCGGCGTCAGCCTGAGCGAAACATTGCGATGCTGGCCCTGAGACTCACGAACACTCGTGGGCATTCATCAGCGTTCGCTGGCATTGGCCGGCATTCACCGGGGGCTTGCCTGCCCATCGCCATACGCTCGGCACTTACGCAACTGGAATAAAGTATGCCTGGTAACGATAGAACGGGCTCCAGCGCTGCTGCTCCTCAACGCGGCGGATGTCGGTGGTAATGTCGGGATCAGCGCCGGTGATGTTGGTGAAGGGATGATGCCCGACCACATGCTGGTCTGGCCGCAGAAAGAGTAGTTTGTTCCGGGGATTGTTGCCAGGTGGTTAGCGATGTCAGGGACACCGAGCTACTGCTCATGCACGCCTCCATCGAGCACACAACAAATCAAAACGATACATCGGACCTTCCTGCACACACAGGAGGTTATCCTTGCACACAGGAGATGGCCCTGCACCCAGGAGGTGGTCCCGCCAGTCCCCAGCGACTTACAGATCCAAATGAGATGAGAGGTTCCGTTGAAAAAGTCGTGAGTCGAGCCGAGGATGGTCCAGACAAGAGGCGAGCGGGTGATGGCGCAGTGAGTGCCGTCGTGCAGGGGATTGAGGCCGATCTGGGCACAGGCAAAGCCCAGGATCACGGCCAGAGGGATCTGCAGCCACAGCGACTGAGAGAACACGGGCGAGTAGAACTGCAGATAGTAGGAGACCAGCAGCGAGGCAAAGACGACTGCGTAGCGGATCCAGGCGCCGAGGTGGTTCTTGAGGTCCCTGGTCTTGAAAAACTCGAGCTCGACCCGCTGCTTGATGGTCCGGTGGAAGACCGAGGGCTCCGGGAAGGTTGGGGTGCGGGCCGAGACGAGCCGGCCGATCCGGAACTTGGACAGGAGCTTGGAGGTCTCGAGCGGATGGTACATTTCAAACATCTGGGTGGCGTCCCGACCGGCAGCGATCCGCAGCATGTCCTTGCCGCCGGGATGGCGGTTGGCAAACTGGGTGACGTCGTAGACCATGCCGCGGATGGCGACCCAGAGCGAGGCGTCGGTGTTATGGGCGGCGAGCTGCTCCGAGGTGAAGGCCGGGAGGGCGGCGGGGTCGGCGGCGGTGGTGGTGGTGGTGATCATGGCAGACGGTCGAGCCGAGAGATGGACCTGCGGGAGCTCTGCGGGAGCACAAGAGCAAGAGGGCAAAAGAGCAAAGGGAGCGACGGCGGAATCTTTTGCGAGTGCGATGGCAAGTGCGGTTGCGGTTGCGGTTGCGATTGCGATTGCGATTGCGATGGAAATGGACCTCCCGTGACTTTTTTCTGCTTGCCGGGTGGGTCAGGGTGATGGCGGGGGCGGGGGCGAATCGCTGCGCCGAATTGACCCGGCGAGTCGAAGCGATGGTCGAAGCGATGGTCGAAGTGATGGTCGAAGTGACAGTCGATCACACCATGCGCTTGGCCGTATACTTGGGCGTCCAGTCCGTGATATCACCAGCGGCAGTTATATCGTCGTCTTGTTCGCCGTCTTGTTCGCCGTCTTGTTCGGCGCGCCGATGCCAAAGCGGATCGTCCCAATGACAAATCGCCACCCGGCCTTTGGGCATCCAATGCTCCGTCCACCGACTCTGCCCGTATCTGCTCCCCTCCCCCAGGCTTCCACCGTCGGCATCCGCATCTCCCCTCCACCATGGAAACGCTCAACCACCGGCCGCCGCATGCTGGAGCAGTGGTCCAGCACCGCCTTGGCCATGCAGCTCGGCTCTCCCAGCCCAGCCACCAGCCTCGGTCGCCGATTCCGCTGCTGCCGAACGAACTCTACATCATCATCTTCTCGTTCATGTCGCCTGCCCAGCTCCGCAAGTGCATGCAGTGCTCCAAGGCCTTCCATGCTCTCGCCTTCTATGTGTATTCGGCCCACATCTACCCCCTCAAAGTCTCCGACATCTTGGTGTCGCATGCCCGAAGCACGGCCGCCGGCCTGGGCACCATCGCCGTCTTTGCCCGGGTCTGCTCCGTCGATGCCAAGATGGCCAAGATTGAATTTTTGGAAAAGAAGCTAGTGGACTCGGCCACCCATGCAGGCGTCCTCTGCCAGAAAGAGTCTCCCGATCCCGCAAAGATCCTCAAGACCGACCTGGGCAAGCGAGTCTGGGTGCGTCGAGATACCAAGGGCGCTGCCTTCCAGGTGCGGGCTACAGGCTTTGAATTCTACGGACATCCAATGAAACTGGGCTCCTGCATCACCTTCAGACTCTGGGACGGACACCCGGTCGAGACCCACATCCTGCGTTACAAGAACGCATAAGCTTGCCGTCGGCAACCTGCCGGCAGGCTGTCGGCTCGAAGGCAACATCACTCTGCGCCGCCCCCAATTCGACTGCTGCTGCTGCTACCGCTGCTGGGCTCCATGCCACTCTTCGCTTACGGCATTGTCCATCCGATGACGTCGGCAATCTGCATCCGCACGACCCGCCTGCCTGCGACTACCCAACTCTTTCGCATCAATCTACCTGTGTATCTGTTCCCCCTCTTGCATTCATCCCTCGTTGCTTCTCAACCCAACCCCTCTCACAGCTCACCTGCTATTCATATGCGGTTTCTTTGGATCCATCGCCCCAACTCCAATCGCTGCCCACGAGTTGCTGCATATCATCGCTCGAGTAAGCAATTTACTGAATGTGTATTCCATCAATCCGCAGCTTCTAGTTCGCCGTCGAGAGAGAGCCAAAGAACGGATGTCGCAGGGCCTCGGCTGCTGTCGGTCGGAGGTCGGGGTCGTAGCAGAGCAGCTGGTTCAGGAGATCGAGTCCCTCGGGGGTGATGCGGGACTGGTTCAGAGGCGTCACTCGATCCTGCCAGGCCTGTCGATGGTAGGTATCGATGGGGTCGTAGAGCAGTCGCTCGGCCTTGAAGGCTGGGATCGAGGCTCGCTTGCAGTAGGCCACAAGATCGACGCCGCCCAGGGTGCGGACAATGACGTTGAACTGCTCTTGGACCTCTGGCGTCTCGCCCTTGAAGAACGTCGAGGTACGGAACAGCAACGAGCCCAGGACGCAGCCCACGGCCCAGAGATCGACCGAGCTTGTATAGTGCTCGACATCCAAAAAGTACTCGGGAGGCATGTTGTGCGCCGAAGAAACACCCTGGGTGGGATAGCGCTTGCCCGGCACGACAAAGTCGGCATGGCCCCAGTCGGTAATCAGCAGCATCCGGGTCGTTGGGTTGTAGAGCAGGGCCTGGGGCTTGATGTCCCTGTGCATGATGCCCATGGAATGCACATGGCTGAGCGACGAGAGCAGCTGGTGCACATAGCGCTGGATGCCGGCCAAATCGATCTGGGCGTTGAGATAGGACCAAGGCAGGCGCTCGGAATACTCCAGAACAAGTCCCGACCACTTGGCCGGGCCCGCAAACAGCTTGGGCTCGGGTTCTTGGAAGGCGCCGGCAAAGCCGACAACGCCTGGCACCTCGTGGAGTTCGTTCAGGATGAACATCTCCCTGAGCACGCGAGCGTCTCGCTTCCCCTTGCGCACAAGCTTGATGGCCACCGTCTCGCCCGATACTCGATCAAGGGCCTTGTAGACGTTGGCGGAGGGGCCTGAGGCGAGGGTGTCTCCGAAGACGAACCGAGCTTCCTTTCTGCGACGACGAGTACCAGCAACGAGTATCAGCAACGAGTACCAGCAACGAGAATCGTGATTTGAATGTCTCGAATACGTCAGTACTTACAACACAGGGGGTATCCATGACTTCCAGAGCGAGTCTGTATTTCCGCTCCTGATTCCAGCAGCAAGATTGCCGCCAGCGAGGGGCACGTACTGACTTCCAAACCCGATTCGTTTGAGATCGGGACGAGATCTGCCGACACTATCGGCATGGAGGGTCTGCTCCGAGTCGGAGGAGACGCAGCTGGCACGGACACTGCTTTCAAGGCTGCGAACGCTCTGACGGTCGGAGTCAAGCAGAGTTTCGTAGGAGCTGCTGTTGCGGCGGATGTTGAGAATGTGGAGGCTGGCCATGGTTGCACGAGTAGAGCAGGAGTGGTCCGGAACAGACGAGATAGTGACAGATGCTTTGGAGAGACAGAAAGAAAATAGCAGTAGCAGATAACAGGAATTAGTGGTGGTGGGACTTGGAGCCGATGCGTGGTGCTGATGGATGCTGGGTGCTGATGGGTGCTGGATGCTGGGTGCTGATGGGTGCTGATGGATCGGTGGTGATGGATCGGTGGTGATGGATCGGTGGTGATGGATCGGTGGTGATATTTATCCATGTTGATTTGTCACCCCCATGCGGAGACTGCCGGAGCGAGCCCACCAATGCCAAAGTTGCTACCCGGGCTGTCGGCCTTTGGTCTTGTCACCGAGGCCGCAGCAGAGCTCGGTCCTGGGGAGTGTCGCTTGCCATGGGGTGATCGGCCGTGGGATCGCTGGCTGCCGCAGCACCGAGGAAAGCAGCGACACTCATCCCAGGCCGCAGACCGCATGGCGGACTTTGGGATTTAGGCACATTTCGATATGCCACTCGGAGGACACAGCCGGTATCAAGGCAGCCCGCTCTCGCAATCTTGTATCAATATCGGGCCCGCTCGGTCGGTTGCTGCGTCGGCTGCTTGATCGGCTGCTGCGTCGGTGGTTTGCCTCGCGCACGGCCAGCCTTCCTTCCAATGCGACGTTCGGGTCCTCAAATGAGTCCTGGGCTCGTCGAAGCAAGACCCCGTCCGCCATCCATCCATCCGTCCGTCCGTCCAGGCATGGCTGCAATGGGTGCCCGCGAGCCCTGGCTGCCTCCGTGCTCTGCATGCTGTCGACCGGCCCCGCCTGAGCCCATGTGAAAGCCCATCGGCCGCCGGCGTCTCGTCCATCCGTCGTCCTCTGCACACTGGCACGGTCGTTCTCTCACTCGCATCTGGCTTCCGGCCCCCTGCCCAGACCCAGACCCAGAGAGACTGGCCTGCTGCTGCTGCTCCTGCACACCTGCCGCTCCTCTGCGACTTGGTTTCCACTCGCCAGCGGCACCCGTCGCCCCTCAGTCGCCTTCGATCCAGTATTCACTCGCGCCTCTGCTGTTGACCACCAGCAACCCAAAAGACATGAACTGGGTCTGGGATACCACCCAATCGTTTCTCTCCCGAAACCGCAAACGGCTGGCCTATGCCGGCGGGATCGCTGCGACTGGCTATACCCTCTATCACCTCGTGCGGCGCCAGTGGCGTGATTACGAAAAGCAGTCCGCCATCCAGCGGACAGCCAAGCAAAAGTACTGTAGTGCCCTGTCGTTGGCCTCTCGTTTCGTTCGCGACGATCGTGCAGTCCCTGGAGTCTGTGGAGTCTGCTCTTATGACTAGTCGTCTCCTGCGATACTGCAGTGGCAGCCATGCTGCCGTTGTCGATGCCTGGCACTGGATCTTGCATCTAATCCCTCCCTCCCTCACCAAACTCTCTGCCTGCGTCGCTCGCTTTCACCTCCTCACCTGCAACACAGCCTGAAATGCCGATTCGAGCAAAACCAGCACGACTGCGCCTTCACGGTGCGGATTATGATTCCGGCGTGGGCCGACGAGATTGCAAAGGAGCTTGGACTGGCCGAACTCAAGCAGCAGCTGCAGAGCATGAAGAAGATCCCGGCGGCTGCGATGGAGGATGCCGAAACAACAGAGGCACCCCAGAAGTCCAAGGCGGAGCTCTGGAATGAGATGAAGACCGCGAGTGAGTTGCGGCATCATGGTTCAGGCAGGCGGGCATGTGCGATCCCAGACGGCTCGCAGAGTCATCTCTCTGAGCAGCTTGCCGGCCCCGCTAACGCTGTCTCGCCTGGGTTGCGCATGGGCTGGCCCCAAATCGCTGGTTGAACTTCCCTCGACCACGTCCCTCCATGCACATGTCTCCAGCATTCATCAAGGCCGTGGTTTCAATCTATTTCGTATCGCTTTTGACGCTGTTTGTGGACATTCAGCTCAACCTGGTCGGCCGGCACACCTATCTCGAGAGCGTCCACACACTCTTCCGTGAGGACGATGGCGAGCTGGAGATCGACGAGAAGCGCGCAGAAGGTCTCTCGGTCGAGACTAGGAGGCAGTTCCTGTCCTTTAGCTGGTATTTCTTGAACGTCGGCTGGAAGTCGTGTCTGGACGACGTCCGGAGGGCAGTCGAGTCGTGTTTGTCTGAGTAAGTATCTGGCTGTCGCAGCCTCAAGGCCGGATGTGCTTCCGCGAGCGAGGCAGTTCCAACCAGGGAGATTCGGCTGTGGTAAAGCAGCGACTAACGGAGAGGAATCTGCACCGACGCACACGGATGCTTGCTCGCTCGCCCACAGGGTCTCCCCCAGAAGCAGCGTCGACTATGAGAAGCTCAACGAGATCGTCGCGAATGTCCGCACCGAGGTGTCGGCGAATCTGTGTCAGCCCCATCGTCTATCCAGCATTCTGTTTCCACCGAAGGAGGCCGAGCCGTTGGTGTTGCTGCAAGCTACTCACACGATGGCCGGCAATGGTACCCCGGCTGTATCTGAGCCGCTGAGGGATCTCTTGGCGGAAGCCCAGGACTTTGTCGAGAGGTGAGCGACCATGTCTCAGCTGGTTGCTACGCGGCATCGCCGGTAGCATCTATGCATACGCGGATCGTCACTTGCGAATGCTGATCGAGTGCCACACTTCTCTCCCAGCACCGACTTTCTCCTCTGCTTCGAGAAAAGCCTGGACGCCGCCTTTGATCTGTTTGCCCTCTATCTGCAATCCGAGCTGTCGCCGGAAGTCAATTTGACCAAGCCCAGGGCTGGACCTTTGCCCGGACCAGGCGACGAAAGCACCCCGGACTCGCCCGCCCCGTCCAGCCGACCGATGCCTCTGGCTGCGGCGCTGCCCCGCGTCGAGCGAGTGGTGGACCACATCCTTGCCAGCGATACGAATCGATTTATCGAGGTGGGTCTCCCGAGGGGCGCTGTCGGGTGTGGGAACGACTGCCAGCCCTCCTTAGCCACGGGTCCAGGTAGTGTTCCGTGCTCGTTCCCAGCTGCTCATCGAATCGTTTCTGCCACGTATCCATCGAACAGGCCATCTCGGTGATTCCAGAGGTCAAGGCGCTTTCCGCAATCGTGTTCACAGGCTGGCCGGATTTCGAGTAGGGACGCCCAGAGCTGAGGGCGCAGCCGTTGAGAGCCAATAGATCCTGAGTTCCTCTTTGCCCGTCCTGTCTCAATTCGCCAACAATATTGCCATCCGAGGTGATGTTGACAGTGATGGTGGTGGTGCCTTGATTGTGCCATATCCCACGAGCGTCATACTGGCAGGGAGGAAATAGAAGGTCCAAAGCCACAGCTCCAGCAGCTCCGGCAGCTCGGGTGGTGAAGCGCTTATATATTTTCCAAGGACGTGCCTTGGAGCGAGGGTCCTGCCTGGTTGATCAAGCAGAGAAACGGCATGAGACGCAGCGTGATGGTGACAAAGGAAGGCGAGGTTATTTGGTATGGAATTTAGTCGACGAGAGCAGCCTTCTCGAGTCTGGCCTTGTAGAGGCTGCCAGCGACGGGGATGTGCTGGAGAACATCTCGCTGGATGAGGGGAGCGACTTCCAGGATGCTGAGGGCAAAGGCACCGGCAGCACCACCCCAGATGGCAAGGGTAGGGATGCTACGAGGCGTGCATGGGGGGGGGATGCGAAAGAGCATAGGTCAGCGAGGGATACCACCGAGGGGCTCGCGGAGGGAGCCGGTGCCGGCAGAGGCAAACCGGCCAACTGCCGCATCCCGCATCACTATCATTGCTGTCGGCCAAGTCGCTGTGCAGATGCTGTCGGCGGTGCTGAGGACGGAATGCGTACAGGACTCGGAGGTTGTTGCGGTGGGCGATGCGCTGGAAGGTGCGGATCCAGGGGGCAACGAGGACAGAGTGGTTGTCGAGCATCTTGGAGGGTGCGGAAGGGTCGGTGGTCCAAGCGGCGGTGCGATGGGATGCAAAGAGACCAAGTGCAGCTGATGGGGTTGCCAGTGTTGTCACGCTTTTTTCGCGACCGCAAGGCTGGCTGCGAATGAAATTAATAGACGCAGATGAATTCATCGGCTGCGCGTCGCGCGGGCTGTGGCACGGGGTCGCTGGCACAACCAAGACACACAACACATGCAGGCAATGCGCCGCGAAGTGTCTGGTGTATCAGAGAATGTGATGTCTGGCGTATCAGCGAATGCGATGTGTCTGGTATGCGGGGCGATGCAGGCGGTGCGGTGTGAGGGAATGCTGTGTGCCTGTCGGGGTGCCGGCGGCCGAACTCGCATCGCTGTCCTGCACGGCACAGACTTGCTCAGACTTGCCTGGTCCGCGAACCGATTCGTCTGCCCAGCGCGGATCCGGCTCTGGCTCGCTCGCTCGCATCTCCATGCCGCCGCAATTCAGACGCCGCGATTTGATCGAGACGCTGCTCTCGTGGGAAGCCCGGCCCGTTGACGGCAAGGGCAACGGCGGAATCGCTGTCGAGCACATCAAGGCTGGAACATGTCTCCTCTCGGAGCGGCCGTGGGTCGAATGGAGCCGAGAAGACTACGAGCCCTGGACGGCCGTTGCTGAAATCCTTGCCCGGGCTGATGCGGGCCAGGACACCTGGGTCGATCTCGACCATCTGTACCCCGGCAATGTCGCATCGCTGCCGCCAACCCGACAATATGAGTGGAGAGACATGCAGATCCCGACATCCGTGCTGCAGTCCTTTCCAAGCGCTTCCCGGGATGAAATAGCCCGTCTCCGATTAATCCTGGACTGCAACGCCTTCCCCTCTGGCCTCGTCATCAACCTCGCCTATCTCAACCACAGCTGCACTCCCAACTGCCAGGTGCTCGAGTACTCGACGGCTCGCGGGCCCGAGTACTCGCTCTTTGCGCTCTGCGACATCGGCGCCGGCCAGGAGCTCACCATCAGCTATCTGGACCTGGCCTTGACCGCCCAGCTGTCGCAGGCCCGACAGCGCAAGCTCGAGCAACAGTACTTTTTCTCCTGCCAGTGCCGCCGATGCACCGACTTGGAAGACGAATCGCTGGCGTGCCTGCAGTGCGACGGCGGCGTCGACTGGGAAACAGGCAAATGCTCCGGATGCCAGGCGGCACTGGGCCGCTCGAAGTTGGCAAAGACCGTCTCAAAGCTGGACGATCTGCTCGAGGAACTCGAGTCGCTGGCCGCCGATGCCGTGCTGGCCTGTCCGATCTTGCAGCCCGACGGCAGTTACCGCATCGAGTCAGAGTGTGCACAGCCCGACGAACTGCTCGCAACCGTTGCGGCGCTCTCTCAGCGGCTGCGAACGATCCAGTCCAAGGCCAAGCCGATTGTCCACCCTGGCCACTTTATCCTGAAGCTCGTCCAGGCATGGGAGCGGGATCTCGCCCGCGCAGGATCTGACCTCTGCGGCGCACCTGGAGAAACAGAGCGACTTGTGCGATCGCTATAATACATCTGCATATCCGCACGACCCAGCGATCGATCTGGTGCTGGGATGCCGTTCAACAGCCGATCCGGTGCTGGGGTGCCGTTCAACAGCCGATCTGGGCCGGGGATGCTTCACGTGACGTTCCGATCCATGAACCCGACGGCCCGCAGAAGTCTTCTGCCAGCCGGCTTGCGTCCTCGTCGCCCGCCCGCTTCCCTCTGTCCCGACCCAGGAGCATCGTCGCAGCCCGCCTTTGATCGCAGCCATCTGCATATACCTTCTCTTGCCACAGCCATGTCTGCCCTGAGCCACGCTGCCAAGCGCATCCGCCTTGCCCCCCGCGCTTCGCTCTTCAGCGCCATCCGCCACAAGACCGACCTCTCGGCCGTCAAGAGCATTGGCATCATCGGCGCCGGCCAGATGGGTGTCGGCATCGCCCAGGTCGCCATCAACGTTGCCAAAAAGGACGTGCTTATCCTGGACTCCAACCCCGCCCAGATCGAGAGGGGCCTCAAGTTCATTGGTGAGTTGCGCATGGCTTGGTTGGGGGCGGGCAGACTCGGGGCAGTGAGTGCCCCATGCGGGTAGATTCGAGGGCATACCGTCTTGTTCCAGTCCAACGTGCAGCATGGCGTCTGTGAGCCATGCTGTAAAGAGCAATCATGGCTGAGTATTGCGAATGCCATCCGGTGATCGGTTGAGATCCGACGCGCCGCGCTGACCGGATCTGCTGTTCGCCTCTCAAGATATTCTGCTGCAGAAGGATGTGCTCAAGGGCAAGATCACCGAGGAGGAGATGAAGGTCGCCAAGAGCCGGATCTCGGTTACTTCGAACATTGACCAGTTCCGCAGCGTTGATTTTGCCATTGAGGTGCGTCGTGTTCGGGTTGGATCCGATGTGTCGTGTGAATCGAGCAACCAGGCAACCAAGCAACCAAGCAACCGGGGAGTCGAGCGACTGAGCAGCCGGGATGCGTGCTCACCGGCTCACCTTATGTCCTTCATCTGCATAACCATTTCCATGTCCGTCTCGTCTTGTGCGTGCTTCGACAGGCCGTCAGCGAGAACCCCACTTTGAAGCGTGAGCTCTTTGCCAACCTGGACAAGATCCTCCCCAAGCACGCCATCCTCGCCTCCAACACCTCGTCAGTTCCCATCACCAAGATCGCTGCTGCCACCTCGCGCCCCGAGAGCGTCATTGGCATGCACTTTATGAACCCAGGTATGGCAGCCGCGACTCAGCCTGGGCGTCCCGCGGCATTGACAGCCACGGCGTCGCAGTCACATCGCAGCCCATGTCGGGTTCAGACGTTAAGATCTGCCGCCGTCGCTCGTCTGCTGCAGTCCCCGTCATGAAGCTTGTCGAGATCATCCCCGGCATCGCCACCTCGAAGGAGACCCAGGACGTGACTGTGGCCCTTGCTCACCTCATGGGCAAGACCACCACCGTCTCGCAGGATATGCCTGGCTTCATCGCCAACCGTATCTTGATGCCCTACATCAACGAAGCCTGCTTTGTGTTGCAAGAGGTAGGATGCGTCTAATATCGTCAGATCCCTCTTTTGTCTTGTCTGCGCTGCCCGCTCCGCTGAGTTTGCTTTGGGTGGTCCGCTCACACGCGAATGCCTCTGTTCGCACCCATGCTTGCGTCTTCAATATGACAAACGCTCAGGGAATCGCCACCCGCGAGGACATCGACACCACCATGAAGCTGGGTACCAACGTTCCCATGGGCCCTCTCACCCTTGCCGACTTTATCGGCCTCGATACATGTCTTGCGATCATGCGCGTCCTCCACGCCCAGCTTGGCGAGGACAAGTACAGACCCTCACCTCTTCTCGTCAAGATGGTTGATGCTGGATGGCTTGGTGAGTGCAGCTGCCCGACAGGACGAGGCATTGCATCTTCACTTTCGATTCGATGCGACTGGCGTGTCTGTGACCGAGATCACTTTGACTACTCCGACCCTTGCCACACATCCCTCGGTCGCCGATACAGCTGGGGCCCTGGCAGTTTGGCAGGGGGGGGGCAGCCACTGATGCCATGGGAGTCGATACTGGTGGAGAAAGCGATATCCGCAAAGCTGACACGATACTCACTGCACTTGCAGGCAAGAAGGCTGGCCGCGGCTTCTACGAGTACCCCAGCAAGTAAGCAGATATGTGTTGCGGCCATGGACATCACCGACTGAGCCACTCCCGTCTGCACGCTTGCAACCACCATGTGCCGCCTGGGCACCCGAGCGACCCAATACAATATGTCGATATCGCGATACTTGCACATGCCCGTTTCCAGTTCAAGAGAGTCTGGTTGTGGATGCTGGTGGCTGGCCAATGCAGTCCATCTTCATGACCAGTTGCAAAACAAGAACAAAATAGAGTATACACCTTCGCACGAGGAGGGCCCCCGTCTCCTCCTGCTTCGTACTCCTCCTGCTTCGTACTCCGCATGCTGCATACTGCATACTGCATACTGCATGCTGCCACTCTAGGCGAGACCAGTTGCTTTGCGGCGTGGTTAAACATTTCATTTGGTTTACATCGCGCGACTCGCTCAGTAACAGGTTCCCCCCCTCCTCTCCTACGGCCACTAAAACAGCCGGGCCAAGTTGTCGATGCTCTTTTGCGGGTCGTCGCTGTATATGACAAAGTGGCCCTGGAGCATCGCGGGACTGACTGACTTTGAAGCCTGGTGGAGGCTTGTCTGCTCGTGGCTTCGTTGCTGCTCCAGCTTGGCAAACAGCTGGACAAACTCCAGCGCTTTCTGGTGCTCCTGCGGGAAGAACTTCAGGAACAGTTTCTCGGCTTGCTCCGGCGTGGCGTTACCAAAGTACTCTTGCATGTCCACTCGTCCGGGCCGGATGAGGGCGGGATCGAGGCGCTCCTTATGGTTGGTGGTCATGAAGATGATGCGTTCCTCGGCAGAGGCGACACCATCGAGAGCGTTCAGGAGCCCCGAAAATGTCACCATGGACTGATACCTGGGACCAGCGAGACGCACCGTTAGCGCAACAGCCATACCGGCAGTGCAGTGCAAGAAGTCGATCGTGGCCGAGTCTATCCAGCGTCGACATGACATCACATGGCGTGAGATCGGAGCCGATCCAGCGGCATGTCAGCGCTATCGTCGGCGGCACTGCCGCTCGGTCGGCTGCAGTCCGGGAACTTACCCCTGGGCGTCGCTCTGCTGCCTCTGTGAAAAGGCGGCATCGATGTCCTCGAGGAGAATCAGACACCGGGGCGGCGTATTGCTTAGCAGATGTGCCAGGCGGTCGTCGGTCATGCCGCGCTCGCTGAGATTCATCAGGCAGATGTTGTAGCCCAGCTCGCCCGCGAGCGCCTGGATATACGACGTCTTGCCGCTGCCGGGCGGCCCGTAGAGCAGATACCCCCGTCGATAGGGAATGCCGCGTTCGTAGTACCACTTGCCGTTGGTCATGAACTTTTTGACGTCCTTGAGGATCCGGTGGGAGATGTTCTGGTCCAGCACGACGCTCTCGAAAGGCCGGCGCTTGCGTGGGTTGCCGAACGGCCGCCACTCGGGCCCGTAGCTTGTGTAGATCACCGTCTTGCCCTCCTCGCATTCGAGCGCCAGCTCCTTGGCCTCTTCAAGCAGCCTCTCGAGGATGGTGCGGTCCCGCGACAGGGTCGTCAGCACAACGCTTTCCCAGGGCGTCCCGGACTGCATGTTGGTCATCTGCTTTTCTCGGGTGCGTTCGACCTGGCAGAGCATTGAGATAGCAGACGAACGGTTGGAGCCCATGTGTGTGCCGGGCGAGGCAAGATCAAGCTGAGCAGGACACATAGCCCTAGAGCGAGGAGATGGGAGGGGGGGAGAGAGCAATCGGCGATGGGATATCAAATGCAACGCCCATGCCCACCGAGAGATCTACCGCACCTGGATCCATGCGCCTCGATACTGGAAGTAATGCCGGCCGGGACCTGGGATCAGCCGGAACTTTGTGAAGGTCGATCCGTTGTCGTGCTGAATAAAGCTGGTCTGGACCGAGAGCTGGTGGCCGGACTTTGGGGTGTTGCCCCGGGAGCTCATCCACTGCAGAAACCATGAGTAGCTAAAGTCCTTGGAGGGGATCTCCAGGGTCACGAGCAAATGCCGCTTGGCCAGAGTAACGCCGTGGATGGCTCCCTGGCGAAGGAGGCCCAGTCCGGCGCCGACGCCGACCAAGCCAAAGCTGGCATCGACGTTGTTGCAGGTTTTGGTAAAAGGATAGATGGGCAAAGGTATGTTGTTAGCTGCCAAGCCCCCAGCGGTCGTCGAGATCCTGAGCACTGGCTGTCCGGAGCGATCGCCGACGGCCATCGGGTCTTTGAGCCCACGGCACCATTTGGCCAGTGAGCGCCATCCAAGTCGGTCCTCGCACCGAACTCACCCGGCAGAAAAGTATGGGTTGTTCATCAACCCGGCGAGTAGCTCCTCCTTCATTGTATCGCAGGCAAAGCCAGAAACCGAGAGAATGGCAAGATGAAGTGCGGGGAAGGGGGCAGAAGACAGAGGCAAAGGATGAGAGGCGAAGAATGCGTTCAAAGTATCTGTCCGGCGAATCGGCCGATCGAGACGGATTCAGACGGACGACAGGCTCGGTGGCAGATGCAGGCCCAAGGAGCCGCAGGAGTTCGTTTGCTCTTGTCAATTTTTTCTTTTCGCGTGTCGTCGGAGTTGACTCACTTTGGAGGACACCACGCCGGCATGGACTTTGGCACATCGAGGGGGCAGACCCAGCACGCCGCAGCGGGTCCATCTTGCGCACCATGGCAGTGGCGGGGGGAGGAGGCCGATCATGTCAACGCACCAACGAGCGTGCGTTTATTGATTCATTCATTCATTCACAAGCGACTCGCTGCTCGTTGCCGGACAAACGAATCACCCGGTTATGGAGATCGGACAGGATGCGAATGTATTCGAGATGGCACAGCTACAGCTCTTTCCACCGTTGTACGCATGCCTTAGGAGGTCGCAGGCGCAGAGTCAGGAGCAGGGGCCAGCGCAGGATTGGGTGTGGACACTCAGATGGAGAGCTTCTTGACCGCATTCGAGAGCTGATCGACATCGTCCTCCTTCTGCTCCTCTTCCTGATCCTTTTCTTCCTCTTCCTCTTCCTCTTCTTCTTCCTCCTCCTCTTCCTCTTCTTCTTCCATCTCATCGAGCTCGTCCAGCGCATCCTCGTGTCCGTGCGACCGCAAGACGCTCTTGATGGACGAGACAGCATCCGCTTCGGCTTCGAAGCAGTTTCCGTTGAGCTCCAGCAGAGTCAGCTGCTTCTTGTTCTGGAGCATCTCGGGGATGAGCTCGGCGCCCTTGATGTTGATCTCGTTGAAGCCGAGGTGCAGCTTCTCCAGACCAGGGTGGGTGTCGGTCAGGGCCTTGATGACCTCAATGCCACCCTTGGCACCGAGGAGACAGTCGCCAACGTTGAGGTGTTTAAGGTCAGGCCACGAGCCCAGGGCCTGGGCGAGGACAGCCGATCCCTTGTCGGTGAAGGTGTTGTCCTGCAGATCGAGCCATCGCAGGTGCTTGCACATTTCGATCGACCGGACCAGGAGGGTGATGCCCTCGGGCCGAATGCTGTTCTGGGGCATGCGGATCTCCTCCAGCTTGTTGTGGAGCTCGTAGGCCTTGGCCAGGTACTCGGCGCCCTTGCTTTCGAGGCGGTTACGACCGGCCACAAAGACCCGGAGCTTGGACTCGGCGCCCTCCTGAACAGACTTTTCGTGAGCCTCGGTCAGGGCAGAGGCGATGAGGCGGCCACCCTCGATGCCGAGACCACAGTTGTTGAGCAGCAGGTTCTCGATGTGGCGGTTGTTGATCAGGAGCCGCATCAGGGGCTGGGCACCAGCGGGACCAAAGGCATTGTCGCAGAGATCGAGGGTTGTGAGGTGCTTCTATCCGATCGACGCCGCGAAGGCGATGCATGGTGAGAGCAGTGGGGAAGATGGGGTGGTAGTGGTGAGTGCTTACAATTCGGAGAGTGCGAGTTCAGCGTCAGCAACGGCCGAATCGGCCAGAGAACATCATCCAGACAGATTGGTCGATTGTACACAGAGGCAAAGCGATCGTTCCGGCGAGCAGGATTGGCATGGCTCTGACCGACGGCAAACATGCGTCGACGACCGGGCTGGTGCTCGTCAGTTTGCATACTGCCTACCTTGTCCTCAAGAGCCTCGACAAAGGCATCGAGAGAAAGCGGGATCTCGTCTCTGAGACGGCTGGTGAAGATGTCGCTGAGCTGGGCAGTCTGGTGGAGGAGCGAATGCGGAACAAGATGTTAATGCTCTAGTGCACGGCCGGGAAGGCAGAACGTATCCGAGCCGGCGCGTAATGCCAACGGGCAGACGAGCGGCTCTGCCACCGGGCTCTTCCACTCGGCTTGTGTGGCGATAATCGGGTCGAAGGGCTGTCCGGACCGTCCAGGCTGCTCTCGAGATCTGATCGCTCTGCGGAAGCGGAGGGGCAGGCCAAGGCTGTCTGGCCAGCAGCCGAGGTGATTGCAGCAGGCCATTCAACCCAAGCAAGAAATGCATGGGATCCACATGGCCCGTCGGATCCAGCGCCGTACAAGTAGCCTGGCGAAAGGGATGCGCTACCGACCTTGAGCGCATGCTTGTCCTTGAGGGCAGCAGCCAGGGCTCTGGCGGCCTCGACACCGAGCGAATTGCCCGAGAAGCGGATCTCCTCGAGGGCAGGCAAAGCATTAATCTCCTGGACAAACTCCCGGACGTCCTCGGCTGTGTTGAGCTTGAGGCCCTTTCCTTCGATTGAGTAGATGACAGCAGGCATGGCGAGAAGGCTGGCTCGACCGGGATGTGAGGAGCAGAGATGTGTCAGCCCGTTTGGTTTGCCGGCCGCGGGTGGCAGTTGAAGCCAGCAACGCTGGTAAGAGCAGCTGTGCAGAGGAGGAGGAGAAGGAGGTGCCCGGCTGGAACCTTATCCGGCAACATGGCAGCGGACAGTCCGTCGAGCGACACATACCTGTGGGTGGTGTTCGGGAGGAGGGGGTGATCTGGCTCGGGTGTGGTGGTGGTGGGCGTTTTTTGACCCAGGTTTTTCGCCTGGCTGGATGGCTCGAACAGCAGCGCGGCTGGTTCCAGCCGACGGCAAAAGATAGCAGCCCTGGCTCAAAAATATTGGTGTGTCCCATTGGTGTTGGGCGGCGTTATATATTTACAGACCAGGCGGGTTACAGACCAGTCAGTTGAAAACAAAGAAGAAGCAATGATTATTGAGGGAGGGAGGAAGGGGAATTTTTTTTTTGCTTTCGCCTTTCTTTCGTTTGTCTGGGGATACACATGAGATTCGATTTTTGGTAGAACAGCCGGTAAGGAGAAATCAGAGAGTCAAACAAAAAAAATCAAGCAACATAGAGAGATAGATAGAGGGATGGAATCGCGGCGGGCAGGGGAAGGTGACTCAGCAATGAGGTCGTGTGGCTCGGGATGCGCTCCTTAACCACCAGGCGCACAAGTGCCGTGGGATGTATGCGCCTGCGGGCTGGTCTATGACTGCTTGCCACCCAGAGTAGCGCCAATGTTCCAGCCGAGGCCAGCGTCCACGCCGCGCAGGATGTCTTGTGGCGTCTCGGACTTGTCGCCAGAGAAGTAGATGGTCTTGGCAGGCAGGGCCTTGCGCTTCTCGATCTCGTAGACAGAGAGCTGCATTCTCTGGGCGTGGCCCTCGGGAACCTTGGCGTAAGCCTCGGACAGCAACTCGATCTCGCGTCTCTTGGCATCGGCAAGGGCAATGACGTTCTTGGCCTCCTGCTGGGTTCTCAGCTGCGACGACTCGGCCTCGGCCTCGGCGCTCTTGAGGATCTTGTAGTAAGCGGCATCGGACTCACGAGTGGCAACGTAGTAGCTGGCATCGGCGGCGGTCTTGCGCTGCTCGGCCTCGACCTGAGCGATTTCGAGCTTGCCTCTCTGGGTCTCGGTGGCAATGTGGTTCTGCAGAGAGATCTGGGTGGCCTCGACCTGGTTGCGAAGCACGCGCTCGGACTGCTTCTCGAGATCCTTGCCGAGAGCACCCTCGAGCTCACGGTCGAGGACGTCGAAGCTCTCGACGAGGATACCGTAGTGGGAGGCCTGGTGGGTAAGATCGCGCAGGCATTCGGTCTTGAAGGCATCGAGCCAGGGGTCGGCGTGGAAGTCGGGGACGTCGACGTTGATCGACTTTGCACGCATGAACTGCTGGTAACTCAGGCGCGAGACAACCGAGTTGACGGCGGTCTGGGCGGGGTTGGCCAGGGCCTGGAAGGCGTCATCGTAGTTGGCGGCGAGCAGGAGGGGATCGACGATTCTGTAGCGCAGGTTGACGTGGAGGACGACGGGGACACCCTCGATGGTGTAGGCGGGCTGGGTGCGGAAGCTAGTCTGGTGCTCACCGAGCGAATAGAAGCCGCGGAAGGTGGTGTGCGGGTTGGTGATGACGTGCTGGCCGGCATTGAGCATGAGCAGGTCGTTGCCACGCTGCAGAATCAGGCGGTTGTTGGCGGGAACGACAAAGAAGGTGGCGACGACGACAGAGCTGCCGTTGAAGGTGACGCGGACGTCGCGCTTCCAGCCCAGAATGCGGCCGCGGTTGGACTTGCCGCTGGGCTCGGTTTCGTAGTGGGCGTGAGAGTCACCGAGATTCAGGGTATCGACGACCTCGATGACACGGAAGAGACCGTGCGAGCCAAAGGCAGCAAAGCCACCGTTGCGGATGATGAAGATGCGGTTGTTGGGGTCCATGATAACGGCGGCCTCGGACTGGCCGACCTGGCAGGTCGTCAGACCGAGGACCTCGCTAACCTTGGTAAACTCGGCTTTGCACTGCCAGGTGTGGCGCCAGGAGCTGGATGGGGGAGGGGGTGACGATGGAGCCAGGGTCAGTCGATCGGTTTGAGGCGAGGCGACGAGGCTCCCCAGAGCCGGGAGGGTACAGGACAGACACACGAGAAACAGGCAAAAAGCACAGACGACGAGACGGGGTATGGATACACAGCAGAGCGGAGCAGAGCAACTCGGGAATGCAGGCACGGCAGATTTGGGAGTACGTACAAGTTCCAGTAGTTGCCGGGCCTGATGGCGATGATGGGACGGCCGTTGCAAGCCCAGACGCCAAAGTAGCCGGCTTCGACGACGTGGCCGCCGAGGGGACGGTTGGGCTTTCTGGAGATCAGATGGTGATCCTTACTGTCGCGCATGCGCTTATCGAGCTCGACGAGGGCATCCGCCATGGTGGTGGTGATCTCGACAAAGTATTGATTTTGCTTAATAACCGTGGGGATGGCCCAGTCGTCGCAACCATCGACAGGGGGAATGGCGGCAGAGTCGTTGCTGGCGATCAGCATGGGCTGCTTGGCCTTGTCTTTATCGCTGACGGGCTGGCTCATGGCGAAGAGACGGTAGGATGGGCGGAAAGCTGGAGCGGAGGCAGAGAAAGAGCACGGAGGAGGACTGGGTTGAGAAGAGGCTTGGTGTGATGGAGAGCGTAACGGAAGGCGGCGGGCACGTATTTATATTGGGTTTCTCCGCTGGGAGGGCGAAGCTTCGAGTCGCCATGGAGCGCAACGACAGCCATCTCGGACCAATGGGCGGGCGGGTGGCATTGGTGGCGACGCAAGGGGGGAGCGAATGACGAGGAATGAGGCGATGGGGGGCGCTGCGGCGAGAGCAGCGGAGAGAGGAGCGAGGGAGTGAGCGAGAGTGAGTCAAGCAGGGACAGGGATCAGAGACAGCGCGCGAGCGAGAAGGAAAGAGAAAGGCGACAAGCAAATACCCGACGCGCTGATACCCAAGCCCATGACCACCAGGCCGGTGTCAGAGCCAGAAAAGGCAGGCCATGAGGTCTTGGCAAAACGCGCTGCTGCTGTGTTGGCGTTGGACAGAGGAAGCCCAGGCGGGGATGCGGAGCAATCCGCAGTCCACGCGGGTCAGGCGCAAGAGAGAGTGTGTTTGCGCTGTGTGGGCGTGGCTGTGTGCGGCTGTGCGACATGGACTGTGTCACACGGATCGAGTGCACTGGAGTGCACTGGAGTGCATTGGAGTGCATTGGAGTGCATTGGAGTGCATTGGAGTGCAGCCAGCACACACACACACACACAGCACAGAACGCCCAGCGCGCACAGAACGCACACGCACACACAGCACACACAAACAGCGTTCTCGCCCGCGCTCTCGCCTGCGTTCTCGCTGCTATGTGCGCCACTATGCGTGGCGGTCTCGCCTGCGCTCTCGCCGCCGCCCTCGCCTGTTTTTCTTTTTTCGTTCCTCTCCCAAACGAAAACGTCTTCGCCAGGCCCTCTCCACTTGGCCGTCTTCCCGCCGGGTCCCCCCCGCTCTCTCTCTCTCCTCCTTGCCCGGCTATTCCCACTGCTCCAACGTACGTCTGCGATCCATTCCTCTGTCTTGTCCGTGTCCGGCTGCTTTCGATTCCGCTGCCGTCCTGTCCTGCCGGCCCTCTGCTGGCTCAACTCGCATATCGCCTGCCGTCGCTTCTCGACCAGCCCCCCCCCCTTGCTCGTCCATCCACGCGCACCCTGCATCTTCTACACCGCCGAGACCCTCTCCCCCCCCAGTCTCCGCTATCCCTGCATCTGTCCTCCGATCGCCGACACGCCGTACTGAGATTCGCTCTCCTCGCTTCCTCCCTCTCCACACAGACCTTTACCGCCTCCTCCCCTCTCTCCACAAATCATGGCTGATCCCGATAACGGCTGGCGATTTGCCCAATGCTTCGGCGATAAGGGCGACGTCGAAGATGTCACCGAAGGCATGTGTCCGTCCCCCTGTCTCGGCCTTTTTTCATATACATATCGCGTGTGCACCGACCTCAAGTGCCAATCGTCTCCTGGCCAAATCCGTCTTGCTTTTCTTGGCCAACGTTTGATTTTTTACTACTGCCTTGACGCCTTTTATCGCGACGACGATGCAACCGGCTGGGGCGATCTGTCTTTCCCTCCTTTCCCTGCTGCACCCGATACACCGGATCTTCTCCGATTGACTCGAGCTCGGCCCGTGCCCTCTGTCTCGGATATCGAATCAACCTGCCGTTGTTGTGTTGGGTGTCTGCTGGGTTTTGCCTATGCCGTGGCCATCCAACCTGAAGGCCTCTTGCCCTTGTCTGTCTGGTGGTGATGGCCAGGTCCCAAGGCGCCTGCCTCAGCATCGCCGACTCTTCCGGGCCGCTCGCGGCCTCCGCTAATGCGAGCCATCATACATCCGACAAACCCACTTTTGTGACCCTGGCTTGTATATGGGTCCATCCAACTAACTTCTGTGCTGCTGCTTCCTTCACGACAATCCACGCTGCGCTGCGCTGCGAAAAACACCCGGGTTCGGCTCTCCTTGCCCGGCTTCTCGACGACGGCGATGCTGGATATCGATTGGGGACACGCATTCCTCCCGAATCACGGGCTTCCGCCACCGCTACAGCCGACATCATCTCGGCCGTTGAGTTCGATGGAACCGGCGATTATCTAGCAACGGGCGATAAGGGCGGCCGTGTCGTTCTCTTTGAGCGCAACGAAGGCGTAAGTTGGCTGCTCAGATCGCTGGCGGATATGGGATCGGCCTGTCCAAAGAAAGCTGGGCCCAGTCGAAGACTGACTGGGTCGATATGTGGCTGGCTGGACCGATCTGTGGCTAGCTGGGCCGATCTGTGGCTGGATGGCTGGCTGGATGGCTGGCTGACTGGCTGGCTGACTGGCCATCGGCCGAGCCTCGTCGGCCCCCTCCCCTCAACCTCGTGCACTCGGCAGTGCGCCACCCGCGACTCGGTCTCTGTGATTGACTGTGTCGCTTTCCTTCGCTTGCATGGAACCCGCATCGGACGACGTCGCTGCAGAAAAAGGGCTGCGAATACAAGTTCTTCACCGAGTTCCAGTCCCACGAGCCCGAGTTTGACTACCTCAAGAGTTTGGAAATCGAGGAAAAGATCAACAAGATCCGATGGTGCAAGCGACAGAACGCCGCCCACTTCCTGCTCTCCACCAACGGTAGGTCGCCGCCCTCTCCACTCGGTTTCGGGACACCCAAGCGCACTTGAGCGCATCCTGATGAGACCCGTGGCAGCCACCGGCATATTTCCGTCGATTTGATGGCCCTGTGCCGCTGCCTTGTTCTGATCTCGTGCTCTGCCCTATATCGTGCCTAGACAAAACCATCAAGCTCTGGAAGATCTTTGAAAAGAACATCAAGGTCGTTGCCGAAAACAACCTCGACCTTGGAACAAACGGCCTGCAGGCAAACAGACAGCTCCGCATGCCCAAGCTCGTTCACCACGACACCATGATCTCGGCCATCCCGCGTAAGATCTATCAGAACGCCCACGCCTATCATATCAACTCCATTTCCGTCAACTCGGATGGCGAAACGTACCTCTCGGCCGATGATCTCCGAATCAACCTCTGGAACTTGAACATCTCGGACCAAAGCTTCAGTGAGTACACGCCTCCCCATGCGATCCCAGCCCTTGGGCTCCCAGATGTCCTGTGTGTGTGCGTGCATGCGTGCGTGCGTGCGTCTGCGCGTGTGTCGTGGAGGCGATGTCTATTTCCCCCCGGCAATATCCGCTGTTGTGCCAATTCGGCCAGCTGCCAGATTCAGCCATTGGATACTTTTCCCATGTGTGCGGCATTTCTGGCAGCGTTGCTCGCTTGCGCTGTGTGGATGCCAAGTCCGCTTACTCATCCGCTCACTTGCAGACATTGTGGACATCAAGCCCGTGAACATGGAGGAGCTGACCGAGGTTATTACGGCCGCCGAGTTCCACCCCGTCCACTGCAACATGTTCATGTACAGTAGCAGCAAGGGCACGATTAAGCTCAACGACATGCGAATGTCGGCGCTTTGCGACAGCCACTCGAAGCGTAAGCAGCAACCGCAGTGTCGGCGCATCCACCGACCCTCCGCTCTTGCATTTCCAGTGCCCCTGGCTCCAATCAGCTTGTCCCTGGCTCCAGGTGCCTCGACTAATCGTGTTTTTCTTCGACCACATCTGTGACCTCGTCTCCTGTGGCCCATCTGCCCGCCGCCCACCGCAGTCTTTGAAGAGGAGGAGGATCCCCAGAACAAATCCTTCTTTTCCGAAATCATCTCCTCAATATCCGATCTGAAGTTCAGCCGCGACGGCCGATACATTCTATCGCGCGACTATCTGACATTGAAGATTTGGGACTTGAACATGGAAAGCAAGCCTGTCCAGACGATCAGCATCCACGATCACCTCCGCAGCAAGCTTTGCGATCTCTACGAGAACGACTGTATCTTTGACAAGTTTGAGTGCAACTTTAGTGGCGATGGCTCGTAAGTCTCACCGGCTGAGCGTGGTCGGCATCATGACCTTTCTTTTATCATTGTGTGGTGCGGATTTGCGGTCCAGGTCGTTTGATCACCCCGTGCGATGGCGCGGACACTGGCGTGGCTGGCATTCATATGCGCACACCGGGCTGTTCGGGTCGTGAGCTTTCTTTGCGCACCGCCTGGCAGAGAGCTGCTTTGAATCCCCCGAGTCAGCAAACACTGTCACCTGCGGATTATGGACTGGCGATCGTTACTAATCGACTATTGCGGTCCTCCCCTGTTTCTCTCGGTCTAATCTTGCGCACGCACGAATAGCTCCATGTTGACGGGCTCCTACAACAACTTCTTCCACATCTTCGACACCGTCAACAAGACCGACACCATCCTCCAGGCCGACAAGAGTGCCTTCAAGGCCAAGAAAGTTGGTTCATCAAAGAACAAGCCCAATGCCGGCCGCAAATCCAAAAGAGAAGAGTTCACCAACATGGATACCTTGGACTTTTCCAAAAAGATCTTGCATGCGTCATGGCATCCACGAGAAAACACCATCGGTAAGGCAAAGCGAACGAGGAAGGGGGGGGGAGGAGGACTGAAACATTCATATGAGGGAACTATCGACAGAGTGTGTGGGCGGCAAGGCGCAGATTTGCCAGGATTCATAGCTGCGGTGTCAAAGGAAGTCACAGGAGAGGGGGGGAGTCACGTTGGTGTTCGCTCGGCTTCTGGATCATGATCCTGGCTATCCCTTTGCTCCACGGCACGAATTCCGCGGCAAACTCACTAACGGCGTTCTTTCTATACTCCTCTGTCTCGTAATGCCATGCCTTATCTCGGCCCTTGTCGCATCCTCGTCTTGTTGCTCTCTGGCCATGTACCGCTGCTCCCTGGCCTCCTGTACACCGTATATTCCTGTGACGTTGTATCATCCACAGCACTTGCGGCCACCAACAACCTATTCCTCTTCCAACAGCAGCATTTCTAATGTTGTAAATACTTTGATTCCTTGTTGAGAGCGATGTGCCCCCCCCCTCAATTCAATCTAGGCCAATATCTAATTGTACCGCCGCTCAGATGACGAGCTGATCATGTCCCATACTCGCCGCCTCCCACACCCTTGCCTCACTCTCGACCCTCTCCGATGATTATTGTTTATTACAGTCCCACGAGCGCCACCCTGCCTTTCTTTGCCCTCCTTATCGCTTCCGTTCTCTCTCTCACTCTATCTCTCTATCTCTCTCTTTGCGATTGCGTTTCGATTCTTTTCTTCTTCTCTCTGTTCTTTATTTGTGCTTGGATTGCTTGTGTTGTTATTGCCCCCCCTCCTTCTCTCTCATGATCTCCTCCGCCCCTTCCTCTCTTTCCTTCTCCCCTCCCCCTCCCACCACACTCTTCCCCTCTCTCGTCTTACCTTCGCTTCAACTCTTTCTGCCGAATATACAGCGTGTTCATACAGCTTAGACAGCATGAGTCACGTCCTGGGGGTGGGATTTCGACAGGGAGCTTTATCGTCCATCGGAGGGCTGTAGTATTGGCGGTCGGTGACAAGGCTCCAAAATGCGCGAGGGAGGGGAATGATTGGACTCTGCTGGCAATATCGATCCTTTTATTTCTGGAACACGAGATGCACCTTTGCTTGTTGGAAACACAGGCCATTCCCTGATGATCTGACCAATTGATGCTGGTCCGGGGTTTGGATTGAGGAGAGGATGGTCGTGGTGCCAAGGGAGAGCTGGCGGCATGCATACAATCCTGTACAGTTGATTGCCGGCTTGCTGAATCACTGGAATGGGGGCTGACAGAGCCGATCCTGCCTCCAGAAGAATAATGCTAACGCTTGCCACGGGTCTGTGTTTATCGAGTGTCGTGCTTGCTATGTATTGAGTGATATTCCAGCTCCAGCGTTTAAGGGCTCACTCGAATACTCTGATGTCTGGCAAAGTGCCATCCATCACTGGGATCACCAAAGAAAGCAACGGACAGGGAAAGGAAACGGGAGACACGGCACATCTGGAAGAAAAGGTAGAGACGACAGATCCAAATAGAACAAGAGACACGAAACACGGGATATCACCAAGATTATGAGGCATTCAGAGTCCCGAACCCACCATCGCCGTGGTGCATCGGACCTCAGTTGCGGCCGGTGCGGGTGACCGCGCTGGTCTCGGGATACTTGATCTTGAAGGACGAAGACGGGTCCAGGGGATCGCCCAAGAAGCGAACGTGGTGCAGATAGTTGAGACACTTCTCGACAACCCCCTCCAGCGAGGGACAGGGAGTCGGGTAGATCGAGCGGGTGTTGGCGTTGTCGATCTTGAAGGACATGTCCATCATGATGTGCATGAGCGGGAACAGGGCGTTGCTCTCGACGGCGGGATGGGAGTGGAATGCCTCTTTGAACTGCTCGCGGGTCTCGAACAGGATCGGCCAGCCATGGCTCCTGACAATCTCAAACAGCCGGGTCTCAGTGAGGACACTGTGGCGAGTGAGTGAGTGAGTGAGTGAGTGAGTGAGTAATCAGAGTCAGGATCCACCATCCACACCACAACATATCACACCATATCCACATCACACCACATCACACAGTCCTCACCTGTGCTCCGAGTCGCTGATGTGGAACACAAACTTGGACAGGGCCTCCTCCGAGCCGGCAATCTCGGCAACCACCTTGGCGACATGGTCGACGGGATCCATGGTCATCGTGACAAGAGTGGCGTGCGAGGGAGCAACACCAAGTTGGATGCATCCCTTGACATATCGCCAGATGTAGTCATCAGAGTTGGACACTGGAGCAATGGAGGGTGTGAAGGTGTCAGTTGGTGTCAGTTGGTGGGTGAGTGGCACTTGACAATCGAGACCATCGATTCATGGCCAGTCCGTGGGAATGAATGAGACATTTCCACTACATCACACCACACCACACTCAGCTTACCTCCGTACTGGCTGTCGCCAGCAATGACGGCTGGGCGAATGATCGTCGCAGGTACTCCCCTCGATCGTGCCTTGTTGACCAGCTGCTCAGAGACCCACTTGGTCTGCGAATACCCGCCAGAGATGTTCCAGGCCGAGTAGATCTTCTCCTCGAGCGGCTTGTCTGCCTTCTTGGCCATCGGGATCGTGCCGATGGTCGAGATGTAGTGCAGCGGCTTCAGGTGGTGGGTTGTGGCCAGTCTCAGGGCCGTCGCAGTGCCGAGGACATTGGGTCCCTTGAGTCTGTCATAGTCAAACAGCCAGTGGACCTCGGCGCCGTTGTGGACAATCATGTCGGTCTCCTCGCTGATCTCCTTCCATCGCTCGTCCGAGAGTCCCCACTTGTTCTTCGACAGGTTGCCGCACAGTCCAACGAGTCGAGACTTGAGGTTGTGGTCAAGGAAGGCTCTCTGGCTCGGATCGAGGACCAGCTTCTGAGCCGTGCTGATGATGCGCTCGACAGCCACCTGCTCGGTCGGGGCTCGGACCAGGCAGTAGATCTTGGCCCGAGGGAACTTGTGGGCCAGCTCAAAGACCAGGAAGGCACCGAGGAAGCCAGTGGCACCGGTCAGGACGATGCCGCGAGGGTCCTTGGGATAGACAAACGGAGGAAGACCCTCGGCCGTCACACTCGCATCGTCGAGCTTGGCGGCCTCGGCAGCCAGATGGACGGTCGGGGGAATCATCGGTCTGTCGTCGAGGATGTCGACAACCAACTGGGCGACATCAGTCGGTGTCATTCCGTTCGACAGGAGGATAAGTGGCGAGATCTCGACATTGAACTCGTCCTTGATGGCGAGGGACAGACGGCCGACACTCAGCGAGTCAAAGCCGACGCCGCCGATGTAGTAGTTGCGGCCGTCGAGGGCGGGGTTGTCGATGATCTGGCTGCCAAGTGTGGATATCTTGGCGGCGGTGCGGGACAGGGGAGTGTTGGCGAGTTTCAAACGAGGGTACTCGACCGACTTGCCGAACTGATCGACATTCTCGGCGATGCGCCTGAGCTTCTTGAGGTCGCGCTTGCCCGAGTCGTTGAAGGGGAACTCGTCGAGCTCGAAGCAGTTGTGGATCGGGAACTTGGCGACGTTTGTCAGCGCAAACATGTCCTCGGTCAGCTGCAGAAGCTCGGCAGGAGTGGGGTTGACCTGAGAGCCCCTTCTGCGGACAAAGAGCATCACGATCTTCTTCTCGGAAGTCTGGATGAAGGCACAGTCCGAGATGATCTTGGACATGTTTTCGTTGGCCAGCTCCTCGAGGGCGTTGAGGTCGACATAGACGCCGTTGACCTTGATCTTCTGGTCGAATCTGGAGTGATGGTGTAGAGTGAGGGAGTGGATGGCGTGAGTATCCGGGATGCAGGAGTGGGATGTGTAGTCAGGATGCCAGATGTGCAGTCGCCATCAACGAGAGATGCAACACCCGGCCATCGACCTCACCTTCCAACCACAGTGAACTGGTTCTCGCCAACCATCTCGACCCAGTCCATGCTGCAGATTCGAGGTGAGCCATCCTCAAGGAAGCCGAAGGGTGAGAGTTTGTCATTCGGATTTGCATTGACAAAGTTGGGGTGGTTCTTGATGGGATGGTCCTTGTCGACGGCAAAGACGAGCACACCAGTCTTCGAGACCTTCTGGTCGACAATGTTGCCGTCCTCATCAAAGAGGAGACATCTCACACCTGGTTTGGTAAGCTTGTAGACGAGCTTGTCCGATTTGAGGATCTGGTTGGCCGGGAGGTGGAAAACTGAAAGTGCACCCACAAGCAGCGACTGAGGTTCATAGTAGGGTGAGAAAATGTCTTTGATTCAAGAACTCCATATCAGCTTCGACTCGGCGCCTGTTACTTACTTCACTCGACCCATATACGAGTCCCAATTCAGCATTTGGGAAGACACGTCTGGTGCTATTCACGGTACTAGGAGGCACCAACTCCGAGCCCAAGGCAATTGTCTTGGTTTTCTCCCACTTGGCATCGGGATTCTGCAGCTGGGCCACATTTATGATCGCTTTCATGTAGGAAGGGGTCTGACGGAAGAGTTCAACAGGGCAGCATCGTGCGTTAGTATCCATATTGCGAACAACTCCTCCGGGACAGATTCGACAGCTCACCAGGTAGAGGTACGATACGCCATCGTCCAGCATTCTGATCATGCTCTTGACTTTGTCGACGGTGTTGGGCGTGGGCTCAGGAATCCAAACGGAGCCATCGAGATTCAGTGTAATCAGGAGGAGAACAAGCGTCGCGGTGAAAGAAGGCAACTGATGGCCGCCGTGGATTAGTAATTATGCCCTGCAAGCGTAATGTCTGCGAGCAGCATCGAGATACTCATACCTGACAGAGTCCTGCGGTTCTTCCTTTGGGGCCTCCGCCATCTCTGTTTGTGAGTGCACCCTTGAAGGAAAATTTGTATCTACAGCAAGTACACGGTGTTGTGAATAGTCAGTTCGTTTGTTTGTTTGTTTTTTTCCTGTCGAGCACAGCATGGGATTTAAGGTCGGTGCTGAGCCACTCACGACTTGGGGACGCCTGGGGATTGATCAAGAGTCGGTGTTGTGGACAGTACACGATCGTCAGAACAAGTCATACTGGCCCATCGTTACATCGCCACTGCTCCATGTCCTTCAATCATCGAGTTGTGCACCTTAAGCTTCCACAATTCGCACCTCCTGGGTCACATACCTGTCGTTCCGGAGGTGCACTGAAAGGTCACAAACTCATCGAGAGGCTCACAGACTTCGAGGGACGGAGATGGAATGTTTTCGATCACAGGGAAGGCGGCGGCATCGACCAGGGTCACACCCTCGATGCGACCAGGCTTGGTGTGGTGGTAGAGAATGTACTTGATTGCATGTCTGTCGGTTGATGGTGATGTGAGTGTCAGATCGGGATCGGGTAAAGCTGGCTCGATTCAAACCTCGGACCAGCCTGCTCATCCTAACGACAACATGGCAGGGACATACCTCTCGCACAGGGCCTTGCGGGCTGCAGGAGGCAGGTTGAGGGCAAAGTTGAGTGTTTTCCTGGATGGAGTTCAAGAGACAGGTGAGACTCGACCCTTGTCATGGCACGGAACAAGGGTTGAATATGTCCCTTGCTTGAATTGATGTTCATAGCTCCACATCAAAACATCACACCACACCAATAGCGGATACTCACTTGCCCAGAATCCACACGGCGAAGGAGTAGATCACCCAGCTGGCTTCAGCCTCGCAGAATGTGCCGATGACGTCGTGGCCGTCGTCGCTCCAGCCAGGAAGCGCCTTGAGGGCCTGGGCGATCAAGTAAGCTCTTCTCCACACCTGGAGATAGCTGAAGCGCTCCGAGTCGCCGTTCTCGTATGTATTAATCAAGAGGGCATCGGGCTCGTCGCGGGCAGTGTTGACGAGACACTCGACGGGATGGAACCAGGGACCAAAGGCATTTGGCTGTGGAGGGAACTTTGGCTGTTTGGAGACAGGGGTCTGCGGGGGGACATCTCGGTCCTTGGGTGGGGTTGCGAGTCCTCCGAAACAGCAGGAGAAGGCTCTGAGCATGGCGGAGAGGTGGGATGAGGAGAGACAGGAAACAGCAATCGACGATGTGCAGACGAGGCCAGGAGAGCGGCGACGAAGTCGAAGGAGCGAAATGAGAGAGCGACCGGGGGGGGGCAGAACGGAAAGGCCAGATGCTTTCCCCCTGTCGGGCTGGCGAGCCAGGAGACGACGCCCCAAACAGCATACACTTCAATTCCATTCTATTCAATGCTATGTTGTTCAGCAGTGCAACACCGCTGACGGGGCTGAGATAATGCATTTTCACTGAGCAGAGTGGCGTCGAATCTCACTCGTTGTTCACACATTTCAACACACCAATTGCTCGCCTTGCTCACTCCCATGACAGTCTTAACCACAGTTTGCGCCTGCTATGCGACCCATTTGCACAAAGCAAAGGCAGAGGCGACCCGGCGCAACGACAGCCATCTCAAGACAAAGTCCCGCCTGGAGGGAGCCAGGGCACCGCAACCGCTCATGAACCCAGGCCAGCCCAAGACGCCGATCGCCATCCTCGCTTCCAGGTCCGGCTCGGGCCTGGCTCGCCTTCGCTCCAGTCCACCGCCATTGAATCGCATCGGCTACTGCTGCCCCGCCTTCCATTCGCCCCTCATTCCGACTCTCCTCGCGCCGGCGCTGTCGTTTCTGGCCATATCTCGTCCATGATCTAGCGGCACGTATGCAAACGTGTTCAAGCCACGCAGTAGACAACGTAACCCGCATACGAACCGAGCCAGGCTTCTTTCAAATGGTCAAGCCGCGCAATAGATCATTCTACGACTACATACACAGAAGATGGGAGGCATTCTATAGATTGCGTTCGATGACATCGAGTACAGAGAGAGTCGAGCAGAACACACCATTCTTCACGGCGCCTCCAACACATTCTTATTGGCTTTGTCCTCTTCCCAGCTGTGAGACCAGTATGTGATGGTGTATGCTGGCTGTCCTGGCTCTCCTTCAGCCTCAAGGATCCTCTTGCACTGCACCTCATCGAATGTATTGGATTGGGCACTGCAGATGGCTCCGTGAACGAGGGCTTGGTTCCAGTCGTATGGATAGATGTAGCCTGTGCATATGGGCAGATAACGGAAGATCGGTGGGCCTGTCAGTTAGGAGGCCGCCTTAGCGACAAGCCGGACGAAACCACACAGCAACCTCTCGCTTGCTCAGCTAGAGCCGTCTCACTGGTCAACGGTCCAAAGAACATACCGTGAGGCAGGACGACGAAATCCTCATGGAATAACCGGTGCGAGAACTGAGCCCAGGCTTTGTAGAGAGCCACAGGGCCCGTCAGCTTCTCTGCGCTATCACCCTCCGGTGTGCCGAGATTCTTGACGATCAGGTTGACGACGACAAGCCAGAAGGGGTGACCCGGGGAGCTGGCCATCCACGCGTTCGGGAGAGAATGTTCGAACCGGGTGTTGTGACCCATGCGGCCAATCAAGGCGGCGCCGCGATCGATGAGGGCAGGCTCACCCTCGTCAACGGGAGCGTCCATGGCTCGGAGACACTCCATGTCGAGGTCGGCATAGACGCCGCCGTACTGGTACATGTAGAGATAGCGAGCGGCATCGGCGCGGTTGATGTTATGAGGCAGGGCATCGTACGTGCTCAGAAACCAGGGAAACTCTCGCTGGACGAGGTCTCGATTCATTTCGTCCGTCCAGAGGATGTAGATCCAGTCCGGGTGGTGCTGCTTCCATGAATCAGCCCAACGGGCAAATTTCTGGTCCGAGAAGAGCATTCAGCACGTGGGAACGTTAGCGCTGTTTCCGGAGGGGGGGGGTCTATCTCAACGGGCCTTCTGAATCGACAGGGTCGAGACCGGCAACGGCGCAATGGTCCGGACACAATTGGCCGATGCCCAGACAGCCGCGTCCGATTTACCTTTGGAAGTGTCTGGTTCTTCCACGACTGATGGATGATATGAGGTATGACTTTGGTCCTGGGTGACTTTGAGTGCAGGATCGATGCAGGGCTGAGAGGGAGGAGCGAGAAATACATGAGCATGGCCCAGATGCCGATCAGAGCAGCAAGAGCGGCCACGCCGAGTGCGGCGAGACGGAGAGGTCGTCGGGCGATGGTCCGTGGGAGCAACATTTGGGCTGGGCGAGCGAGAGAGGTGCCGAGGATGGCCAAGGGCAAAGTCAGAAGGAGCGATGGAAGGCGATGGAGGGAGAGGGATGGGATCGCCGAGAAGATGCAGGCGGAGGGGCTTATGAGCTGCAGGACAGAGAGCAGCCTCTCGAGACCAGCCCTGGTATGGACAGCGGCGGCGGTTGTCGGGATGTGATGGCAATCGGGCGTTCGTGGGCTGGACATTGCGCGTCACACCGTGTCACCATTCCGCAACTTGTCAACTTCAATACTGTGCGCTCTCCGAATCGCAATCGCAATCGCAACCGCAACCGCAATCGTTCGACTTCTGCACAGCCTGTGCAATGCTCAATGCCTCGAGTTTCGCTCTGCTTTGCCATACTTTGTCCTGTGGCTGCATCGTCCTGTGCTTACTTGTTTTGCCCTGTCCTGTCCCGTATTGTCGCCATCGGTCTCTTCGACGCCCATGGCGGTTTACCCAGTTGCCAGGTCAATTTCTTTGGTGGCAAGGACACTGTCTGTCAGCAACTGGGGTTGAACTCTGTCGATTGAAAGGAGGCACCTCATACCCCGGCATGGTGCCACCAACCGTTTGCCAGCACCACACAGCAGACGCCCCTGGCCCTGGCTCGCGGCTTGTGGATGCCGCTGTGGTTTGCCAACCCCGTCACGATGGAGTTGTGCCCCGTCCAAGCACTGCACGCACCACCGGCGAGACCCACGGGCTGTGCCCATTTTTGTCTTGCCAGGATGAAACTTGCCTTTTGAGAAGCACCAGGAGGCGATGCCTTCTTGGCGGTGGCGAGGAGGGTGTCGATGCTCTGATCAGCCACAAGGGCCCTCAACACCAGCCCGACTTGTATTGGGGCGACCCATGTGTCCTGGTGGGCTGTGCTCTCGCCGGTGGCCGACCGGGTCATTCGCACATGGCCCCCTGCCATGCCATGCCCGGCGGCATGGCCATCGAGTTGTGTTCAGTCCTCGTGTCTGTCCCGTGGCTCGGAGCGTTATGGCCTGCACAACTTCACCGGTCACCAGCCCTATTTCGGGCTGTGGGGGGCAAGCCCCTTGCTTTCCCCTTCGCAGTCGTTGCTGTGAGCTGCACAACTCCGTGTTGGTTGTGCATGGCTTGCTTGGACACCCATTCCACGAGTGTTGTTTGTGGCTGCCGGCTCTGAGCCCGCTTGTTTGCAGACAAGCCCGGTGCAACCAGCCGATGGATATGTCCTCGGCTCGACCACGGCGAATCGTCTCCGGCCACCGCCTGTACATTACCGCCGGCCTGCCTCGCTTCCCGTCGTCTCCTGCGTCGACCGCCTGCTTTCGATCTCCAGCTTCCGTCGTCCTTTCTCCGCCGACTGTCCCAGTCGCACTCGGGTCCCTCCTCTCTTTTGTCTCTTTTCCTCTGCCACATTCCGTTGCCGTTGCTCGCCGTCGCAGCGTCCCGACCCGCCTGTCTCTTCTTTCTCGCTCGATCCTCTGTCTCGGTACCATCGTCTTGCCCTCCCTCCGCTTTTCCCTACCACAAGCCCTCCATGTCGTCAGACCACACAAAATCCACCTTCACCGGCCAGAGAGCGAGATGGGCCATACGCCTGCTCCTCGTCGTCTTGACCTTGGGCGGCCTGGTCTTCTCACTGCGAGCCGTCGAACGCTCCGGCAGGCCCAAGCACCCGACACGTCCCAACTCAGCTGGCTTCGAACTCGAGTTCGAGTGGGTTATGCGTCGGCCCATCATCTTCATCGGCGACTCGGTCACGCGGTACCAGTATCTGTCGCTGGCCTATCGTCTGAGCCATGGTCACTGGCAGTTCGAGGAGCCTGGCTTCAACAAAACGACCGAGATCATCGATCGTGACTGGCACGACTGGGAGCGCTTCATGCGCGGCACCAATGCCCTCCTCAAAGGCAACGAGGTCTGTGATTGCTACCGCAACGGAACCTGGGACTGGACCAAGACCGTCGAATACATCGAAAACCGGTACTTCAAGACGCCCCACTATACCATGACCTTTTTCCAGGCGTACGACGATCGTCCGGGCGTCTGCCACACCAAGGGCCGGCTCTTCCCCGAGAAGGGGGCGCCGTACTTTGATGCCCCGCTGGACTGGTGCTATACCATCCCTGCCCTACTCGACCACATCGACAAGACCTACGGCCAGAGCATCATCGTCCTGAACTTGGGCATCCACGGCTCCGACTATGTCAAGTGGGCAACGGCCTTTGCCCGCCACTCGACCCGCAGCGGCTCGATCCTGATCTGGAAGCAAACAACGCCGTCCAGTGACGGTCGGATGCCCGAGAGCAAGGACTTTGAGCTCTTCAACATCTTCAAGTCCAGCAAGGTCGTTGTGATGCCGACCTGGCGGATGCTGACGGACCTCTACAACGCCGACAACAGCGCTGTCTTTTACGACCGGGTGCATTTCCTGCCGCACATCAACAAGCTCATGAACCAGAAGCTGGCCGAAATCGTCAAGCGCGAGTTGGGCAAGCGAGGGTTCTCAGGGGCCCGGTGATCGACCGCCGAAGCGGTGTACTGGCGCCGAGTGTCTTCAATTTCCATGGTGATCTATCGCGGAGGGGAAGACGATCCAAGATGCGACGGCACAGGTCCCATCGGTGGGCATCCGATGGCACAAGATCTCGCTGGAGTTTGTTTGATGATGGATGATCTCAGTTGTGCATATCTAGGGGCGTGCAGTCCTGCTTGAGCGCATCTAATGGTGCATGATCTCGGCTATGTGTGTCTGGCCTCAACCTGATCCTGTCAGGAGGTCGCTGATGGATGAGACCTTCCCCTCCATTTCTTGCTATGTTCCTCCATAACAATAGATTGTATCTCTTCGAAGTACCCATGCACTCTGTAATGCCCGTACATTCGCTTCGCGCTTGCAGCGTAGACTTTTGATCTCGATCTCCGATTCGCTGCTGCTGCTGTCCACAAGGCCAGTCTCCTTGAACACACTGTCCGGCCATGGTGGAAGCATATTCGGGATCCAGACGAAAGTAATCACCCCAATTCGACAACGGGACTCTTTTACATATGACGTTGACTGATCACCCGGCTGAATGATGTCGATTGAGAGATACGATATGTGATTGGTTTTGCTCAGCATTCCGTGAACACCACCACCCCTCCCGCACTCGTGTTCCTCAAGATACTGCATCGTACTCAATTCCACTTGTTCCCGCCGTACTGCACAATATTACGCCATTTTCAGTTCCATCGCATCATGTTCCACAACACGACAACGTATCCAACTGCACTACATATCGCTGCCATATCCTCAGTAACATATCGCCGTCATATCCTCAACCACCAAATCGGTGTGCTCATCGATGCTTGGCGAGCGTCTCGGCAAATGGCTTGCCTTCGGTCAGATCCCGCATGCATCTCCTATCAATTTCGATGCGAGCTGCACACTCCTTAGCGACGAGCTCGACATCTTCGATCGGGATCCGTACAGCCCCATCGACATCGGCCACGATGATATCGCCAGTGCGGATCCAGACAGGACACATGCTCTCGGAGCCAAACTGCACAGGCTCTCCGACCTTCGCAAGCCTTGTCCAGCCGGCGGCGCCCATGGTCGAGTGTCCAAGCGCCCAGGCCGAGAAGCCAAGATCCCAGAATTCGCGCAAGTCTCGGATACGGCCTTCGACGAGGGCTCCCATAGATCCCGCACGTTGAGCTCGGGTGGCCATGAGCCCACCAAAGACAGCATTCGGGGCAGCAGCCGGAGCTTTGATCACCAGGACCGAGCCGACAGGAACCAAGTCGAGGGGATGGACTGAGGTGTATGGCGGGACGCTGCTGTCGGATACCAAGAGATGCTCGATGGTGAAGGCAGGCCCGCAGATGCGAGCTGTCCGGGCATGTCCGGGCTCTGGCGATAGGAGCGAGAGTCCTGGGAGATGGCCCACTTTGCCGAGCTTGGCGAGCCCATCGGAGAGATCGCAGGTGGTGTAGGGCTCCAGGAGGGCAATGATTTCGTGCTGATGCATTGGGCGGGTTGTACCTTGGCGATGAATGAAAGGCTGGGCCGAGGGATTTGGTGTTGGTGAGCACAGAGCAATGCCGGCAAGTGCTCGACAATGCCGTTGGCAGCCGAATGATGCTGTGATGCAGAGGCAGCGCTATGCATCGGTCTGCTGGCAGAGAACAGCCATGGTCAGTCTTACTCTGTCCACGAGGCCGGGATCGCTTGCTCAGATGAGAAGCTGAGCGGCAGGTCCATCAGCGCCGACCGCCGATGCGGCCAAGACCCGCACGGTCATATGTCTTTGCGTCTGGCGGCAGCGCCGGCAGGCCCTGCATTTCCCACCGACCCTGAGGCGAAGAGCCGTGCGCGTGGGTGGTCCAGAAGCAAGTGTCGGTGCGGACTCTGACGCTTTTTTTGTTTGGTCTTTGCATCTTGACACCCCAGCCGCCCCATCAGCCGATCCCCTCCCCTCAGCCCGTCCAGCGCACACACCGCTCGCTGCATTGCCCGAGACCGCCTCGATCAATCGGCCAGCCGTTGCCCAAGGTTGTTATCAGTCTGCCGTATCAAAATCTGCGCAGCGGCTCTTCGCCGAGGCGAAGCCGGTCTTGGCTTCGTCCTTACATATACAGACAGAGGCTTATATAGATATATGATATATATATATAACTTTTCATTTGCCGATTTCCCCCCTCCCTCCTTTCATGCGCTTTCCATTGGCTCTGCTCGGCTATTTTTCAATTCACAAGACCCTGATCAAACTCAGATTCAACAGACCACCGCGATCGCCTGCAAACACACACATCCAGCCACCCACAATGCAGCTGCTCAACGAGGCGCCACCAACGGTCGAGCCAGACGAAGCCCGGATGCTCGCCTCCACCCCATTCCTGGTTCTCCCGACTCCATGTCCGTTCGAGGAAATAGAGGAGCTCAAGGCCGAAGACCGATACCACCTCAACTTCCGCATCGTTGAGCGCCCCGGCGCTACTCCACACACCGAGGTGTGTCGACAGATATACGAGTTCTTCAGGTCCCCAGTCCCGGGGCTTATGGCCCACCAATATCGCCCCCGGGACCCATCAAAGCTCAGGGACCTGAATGCCATTGATCAGGACCAGCCCTCGGCCAAAGACGCATCCACCGGCGCCGATGCCCCCAAGGACAATCTCCAGGATCCCAAGCGCCGTCGGACGATGGACTCGGGCGATCTGGCTGCCAGCTCGACAGCTGCACAGACACCTTCCCGGACCCTTCCCCATGACGTCTACGGGCTATTGATGGAATACCGTCTTCGAGAGCTGATCGTCGACAGTGCTGACGGCTCCAGCAATGGGGACGCAGCTCTCGCTGTGGCCGCAGATCCAGCTCGTCCCATGGCGGCCGCCAAAGATCAAGCCTCGGTCGAACACACCTCAGCAGCAGACGCAGCATTGCGGACAGCAGACCCGGCAGAACGTCCTGTCCTATCGCCGCAGTCCGGTGCTCAGGTCCAAAACGGCCCAGGCGATCCGACGGCTGGTACCAACGAAGACGAGGCGCACAGCGGCTCGATCGGCTACGACGACGACGGTTTCAAAGAAGTGTATGGATACAAAAGCGACTTTATTGCATGGTCTCCGCACTGGCAGCTCTCGTCGCTGGAGAACAAGTCTAGCACCATCAGGAACGAAAAACCAGACCCTGTCCAGCCCCGCCGGATCAAGCGAATCAGCCCCTGGAAGGAGGACGATCTGATCTTCATGATCAAGTATGATGAAAGGTGGGTTCGACGCAGCCGATTCTCTAAAACGGATATCGAGAGCAGATGCTTTTGCTTGAGTGTGCGCAGTTGGAGTGTGAACGTCTGCCAACTGCGGATGGCGGCTTTGGCTGTTTCTATGGATCGATCGCCTGGGCCTGCGCTATGGTGCTGCTTGCAGCCGGATATGCGCACAGACAGTACAGATGGACTGCGGGTTGACCTCATGCTCTCTCATACCGACAGATGGTCGACTGATTTAATGAAGATGGGCCTGACGCTGCGGAACATACCCGAGCCCTATATTCGTACCTCAAAATCGACACCAATGACAGACATCAAGGTAAGAGCACTCGCACAGTTCGTCTGGATTGCCGAGTGCACCTGGATGCTGCCGGGTAGGGCTGTGTCTCTACATTGTGCGGAGATACTCCGGAAGCCTTGCACTGTCTGGATGTCAACAAGCTCCCGGCGTGGTTCAACATATGCTGACTCGGCCTCGCATTGCGCACGAATCTGGGGCCGCAGAAATATGTCACCCGCAAGCTCAAGCTGGGTGTATTTGAAAAGGTAGGCTGTTCTATTCGTTTCCAGTGCAGCCCTTGATGTGTTCGTTGTTGCTGCCTCAGTCTCTATCCTCGGGAGATGAGTATTTTGAGGCAGCATGGATGAAGGCTCGCAAGCGTGTCCGAGTGTTCCAGCGAAGCTGCCGTATGCTTGGAGCCATGGTCAAGGCGGTTGTCTAACCAAATTGTTCTGGTGTCCGTTTTACGCTCCCCCGTTCACGCCGACTTCTAGATCGAGCTGCTGTGTCAAGGACAATCGGTCCAGGAAAGGACATTGCATGATCTCTACAACCGCATTCAGGATGCCTCCGCTGATGACAGCAACGACGGCGGCAGCGCGGAATCGGCGCCAAAGGGCCTTTACTACTTTGACAACCAGGCACCGCCATGTCTAATCATGTCGGTCCGGGCTGGAGGAGTGTAGGGCACTGCAACAACAGCATCGAAGTCTGCCATGGACTATGGCGGTGTTCCCTCGACATGCGGTTAAATCCACTGGCGGACTGACTCCGCCACGAATGCCTTTCGCTTCTCCCTTCTCCCTCTTTGAATGTTACGCATGTAAGCCTGCGCGGGTTCATGCGAGCCTTGAACACCCTCGGCTTGCCTTTCTGCACTGCACGAGCATCAATATATTATCCTGGCTGTCCCACCTCCTGGCGCTTTCCCATGAAAACCTCTCCTCCAGCTGATGTTCTCTTCTTCTCTGGAGTGGAAGGATAGGATCACGTTTATTTCTACTTGAAACGCTTGTAATCGTGCCGCTCGACCTCCTTGTGCTTGAGCTTTCGCTTGAGACTGAAAGAGAGAGCGGAATCGGCGAGAAAAGTAGAGTTTAGTACTCAGAGAAAGCAGATCGTGCAGCATCTCTCGCGGCACTGTGTGGCTGATATAGAGTTGCATGGTACTGAATCGAGGCGAGGATGTGTGATGGCCTGATTATGGAGTGGCAGGAATGGACGGTGCGGGCTGAGGCACGGGGCAATAGAAATGAGCAGAGATGCAACACTGACGTTACGGGCACTCTGGGCTCGATCAACTTGCGTTCCTGAAGACTCAGGAATCGGTCCTTAAACATGTTGCCCTCGGGCTGAAACAGAGCAGGTTGCCAAATATTAGCCATTCGTAATGAGACATTGGGGGGGTCTGAATCCAGACAGACTGCCTTCGCTGGCGTCAGGGTATCATATGGGATCGTCTGCAAAGCGTGCGACCACGGGCTCGGGAGTCTATAACGACCGCGGCCAAGCACATCCAATATTTACTTTGAGCGACCGGAGGGAGTCCGACAGCTCCTCGGTCAGCTGAATTTCTAGCGGGGCCGACTTGAACCTGGAAATGCACACAACGACGATCAGAGCACGATTCACTCAATAGTCCAATGAGCACTGCCGTTCGGAGGACTGATGCCACGAGGCGAACCAACGATCCGGCTGCTTGGATGGCGATACTCTACTTGTGTGGTCCGATTTGGCTTGCACCGCTCTGCTTTAGCTTTTCCTTGATCTCAGCCCGCTTGCCGAGCTTTTCCTTGGTCTCTTGCTCCTGGCTGTCCAGCTCAGCGCTGATCGATTCAACCATGCCAATGTGCTTCAGAAGCTGCTTGCGCTCTCGCTCCTCCTTCTCGGCTCTCTCCTGCGAATATTCAGAGCAGGCGAATGAGTCAACCGACGCAAATACGATAGATGATCACAGTTGCGGGGCTCGGCTATGCGAGGGAGCCGCCAGGATCCTTCGTTTCGACACTTGACATCGAGGCATCGCAAGGCCGCCAGCCCCTCGCCTCGAATATCGGGCCACGCAGATCGAAACCCACCAGCTGCAACCGTCGCCGCTCCTTGTTCCGCTGGGCCTTGCTTTTCCGGACATTTGCCACTGACTTGGTGTGGTTGACGGCGTCTGGGGCGTCTTCGTCGTCGCCATCCTCTCCACCCTCGGCATTAGGATCTTCGTCGTCATCGTCATAGTCTACAAACATGTCTTCGTCCAGGTCGTCCAGCTCCTTGGGGTATTCCAACTGCTTGGAAATCTTTTCGCTCTTTGCGATCTTGTCGAGCTCGACATTGAGAGCCGACTGCAGCAGCGTCTGGTGCTCGTCAAATTTAGGGTTGTATGAGGCGCCGGCGTGGGCGACCTTGACGGCAGATACGTTTGTGGCCTTGGTGCTGGGCAGATCGGGTTTCTTGGGCCACCCAGAGTGCGATACCGTTGGTGAGCATCCAAAACAGTGCATCCAACGACCCTCAGGAGCACCGGTGTCCGTGGCTGGAGCAACAGAGAGCACCACGCAGAGCAGTGATATTGTGCTGTACAGCGGTATCATGCTACACGATGGCCCCGGGTGATGCAGCAGCTATGGAAGCGGAGCCGATGCGACTCCAACCCGGTCTGGGAAGCTTACCTTGGCTGGCTGGGGCAGGTGGTCTTGGACATAGTCGTTCAGGGTCGAAGGCTCCTCGGCTGGATACAAGGTAGTCATAGGATCAGAATTGGTGTGTCATGAAGACACGGTGTTGGCCGGCAAATCGATGCCATCGCAATGTCTGCTCGATAGCCCGGGCGGTACTCACGAGCATCCCACATGTCAAAGTAGGTGGTGCCCTTTTTCTTGGGAGCAGGCTTGGGCGGCACGCCATGCTCCTGGCGACGCTTTACGATCTTGTTGATCTGATCCACGGCAGCCTTGGAGGCCACGGTGGTCTTTCCCTTCGCATTAACGGTCTTGACGACGCCCTTTTGTGACCTTGCGGCCGTTGGCGAAGCGACAGCGGACTGAGGCCTGAGGATCTCATCGACCTTGAGGGTCTTTTTGAACTTTTGGGCGCTCTTCTCTGAGTAGTACAAGCATCGGTGTGTGGTCCCAACAGCAGCAAGTTGGCCGGTGGGCGATGGATGTCGTCGGGTTGAGGTGCGTCGAGCCGAAGATGTCCCCATGTCGTTGCGTCGATATTCCGCCAAATGAAAGACGGTGTCGCAGATATGGCCGGGCACACGAGGAAGTATCGATGCGGGTTGTGTCGTTTGAAATCGCAGTATCGATGCCGTTCGTACGTCAAACATCAGTCGACATCGAATCGAAGCGAAGATGTGTAATCGTCGGTGCCATATACCAAGGCCGATGAACACAAATTAGATCCAACTGGCGCCTCAGATGACGGCCATAAGACAACGCCGCCGCTGACACCAATCGCCGGCGACTCTTCATAGCTACAGGAGCCAGGACATACCTTTGGAGTCGCCCGAAGTATCGATGACGAAGAGGTCGGCGTCGGGCTTTGTGTGGATGTGCTGGCCGCTGTTGTGGCCAGAGCACCCGCGGAGCAAGGTGATGGATATCAGGACGCTGGTCGCTGTTTGGGGTTGATTCCAGGCGCCCCGTTCGCCAAGAGCTTATGGGCTAAAAGGGCGCTGCTGCCGGGATGCTGTTTTCGGCCGCATCGGCTTTGCTCATACCTGATGCGTTCCTCGCTCCGAAGCTCCTCCAGCTGCTCCTCGACGTCCTTGATATCGACATTCTTGCGCCATGCCTTCTTGCCCTTCCGGCTGGGCTGCGACATCTTCTTCTTGGTAGCAGCCTGGTCAGACATTGTGCATGCGATAGAGCCGCGGCGGGATTTGGGGGGGGGAGCAGATGTGCGTTTTGCGAGTCCGGAGCCAAGGTGTCTTTCCTTCGCGGCAGCAGCGAAAGCCAGCAACAAAAAAAATGAATCCGCCAAGATTGAATTCATTTACAGCACTGCCACCGATCCGCCACACGCGCCCTGGTTTACCAGCTGCTCAATCCACAACCGCCCTGGCGACAGCGTCTCATGCATCTCCGGCGCGATCGCTTGCTCGCAGCAACCACGGCGGACTCAACGCACCGACGAAGCAGCATCGTACGCATGTCTCGAGGCGCCGACTTTGTGCCGGCCGTGACGCTGGCAGACAACCGGGTCATGCCGTCTCTGGGTCGTGGGTATCTGATGCAAAGGAAACCTCACCGCGGCCGAGTTCTCACCGCCGAGTTCTCATCGCCGACCCAACTCTTGCTCTTCCCTGAAACCAGTGGGAACGTACCGACTCAAGGGCGAGCTGTGCCAAACGATCATCAAGGAGGCGATACGGGCTGGATACCGTCTCATTGGTAAGCCTGGACAACGGGCGATGCTATTTCTGATCGTCATCTGTATCGGCCGCGACAGAAGGCTAACGGCGATCCCCCACAACCGTCGCTCGAAACCGAAACCGAAATCGAAACCGAAATCGAAACCGAAATCGAAACCGAAACCGGGGCTGGAACCGGAACTGGAACGACATCCGATTCGTCTCCGACAGACACTGCGGCTGTATACAAGGTACGTAGGATTGGTTTAGCCCTCGGCCTGGATGACGGACGCCGGAAGTTTCGCACCTATGCTAATGCTGGAGGACTGGGATGCAGAACGAGGCAGAGATCGGGGCAGCCATTGCCGAGCTGATTGCCAAGAGCGAGATCAGCCGGTCCGACATCTTCATCACCAGCAAAATCGCCCCCAAGGACCAGGGATACGACAAGGCATACAAAGCCGTGAGCGATGCGCTGGTGCGATTTGGCCCGGCCATTCAATGTAGGCGGTAGCTCCGGCCGCGATGCCAGCAAGAGTGTACCGAAACTGGCCTGGAATAGCTTCAGCGAGGATGCTGCTGCTTGTCTTTGGGTCTCCACGTTAAAACTCGATCCTCTCTGTCTCGATTGCAATCATCTACACTCGTCGGCATCGCGGTCGTCCCGGGACCGTTGCTTGAAGACATCGATCTGATGCTGATCCACTGGCCAGGAACCCAGGGCCTGCATATCGAACATGCCAAGAACCCCGTCAACCGCCGAGAGACGTGGCGGGCGCTCGAGCAGCACCACCGAGAGCGGCGAATCCGATCCATCGGCGTGTCGAACTTTACCGTTGTTCACCTGCAAGACCTGCTGGCCCACGCTGCGATCCGGCCGGTCGTGAACCAATTCGAGCTGCATCCGCTGCTGTATCAACGTGGACTCGTCGACTTTTGCAGTGGCCATTCGATCCAAGTCGAGGCGTACGCCTCGCTGGGGGAAGGACGCCTCGTCAACGGCGATGTCGAAATCCTGCCCCTGAAGAGTATCTGCCAATCACACAATGTCACTCCGGCACAGGCGCTGCTTCGATGGGCGGTTCACCATGGATGGGTTGTCATCCCCAAGGCCAGCTCCACAGCCCGACTGCACGAGAACCTGGAGATCTTTCGATTCAAGCTGTCGCCCGAGGTAGGTTGGTGGTCGCAGCCGGACCGGCGCGGCGTGGGGACCAGGCCTGTTGCATTTGAACATACATCGGTGTCGATAGCGCCGCTGGGCATATCAGCTGTGGTTGACGTTGTATAACGCCACTTGCAGGAGATCAAGTCGCTTGATGATATTTCGCGACTGATCGAGCCAACGAGGTTCTGCTGGGACCCCACCTCAGTTTCGTGAACCGAAGCAGAATAGCCTGGCTTGGATAGAAGCAGAATAGCCTGGCTTGGATAGAAGCCGAATAGCCTGGTTTGGATAAAAGCAGCGAATCGTCCGCATCACAGAATAGGAGTGAAGAGTAGGACTCGCATTATGATGCCAGTTGGTCGCCGGGCAGGGTTCGCACGTCTGGTCGTCTCTTCGTCTGGATGGCCAAGAGTACTCTGTTTGTACGGGACTTGACCATCGACACACTCCTGCTGGCGGCATGTTGTGAGTACCGACTGTGATTTGAATCTTGATAATAGATGCAATGCACACCAGGCTCCAACAGGTGGCATTTGGTTGGACATAGTTTCAGTACCCCTGATGACGTCCCCGAGGGTCACATCATAAAGGCAACCGATGTTCCTTGGATAATCTGTACTGTCACCGGCAGCGGATGCAATCATCCTCCCCTCCTCCTCCTGTCACGGACCACATGCTCCGTCGAATCCGCTAGAAAAATGTCAGTGAGGGCTGAGGAGCTCAGCGATGAGCTGGCCGGTGATGATCTGTCCCACTGAGTCACTTATAAAGGCCCCTCCTGCCCGAGAGCGGATGTGCTCACCTGTTGGCACTAACGAGTGGCAGCCACCATCCGCTCGCGCTGCTCCCTCTCCTTTCGCTCACCATTTGTTCGCTCGTTGATTCTGAGCGAAACAAGACTGCATCCCAGCAGACACGATGGGCGAACCCAGCAGCAGCACCGCCGACCAGCTTCAGACCTTCCTTCGGTCATCCCCGGATGTGTATTTATCCGACGACTTTGGCCGAGTACCCTCCAACGAGAGCAGCGACTGGGCACGGACTCCAGGGTCGTCCCCAGCAGCTGTGGTGCCCCAGTGTCAATGTGAGCCGCATGTCGGGATTCTCTCAGGCAGCGTGGGCGATCCAATGCTGTTGCAGCACGACGTCGCAAGGTGAGGTTTTACATCCGACGGATTGGACGCTTCTGATGCAGCACCGCCTCCACCAACATGCTTGTGATCAGAATCGATGGCGAGGCGGGTGCTTGCACTTGATCCGTTCATGCTCACGAGCTCGTTTCTGGTTTGATTGTGCTTGGCAGGATGTACGCCGAGCTGAGCTACTGGCAGCCAGAGGCGTTCGGCTCGGCTGCCTCGCTGCCCGTAGTAAATACACTGCATGCCCATGAAGCCCCGGGCCTCTTTGACAGTCGGGAGCCTGTGATGCTTCTCGATCCGCTGGGCTCGCCTCATTCACTCAACGCACACCAGAGCATTGCCTCGGCCCTGTCGCTGATCCACGCCCAACTGCCGGATTCCCACGCGATCTTTGCCAACGAGCCGCACCCAGGGATCGAAGAGGAGATCGGGACAAGTGCCCGCCATTCTCCTTACCAAGATGACAATCCGGCCCACGATGCAAGCCCTCTGCCCGAGAGCCCTGCGGAGTCATTTGAGCAGGGGATCGCTGGCACCGCCTCGACAGACTCACTGTTTCTCTCGTCGGACTCGGGTTCACACAACGACAACGACAACGACGACAACGACGACAACGACGACAACGACGACAACGACGATCGAAGCGAGAGGGACGACGGGCCACAAGTCATCGACGCCAGTATCCATGTTACCATTGGCAATTTCAACGAAGGCAGTCCTGTTGCTGCGGAGCAACTGAAGCCAGAGGCTCCACCACCAGGCGAGCGTCGAACGGCAGTGTCACTCCGAGTCCCGAACAAGATCCGGTTGCGGCTCCCGAGTCCTGCCTCCGTCTCGACCGTCGCCGGTGGCCCTCGGTATGCACCCCGTTGCGATGAGGAATGGATGCCTGGCTACAGCGCCGTTACGAAAGTCCCTGGTGCAAGCAGTGAGGCCGAGCTCGGAGGGCCTGGCCACTCCGAGCAGGAGGAGTCCAGCGACTCGGCATCAGAGTACGAGCCCAGCGAACAGCAGCGGCCGGAGCGATCCAGGAAGACTGTTCCGGCTCACAGAACCTCGGATCGCCCTCGAAGTACACGCAAGCAGAGCAGGCGGAACGAATATAGCAACCCTGTCGACGGATGGGCATTGACAAGCCCGCCTCCCGGTCAGTCAGCAGCAACAGAGAAGGTACGATCGACAAAGCGCAAACGATCCATGGATGGAACCCCTTCCTCAAGCGGAGGCAGCAGCAGTAGCAGCAGCAGCAGCGCAAGCAGCAACGCCACTGGCTCCGGTTGTCGAGGTCAACCACAATCACCTTCGTCGGTGGATGCGGCTCTGATGGATAAACGCATTCGCAATCGTCTTGCGGCTCGCCGGTCGAGACAACGCCGGCTGGACCACATTGCCGAGCTCGAGCAGGCCAACCAGACGCTCACGAACGAAAACGATGCGCTGCGCAACAAGATCGTGCAGTTGAAGGACCGAGTACGTGCTCTGGACAGAGCAAGAGCGCCGCTGTCAAACGTCAACTGACGGAGCAGGGTGGACGACGTGCTGACCAAAGGTGTGGGATCCAGTGCTGTTGGTGGTGGTGGAGTGAGCGGACCGAGACGTTCATGATCGCTGCCATTCCAGGGCCCAATGAGCAGATCGACAATACAACCAAGCGCGTGGATGATTCATGGTTATGATTGAGATCACACTGCTGGAAACAGTGTCGGTGTCAGATCGCGACTGGAACAGGGGCTGCTGTGCACGAGAGATAAGGAAGGACGCTCGCCCACAGAGCAAATACGAAGCGATCGGGTTCGGGCGACTGTCTCCTTATGCGCAACACCGCACACCGCACACCGCACACCGCACACCGCACACCGCACACCGCACACCGCACACCGCACACCGCACACCGCACACCGCACACCGCACACCGCACACCGCACACCGCACACCGCACACCGCACACCGCACACCGCACACCGCACACCGCACACCGCACACCGCACCGTCAGGCGAGGGAACTTTTTTTTTCAGTGAATTATGTATTAAGCAGGCAGCTCAGTCAAAAACTCGACCAGTTGTATATATCTTCTGAGAAACATCCCAGCTCCTTCCAGCATGAAGTGTATGTCACATGAAGCTATAATTTATTGGAAGGTCTTGAGGAAGTCACCGAGGACGGTGCGGATCTTGGCATCCAGAGCGGGGCTGATCTGGGATTCCTTCTTGATGGTCTCGAAGATCTCGGGGGCGTTGGCCTGGACGTAGGGGACGAGGGCGGCCTCGAAGGCGGTGACGCGGTTGACGGGGAGCTTGTCAAGGAAGCCGTTGACACCAGAGTAGATGATGATGACCATGTGCTCGAGGGAAAGAGGCTTGTACTGGTTCTGCTTGAGCAGCTCAGTAAGACGGGCACCACGGTTGAGGGTGAACTGGGTGGAGGCATCGAGATCGGAGCCGAACTGGGCAAAGGCAGCGACTTCACGGTACTGGGCAAGGAAGAGCTTGAGGGAGCCGGCAACCTGCTTCATGGCCTTGACCTGGGCAGCGGAACCGACACGGGAGACGGAGAGACCGACGTTGATGGCGGGGCGGACACCCTTGAAGAAGAGTTCGGCCTCGAGGAAGATCTGGCCGTCAGTGATGGAAATGACGTTGGTGGGGATGTAGGCAGAGACATCACCACCCTGGGTCTCGATGACGGGGAGAGCAGTGAGGGAGCCACCGCCGAGGGACTTGTTCATCTTGGCGGAACGCTCGAGGAGACGAGAGTGGAGGTAGAAGACATCACCGCTGTGGGTGGGCCAACCGCGAGTTAGTATCGCCGGCGCGAGAGATTGGGGGGGGGTCGCCAGTCCAGACCGAGAGATGCAATTGGAAACAGATGCTTACGGGTAAGCCTCACGACCGGGGGGACGACGAAGCAGAAGGGACATCTGACGGTAGGCGACGGCCTGCTTGGACAAGTCATCGTAGATGATGAGAGCGTGCTTGCCGTTGTCACGGAAGTGTTCACCCATGGCGGCACCGGAGTAGGGGGCCAGGAACTGCAGGGGGGCAGAGTCAGAGGCAGTGGCGGCGACGACGATGGAGTACTTGAGGGCATCTGGGGAAGCATGAGCAAGACAGTGTCAGCACGAGCAGTGGTTGGGCCGGGGTCTGTGTTGGCTGGTGGCGTCGTGAAAGCCGGCTTGCAGCACTCACCGTTCTCCTCAAGGGTCTGGACGAACTGAGCGACGGTGGAGCGCTTCTGGCCGACGGCGACGTAGACACAGTAGAGCTTCTTGGACTCCTCAGTGCCGTTGTTCCACTTCTTCTGGTTGAGGATGGTGTCGAGGGCGACGGCGGTCTTGCCGGTCTGACGATCACCGATGATCAGCTCACGCTGGCCACGGCCGATGGGGACCATCGAGTCGATACACTTGATACCGGTCTGCATGGGCTCCTTGACGGACTCACGGGGAATGATACCGGGAGCCTTGACCTGGACACGCTGGCGGGTGACGTCGGCGATGGGGCCCTGAAGTCGCAGACACGAGAGCGAGTCAACTACGTGTTCGTACTGCGGGCCACAGGCCGAGAGCGAGAGCGAGACTGCTGCGTATCGATGGTTACCTTGCCATCAATGGGGTTGCCGAGGGCATCGACGACACGGCCGAGGAGACCGAGACCGACGGGGACGTCGACGATAGCGCCGGTACGCTTGACAATGTCACCCTCCTTGATGAGACGATCGTTACCGAAAACGACGATACCGACGTTGTCGGGCTCCAAGTTCAGGGCTTGACCCTATCAGATACAAATGTCCGGCACGGTCAGTGTGGCTGCGGCGACGAGCGCGTGCTGAAAAAGGCCGTGCTGGTGGATGGAGCCAGGCCATACCTTGACACCAGAGGAGAACTCAACCATCTCCTCGGCCTTGACGTTCTTCAGACCATAGACACGGGCAATACCGTCACCGATGGAGAGGACACGGCCAGTCTCCTGGATATCGATGGAGGCGCTGGAGCCGAGGATGCGGTCCTCGAGGATCGAGGAAACCTCAGCGGTTCCTAAAGACAGAGCGACAGAGGTCAGCGGAGCTGATGCGACCACGGCAGGACACAGCAACTGTGCGCGACACAGCTCGAGATGGATGCATACCGGGCTTGGCGGCAGCAGCAAAGACAGTGGTGTTGGCGAAACCACGGGCAATGCTGACGGGCTTGAGGAAGGAGAGGCAAAGGTCGGATTAGAGGACGATCGCAGATCTTTGGAAAGAAATCGAATAGAGCGAAGCAGAGTGCCGATTGGCGAGAAGGAGTGGCAGGATGGGCTTGGTGTGCCGAATCAGGGAGCAGAGAGAGACATCAAAAGCCCTGGCCGTCCCGAGCAGTGGATGCGCAACCGGGATCTCGAGGTCGATCTGCTCCGATTCCGCCTGTCGAGGACGCCCGCTGTAGCTGCACGAGGACAGATGCTACGGAGCGACGGGGTCTTGCTTCGTTCTGGTCGCCCTCCATCGACGCCCATCCCGCAGTCCCAAGGGGACAGATGAAAACGCAAAAAACACAGGGAGAGAAAACGGCAAAAAGGACGACCACCATGCGACTGGCCAAGCGCTCCCGCAGGCTGTGCGGCTGCCGAGAGCAGACTCCTCTGCGCGTGGAAGGCAGGGACTAGCTGCCAAGCAGTGGCCTCGATGTCGGGAATCGAGCGCGGACGGGTGCGGATCTGCATAGCCAGCGCCGACATCGATCCTGGAGGCGGCAGCAACAGCAGCAGCAGCGGCAACGGGCAGCATATCTGCGACAGAGCCAATGCCTACCTGAGCGCGCGCAAGGGGGAAAGCCAGGCGAGAGATGTTTCTAAGCATCTTTGGTAGGTCCTTTCTGGTGCGGTATGGGAGAAGGAGCTGGCGAGGGCAAAGACAGAGAGAAAAAGAAAAAGCCTGGGCGATGCGTGACCTGTTTTTCGCTTTTTTGCCCGAGCCGGCGGGCGCTCGCGAAATCTTTTTTTCAGCCGGATGCAGCCAACGGCGCCGGCTCGATCCGGATTGCCGCCGCGTGGCGTGGCTGGCGGCCGTGCTGTTGCTGCGGGCGCGCCGCCGATCGGCCCATATGGATTTCATTCCGGGGGACAATGAACCGCGAATCGATTTAATTCATATGCAGCGCCTGCGCGTGCCCGTCTGCGCGCGCTGTGGTTGGCTGCCGGGCCGGCGCGTCGCGGTTGGCTGCGAGTGGCTGCGAGTGGCCAAGCCACACACACGTGGGCACGAGTGTGTGTGTGTGTGGCGTGTGTGTGTGGCGCTGGATCCAACCATCCCGAGCCTGGTTTGCTGGCTCCATTTGCGGATCATGCAACAGCGAATGGCAGTCTCATCCGATATCAGTCCAGCGACCCCCAGTCTGAGCAGCATGGCATGGTCCTCGAGCTCTGCCAACCGACAGCCAGCCAGCCAGAAAAACAGACAAACAGACAGACACGCTGGGTTCGGATGCGGCCATGCAGGGTTTATTGTCTCGCTGTCGCTCTGCCAGCACGGCGTCGTCCGTCAGTTGATCTTGAGCTGGGCGACTCGCAGCGAGGTGTGGTGGTTGACGTTGCGGACAGTCTTGTTGAATCCACGCTTGAGGAAGTGGGTTTCTACCGACTCCTTGCTGATCGAATGCTCGGTCACCACCGCCGTCAGTGTGAAATACGACGGATCGATGTATGGGCTGCCCTTGAGCACATAGTTGGCGCCCCCGATCTCCCGGACGCGATCCAGCGAAATGACGTCGCCGGGCTTCAGATCCTTCATCTTCATCGTGACCACAATATCGTTGAATGTGACGTGGTAGGGTCTGCCCTTGATCTCCATGATCGCATAGAGCCGTCCGTCATTCCGCAACAGATCCAGGCTCTCCCGTGTCGATTTGCTCATTTGGCGCGGTGCTCGTTCTCCCGATTCCGTGGCCAGACCGGCGGAGGCCGAGACTGCCGCCGACACCCGACGTGGTTCGATGGGCTCCTGTGTGTACTTTTGGATGACTTGATTCAGTGTGCTCTCCGAGTAGAGTCTGGACTGCATCGCAGTCGAGATTTGCTTCATTCCGGCATCTTTGATCGCGATTCCACTTCGGAAGGCTGTCTGGGCCCTCAGGCAACCTGCGAAGCGGCCACAGCGAAGGCGGGGGCGGGGAGGGTTAGGCTTCGGGAATCAACACCGAGCAATGCGAAATGCCTGGCGGGATTGGTAACGCTCGACGAGCCGTTTATCTGGCTTGGGGGCCACGGGCCCGTCACACCGTACACGTCCCGACCCGCATCCATATGCAGAGCATCCAGAAGCAAAGGTCAGAGTCCATTACCATGCGCCAGAGATAGCGAGTTCTTGAGGAGCGGGCTGGCCATTGTGAGCTGTGTTGGTGGGAGATTTGCTGATCGGCTGTGGACTTGGGATCCAGATCGTGGGTACGGCTGCTCGATAACGTGCGCTGTCGTCGCGGCGATGGGTGTCCTCGCTGCGATCGTCCTCGTGCTCGTGGTGGCGGCCGGCTCTTGGCTGTTGTCCGCTGTCGATCGATTGATCGTCGATCGGTCCTGTCGGAATGGCTTCGTGAGCCCGTGTCGCAGACGAAAGCGAAGAAAAATTTGGTGTGCCAGAACAGGCATGCTGACATAAGCACGCCGGCTGGAGTGCGGCTCGAGCCGGCCGCCGCCGCAGACCGATCAGGCCCGGTTTTGAGGCTGTCGGTGGTTCGGCCTGCATCTCCCGCCCAGCACCACCACCACCAGACCGAAACGAAACGAAACGCTGCTGCCTGCTGCCGCCGTGATATACCTGAGACACCATGACGACCGCTGCACGGTATGGCGCCCAATGCTTGGCTGTTGTGGTTGCTCTACTCGATATACCCGATGACTGGCTTGCCGGTGCTCGACTGCAGCGCCGAATGCAAATCCATCGCAGTGCCTGGCTGGAGATCTCCTCCATTCCCACCAAAGCAACGGCATTTGCTCGTGCATCCATATTCTGACCTACTGCTTCTGCAAATTGCGCCTCGACTGACGTCGCTTTCAGACCCACATGGCTCCCTGCCGTCGGTGGAAACACCCTCCGAGACACTGGCAAAGCCCCGCTGCGCCAAGTGAGCTCCCGAGACCTCGCTGCCCACACCAAGATGAAGCTTCGACAGCCTGGACAGAACGCCCCCGAGGATCTGGATCGAGATGAGATGCGATCGAGGCTGCTGGATGCCGAGGGCAAGCACTTCCAAAAGACCAAGAAGAAGCACAGCCAGGGTGAGTCGGGGTGATGGATCGGACAGGTCGCTGGACACCCACTTCTTCATCTCCATCGCTGAGAGATGCTCCGTCAAACACACTGGCCTTGACTTTGTCACTGCGCACTGGCTCTCTGCTCCTCCATATTGACCGGTGATGCTGTGTGCCGCCCGCATTTGCACAACCTTCCTCCCTCCGACAACCGCCCACCCAAAACCAGATGAAGACGACGGGCTCGGCGAAACGTCAAAGCGACAGCGCATCGAGGAGGCCAATATCGATGCCGACGATACAGACGACGACTTTGGAGAGTCGGCCGAGTAAGTTCTGCTGACCCATGCTCATCACTCGCGGGAACGTGCCGCCCAAACATCCCGCCCGTTGCACTCAAAGCCAAAGCGAAAGCGACAATGTTGAGCAGAATGGCGGCTTACCATATGCATTGATCCCGTGCCCAGCGAGCGTAGCAATGACGATGATGACGATGATGATGATAATGACGACGACGACGATGACGATGACGATACTGCAGAGCTCATGAGAGAACTGGAAAAGATCAAGAAAGAGCGACAGGAAGAGAAGGAGCGACAGGAGCGCGAAGAGCGCGAGGTAGAGCAGCGCAAGCGGGAGGAGGAGGCCCTGACCGGAAACCCTCTGCTGGCGTCAAGCTCTTCGTCGCTGTCGCGATCCGATTTCAGTGTCAAGAAGCGCTGGGACGACGACGTCATCTTCAAGAACCAGGCACGCAGCTCAGAGGGCGCGCCAAAGCGCTTCATCAACGACATGCTGCGAAGCGACTTTCACAAAAAGTTCATGAACAAATGTGAGTGTTGGTTCACTCGACGCTGTCCGTCAATGCTGGGTGCTTAAGGGGTGCCCACTTGTTGGCGGTGCGGCCATCTCAAGGCATGCGGCGCCCGTGCCATTGTGCCTACTCATCCACTGACTGTTTCTCATTGCGATACCCCCACAGATGTCAAGTAACCGCCCGCTGTGCTTGGTGTGTTCTGGATTGCTTGCCCATCCCCAGGATCGCATACGCCTCCGCGGGACACTCTCAGTCGTGGATTGTTTGTTTCAACCTCCCGAGTCCTCGAACAGCTCCAGACGCCGCATGGCTGTCCACTTGGGACTCACTTTTGGATCACGCAAAACTGAATGTATTCACTGGATAAATGACGAATGGACGCACCATCGCACGCCATAGCATCACTGTTCGTCGGCCTGATTCTGAGCAGAGAGCAGCTTGTTCGGGTGACAGACCAGGGTTGATTTCCGGTGGCGCCGCCCCACCAACGCAGTGCCGCAGGGGATGGATTTCGATCAAACTGCTCTCAGGGCTTGCAGGCGAGCAGCCATACTCTCGGCTTCGTCGGTTTCCTCGACAGCGGCGGGTTCTTCGGCCTTGATGAAGCCATCGCAATGTCGCCATAAGCAACCAGCATGAAATCGATTCAGCATCAGCCCCCAGTTTGGTATCTCTTATCTGATCGGAGCTGTGCCGCTGCGACGATGGGAGGTGCTCCCGTTCTCGCGATCGGGCTTTGCTACTCACCGCCAATTCGGCTCCAACCGCTCCGGCTTCTCCCAGGCGACCTGTTCCGATGGCGGCGCAAGGGTGCCATGAAACAGCCACGAGCCCGAGGCAAATCGCCCGAACGATAATGCGGGCGGTTGGGATTACACATTGGCATCCGAGAAGGGAGGAGTGTGGTGAGATAGAGGCGGGAAGGACATCGTCTGGCTGGCTGGCGATCAAGATGACCGCAGAACCAGCTATATCGACCCAAAACATCCACAGTTCTCATCGAGCAGGGGGCGCTCAGATGTCTGTTACCAAAGCACCGATCCCTGAGCACATGAATGATGCCACTCACCGTCCGTCAGTTCAAAGAGGACCTTGTTGACCTCCTCCTCGGCCTCATCTTCGATCTCTTCCTCGTCCATCTCCAGTGTATCGTCCAGCATCTCCTCAATGACTCCGGCCTTTGTCATCTCCATCTGCAGCTGCTGCATATCTTTTGAGAGCTCGGGGAGCTTGATCAGTCGGTTCATCAGCTTCATGACTTCGGTCGACTTTTGCAGACTTCCAGCCAGCCGCACAGCAGCTTTGATGGAGGCGGTTCGTGTTCAGTCGATTCAGTGTGGAGGAGTCGCGGAAAAAAGGAGAGAGCGATACCAGGTGTGCAGAGAGCGGCTCGGTCAGTCTTGGGGCGCTGGTTATTGATAGAGTGGATTATCCGCCTCCGAGACCGTCAAGCGACAGAGCGAGGGTCGTCGCAAAGCGCATCCCACCAAGGGCCGTTGCGACACACATACCCAGCTGCTGCTGCAGTTGCATGACCATCGAGTTGAGCTGGGCCTTGCTGGTGTGCAGCCGGTCCTTGGCCTTCCGCGAACGGACGATTTCCTTGGCGAGAAGCTTGCAGCTTGCGCGGTCGTTGCGCTTGGCGGCATCCTTGATGGACCGCTTGACCTTGACTTCCTGGGCCTCGATATTGCGGATCTGCTTGTCCAGCTCGCGCTCTTGTCCTCGGATCGATTGTCTCCATCGCTTGACCTGCGTGGGGGGGGGAGTTCGTGTTGTCGGAGGGCCCAGACCGGTCGATGGTGCGTATTTCGCAGAGTGGAGGCAAGGAGAGAAGGGAAGTCGAGCGAGGAAAGCAAGGAGCTCATTGGTGTCGTGCGTTTGGGCATCGGCGGTGTATGTTCGGCCATATTCGTTTGGGTATCGGCTGTGCACTCTCCAGCTCAAATAATGGCTATCAACAAAAAAAAACATGCCCCCGCCGACACGACTTCCGTGCCCGCAACAACCGGCCATGGCACACATCCGGCTCGACGCAACGGCCGATCTGGCTGGTTGCGATGGGCTCGTCGTCGCCCACCAACAGATGCCCCCACCTGTTCTTCAGGGGTGACTCGCTTGAGACCCAAATACTCGGCGACGTTGGTCAATGTGCTCGATGACATGGCGTTGCGGATGCGTGCGGGTGCAGTTGATGAAGGGAATGCTCTCTGATGCGGTGGGTGTTGCGGTGTTGGGAAGTGTGGGCGATGGGCAGGAGCCGGCCTGAGTCTTCCACCCTGGACCTGAGGCAGCCGGTCATGTGGACGGACCATGCGACAACGGCGTGACGCGGGATGCGCAGCGCACTCGTATCACAGCCGCGAGAACCAGCGATCGCCTCTGGATGATGATGATGCGATCAGGAGCGAAGCGCATGCATTGGACCCTCTGTTTGGCCATGACGGACGACGAGCGGGTGTCTGTATTCAAGACCAGAAATAAAACGACAGTCCTGGCCCAGAGCAGGATGCCCCGTTCCAAGAAGGGCCAGCTGTAATCAAGGCGTCCCGTATAGTTTCGCAGACGCTGCATTGGTGCAGATGAAAGTAAAAAAAAAAAAGACAAAGCTATTGAGGAAAGCTCGCTGGTAGAATGGGGGACGTTTGTCGGCGCTGCATCAGTGGCGACCGGTCCGGCTGACGATGGAGACCCGTGGGAACTGTTCCTCGGGCAGACGAGGGGAGCTGGGGATCTCCGGGAGGTACCCGGCTTGACAGAGGTACTGCAGGCAGTTTGCGACTTGGCTCGCAGCCGGGAGACCCGGTGCAGGGTAGATGGAGCGGGTGTTGGCGTTGTCCATGCGGAAGGACATGCTCATCACCATATGCATCAACGGGAACAGGGCGTTCTGATGCTGTGAATGCGACTCGACCAAGGCGGCTCGGAACTGATCACGCGTTTCGAACTTGGTATCCCAGCCCATGCCCTTGACAGCTTCAAAGATCTCTCTCTCGCTGATGGCACTGTTTGCGGCGATTCAGTGGGTCAGCGGTGAGATACGAGCGTTGTAAGACGAATGAGAAGCTGGCGCCGAGGTACTGGAGGGCGGAGCTATGGCATTACTGGATTAGCAGCAAGCGCCACTCACCTGTTTTCGGGATGGCTGATGTGGAACACAAACTTGGACAGGGCAGTTTCAGAGGCAGCAATCTCTGTGATCACCTTGGCGACATGGTCGACGGGGTCCATGCTGGTCGTCACCGTGCTCACATGGCACGGTGCGATGCCGAGTTGGATGCATCCCTTGACGTATCGCCAGATGTAGTCGTCCGAGTTGCAGACTGGCGACGGCAAGTGAGAGCCGTTGTCAGGCGATGAGCAGCGATTCGTGAGTGGGGCGAGTAAGCGTCCAGCACATCACCATACCACCACACCACCACATCGCCACCACCACACCACCACATCACCACATCACCACACCACCACATCACCACGACTCACCTCCATATCGGCTATCACCCGCGATCACAGCCGGCCGGATGATGGTGGCTGGCACACCTCGCGATCGCGCCTTGTTGACCAGCTGCTCAGAGACCCACTTGGTCTGTCCGTAGCCGCCAGAGATATCCCAGGCCGAGTAGAGGGTCTCCTCCAGTGGTGCCGCAGACCCCTTGGTCTTTGGGACAGTCCCGACAGATGAGATGTAGTGGAGCGGCTTGAGGTGGTGTGCAGTGGCAAGGCGCAGTGCGGTGGCCGTGCCAAGGACATTTGGACCCTTGAGTGCGTGGTAGTCTTGGAGCCAGTGGACCTCGGCGCCGTTGTGGACGATAACGTCGACGGACTGGCCGAGGGCATCCCAGACAGCCTCAGAGAGACCCCACTTGTCGTGCGACAGGTCGCCCGGCAGGGCCTCAACGCGACCCCAGATGTCGTATTTGGGGGCGGTAGAGTCGCGCGAGTCCACAACAATGGTCGCGGCGGTGGTCTTGAGTCGCTCCTTCGCTGCGTGCTTGTCTTTGGCTCGGACCAAGCAGACGATCTTGGCCTCGGGGAAACGGGCAGCCAGCTCAAAGAGCAAAAATATGCCCAGGAACCCTGTGGCGCCCGTGAGCAGGATCGTCTTGGGGGCCTCGGGAAAGACAAAGGCGGGGAGTCCTTCGGCCGTCACGGTCGCATCGTCGTGCTTGGCGGCCTCCTGGGCCAGATCGACGGTGGGTGGCTGGAAGGGCCTGCCGTCGCCAAGGTCGACGATGATGCTGGCAATGTTCTTGGCAGTCATGCCATGGGACAACAAAATCAGTGGCGAGATCTCGACATCAAACTCTTCCTTGATGGCGAGGGTAAGTCGGCCGACACTCAGCGAGTCGAAGCCGACACCGGCGATGTAGTAGTCGCGTCCGTCGAGGACCTCAATGTCCAGGAGCTGGCTTCCAATGCGGGAGACCTTGAGGGCCGCCTTGGACAAGGGCGTGTCGTCGACGACGAGGGCCGGGTAGGCCATGGCAAGCTCGTGGTGGTCAGCATTCTCAGCGATGCGCTTGAGCTTCTTGGTATCGCGCTTGCCAGAGTCGTTGAAGGGCATGGCCAGCAGCTCCAGGCAGTTGTGAATCGGCACCCTGGAAATGTTCTGGAGAGTAAAGATGGTCTCGGCGGCGTCAAGGATCTGGCGGGATGTGAGCGCGACAGGATAGTCCTTCTTCAAGACATAGAGCAGGACAATCTTTTGATCCGAAGTTTGGACAAAGGCGCAGTCCGAGACCATCTGGGAGATGCTGGTGGAGAGCAGCGTCTCGAGGACATGAAGATCGATGTACACGCCGTTGATTTTGATCTTTTGGCCGTATCTGCATTTGAATCACCACGGCGACAGCGGCAGGTGTTGAGCGGAAGCAGCGGTGGTGAGGGACGATGATACAGGTAGAGGGCCCGATCAGCTACAGTACGTCAAGAAGAGTCAAGCAGCGACTGTAGCCGCAAGGCCCGTCTGGCGCGGGCGATACCGTCGATTGAAGCACGGCAGCCACTCGCATGAATGCAGGCGCTTTCATCGCCCACCAAGCAAGCGTCTCATCGACCATCCGGCTCACCCAAGCGTCTGTGCCTCTCACCTGCCAAAGATCACAATCTCACGCTCGCTAACAAGCTCCACTTCGTCCATGGTGCAGACACGCGGCGAGCCATCCTCCAGGAAGCCAAAGGCAGCAAGCTTCTCGTTCGGGTTGGAGTTTGCAAAGTTGGGGTGGCTTCGGATCGGATGGTCGGGACTGACGGCATAGACCAAGATGCCATTTCTGGTCTTGGTTGTGTCGACAGTGTCGCCGTTCTCATCAAAGAGCAGACACCGGACGCCAGGATTTGAGATGGTATAAACGAGTCGCTCGGGGATAGGGTCCTTGGGCCGGATGATACTGAAGCCAAACGCCTGGATGAGCACCGCCTGGATGAAGGTCGAAGCGGGTTAGATGCCGAGGCGTGCATTCCTGGAGCCATGTCGTGGGATACATACCTCGCTGGAGCCATAGCTGCACTGCATTGTTGCGTTGGGGCAAAAGTTTCGAGCCTGCTGGATGAGATGTATGGAAACCAACTCGGCGCCGGGCGACACTCTCTTGACGCCGGGCCATTGGGTGTTGCGGTTCTTGGCGAGAGCCAACTTGAACACCAGGTTGATGAGGGACGGAGTCTGTGGATTGACGTAGCATCATAAAGTGAAACACAGAGCCGGCATGAGAAAGCATTCGTTGCGAAGATGCTGATATGGAGTTCAAATTGTGCCGGAGCGTTGCAGGGTTGGATGTTGGACTCACTCCTCTCAAAATATCCATGCCCTCGTCCAGGAGGCGAATGATATTTTGCGCCTTGTCGACATGATTGTTGGTGGGCTTGGGGAACCAGATGGACGCCTTGGCTTGGAGCGTGCCAAGCATGAGCAGCATCGAGGCTGAAAACGACGGCGCCTGTACCATCGAGAACGGAGACGCTCTGTCAGAGATGGTCGGGAGCCTTTCCAAACGGATCCGGAGTGTGGCTGAGACAGGAACAAGTTTGGTTGGTTGACTTACAAGGAAGAAGCCGATGCGACCGTAGGTGATGCACAGGTTGCGTCGAAGCGGAGCGCCGGACTTGTGGGCACCAAGATACCTGCGATTAGGGAGCCAGGGTCAGTAGCCGGCATGGACGGGATCGAGGCAACACCGGGGCGGTATGGGATACTCACGTCTTGGGAACACCTGTGAGCAGTGGATAGAGTCCAGGCAAGTCAGCTCGCGCTGGAATATGCAGGGTTTATGGGGAAATCGCACAGATACATCCGATGCCGATCCGGTACATCGGGAAGCTCACCTGTCGTTCCAGAGGTGCTCATGTAGAAGATTTGCTCGCTCAGGGGCGCACACACCTCGAGCGATGCCTCGGGAATGTCCTTGACCGGAGGGAACAGACTGGCATCGACTTGCTCGACGCCCTGGATGCGTCCCGGATGCGTGAACCGGAACAAAATATACCGAATGCCGAGTCTATGGAGGAGGTTGCGCGTCCAGCAAAGCCAGCGTCAGAGCGATGCGGAGAGGGGCGTGGAGCGATTGAACCGACGCGAGCCCAAGGCCGGGCGGCCAGACCATACCTCTTTGAAATCTCATTGCGAACCGAAGCGGACCAGTTGAGGGCAAAGTTGATAACTTTCCTGGAGGCCAGGGATGTGTGAGTATGGGTGTGCGATGGCGGGAATGTCTGCAACGGGGGATGTGCCACAATTGGGTGCGGGACGGGGCAGCCCCGTTTGGTACGCACTTGCCAAGGATCCAGGCGGCGAACGAATAGAGCACCCAGTGCGCCTCGGGCTCGCAGTAGATGGCAACAACGCTGTGGCCCTCGTCGTCCCAGCCAGGGAGCGTCTTGAGCCCCTGGGCGATGGAGTAGGCTCGCTCCCAGAGCCGGAGATAGCTGTATCGCTCGATTGTGTCGTTCTCGCTCGTGAATATGGCGAGGGCCGAGGGCTCCTGCCGGACCATCTTGATAAGGGCCTCGATCGGGTGCATCCAAGCGTCGAAGGGATCCATGGGCGGAACAGGACGGGGCTCGGACTGGACCGGCTCCGAAACCTCGGCTGCAGCGGTCGGGGCAGATTCCTGGGCATGGTCGGGGCCGCTCGGCAGGGCGGATTCGGCGGCGTGCTGGGCGGATTTCACGATGCCTCTGTCGTGGGGAGGAGTGTCGTCCTGGTCTGCAAAGCAGCACAGGAGCTCCTTGAAGACCATCCTGGCAGCGTCGAAGGGGCGTCTGCGGGGCAAGGCTGTTGGGGCGTTGCTGGAAGCCAGGACGGGCAGATGGAGGGGGGAGGCAAAGACGGGCTGCCGGCGGATTCCGGGCCAGGGGAAGTCTCGGCGGCCTTTGCTTTTGGGGGAGGGGAGGGAAGGCTTCTGGCCAGCCGGCCTTGCGTGCTGGGCGTTCCACCCGACTCTGTGCCACAGCGCAGTGCCGCCCGTGGTGGCTTCTGGCGGTGCACGCACATGCAGGCATGAATAGAAACAAGCACCTCTGCGCAAATGGTCCGAGGAACGTTATTGATTGTCGTCGATCGCCGCGGATTGCCTGCGCGTTGGCTCTGCTGATTTCGCGTGCCATGATACCACACCATGCAATTCTATATCACACCATGCCATGCTATATCGCATCACAGCACACCACATCATGCCATGCTATATCGCACCACAACACACCACACCACCACACTGCACCATAACACCACACTGCACCACAACACAACCCCCACAACGGCCCCACGGCCCGCTCTGTCTTTTCTTCGCTTCCATCCAGCCCCTTGCCTGGCTCGTCGTTCCTTGTCCTTGCTGGCGCATCTGTGGTGTGCCTCCGGTGTCGCACTCGCGCAACGCGCACCCTGGCTAACCAATCCGCGTGCGTGATGCTGTCACACACGCGCCCTTGGTGGGCACGCTGCGACGCGTCGCATCCCTGCCGGGACGGATCTGGGCTGTCAGAATTGACATGGGCGTCCTTACATGTGATTGCCTGTCTAGACACCAACCGCACTCCTGTGGTTGGTGTCGTCGTCCTGCTCGTTCATTCGGGTGGCTCCTATTTCAGATATGCGTCCAAGTCTCCGAGGCCATCGCGTGACCATCGCCATCGTCTCGCTCGCCGTGCCACTGCAACCGGTGTCCAACGGGCCGCTGTGCCGGAAAAATACGACTGCAGCCGTCGAGCGTCCTTGGCACATGGACTCGGCCGGGGAGTCGCCTCTTTCATGCCCAAATGAACCTCAATCTCTCCCCACCCCGCCGGCCGATCCGCTCAGCTCAAGTGCGGGAAGAGGCAGGCGAAGAATGCACAGGTGGCCTGCCACCGACATATGCAATGATTGGCGACGACGTCAGCGGCCGCTGCCCGAGCCTCAACCCCGACACCACAGTCCTGCCTCTCGCTTAGTTCGGCTCCGATGAAACTTGGATGCTGGCTTGCATCTCAGATGCCTCTGTTGGTCGACGGCGAATACGAATCCCGACACATCTCATTCTGGTCGCTGGGGAAGCGCTCTCAAACGCAGGGCGGGAAACACAAGCGGGGCAATATCCCATCCCAGATCCCACATCTACATTCCGCACCTCGAGCATTCTCCACTCAATTGCTTGGTACCAGCAAAAGTAAGCTGTGCGAGTTGTTGTTGCCATCGAATTCCTCCAAGGTGCTGATGGTAGAGCCTGCCACCACCGCTCAGTGAGAAATGGGGAGGCAGCATGTCGATCTCCCGGGGTCTGGGTAACTCTGCCAAAGAATGCCCCGATGAGCTCAGCAACCAACTCGAAAGTTCAGCAACAGCACGTTCTCGGAAGCACGACAGTTCTGGATATATCCCAGTTGGACGTATTCAGGAGAGATCCACTTATTTGCTGACGATGACCGGCCCGGGCGCAAATCTATCGTGCCCGCTCTTGTCCCACAGACCACACCGCCTGTCGCCCGCTTCTTCCACTCGCCTCTCGTGAAAAGATTCGCATATGGTGGAGAAGAAGGAAAAGGTATTCGTGGCTCTCAGCAGCCGTAGCCATCGTCGCGGTCGTTGCTCGACGGACGCCTCCGATGAGCCAACACTGGCAAATCTCCCAACACACAGGTCGATTCGGGGAGATGCTTGGGCGTTTTCAGGTATGCTACGGCACTTACTCGCGAATGCTCGCCGCTGAAAGGTTCGGGTACATTCGGGTTGCCCCGTCGGAGCGTCAGAGCATCAGAGCCACCGCTAAGCTTCAGTCGTTGGGTGCCATGACGAAACTCACAGATCACACGAAGGCACAGTGTATAGCTTGGATGTCTTCTGGAAGGGCGGGAGACCGCCTATGAAACGAGAGAGGATACGGCGGTCAAAAACCATGAGGGTGGAGCCTGGAACAGACGAAGATGGACTGATTGCTCTCGTGACGGGTAAGGCCCGCCAAGTGGCCTTGTGACTTGATGAGAGTGGGCAGCTTGAGACGATGCAAACCGTCATTCGGCTGAGTGCTACTTCGCTGTGCTGCTTGATTGTGCTATTGGGCCGTGCAGGCTTGCTCGGACGCATGCGCATCTGGATTGCATCGCTGCCGCGATCGCCCTTCGTGCTTGCCATGCCAAGACACGGCTCTAGCTCATATCCTGCGTTGCATCGCAGGATCCCACGATCAAACAATACTGGTGTGGGATGTCGCTCCTTCAACGGTCAACAAGAAAGATCTCGCCGTCAAAGTGACGCAAGCCAAGAAGCTGCGGGGCCACACCGCCGATGTATATGCCATGGAGATCGTGCCCGAGTTCAGTGAATACGTACCGCACTCACAGAACCAAATTGCTCAGTCGAAATACGATAAGCGAGTCGTCAACCTGGTTTCGGGTGGAGACTATACCGTTCGGACGTGGAACATTGGCGAAGTAGGCTCCGTCTCGGTGTCGGCGGCTTGCGTCGTAGTACTGCACCCCTCGGGTCAGCCGGCCCAGTGGCATCAGCAGCTTCGAGCATCTGCTTGCCGATCGATACAACAATCCCGACTCGCGAGGAAAGTTGCAAACCTGTGTCTAACCAGATGCTTCTCTCTGGTGCACTCACTAGTCCAACACCTGTCTACAAACGCTCCAAGGCCACCTGGGCTACGTGGCATGCCTGAAAGTCAAGGGAAAGCGGGCCTTCTCTGGATCGTGGGATACCACCGTGCGGTCATGGAATCTAGAGGTGCCTCTTCCGCCCGTCTATTGCGTTGTGGTTGTTGGTGGCCATCGGTCACGCATTGTCAGACTGCTATCGGATCAATGTTGCCAGTCGGGATCAAATGAGTACCTGCATGCCCAGGACTCACATCCAAACGGATCTGCCCTCCCCCCCAGACCGGCAAGGCCATGCACGTCTTCAAGGGACACAAAAACATCATCAACTGCATCGATGTCACCGACACAGACATCTTTAGCGGGAGCTGGGACATGTCCATCATCCAGTGGAGCCGTGCGGTACTTTTCCTCTGATTCGATGGCCAGAGTGGGGTACAGGGCAGTGAGGATATCCGCCGCTGAACTAGTTGGCTGTCCGAAGGCACTTTGTTTGTGAGCCGAAAGCACATGTTCTATGCAATCCAGGCCGCTATGCAGAGAGGGCATGCGTGTGGTCACTCCGTGAACTGACAATCCGCTGCACGCAGACTGGCGAGCCGGTCAATGTGTTTCAGGGACATACCGATGGCGTCCAGTGCCTCCAGGTGCATGACGAAAACATCATTACCGGGTATACCCAGCGCCGAATTTTGCCGCAGGATGTGCCCAGCTGGCGCCTTCGGCTCGCATATCCGACTACTGACTGCGGTTTTGATCGATGCAGATCCATGGATAAAACTGTTCGTGTCTGGAGCATAGCAGTAAGCCTCCTTCCTCATCCCGCACCCAGTGCTCGATCTAATAATGGTTGGAAAGAGGCCGGTTCAAGCGCCAGTGCCGCCTCTAAGGTCCTGACACATTTGCTTGGCAATGTCTCCCTCGCCGACAGACAACAAAAACAGTCAAGGTCCTGCGGGGACACCAAGGAGGAGTCGAGTGCCTGAGCGCGGTCAACAAACTATGCTTCACTGGATCATATGACAAAACAATCAGGTGGGGGCTGACGAGCCGGTGGCAGACACTTCCTGCGCTTTCCGATAAGCCCGCATTATCGAACTACTGGTCCGATTCGGCTCGACGCTGGTGTGCATCGGCGACCCCTCCGATGAAGGATGTTCGAGCACGAACAGTTGATTATATAGCTATCTGGATCGCAGTAACCATGAACTGACCCATTCCCGCTCTCTGATCCATCCCCGATGTTCGGCCTTTGCTCCTGAACGGAACTTTGCAACAGATGCTTCAATCTCGAGGTGGGTGCGGATGGCACATACCAAAGCCGACGAGTCCGTGTTCAGCCTCCCAACATATCGCTGACTCGATGCGCTTCGATGATTTCCCCTCCACCCCTCGCAGACTGGGGAGTGTCTGATGGTTTTTGAGGGACACACAGACGGAGTGTACTGCCTCAAGTTCTTCGAGGGTATTCTGTACAGCGGCTCTGGTGATCGGTCTATTCGGCTCTGGGATGCCCGGGTGAGCCATGCACCACGACTCCACCCATAGGCCGGCTCGCCTTGCGAGCAGCACACACGTCGGTACCTTCTCTCTGTCGTTGTGCTGACATCTCACCCTGCGTGTTTCAGGACCTGGTAGAACAAGCATCAAAGCCCTGGTGGAAGCGCCTGCTACGATGCTTTGGAATCAAATAGACAGCCCCCCCTCTGTATCATTTCGGGCGGTCAGACAACAGCCCGAGTAGTCTGCATACTCAGACAAGATCGTCTCTTCGATGGCGCCAATCCCAGTGGTCGCCCAATATACAACACACCCATGCCAGCTCCCCCTCCTCTACCCATCAAAGCAAGCCACGCGCTCCATCAGTACAAGGACGCTCATATCAAAAAGGCGGGTGATTTATTCGCAGAAGTGAGCGGCGCAGAGGGACGACGCTGTTGCTCGCGAGGCTGTCGAGTGATCCCCAACATGCGCCGGACACGGTGGCATATTCCTCTGGGATCGCCTGACCGTCTCGTACACGAACGAGTGATTGCCTGTCCAGAGGATATACCACGGCCGCCATGGTGCATGGGCAGACTGTGGGTCATATGTACCCCGGGAAGACACGCACACGATCGCCAGGAGCCTCTTTATCCACCGCGGGGACCGAGCTTGTCGAGCGCACGAATGCCCTTCTCTTCGTACTCGGCCTTGGTGATCCAGAAGGCGTCGTTCTTCTTCATGATTTCTCCCAAAACGGCACCGCCGAGGAAGACCATGTGCTTGCGTCTCGGGGGATCCTCGACACGGATCTTGAATTTCTGTAGAGCGATAACCACGGTCCAGCGAGTTTGGATGGTCAATTGTGTCCGTTGGCGCAAGTCGCACATGTTCGCCGCATTCGCCTCTCCGCTCATAGCCCCAAGACAATGTCACTTACGCTGAGGCGGCTTGCATCGCCCTTGAGGGTTTTGGCGAGGTAGAGCTGCTTGACCTCCTTCTCAAGGCGGCTCGGGAGACCCGGGTACATCGAGGTGCCGCCCGAAAGGACAATGTGCTTGTACAACTCGGAACGGATATCCAGATCGGCGGAGGAGATGCAGTTGTAGAGCATATCTGTTGCCGACGGGGCCGGCGTTCAAGTAGTTGGTTAGTTGGCCACAGGCCAGCCGGAACATCTGCCACTCAAATATGTGCCTGCGGATGCAGAAGCGGTTCGCCCAGGTGGGCTGGGGGTCAACATATCCTTACCGGCGATGCCCTCGCTCTCACAGTCGACCAGATGGGGCTGGAAGAGCGCCTCGGGAGCCTCGAATCGCTCGGATCCGACCTTGATAACACGTCCGTCGGGGAGCTGCGGTTGCGGGTCAGGGGCGACGGTCAGCATCGCCGATTTGCACACTCAGCGATGCGATTGAACCATCGTACGGCCAAGTCCAGTGCGACTAGAACGCAACGGTGCATTGTGCCAACATCGGTGCAGCCCAGAGCCAGCTGCAACTCACCGTGTACGACTCCATCAAGACAGTGGTTTCGGCCGCCAGCTTGGCTTCCAGCTGGAGATCGTATCTAGAGCCGATGCAAGACACCGGCGCATCAGTGGGTGGTTCCAGCACATCGCCCCATGTGTACGGATCGCTGGATATCGGCTGCTCACCCAATGTAGCAAACGGCTTCCTTCAGCTGTCTGACGGTCTCAAAGTCAGCCGTTCTGTTGAAGGCGTATCCTCTCAGCAGAAGCAGCTTGATCAGGTATCGAGTGATGTCGCGGCCGGCGACATCCAGGCGTCGCGTGAGGTTGGGAAGAGCATAGCCGTCGTAAACGGGGACGATGTGCGTGACACCGTCGCCAGAGTCAACCACGACGCCGGTCTGCAGTCCTGGAGCATGCAGAGGAGCGACAGAGCGTCAGGGTTTGGAGGGCGCGATCTCGGCCTGGGGGCGCCATTCCACTGCCGATGCATCCCACGCCGATGGTGCACTCGGTATCGCTGCAGGCAAGGCAGACTGGCGTCGCCTCGCACCATACCTTGAGCATAGAGCGTCAGGACAGCCTGGATGGCGATCCAGAGGCCGTTGAAGCCGTAGCGCTCAAACATAACCTCGGCCATCTTCTCGCGGTTCTTCTTGGGGTTCATGGCAGGCTCGGTCAGCAGGATCTTGTGATCCTTGTAGTCTGTGATGCCCAGCTTATCCTGGAAGGTGTAGGCCCAGAGATGGTACATATCCTCCCAGTTTCGAACGATGCCGTTTTCCATCGGATATGAGACCTGGAGGAGGTTCCGGACCTTGGCGGCCTCGTCTCCGACCATGATGTCCTTGAGCTCCGCAAGGTTGGACATTTGCTCCTCGGCTCGCAGAATGGGGCGGCCGACGATGGCCGGGAAGATGGCCTCGGGGAAGTTGGTTCCGGAGAAGCCGCATTTCACAAACTGCCAGCGCGAAAGGGGAGGGACGGAGGCATGGTTGCGCCGCAGATGCCGCAGATGCCGCAGATGCCGCAGGCGTCAGTGGAGAACAGGGAGCAGGGCCAGATGGTCCGCTTTATACGATGCAGTGCGCTGCGTGCGCTACGTGAGGGCCATCTCCCTCATCTGACCGATCTGCCCGACGTCTTTGGCGGAGGACATCGGGCTTGCGCAGGGCTCAGCCGATGCCATCCGAGCCAGCGTTGACGATGGCGTCGGCCAGGGCGAGCAGCAGCAGCCAGCAGGCGGCCGGCGCCGGACAACGACTTACGCCTGTTCCATTGTCGCAGATAATCACTTCCTTTTTGCTCATGTTGCCGTGCCTATCGGTCTGACCGGGGAGGGGGAAAGGACAGCGTCTGCTCAAGCGGGCGGCGGGCCAGCGAGAGAAAGAAGGCCAAGAGCCCCTTGCACGAACGGAGGGCCTGGCGCGGCTTACGTCAGCGGGCGAGGCGGCGACGCGTCCCGGTTTCGCGGGGTGGATGAGCGCCAAGACCGAGCCCGAACAGCAGCAAGCGACGGCCGGGGTGCTGCAGCCCATGTGGGCAGCGCTGCTCCGCGCACACGGCCAAAGACTTATCGGTCATGTAATATTATGACTAGAAAACATGTGCGATGCGGAGCGATTCTTGATGCCGGAACACGCTTGCGAGGATGAGCCGCTCGGGCACGAGGCAGACAGGGCGAGAGAGCAATTGGCAAGCAGGTCCGTGGGCGGCTGTGTTGATGGGAACGTGTGCGGGTGCGCAACATGACAGAGGACGATATCGGCCGTGATGTGCAGGGTTGGGACAAGGGCTGTGTGCACCACCACTACTTCTGGATAATGCCCTTCTGCTCCATATACTTCAGTGCCGAGTCGATCGTAGACTTGTTGTTGGTCTTCAGGTACACGATAAGCTCGTCCCACACCACCTTGACGTCCTTTTTGAATCGCGCCGCAATGTTGAAGACTTTGAGGCGGTCGGGTGATCCAGAGAGAATTTGCTCCTGAGGGGGGGGGAAGCAGCCGATGGCGTCAGGGCACAGCTCTCACAACATTGATGCAAGGCCAAGACGGCTCGGGTGGTTGTCTCCGCCGGTAGTCGGCGCTGGCCACCTTCCACACATCTCAGAGCCGACGGACTGCCACCTACTTTGAAGCGTTTCTCGATGAATGCTATGCAGTCCATAAGTTCGCCCGATCCTGTCGGTGTCCAGTCGCACGAGGCAATGTTACTTCCGCTGCAGTTCATCGCGTCAGCAGCCTTCCGCCGCCGGATTCGGCGGCCCTTGCTGGCCCAAAGCAAGTCAGCACTTGCTGGTTGCGACAGCGATTCAGGCCGGAACCCACCACTGTAATCCGAGAAGCACTCGCAGACGGTAATCGGGGTTTTCCGAATCTTGCTCTCAAAGAGATCCTTTTTGTTGAAGAGGAGGAATATTGGCATGCTCGAGAACAGAGGGTTGTTGACTGTTTGCTTGAACAGCGTCAGGCACTCCTTCATCCGGTTTTGGGTCTGATCCTCAAACAGCACGCTGTTGTATCCAGAGAGGTTGACAATGTACAATATCATGTTGCAGTCGTCCATCGTGTGAATCCACTTTCTTCGCTCGTTTCGCTGGCCACCAACGTCGATGAGTCTGGAAGGTGCAGATGGTGCCTGTCAGCCGGGAGAGGTGTGCAACAAACTCCGCATTCATATTCTCCCACGCAGACTACGCTTACGAGAAAGTCAGCGGGGCTATCTTGATTTCGGTTGTGATGATGCCCGTCGTCATCGTTCTCGCCATAACAGAGTCTTCTTCGGTAGGCTCAAAGTCATCCTGGCAGAAGCGCTCGATGTTGGAGAAGTAGCTGAACAAACACCATACGAGGCAACCAGGATGTGGATGGCAGAGAGGTCAGACGCATCGGAAGCATACTCGAGAGGCACAGGCATGTTCGCCCACGACAACACATAGCTCTGCTGGCGGGCCATTGACGCCCTTGCCTCTCCGAGTGTATCGGCGAGCGCGGACGTACAAATCTGCTGAATCCAGAATCCAAAACTCGTCTTTCTTCTCCCAAGTCTTCTGGATGGCGTCGTTCTTCCACAGCACCGAGATGGCATCGGCTACCGTGTCGATTTGATCTGACTCTCCGTCCTCCTCCATGGCAGCGAGGGCGTCGGATTTTGCCTGTATCAACCGCGGTCCCATTAGCGTTAGCATAGTCAGCAACCGGCGTTTCCCGGGCCACCGGCCACCGGCCCCAAACGCATGCCCTCTCTCTGTGGGGCGCCGCTTGATCCCACCTTGTCGGCCTCGCCGATATTGAAGCCAAACTTTTCTGCTTCTTCAATGAGGATTTTCATGCACTGGATCGAGTTCCGACGGAGACTCGCTACGATATCGGCAATCTCAGACTTGGACATGGCGATCTTGTTGATGGTTTTGATATGCTTGAGTACTGTTGATTTACCCGATTCACCCGATCCTGGACAAGCAAAGCCCCCCCCATCCCACGGGCCCGGATTCTTAAGCATAGGTACGATACGAGGCCGCACACATCCGGCATATCAAACGGCGCCAGTGTCGCAGCTGACATCGAGGCTGTACCTAGCAGCAAAATCTTGAACTTGAGTTTGGCCTCCATCTCGGAAAGCTTTAGCTGGGCATCTACGCCGTGGTCGAAAGCAGGAGTGAGAGAGGACTCTATCCAACAAGAGTATCGGCAAGGGTGCAAGCGGCGGCACGCTGAAACACGGGCATCTCACTCACAAAGCCGCCGTCCATCTCAGTTGCATACAGGCCATCCATCTCATTCGCAGGGATGCCCCAAAGCGCTCGCATCCTGTCCCCATGCACGGCTGCTGTTGGCGTTGACGGAGACGCAGGAATTACCGATCGATGCCTCGGCGACCTTGTTGGACGACTTTTCCTGGCCGCCGCCGGCCGGACAGCAGGCATTACCCATCGCGCGCTGGGAAGTATCTGCACGAAATCGCTATTGGGTTGCGGCCGGGGATGCGCTGGGAGGCGAACAGAGGAGCTGCCGGGAACAGACGTGGGACTCGGACGGCCGCACGGCTGAGAGGATACAAACAAGATGGCCAAGATGAAGAGGAAAGCCAGTCGTCAAAAAAAAAGATCCGATGCGACTCGCTCTCCTCTCCCTCTCGCCGGCCCCGGGGCAGAGCCTGATTCACTCACTACACAGGAACTGCCTGGCCTTGTGAGGCAGCCCGCACATCATCAATGCGATCAGAGACTGACGTCGACGGCTGCCAAGCTCACGCTTTTCGCCCAGCCAAAAAAAGCGAACCCTGCCCTTTCCACCATCGTGGGTCGATTGCAACGGAGAAATTGACGTCGTCCGCTACTGTATCCACGCGCCAGCTGAAACTCGGGACTGAGCGAATTTGCCGTGGCTCCTCTTGATGAAGATTCGCTCAATTGCGGTCCAGGCCTCAACGGCTGTCCCGGGGCACTATCGCTGCCACGGGAGGAAGAGAGGGAGGAGGGATGCCAGCGGCTTGCCATGAGCCGTGGTCGTGTTGAACGTGCGTTGGAGTCGGAGGGACTTGTATTGAAAACATGATGGGACGATCAAGATCAAGAGACCATGGGCAGTCCAGCGCAAGTCGATCTGGTCTGGGTCTACTACAGGCGGATCCTCTCTGGAAGGGGATGGAGAGTGGCTGGCCAACACAATCCAGCAAGTAATCGCATGTCTGAGGGACTCCTGGGAGACTCCAGGCGCAGCCGTCCGATGAAAGCCGGATGCAGGACCACCAAATCACCGAGGATCAATGGGGGTCACTCCAGAGCTGATTCGCGCTGCTTGGCCGATCTCCTAGTTGAATCGCTGTCTCTGGGCAATCTCGATCAACTCGTTGAGCTCGCCAGTCTCCTCGCACATGCTCCTGAAGACGCTACCGCCTTTGCGCTCGATCAGCTCGAGCGGTGTGCCCCACTCCTTGACCTTGCCGTGATCGAGGACGAGAATCTTGTCCTGAAGGAGTCGCCATGGCGATTTGCGGATGGGAGCGTCAGCACGAGCTCAAAGTGTTCCCAAAGCTACAGCGACGATGCCAGGCTCTGGAGGCTCCGCCCAATCCGGCGTATCTCGCAACAATTGTATCGCCCCGACCCGCGCCGCAGAAAATTCGTGACTTACGTAGTCCATGACAGTTCGCAGACGGTGGGCAATTGTCAGGATAGTTGCGTCCGACAGCTCAGCGCGGATGGTTTCTTGGATGCGTCGGTCAGTTTCGGTGTCAACGCTCGCCGTGGCCTGATTGTTGGAGCATCCCGATTCGCAGGGTGCGGTAACGAGACAAGGTCAGCTCGAGTTGGACAGGGCTGATGGACGCATCGCACAGAGAGTCGTCGGCCGCTGCATCTTTACCTCGTCCAGAATCACGATGCGGCTCTTCTTGGCCAGAGCACGAGCCAAACACAGTAGCTGCCTCTGGCCCTGCGAGATGTTGCCGCCGCCCTCCGTGATGGTGGTGTCGAGACTGAAGTTGAACTTGGCTTCTGGCTCAGGTGCATCGGTCGGCACCGGCGATTGCACTCGCGAGCCATGGGCTGACTCGGGGTCGACAAGGTGGGCGCGCTTGAGGGCCTCCCAGAGAACATCGTCCGTAAGCGTGCTGAAGGGATCGAGGTTGGTGCGGATGGTTCCAGCGAACAGGACGGGATCCTGCGGGATGATGGTGAGCGACGAGCGCAGGTCCGCGAGGCCAATCTTGCGAATGTCGACCCCATCGATGACGATCGTGCCCGAAACAGGCTCCATAAACCGGAAGAAAGCCAGCGAAAGTGTGGACTAGGAGGGGTGTAAACAGTCAGCAGTTAGCCGTCCGCTGCCTCGCTGCCTCGCTGTCTTGCTACCTCGCTGCCTCGCTACCTCGCTGCCTCGCTACCTCGCTGCCTCGCTACCGACATCCTGAGAGAATTCGCCGACTCATAGAAGTCAGCCAGCCTACCTTGCCAGCACCGGTGCGTCCGACGATTCCGACCTTCTCTTTGGCGCTGATCATCAGGTTGATGTCGTCCAAGACGGGAGGACCATCGACGGCATACTTCATAACCAAGTGTTGGATCGAGACGGCGCCGTGCTCGGGCCACTGTGAGGAAGCAAACCATGACCGACGAAGAGCCGGCCAGTCAGTCAGCCAGTCAGTCAGTCAGTCAGTCAGCCAGCCAGTTGGTCAGCCAGTCAGTCCGTGCGGAACGAGTGAGGCGACGACGACTCGAAGGTCTGCCGCAAGCACGACGAGCGATCCTTACCGAGGGGGACGTGCGGTTGTTGGGAATGATGGCAGGGGCTTCTTGGTCAATGACCATGTACTCCTGCAGCCGCTCCAGGCTGTTCATGGACATTTCCAAGCCGGCTTGCGCGCGCACCAGGTTCTGTAAAGAGCGGCGGGGGGGGGAGGTGGTGAGCATGAACCTGTATCGCTGATCGCGTCCACATCGCCGAAAATTCGTTGTGTTGACACCAGACCTCGACTCAGGCGGCCATGCACCATGCACCATGCACCATGCACCATGCTGGCACCTACCGTGAGTGCATCCGTCACTGTGAGTGCAAAGTTGAGACAGAGGCCCACGAGACTGGCATCGAGTCCGGCCGAGAGCACAGAGACACCCACAGCCAGCACAATCAGGGCAGCAACGCCTTGGATGCGCACCGCGAGCCACAAGTTGGAGATGGCCAGGAAGTAGTTGGCGCGGTTGAAGGCTTCGACTCGCGAGCTGAACTCTTTGCTGAATCGCACCTCGCTGCGGAACGAGCGGATGGTGGACACGCCGCTGTTGCCATGGCGGCAATAGTGGGTGCGAAAGCAGACGAGATGTTGGATGGACCAAGAAGATCGTGCGAGTCAGACCAGCAAAGTGACCTTACCGACTTGCTCTCTCTCCTACACGGTGCCATCTCCGAGGTGGACAGCAAGAGCACCGCAGCACATGACTAGCATACGCCGGGATGCTCGGGAAGGGTGCCGCTGGGGTCTCACCTGAGAGTCTCGCTAAAGTATGACATGATCGGCGACTTGGAGACCGAGTCCAGACGCTTCAGGCAGCGCGAGGTGCGGATGTAGTACTTGGCGATCTTGTAGTAGATGTAAACTAGGGAGAGTGGCCTGCATGCGTGAGTCTTTGAACCCCACAACCACTGTGCTCCAAAGCAACGACAGCGATAGTTCACGATGCGGCCAGGATGGATACACTACCGATAGGAATCAGAGATATGAAGATGCTTGGAATGGCGAGTCCGACGGCCACCAAGACACAGAAGAGATAGACGACGTAAAACATGACGCCGCCTGTCCAGAGACTGAGCTCAACGTCAACCGACACCATGTCCTTGGTGAACTGGAAAGACACACGGCAACCGGGATCCGTCAGATCGACAGACGCGCAATCACGAGAGCGGCGGTCCAAGAAGAGCAGAAGCGAGCCCATGTGTCAGTCATGTGTCGATCGGCCGTGTGTCGGTGTGTCGACTTTGCGGAAATGTCAGGGACCATCCGGATCGCTGGCGATCTCGGGGCACTCCTGGGCAACTGCGCCGATCAACAGACTCTCCACACCGATAGATATCCAATAGTGGCTTACGCGGTTCAGGATGCGGCCGATCGGGGTGACTTCAAAGAATCGAATCGGAGCCTTGAGGATCCTGAGCAGCAGCAAGTGGTGCAGGGTTCGCGAGGCCTTGATCTGGGCCCAGTAGTGGAGCGCCAGGCGGCAGGTGATCGCAAACATGGTTGTGACGCCGATCAAGAAGTAGCCGATCAGATAAAAGTCCAGGTTTTCAATGGGCCTGAACGACCCGACCGAGGCGAGACTGGCGCTGGCGCTGGTGATAGTGGCTCGGTTGGAGAGAACAAAGGCCTGAGCCCGGGACAGGAACGACGACAGAGCGTGCGAGCTCTCGTCCATGTCCAAGAATGGCACCGGCAGAGCCGAGGCTGCCGAAGAGAGCGCGGAGAAGGACTCGTTCGTGTAGGCCTCGCTCCACCAGCGCACCCAAACGTCCTGGAAGACGCCAGAAGCCTGGTTGGCAAAGTAGCCCAACATGAGAATGGCAAAGACAACGTATCCACCCGAAACTCGGAAGTACAGCTTGTAGACCGAATAGTCGACCTTGCCGATGGCAACCTCTTCTTCGTTGGTCAGCTTGGACTTTGTCTGTCGCTCCTTGTCGGCGCTGATGGTGTCCAGGGTCTCGGCAGGGCTCTCGAAGCGGTGCTCGGTGTACTGGAACGCCAGCCAGGCCTCGCGCTCCGAAAGCACGGCGGTCTTCAGCTCCAAGAGACTGTCGAGGAAGGGGTTGGCTTGACTGGGGATGTGGCTGAGGATCTGCTCGACGGTTCCCTGGATCTCCACTCTGCCTTCATTCAGAATGACCACATGGTCTGCACCGGGAATCGCCAGGCCGATGGCGTTGGTGACCAGGATTCGCGTGCGGCCCCTCAGCAAGCCCATGATGCAGTGCAGATAGAGGTGGCGCGCGGTCGGGGCATCGACGGCCGAGAGCGGATCGTCCATGACGATGACGGGTGAGCTGCTGTAGGCGGCACGGGCTGTGGGGATGTGTGCGATTAGCGACTCGTGCAGTTGACGGTGCTTCCCGATAGAGCGACGCCGCTGTCTCGTTCTCGACACTGGCCCAAAGTCGCTGCTTACCCAGTGCAATTCTCTGCTTTTGGCCGCCGCTCAGGTTGATGCCCTTTTCTCCGACTTCGGTCATGTCGCCGCCCTCGAGAATCTCAAAGTCCTTGACCAGACTGCAGGCGTGGATAACCCGGCGGTACTTTTCGGCATCCCAAGGCTCGCCAAAAGTGATGTTGTCTCGGATGGTGGCATTCATGAGCCAGGCTTGCTGGGCCACGTAGGCGACGGGGGTCTGCGCGGGCAACTTGCGGACGCCATGCACGCGATGCATCTCTGTGAATAGTTTGGTGTTCGGGGGGGAGGAGGGGAGGGGAGAGTCGAGAGCGGGAGAGCGGGAGATCTAGTGTTAGCTGAGTAAAGCCCGTCGCGAGAGAAACCCAGATCGATCCCAGCCACATTCGGCACACAGCAACATCCAGTGGTATCGAGCAAACTGCAGAGGTCCAGCGCTCAGACTACGCACCACCCAAGAGAGCCAAGATGGTGGATGTTTTGCCACATCCAGTCGGGCCACAGACTACCGAGAGCTTGTCGTGCGGGAACTCAATGTTGATGTCAACAAGCTCAAAGCACGGAGGAGATGCAGTCACCGGAGCAGCCACCACACCGCGCAGGCGGTTCCAGAACTCTTTGATTCCAAACCACTTGGAAGCAGTAGTAGCAGCCGCTGCAGAGCCTGGTCCGGCGCTCTGCGACGCAGGTGCGCCGAGCGGACGCCAGGTGAAGCGCGCATCATGTCTGAGCGCAATCGAGGGTCGTTCATGGCCATGGCTGTGGTCCGGATCAAACTCACTGCGGTACTTCTCGAGCTCCTCCTCGCCCAAAAAGTCGCGGATGCGTTTCCACGAGACCCAGCTGTCCATCAACAGGATGATCATGTCTGGTAGTTGCTGAAGCGGAATCTGCAGCAACTTGAAGAGCGACAGGGCCGTGAACGCGATCGTGGCCGTGAGCTCCTGGCCAGCGATCTTGGTGAAGGCGATAAAAGTCACAAGCGACACACTGAGGGGCGCCGAGTACCAGACCACACGATAGAGGATATTCTGAAAAGAAAGCGTGTGTATGAGCGTAAGCAGCAGGGAGGGCAAAATCGCGAATGCGATGCAGCAAGCACCACAGCTGAACGCTGCAGAATGCTGTCTCACCGTCCATGCCCAGCACATCCTCAATGCCCCGCCATCGGGATATGATCCAGCGTCCAGCTGTCGGCTCCGACTCACCATAACTCCAAGCTTCCATCGATTGCGCATCTCATTCTCGCGCAGGGCCGTGATCTTGTCCTCAAACTGCTTCTCCCAGGCAAAGAATTTGATAATGCGGATGCCCTGCAGCATTTCGTTGACGGCGTTGGAGCGCACATCATTGCTGTTCATGAGCGTCGTCATGATGTTCTTGAAGTAGTATGTGATCGGGGCTCCACCACACATCAAGACGACCATGGCGCCCAGGCCCGCCAGAGACGACCAGCCAAGGAGCTGATACAGCGCAACGACGCAGACGACGAGTTGGATTGCAGCAATAATCGGCTGTGGCAGACCCCGTCCGAAAGAAGGTAAGGCGATTCACGAGTGTCAGCTTATCGGAGCGACGGCAGTGCTTGATTGGGCGATACCGAGGCAGTGTCATTGTCGGAGGTGGGGAGGAGTGATTTCATTCCACCCCCTTCTCCAACCAAGCCGATACGCGAGAAACCATACATACCATCGAGACGAATCCGAGGTAGTCTCCAATCTTGCTGGCATCGACAGCAAGCAGGTTGACGATCTTGCCGACAGTGGTAGCTGCGGAGGTTTTGCCGGTGACATCATCGACGCTCATACGCGGGACACGATGCAGTGCTTTTTGGTACTGAAAGTGAGAGTGAGAGTGAGAGTGAGGCGGGAATACAGTGAGCGAGTCGCTTGCCACCTTGGCGGCATGTAGGCAGCAGGTAGCAATCGACAGCGCTATCTGTGTTGTGCTGAAGAATGCAAGGCCAGCAGCACACGATGCAAATTATAGGACCTCCCTCTCTCCCCCCTTCTACTGCTGCTTCTGCTGAACTCGAGACTGGGACTACATACAACCAAGCCTGTCAAGACGTTGCGGAGTCGGATTCCAACTTGTCGCGCGATCTGGGTTTGTGGAATACAGCAACACGGTAAATATGAGTGTAGCTGCGGCTCGATATGGAACCGAATACTATTGAGAGAACAGGAGGAGTACTGGCAGGTAAACTCGCACGGGATTGACATCAAGCCTCCGTTCTCCACTCCCCCCCTCCTCCAGGGCCTCCTTACCAACTGGGCACGGCTATCGAGGAGGATACGGATCACGGTGAAGGCAAAGAGGGTGCCGACGTAGAAGAACGGCAGCCAGTCTGGGCAGTTGCCATTCTGGAGACAGTTGAGAATGCGATTGAGGAAGAAGGGTCCTGTGTTGGCGACCGAGCAAAATGGGATCTGTGAGTGATCCAGATCCGAGGAGTTCTGCCAAGGCTGTTTGCATCTCCAAGCATAGGTGTGCAGCCTCATTTCTGCACACATTCGCCCCCCTCCTCTCTCGTTTCTTCATCGACCCACTGCATTCCTCCAGCGTACCCGCAAAAAACAAGATGGATGACCCAACGATAAACAAGAACTGGGTGATCAGCTGCTTGCGCACAATCTTCCACATGATGGAGAAGAACGGCACAGGGGCATCATCGTCCAGCTCCTCGTCCTCGTTGGGGGCCTCCATGAAGTCATACGATGCCGTCGCGTGGAGGCGGTTGGTCAGGCGGATGCGGCTGTACTCTGCCATAACGTCGTCGATGGTTTCTGCAGGACGCAAGGCCCAGATATCCGAGGCTTCCACAGTGCGCTCCGAGCCCTGCTTCATGATCGGATTGAACCAGGCAAAGGTGTATCGGGAGAGCATGCCGGCGGTAGCCTCAAGGGATTGGAAGCGCTGTTGGGCAGTACATGTAAGGGGAGGGAAGATGCTCCTGGTGAGCCCGGACGTTCACGATAGCGGCCATCTCCAACCCAGATCACCACAGCACAGCACAACACAGTCGAACGAGACACGATCCGATCCAACCTGCACAAGCCTACCTTGCGGTCCTTGGGATCGTACATATACACGTCCCTGACCTTGGTTCCGATAATGACCCAGAGGGCATCGACGGTCCACAGGGCTTTGAGGGCCAGCTCAGCCACAACAAGAACGTAGACAAACTGGCTGATGGCATTGGTGTTGTGGGCAGGAGCGAGCCGAGTCCTTTCGAGCCACAGGATCGAGACCGAGAAGACGCCGTTCAGGAACAGGCTGATCAGCAAGGGGCGGATGCTGGCTTTGATGTGTTCTTGGCGGTAGGCAGGACCAGAGGGCTCGGGCTGTCGAGCCACATGGAACAGCAGGGTGACCGAGAGCTGCAGGCGGAAATGATCATCGGGAACGCAACAGACGGGATCAGTGGACCGAGTGACCGGCGCTGTAGATACCCCGGCCGGAGGAGCGGCACGATTGCATGTTTCGACAAAGAATGCCGTATGCCGATGCGGTGCATATTTGTGGTGAATATTTGCGGTGCATATCTGTGGTGCATATTTGCGGTGCATTTTCCTTGTCGCCAGCTCATGATCGTGTTGGGCGAGGCCGGCGGGGATAACGATACGCAGCTGGGCAGACAGGATAGCCCGACAAGAGCATCTTACCGAGTAGAGCAGAGGCAGGAACGGTCCCAGGGCCGAGGCGACGGTTTGCAAAAGACCATAGTACCCTGCTCCGCTGTCGTCGCTACTGCCGCCGTCGTCGTTCCGAAGATACAGGTGAAAGAACGACACCCAAGACCACTGGAAGTCGACCACGACAGCAAGCAGGAGCAGCAGCATTCCGATCCAGTATCCGTACGTTGCGCTGGTGTCGAGCTCGTTGTCGGGCTGGGTGTCGGTGGAGGCCTCGGGGACGACCCACTCCTCAGGGGCCAAATCGATGTCGTCGACGGGGCTGCCCACGAGCTGGGGCGACTCTTGGTCGTGGAGGATCTCAGTGACGATCGTTGGGACGGCGTCGTAGCCAAAGCCATGGGCGAAGCGGCGCTTGGACTTGAGCCGCCATACCGCAGCGAGATATGGCAAGGATGTGGCCCAGAGAATGGCCAGGGCGATCAGATACAGGGCGTTGCTGCAGGGTGGAATCGGACGGGAGGGAGAGAGGAGCTTGGTTAGAGACATTTGACCACGACAGGAGAATAGACCCTCGAGCCGAGATTGCTGCAGTGGGGGGGGTGTATCTGGTTGGATCGACGCAGGACACCAGCAAGCCCAGCGACGACAGCTGGGATGCAGCCATGGAAGGCACTGAGAACACAACTCACGTCGAAGGCAGGCACTCGGGATCGAGCGGATGCTGATAGCATTCCCCAGCACCAGCAGGCGAGGACATGGCAGGCAGCAGATCCAGATGCTAGCGGGCCAAGCGAGGAGGAAAGGCGGCTTGGAGCGGGCTGGAAAGGGGGGGAGGCGAGTTTGGGGGAAAGGTGGCGAGGTCCACAGCAACGGAGAAAAGCGTCGGAGGCGCCAGAGACGATCGGTGCCGCTCTTGCGACGATGCACGAGTCCTTGCCGATGGAAGGCGGGGACGGTGATTCGGATTATAAGTCCGGATCAAGCCCGATCGAGGTTTCGGGGGGGGGAGGTGGAGATGGAATAGACGGAGAAAGAACCGGGCAAGAGGAGGGATGGGGTGTTTGCTGGGCAGCAGCCACCAAGCCGATGTTCCCATGTCTGGAGCACCCGGGAAGATCCGGCTGGCCAAGGGCATGGCCAATGAGGCTGTCGGAGGCGGTCGCGACCAGGGGGGCAGACCAGGCATCATGCGGATGCCGAACAAGCACGGCACAGGCCTCCCCACGGCGAAAGATCGAGTCGCTGCGGATGGTCGCCAAGGAGATGCCCAACGAGACTCGGGCTGTGCCGGAATTAGACAGATCGATAGAGCCTGCAAGATCGAGTGATGACAAATCTGGCGCAACGAAACCCTCATTCTGGGGGTGGATGGATGGTGACTTTTCTCTGCTGAACACTCACGATGACCCGGGTGCCCGCAGAAGCATGGCAAGAGAAATGTGTGCAAGCAGCTCGCTCGACCCGATCAACTTGATGTCAGCATCAGAGAGTGGCTGATGTGAAGGAACGCAAATGGGCATCATTCTGTATATTGACAAAGATGAATCGCTCCTCCCACCATCCTTGGGGGGGGGAGAGTTCCAACAAACGAGAGCGAGGGAGGGAATGCCGTTGCTGGAGAAAGGAGGTCCAAGTCGCAAAGGAAAGCATCCAAGCAGCGGCGATGAGGTCCAGCGGATAGAGTCGTTGTCGTTGTCCAAGGTCGGGTGAGAGCGGCCGGTCCCCGCAAGCGAGAAGCCCGCTGGGTCGAATGGATGAGGTGGTGCTTGGTTGGAGAGGCGAAAACGTGCCCCCCCAGGAAAGGAGTGTGTACAATGGACGGTTACCGGCATTCAGGAAACGTGCCATCGAGCCGGATCTTGATCAGTCGATCGGTCATCGGTCGGATACATTGCCGATCTGAGGCGCCGAGCGGTGCAAATGGGGTACAATGTACCAGACACCTGGATACATGCGATCGGGCGAACGAATGAGGTGTCCGCGGGTCCAACGAGAGAGCTTGCCAAGACTCGGACATGGCCAGATATGAGATAGAATGAGATTTGGAGATGGCCAGCCGAACAAGACAGTCAGAATTGGGTGATGGCCAGGCGAGGAGCTGGCTTCAGCGTGTTCAGTTCATTTCCGTAGCGAGAGGGGGGTTGGAAGAGGAAGGCGTTGACAGATATGGCAGATGCAAGAATAGCGATGGATTTGGGTATGGAAAGCGGTGAAGTTATATATACAGTGCGTGAATGCAAGTGCTGGCGGGCCAGGGGGCCGGATGAATAAAGTCGAATGGAGCGAATGAAGTAGCATGCAGAAGCGGGCAGAATAGGGAAAGGCACTGCTGGAAGTCAAGCGTGGTTGGGCGAGCGGAGGCGAGGGGATGGTATTGCCAAGGGTGCGGGTCGGAACGGCAGACGGTATCGCAAGTGAATGGAGTGGAGGAGAGCTTTCACAGTGGATGCTGGAGAATGCAGGGCAAACCACAGGGCCGATAATGGAGCAATTCGGGGGATAACGAAACCATAACGGTGGGAATAAGGTGCAAGAGAGAAAGGGAATGCCTTGGGGGCAACGGGTGGATCTCAAAGGGAGCATGCTTAACGGGGAAAGGGATGGGCAGAGAGGAAAACGCAGTGCGTGCAAATTACTGAAGGACAAAAATTACCAAGGAGGATAAAGGTGGATCGCAAGAAATAATGCTTGAGATCCAAATGCGAATTGGGGGGAGGGCACATCGAGTCGCTGAACAATGGCGGAATCGGCATGTTGCAGGAAAGATGGCCCTGGCTGGATGTGGTCGACCGAGAGAGAGAGAGAGAGAGAGATGGCGTCCGGATTATGAGAGCAGTTCATATGAAGAACGATGCCATCTGGGCTCGATCCATCCAGGGATTGAGGCTGGGAGAGCTCACTCGGCGTCGCCGGCAATGCAGGAGGTTCGAGGCGAGGTCGATATTGGGAGAGGAGCTCTGGAATCGGCCGAATCGCGGTGGAGGATGCGAGTATGGTATTCCTGGCGCAGCTCGTGGATGACGACGAGCCAGCTATCGTAGGTGCTCGGGCGGATGTGGAGGGTGTACTGGATAGCGGCGAGAAACTTGCGCTCCATCTCGTTGAGGACCGGCAGAGGCATGTCGAAGATGCGGGACCACGAGTCGTTCGAATAGCGCTGGTCGTTGTGGAACTTTTGGGCCAGAATGAGGGCGATGCGGAAGATGGACAGGAGCTGGTTGGGGAGGATCTCGAGCTCGTCCTGGGAGTTGGATGAGGGACAGAGGCTGGTCTGGCTATCGGATCCGGGCAAGGACGGCGACGGAGAGATGGAGCCAGAGATGGAGGCAGATGTGCTGTTGCGGCTAGGAGGACGCTGGGCCAGGCTCTGCTGGTGCTGCAGGCGGGTCATCTTGCAGAACTGGGCGGCATAAAAGTAGGCCAGCGAAAACAACGGCCGGAGCTTGGGATACTGGGCCAGCATGTTGAAGAGCGTGCGCGAGAACTGCTGGAACTGATCGAGATGCGGGAGCGAGACAATCTCGCTTCGGGAGCGAGCCGGGCGGACCGTCGGGGTGTAGGCGATCCGGAAGAGGACAAAGGTGGCAAAGTCGGCGTGGGCCTTGAGGATGCCGAGCGAGACGGGCGATGGGCTCCTGTTGGTGGGGTAGGTACGGGCCGGAATGGTGTTTGGGATGGCCTTGGTCTTGGGCGAGACATGGGTGAGGCTGGAGCAGACCGAGGATGGGTCGGCAGAGACGGCCTTGCGAGAGTGAGCTCGCATGCGAGGCTGAACAAAGTAACTTCTGGAGCAGCCCATTTGGGACGATGGCGAGGTAGGTGGATCCAGGTCGAGGTGCGAGCTAAGAGGTGTGCAGTAGAAGCGATTCGATGCGATTCGATGCGATTCGATGCGATTCGATGCGGGTGGGTGGGTGCGATTCGAGCTGAGGCGATTCGGGCTGGGCGGCGCGGCAAGAGGAGGGTATGCGGACCAAGGCGGATGAGAGTCAAGTGTGGCTGCTGAAGCGCTGGGTCTCCGTGGGGTTTATCATCTGGCCGCGAGGGCCAAAGGCATATTTATAAGAACGTCATGAGCATGGGCCGCGTGATGGAGCCAAGCGCAGAAAAAAAAATCGGGTGTATGGAGCGGTGGCGGTGAAGGACAAGGCCGGTCCAGTCAGCGGCGTGACACGCAGCGGCAATGGGCGAGATGTGCAGTTTGATGGATGGATGTGATTGTGATATGCGATTGTGATATGCGATTGTGATTTGCGATTGTGATTTGTGATTGTGATTTACACTTTTACTTTTTTTTTCTCTCTCTCGCTTGAGTGCTGTGCTCGGAGGGGTTGCCCGATGCCAAGGGAGGGTGGGGTCGCTCCAGAAGCCGCAGATCGGCGCCGATCTAGAGGGTTCGAAACTCGGTCTCGCTTGGATATCGTATCGTCTCGCTTGAATGTCGTATCGTCTCGCTTGAATGTCGTATCGTATCGCTTGGATGTCGTATCGTATCGACTCCCGCTTGTTCGCATCCACTCACCCACCCGCTCTCACGGGGCCATCTCGGTCTGTCCCCGCAGGCCGGCAGATTCTCCTCCCTCGCCAAGGCCGCCGTGGAGAGTCCTCCCCGTGCGCCTCTGTCACATCACTTGATCTCTCCCACCGCTCTCGCTCCACCCTTCTCGCTTGTCCATACCGCTGCCGCTCGCCCCGCACGGCCTTGATGCCTTCTGTGCCTGGCCGTTCCAGGTCCTATCCGTTTTCGCAGCCGGGCCGGAACTGGTCTGCCGCTCGGTGGTTTAACCGGCGGGTCGGCTGGTCCCAGGGCCGTTCGGGAAAACGGCACATCGCGGTGCTGTGGACCTGCTCGGATGCATCGCCTCGCTGTGCCCTGGACTGCCATTCCCCCATGCAGATCCATCTGGGCGCCAAGACAGACCGCCAGCACCGTCGCTGCCACTGCCGCCTTCTATGCCTCGGCATCGGCTCCTTGTCCAGGCCGTTCGAGACTGAGCTCGACAAGCCGAGCCATGCCACCCGGCCCTCCTCCATTGATCCGGCCCGCCAGCCCCCACCCTCCTCGACACCAATCGGCAGTCGCTTTCACATTTTCGCAGCACCACTCTTGCACCAGTGCGGCATCGCTTTCAGGTCGTCAGCAGGCCGGCCAGAGCAAGCACTCGGCCCCTCGGTGCAACGAATCGACAGCGGACTCGGCCCAGCTGCGTCGTCTGCGTCGCCTGCGGCTGGCTTTTGCCGGTCCCATGCCCCAGCCATCCGGACGACCCGGCCTTGGGTTCGTCTGGGTGTCTGGCCCGGTTGAAGGAGCGCATCGAGCCTGCTGGTGCACTCGCCGGGCTTTGTTTGGCGGGTGGGGGCATTGGGCCTGCTGGAGAGGTTTGTCGGGAGGATGCATGTTTCAGACCAGGGTGGGCATGTGAGGAGCAGCGCGAGGGACGAGGCAAGGCCAGAGACGACATCTGATCGCCTCGCCGACCCGCTCGGCTCCAAAGGCAGCCGCTTGATCTGAACCGGCGGCCACTTGATCTCGACGGGGAAACCATTTGACTTTGCGTCAGAGACCACTTGATCCCGACCAAAGACCATTTGACCTCCACCAGGGACCACTTGGGGTTCCCTCTCCTGCTCCCGCCGACAGAGCCACCTTCTACCGTCATCTTGACACACCGCCCGCCTGACCATCGCTCGCAAGTCGCCCCTGCGCATGAGCCACCCACGCATCCACCTGCTGCCCTGTCGCATCGGCTACTCTGGCCCAGCCAAGGTTGACCAGTATTTTGTCGTTACGCCTCGGCCAAGCACCGACCACCCGGCCTCCTCGAGTGAGTGGGACTCGCCAGCATCTCGGTCCGGCTGTCGTCAGATCCCGTTGCCTTTGGCCTGCTGCGTTGTCGATCTCCTCCCAGATCTCTGGGATCTGCATCCCTGATCGGATGGCTATCTCCATGACGAGACAAGAACCTGTCCGTCGGTCTCAACATCCAGGGTCGCACTCCTTAACGCCGGCATATCTTGTCCAGCCGCAGAATGGGAGTCGTCTTTCCGGGGCAGAGCCCTTCGAGGCCGCACTGTCCAGCTGCCGCCAGGATACAAAGGTGCAGGCAATGACCTGCTTGTGGCCTCGTCCATGATTTCCGTCCATGATCTCGCCGATCTTCCACTCCATGATTCCTGTTGATCTTCCATCCCATGATTCCTGTCGATCTTCCACTCCATGATTCCTGTCGATCTTCCCATCCATGATTCCACTCCAAGATCTCATCGATCGTTCAGTCCATCTCCTCACCCACACCCACCATCTATCTATCCACATCGCAACTCTCAGGCACCGTCTATGCCCATCCCACAGAGGGCGACGATACAAGCTCAGGTCCTGATCTGAGTCGACCCACACGCATCTTTGAGGAGTTTGTCGTCTGGGGCCATGACCAAGTCGACCCAGTCACCCATCCGGCCATAAACCTCAGTCGCTGGATCGAGGTTGCCGAGGCGGTGTGTATCTCTGGATTCGCTCGAGGGCAGCGCCGTGCTGTGCTTGCGACTCTGCTCCCATCCCGCACCCTGTACTGTGTACAGCACCGGGGTCTTCTCTGTTCTTGATGGCCTGTGTCGAGACTCTGATTTCTTGTTCTGTCCTATCGCTCATATCTGTCAACGCAGCTCCACAACGACGATTTCCCAGATACCGATGGCCCGCTTACCCGATGAGCGATGCATGTCGATTGCCACTTGCTCCTTTTGCTCGTCACGGCGGATCAGCAGCCCACTACTTTTATACTACTACATCAGTCCATCGCATCACATCATTCTATCGCACCGCCCCAGTCCATCGCACAGCCTCCACCGGCTAGAGAACGGATGCTTCCGACATAATATCTGTATTGGGGAGTGGGTAGCGCAGCTCGGGCAGCGGCACCCAGACAAGGCAGAGGTGTGTGAGGAATGTCGTTTGCGTTGGTGGGAGGGGGGGGAGGCCAGAGGGAAAAACAGCCAGAAGAAGTGGGCGCTGCATGGTGGTGTCAGGGTCCCATCGACTTGCACGTCCAACCAGGTTTGGTGAGGAGAAAGAAAGGTCGGCTATGGCATCTTCGAAAAGCTGTTGTCGGTATATCCCTTGTTCATGAGCTCGGCGTTCTTCTTGTCTGCTTGGACAACTTGGATCAAGATGTTCAATCCCTTCTGCGTCTCCGACAGAGCCTGGCGAGGATTGCAGACATGATACGAGCGAGGGAGATGCGTTGATTTCGGGTATCGCAGCATCGCCGGCGTGTCCAGCCCGCTTTGGTATCCAACATTCGGCCAAGGCTGCCCCTCTTACCTCATAAATCTTGCGCAGACTCTCCTCGTCCACCACTTCAAACTCCCCAGGCCGTCCGGGCATCGCCGAGCCCGCCACGCTTGCCAGCCTGCCGCTTTCCTTCAGCATCTGCAGCTGGGCCCACTGCTCGTTGACCCGTCCCCGTAGCTGCGATGGCGGCTTGAACTCGCGGTTGATGCTCTCCAGCCGCGTGCGCAGTGCCTCTTCTTCGGCACCGATCGACTGGCCCTTGTTGGTGACAATCTGGATTTTGCTCATGATCTGAGCACGCACACAGGGCGGCAAGGTGGCCATGTGGCGTGGCGGCGAGCGACAGGAGCAGGGAATCAAAGCACACGGCAGCCAAACGTTCGCAGGTGTGAGTGGCGCGACCATGGCTCTTGGAAGGGCTGACCACAGCCCCAGCCTCAGCCAGAAAGACTTGCTGATATGCTACTGCACCTTTAGCAGCCGATGCGCCAGCTCGCGGTGTTTCCGCTTGTAGTCTGCGATTCGGACGGTAATGTCCAAGTAGTGGTTTTCCTGGATCTTGTTGAGCTGCCGCAGCGCATCCTGTCGCATGCGATTCGTCGGCGAAAGGCGGAAAGGGAAGGCGGTGGATGCGATCCGATTTTTGCCACGAGGACGCATCGCCGTTAGATAGCGTTGGTATGCCACCAACCCCCACGCCACAGCGACTTTCGACCATTCGTGCTACATACTTCTAGCACTTGACGGTGACGATTCGATTCGTTCTCCTGCTCCGCGATGCGCTTCTGGATATCCCCGAATCCAACAGCCAGAACCGGGACCATGCTGGATCCAGCACGGCCATAGTGGGCGGGCATTGGCATGTCAGTACTTGCTGCCATGATTCCGAGGTGTTGTCGGGAGGAAGGGATTGCATACTCCCACAGACACCGACATTGACTTGTCGTCGAAGGTCCAGCTCCTCTTCCCTCCCCAGGGCAAAGACAATAGGACGCACCACGTTGGATCCGGGTTGTCCTTCTGAGCCTGGTTCCAGAGGGCTTCGTCATGGTTGGCTGGCCGTGTGTATCTGGCAGCTTCGCTGGGATGGACCAGGTTGTAAAAGTAGTGCTACATGCGTTGATAAAAAACGGAGCGATGGGGCGGGTTTCAGGAATGAGAATCGTGCAAGAGTCGGCACGTGGTCGACGCCATGCTCCAGGAGAGCATGCATTCTATGCCCATGTCTGGTCGTCGCCTCGTTCGCCATGTCAGCCTCGCAAAGCTGGCATCCCTACTCTGAACTGGCACTGGGGCTTGGACGGATCCCAAGCATTCATCATGTCTTGAATCGCATCTTCGATCGTCGCAGGACGTTCTGAGGGTCGTGGTGGAGGCGGAAGGTGAGGAAGGCATATCCAACAGGATACAGTCAGCCACAGCGATGGGCGGGGACGCCCTCGAACGAATCATGGTCCAGTCGATCTTGACTTGGGTGTAGCCACAAATCTTCTCGATTCACAAGACTCTGGTCCCGGGGTGGAAGCCTTGAGCAGTAAAACATGACCCTGCCGAGGAATGCGCCGAACGAAACGGAAACGGAAGCGGAAATGATGCTTACGCTGCTGCGGAATGAGGGCGGACGGTGCAGCCTGGGCAGCTCCAAAGAGCGAGGCTCCACCAAAGGGTGCGACTGCAGGAGCCGCAGCCCCGCCGAATGAAGTGCCACTGCTTCCAAAGAGGCCGCCTCCGGCGCTGGGGAAGCCACCGGCGGTCGGGGCCGTTGTGACGGTGCCGAATCCTCCGAATGCGGATGTGGGAGCGGCCGCAGGGGCGGCCGAGCCAAAGAGCGGCGCTGAGGCTGCAGCGGGCACAGATCCAAAGCCCCCAAGAGCCGGGGCCGCCGTCGATGCTCCGAGGCCGCCAAAGAGCGAGGACGAGGTGGCCGGGGTCTGAGCCGCCGATGCGCCCAGACCAAAGCTTCCAAAGGACGGGACAGCCGGGGCGGCTATGGCCCCGCCTCCAAAGCCGAATCCGGCACCGGGTGCTGACGACGCAGGCGTCGCTGCCGCTGCTGCACCGAAGCCGAGGGCCGGAGCGGCGGGCTGTGCCGCAGAAGCGCTGCCGAACGGGAATCCTCCGGACGATGATGGCGCTGGAAGAAGAGGGAGGCGGATTGTGCGGGTGGCCGCGGAGCGAGAAGACAGAGAGGGGAGGGTCAGGGAATCGATCGGTTGGCGGGATCGACCCGGGAGGAGATCGTGCGGGTCTTGCATGCCCCAGTCGGCCGACGGCGAGTCCCAATGTCGAAACACGTATCGTCGGCCGGCCGTACGCTGATACGGAGTGAAATCGATGATGCGGCCGGCAGGAACAGCGATCTTGGTGTAGATCATCGCGCCAGACGGACAGACCGACGCCGGTGTTGAGGCCGATCCAGCCATCGCAGTGGATCTCGGAGGCTCGAATAAACAACGCCCCCCACTCAGCGATCGACTCGCCGTGCTGGCCGCACCCTTCGCGGCAACGACATACCTCCGAACATGGTGGACTTGTGAGAGAGCGAATGTGCTCGTCAGAGCCGCCGCAAAGAAAGTCCAAAGCCGGCGAGAGCGAGAGGCCGGCGAGAAGCAGCGCGTCGACAGCGAGAGCGCAGCAGGCACACAGACTGTGCGGGCTGCAGCTTGCTGGTCCATGCTCGCTGGCTTCTCGCTCCCCCGCCAGCATCGGCTCTCCTTTGCGCCGATCTCTTGCATCCATTGATCCCCTCGATCGTCTTTGCATCGATCGTCTTTGCATCGATCGTCTTGCGTCCATCTGTCCATCGACCTCTCGACATCGAGCTCGAGCCGCCTGAACCTCCCATCCGCCTTTCCCCCCCGACACGCCAACCGACAGCCCCGCAGCCATGGCCGACCGCTCAACCGCATACATCGAGGATGACGACGAGGACATTGACGAGATGGACTTTGATCTTCCCACCGACCTGGTCAGTAACCTGACCATCCAGGATGTGGACGGCCCGCTGCTCCAGCTGGCCGACGGATCGGACGAGCCCGAAACCAGCCTCGTTCCGTCTGCATCCGTTTCTGCACGCCGTGCCCAGATCCTGCAACAGCAGCAGCAGCAACAGCAACAGCTCCAACAGCCCTCTGCCGAGGAGATCAAGAACTGGGTCTCGATATATCCCGTCAACATCGATGCCGACAAATCCATGGCCGGGGGCCGACGGGTGCCCAAGGCCGTGGCCGTGGCCGAGCCCTCCATCGTGTACATGTTTGCGGCAGCCCAGGCCCTGAACCTGCCCTGCATGGTCGAAAACGACAAGCGACATCCCCGCGACCCCTTTGCCTTTGGTCGACTGCGTGTGTGCCTCAAGGATCCCCAGGGCCATCCCGTCCGGGCGGCGATTCCAAACAAGATCAAGCTGCTCTCGGAGATTGCCCAGGGATATGCTGCCGCCCAGGCCCGCGTGCTCGCCGTCGATGCTCGCATGTCGGACGTGGCCTCTGCCTCGCGCTCGCAAGTCTCCAAGAGCTTCCTGGAAGCAGTGGTGCCTCAGGCTTCATCGTCTTCGTCGTCGGCGACGGCGGCGACCCCAGCCGGAGCGGCTGCATCGCCATCGGGTGCCAAAAAGCAAAAAATCAAGAGAAAGGTCATCCGGGGCTGATCTTGTCTCACACAACCCGCTCTCCGCAGAATAAAGCATGAGGAATCGCAGGCGCCGACGCTCGACAGTGGTTGCGGCCAAAGGGATTGTTGTTGATTGATTGATGATCAGTAGCCAGCAGCGACATCCAGCGGTAAGGGCCGGTACTGATACCCACCCAGCGATAACTACCAGCAATGTCCACCAGCAATGTCCACCAGCAATGTCCACCAGCAATGTCCACCAGTAGTGTCCACCAGGATGGTCAGCAGCGACCCAGGCCTATTTTCGTCGATGCGTTCTTGGCTCCCCGCCAGCACCTGATGTTGCACGTTTGCCCAGCGCCGGGGGGCTAAAAATAGAGTGTCGTCGGGCTATATGTACAGCCGCCGTCGCCAACACTATCGTCGTTCGTCGTCCGTCGTCCATCGCCCGTCTTCCCACGCCCTCCCATTGCCTGTGTTGGGCTGCTGCCGCTCCAGCCCAATCCTGCTCGACTGTACATCCCCACCACCACTCTGCTGCACCTTTCCCTCGCTGCCTCCACCCGTCTTCCCACGCCCTCCCATCGCAATGATTGGCATCCTCGACACTGCTTCCTGGGAGACCGAGCGGGAGATTCGCTCCCACCGAGTCTCTGTCCCCTTCAAGATCGAGGTAACAGTCTGGCCATTTGGTGCTTGACCTGTCCGTGGATCTCGAGCATCTTCACCTCCCGCCGCTCACAGACCCGGCCCTGAATGACACTTGTGCACATCCGTCTCTCTTGCAACTCTCTTTGACCAGATGGACCAGGTCTGCCGCCGGTTCTCGGTGCCGATTCCCGACGGCTCTGACAGCCGGACCCAGTTCCGCAGCTTTGACCAGCTCGTCAAGGCCCTCTACAACTTGCCTATGCACACGCGGCTGGCCTTCAGCTGGGTCGACGAGGAGGGCTCGCTCGTACTGATCGAGAGCGACCTCGAGTGGATCGAGGCCGTCCGCTGGTTCTGCGAGCGCAGCGAGGCTGTCTTCAAGCTCCAGGCCAAAATCGTGGTGCCTGAAGGTTCGTGCCTCGCCCTCCCAGTTCCATGCCCACGGCAGCATGCAATCGCATAACCTGAACCCCCGCCTCAACTTACGTTCCGTTCCCACACTCGTTCCGACACCAGTCCACGGCACCGCAGCCCAGCACTTGGGCTTGTGGGCCCCCTACCGCGACGATGACACTGTCGTCGCTGTCGCCGGGACCGATGGCGATAGCGAGTTTGCCAGCACACCTGTCCGGCTCGTCGATGCCCAAGAGCAAGTGACCGACTCCCTCTTTGTCGAAGATGAGACCAACGATGACGATGACAGCGAGGATGAAGATGGCCAGGATGCTGACAGCGACACCAGCGACTCGGATGCTGATGAGGCCGCCAACTATCCGGCCGACATCCCTTACACCTCTCTCCCTTCGAATAACGTCTCCGAGACCAGCGAGTCCTGGATCCGACAGCTCGAGAAGCAGGAAGAGTGCGAGAGCCTGCTGACTCCCACGGATCACTCCACCGCTCTCCATCACTCTCTCCAGCTCGGCCCCGTCGATCCGGATCTGCTCTACGTGCCCGAGGCCCGCATTCTCGAGAGAATCCCGCTGGCCGTTCCCACGCTGCCGCCCAAGATCACAGTCTCGCGGTCAACCGAGACCGAGACCCAGATGGCCGAATCGCACTCGACCCAAACGCCCGACCGCCTCACAAAGTCCGTCAGTGTCGGGCCTCAGGGCACCGCCGCCGTGCCCAAGATCTCGGTTACGGTCGAAACGTCGACGGAGCAGCTCCAGTTCGCCGACCACGGCTGCCAGTCCGGCGAGAGCTTTGTCCGTCCGCCGCCCAAGATCACCATCTCGACCGGCACCGGCACCGGCACCGATACTGGCGCCGACACCCGCGTTCGATCGGTGTCGGTCCAGTACGAGGTCGACGACGGCTTCGTCCTGCTGTAGCCGAGCCATCCACTCCCTCCCTCTGTTTGTTCTGACGAAATGCACAATCTCTATGCAGTTTTTCTCGGGTCGCTCTTGGCCATCGTAATCGCACTACTATTTATCTGATCAGTGCCTCCTGTCCCGCGGTCTACTGCCGTTTCTGCGTGGGGTGCCCGGTGTGTTTGGATCTTGTGTGATTAAAGGGGGTTGCACCGCTGGACCGATGAGTGGAGGTCGGTGGGCAGCAGCAGCAGCAGCCATTCCAGTCAAGTCCAGGCCGTTCCCGCTTCTCGCCTGCCACCACTTCTGCCCAGATCTCGCGCGGGATCGCCCAGTTCATCCCCGTCCCGCCCGATCATCTCCGTGCCAGCCAATCTGTCAAGCTGCTCATCGCCCGGTTCACACCTTGCATGAGGCGAAACTGACCCAGGTGCGTTTTCGGCCTTGGTTTGCCCGACCTGTATTGGCCAGAGCCCAACCGTGATGACGACGCCGCACGATTTAAGAAGAGGAGGAGGGACCCGGGTGTCCCAACGATGGCCCTCCTCTTTGGTGACAAAAAACGATACACCAGAGCCAAATAACCCTTGGCGCTTCTATAGCAGCAAATCTGAGTTATGGGGCAGGAGCAATCCGACTCTGTTGGGAGGGGAGTACAAATGCATCTATCATTGTCAACTGACCGACCGACGTTAGGACGATCAATACAACGAGGATGATCGATACAACGCGGATGATCGGTCAAAGACCGATCCGACGAGATCCATGAGCCGACACATCGTGAGGGCTTGGCCCTGAACCCAGCTGATCAAGCATCGCTTCAGCCGGACAAGCATCCCCTCAGTTGATCGGACGCTCCCTCAGTTGATCTGGCATCTCCCGCTCATCAGGATTCTTCCCAGCCCAGGCTTTTTTCGATGGCTTTCTTCCATTTGTTGAACATGCGCTCTCGCTCTGAAACAAACCACATGCTGCAGTGAGTACAATCCCTTCGCGCATCATCACCACGTTTGCCGGACACCTCCCCGATACATACCCTGCTCGTCGCTCTTGGACTCGAACCGATCGATCGACTGCTTGCTTCGGAACTCGTCGACCGAGGCCCATACCCCAACAGCCAGACCGGCCGCGAGGGCTGCCCCCAGCGCCGTCGTTTCCCTCATCTTGGGCCGCTCTGGATAACACACGATGGGATCAGTTGCGTTCGTGTCTGACCTGGGCTCAGTCATTCTTGGGCGACCCAGCACTCGACTGCAGCCTCTGCAGCTGCCTCGGCGACCCACTAGGCTCCTCTGTCCCCTAAAAGTGCGCACGGATGCTCACCAACGGTGATTCCAATAACGTTGGCCTGGATTTGCATGCACAGATCCGAGTTGGTGAGTCCGCCATCAACCTTGAGGCTGGTGAGTGGATGGCCACTGTCCGAGTTCATTGCAAGGAGAATCTGTCGGGAGATCAGGAGTGGGGCACGGCTCGAGTGGTCAGGATCAACAGCGCTTGCCGAGTACGACTGCACCCTCGAGGGCCGCCGATTCAAACGATCCTGAGCGTGGCAGCCCGGCAAGTGAGAGCGAACCTCTTTGGTCTGGAGACAGACGGCTTCGAGTGCAGCCCGCGCAATGTGCTCCTTGGTCGAGTACTGAGTCAGTCCGACTATGCAGCTGGCGAAGAGGGGACGATCGGTTAGAGTGGAGATGGAGATCGGCCATCATGGCAATCTCAAAATAGATCCATCCATCGTTGGCTTTGAGCGCACAGCCGAAGCAGCAAAGTATTACCCTCGCGCATCAGGGCGCCAGTGAGGAGCAAAGAGGCCGGAAAACGCCGGGACGAAATAGACGCCAGCGCTATCGGAAACGTTGGAGGCCAGCACATCTGCCAGAGGACATGGCCAGGAAGTGGCATGTCAGTCGGACACGGCAAAGCATCTATCGATGGGCTGGAGCCAGTGCAAGTCCCGCAAGTGCCGTTGCTGCTCCGTCGTTATCGAGGGCTTACTGATCTCTTCAGCACTCTGAATGATGCCCAGATTGTCCCGCAGCCACTTGACGGCGGCACCGGCGATCGCGATGGAGCCCTACGGATGCAAGTTCGCAAGAAATACAGCATCAGCAAAGTTGCTCCGGCGGCCACGGCTCGCTCCATGGACACAGCAGCACATGCGGACCGGGCTGCTGTCTGACATCTTCTGGTGCCGGCTCACCTCCAATGCATACACGGCAGGAGCGGTCTTGCCGAGTTGGTATCCCACAGTAGTCAAGAGGCCGTTCCTGGAAATGATTGGAGTGGAGCCCGTGTTGAAGAGCATGAAGCAGCCGGTGCCGTATCTAGAGTGTCGTCGGCAAGGAGCGGGTGTGAGTGAGAGCGGGAGAGACAATACAGGACGGCGAGTCAATCCACCCCCAGGTTCGCCCAGGTCGGTTCCGACATGATGACACTCACGTATTCTTGGCCTCGCCAGGACTCATACACAGCTGCCCGACGAGCGCAGCTTGTTGGTCCCCGAGACATCCCGCAACGGGCAAGCCTTTCAGCGGGCCATCGGCGAGAACGCCATAGGTTTCCGAAGAAGAGCGAATCTCGGGCAGAGCCGCCCTATCGACTCCAAAGAAGCTGCATTTGGGCACGTGTGAGATTATCTCCGTCCACAACGATGAGCGAGCTCCGATCCGGTCCGCTGAGGAGCCGTGGTGGTATCAGTGAGAGCCGCTCTGGGCTCATAGACAACGTACTTGCAGAGTGCGTCGTCCCACTGCAGCGTCTTGAGATTCATGAGCATGGTGCGGCTGGCGTTGGTCACGTCGGTGACATGGACTCCGGTGGAGCATCCACCCGTTAGTTTCTGTCGCAGCACAGCCGGCAAGGAGATGAGAATCGGCGTGGAGCCCGGCAGTCGTGCGCTGTCCTCGGGATGTGAAGCGTTGGGGACTACGAAACAGGCTACTTACGTAGATCAGCCATGAGTCCACTGTTCCGACCTGGAGACGGCCATCCTCCTGCGCCTTGGCGACTTCTGGGACATGGTCGAGCAGCCAGCGCAGCTTCACAGCGCTGAAATAGGTGGCCAGGGGAAGTCCGCAATCGGTCTGGTGGGCGGAGAGCCAAGCGGATGAGCGGCTCGAGGGACGAACATGGGGTACCGCAACATATCGCGACCAAACGAAGCGACGGCTTCATACCAGGAAATGATCAGCTTTCTTTGAGTCTGTCTTCTGGATCAACGAGTCCACTGTCTCGCGAGTGCGCACGTCGAGCCAGACTGGTGGTAACCGGAGCAGAGCAGGTCGTTAGTTCGTGCTTGGTTTGATGAGAGCGACAACTGTCCGAGCTTGGCGGCTTGTCCAACCCAAAACGATTCAACACGTATCACTTGTGAAGCCACTGGGACAAACTGCATGGATATTGGCTGGCCAGGGACATAGCCCCGATGCTCTTGGTCTCCATGGCGGTCACCGAGCTCAGAGCTACTAACTGAATGCATGTCGATGGGGGAGGGTATCGAGTATGGAGATAGTTACCGATGGCATTGTGCAGGGGGCGCCCGGTGCTCTTGTCCCAGACACACGTAGTCTCCCGCTGGTTGGTGATTCCAATGGCTGGGTTGTCCGGTCGTTGATGCAGATCAGGCAACGGACAGAGTGAGTCAACGGAGCCGGCCAGGATCGACTCATCGACAGTTGGTGCATTTGAGAAGGCGACATTCGGAGACCGTCACCTCGGATATCACGGGGCTCAAGGCCCTGCTGGACCATCTTCTCGACGGTCTTGCGGATGCACTCTTGGACATTGGTAAAGATCATCTCTGGATCATGTTCGGCCCACCTGCAGCGACAGGACGGCGCCGTCGGTATTGCAGTGGTCGCGGTGGAGGTATGTCAGCCGCGCTGCCCAGACTTGGATGATCTGACGCACTCTCCTCTGTGGTCTTCTGGTGAGGTGGCTATTGTCAGACGAAGGCGCTTACCCGGGAGACGAGAAATGGGTGTCATGTTCGATTTGATGGGAGGAGACGATCTCGCCGGTGCGGGCAAAGACCATGAAGCGCGAGGAGCTCGTGCCTTGGTCGATCGCTCCGATGTATTCTGGCATTGCGGCAGACGGAAGGGAGGAATCGGTGGATGTGCTGAGGAGAGCTTGGGCACGGCCTGGTGGCTTGTCGGCCCGGTCCTGGCTTGGAGGGTGCTTGCAGATGGAAGGAGAGGCTGCCTCCTGGCCGATGGGGGTTTCGATGGGAAGCCTTGGCATGTGCCTGTCATGCGCGGCTTGGGCGTTCTCGGCGAGAGCAGGAGAGCGGGCGAGGGCTGACGAGAGCGTGTCGGCTTTCGGAATCGGATCGCTGACCATCACTATCGATTTTTTCCGACCCCTCACGGCTGCTCATCTCGAATATGAATACACGCTGTAGACCAAGATGCAGCAAAAGTTGGAATCCGGCCATGGTCGGTTGACGGCATTTGGTATCACCTTGAGCCGATTGACGGTGGTGGTGGGCAATTGGTGTGGAGGAATGACCAATTGTATCATTGTTGGAAGCTCCACTCCGATTGCGGACAAGAACCACCACCATCTGAATCTCTCTGGTTGGAAACCTAGTCAAGCGTGGCTGTGTGTCAGCGAGATGACATGATCGTTTGGCTATCAGGCAAGACTCACCTTGACAAGATGTCTTCCCACGACTGATTGAGCGAGCGATGCGTTTCTGGATCTGAATCAAGGATGCCACTGCGTAGTATCTCGGCCAGCCCAAAATGCGCTGGATTTGAGGAGATTCTTTCTTCCCCAAGGGCAGAACCAGCCATCGTCGCTATTTTCTCGTCAGTTGGCTCCCCGCAAGCGAAAGACATCACCCAGGCGACCAAGTGGATCCAGAGCACCCACAAGGCCCTTGGTCTGCAGGAATGGATGAGCACCACACCAAGTCCCAAGATCCCTGGGTTGGCTTCCTTCCTGCAATACATTCGCCATGTGTTCGATGGAGACATGCTGGAGAAACAGCTGTACTTCAGCCTGACCCGGCGACGGCGATTCAAGCGACTCGATCTCCACAGCAAGCGACAGCGCACTGTCCACGAGATGTGCAAGCAAGTCATCGACCAGGCACCAAGGGAGACCGAAGTGGTGATTGCCTTTGGGAATGCATCCTGGGAACAGGGGAAGGGATACGCATCCAGTCCCAGGAGGCTCAGGTTCGCCAAGTACTTTGAGCAGTTCCACCACCACCAGAGACGACCACCAGACCGATCCGTCTCCAAGATCCATGTGTGCTCGGTGAACGAGTTCAACACATCACAGGTGTGCTCACATTGCCGGGATGCCAAGCGACTCGAGTCACTCGAGTATCTTGACATCGAGAAACCACACTTTGTCCGGAGCTGTGCAAGCTGCCATACGCTGTGGGATCGAGACATCAATGCAGCCAGGAACATGATCTCAGTATGCCAGTCGATCATCGCCACAGGAGATCGGCCGGGTGTATTCAAGACTGTGCTTCCCAAACCAACCAAAACAAAGAGATTGCCAACGAAGACAGGAGTGCAATGCCATGGCCTACCCGCTGGGTCTACAGTCAGTCAGCGGGCTTCAGAAGCCAGAAAGTGACTGTCCCGTTTCTTTCTGGATAGACTGTAAGTATCTCGCACTGTTCCTTGTGCATTTCGACAGTGGATGCCGGGTCACCCATATTCTGGGCAGTCCACTTCGGGGTTGCCATCCCTCTTGGGATGGTCGATGGGAGGTGTTTGACTCCCTTGTGCAAAGTGTGTGTGTGCACAGTGTGTGTGTGTGTGACGGCGAGAGGCTTCTCGCCTTCCCTCGGGGGTCTCTCGCCAGAGACTGCTCTTCTCGCCGACCGAGGTGGCTCCGAGAGCGCGTTTTTTCGTTCTCGCTCATTTTATTAACAAGAACTTTTTTCATAGTGCACCCAACCAAACCCAGTCCCCATAATAGCTCCTCCTCCCTGCAGAACAACCATCGGCATGCGGCTGGACAAGCACAAACTCAAGGCCACAAAGCGGTGGAAGGCCAAGCACGGCGTCCCAGCGACCCCCCGCGGTCCTGGAGGGCCGAGCGGCAAGCCAGCAGGACGCTCGGCCACAGCGGACGAGGGCAGCGGCCAAGTCACCAACGACGCCGATGGAGACGACAACGACGATGACGATGACGACGATGACGACCAGCAAGAGGAACATGGCCTGAGCGAGGCCGCGAGCTCGGTTAGAGGGTTACCTGTGAATCCTGCCCTTCTGAGGAGAAACCGAAAGAACGGTGAGGCTCGGCCACCGATGCACAGGGACCTGGTCGGCGTTCGCAACATTGTGCAAATCCATCAGAAAGGCTGCTCACGTTGAATACTGACACTGGATGCTCACACTGGATACTGACACTGGATGCCCACACTGGATACTTACGCTGGGTGCTCACACTGGATGATCACAATCAAATCTACCTTCCAGAGGGCCAAGAACGATACCGCCGCCAACTCGGAAGCAATGCCTTCCGTTACGAAGAGCAGGTGCTCACAGAAGAAGGTGGATCTAGCTCGGCCAAGGTGGCGCATTCGCATGATGTTCGATTTGGAATGCGGAGGGCACTGAACGATGCTGATTGTATTCGACAGAAATGCTGCAAGCGCAGGAACAGCTGAAGCAGGAGCAAGAGGATCTGGCAGAAATCGCAAAGCTGGCACGTATGTACCAGCCTTTGCCTCGAGCGACGTTGAGAATCTGGTCGAGCCATTACCGGAGGTGATGGTGGAGCTGACTATCCAATGGACTATCTACCGATCTATCCAATGGGCTATCCACGCACAGAGAAGGACTTTGATCCCAAGGCATTCTACAGCAACCGCAAGAAACGAGATATCGAAGGCGAGCTGGCAGATCTGGTGAGCACGACTCTCAATTCTTGGTCCGGATCGTACATCGCAGGCCACACAAGTTTACCAGACATGACCGCCCTCACTCACAACCTGTCATCGGCCAGGATTCCGGAAGCTGGCTGCACATGGACCACGAAGTGCGGGGCCAGCAGCCAGTGGAGTCGCTCGATGCGCGGCTAAAGTCGGCCCTCTCGAATCTCAATCAGGTCGGTCCGCTGCATGTGCTGATGGATGGAGCCAGTCCATACGGTGCCGTATCTTTTCCCCTGCCGTCTGGAATCCTCATTGCTGTCGCTATTGGACCGAATCAATTCTATCTGTGTGCGATGCAGTCAAGCATGCTAACTAGCTTCCGGGATTGGAGCAGGGCGACGAGGTTGATTCACATGAAGATCCAATCGAGCTGGAACCCTGGGAGAGCCATGTGACAGCATCCAAGGACACACTGCAGCAGCTCAAGCAAAAGTACCTGCGGACACAGCCGTCCTCTGGTCATGGTAAGTCCAAGTCATCAATTGGCTCGATGCTCGTCCGACTGGTGAAGCTTGTTGGCCCGTCGAGACATCGGCTCCCCGATCGCTCTTGATAGTCGAATCTGCACTCCACTCCCTAATGCTGCTCTGCACCCAACTCTCTGCATCCTCGGTCCACCATACCTACTGTGTCTCTCTTCGATCTTGCGTCAAGCCGACTCTGATCTTCTCGAGGAGCTGCTTTCCTCAGGTTCTCGAGTCGATAAGCATGGTAAGTTGCAATCACTGCCTTCCTCACTCAGCTGCAGCGATGCTATGGTTACCAACTCCGCATTTGCCAGATGCCTCTATTGGCGAACTGGATGATCTTCTCTCGGCTTCAACCCTCCAGCCCGGGACAAAAGGTGAGGCAGCCGTGCCAGTGTCACTGAGTCGGCTGATATACTCGCAGATACATGATTCGCCGGTCTACTTTTACCAATTTATCGATCCCACACTGTGCTTTGTTGCTCAGCCAACGCCGTTCTTCAGCCATCGCACCGCAAGGCCGGCCCGCGCGCAACTGCACGGGCTGCTCCGGCTTCAGAAAGCCAGTCGGCGACAGGGGATCCGTTGCTTGACGATCTGCTGGCAATGTAATGAAAGGCGAGACACCAGCTTGCTGATCAACAACCAACCGATTTGTCGCCTGAGACCTCGCACACTGGCCATAGCCGTGTGGAATCGTAGCGTCAATGCGGCGCGCAACGGGTCGATTGCGAAGACCGGAGGCCGGAGGAGGACCCGCGGTTTTGACTTGGAGGCTGCCGGGATGATCAGCCTTTGTTGCAAACGACCCTGTTGAATGCAAACATTTACAGACTACATGTTCGATTGAAATGGGACGGCGTCCCTGTATTCTCTGAATATCGCACACAACTACTCGCCCGACACTCGGCGTTGGGCATCGCGTGGCTGGGGCTCTGAGCGCAGATGTGGCTCTCCACACGGCCTAATGCTTCATGAGCAAGCGCCCAGTGCCACCAGGAAGTTGGACGCCCTTTTACATTCCAGAGCTTGCTTGCCCCGAGACGGCCTTTGGGTGTGGCTGTGAGTCCAGGAGCTCCGAGAGACGGGGCCCGTCGTTATCAGTCGGCGGAGTGGCCTCGGTCAATCGAGTGAGCTTGACGATCAACTCGCGCTCCTTTGCCTCCTGCTCGTCTCGGTAGACAATGACAGCCTTCTTGGGCTTTTCGTTGCGCCGGCGCCGACGCTTGCACTTGACATAGGGCGGAATGCGCTCCTTGCTGAACATGAGCACGCTCTCCTTCCATCCAAAGGCAACCATGTACTTTTCGATGATCAGCTCGAATGGTTGGTCCAGCGGCGATGCCTTGGGCTCGGTCATTTTGCGGACCGTCTCTGGCGTCGTTACTTCCAAAAAGTCCTGTCGGGTGATGATGATGCACTCGGTAACCTCGCTGGCCATGACCGAGATGGGGCTGGAGTTGATCGAGTTGATGGACTGTTGGAGGATGGCCCAGGCAGATGTCGGGGCGCTTCCTTCCTCGGGTCCCTCGGGGGTGGCCCTTGCCGAGCTAGCCTCTCGTTTGCGTGCCTTCCGGAGCTTCTTGAGCTCCTGTGAAGGAATCAGCGGCGGGAAGAACTGACCAACGGTTATGTCGGCGACAAGGGCAAACTCCCGCACAATCTCGTCCTTCTCCGCATCGACGGGCTGGTTGTGGAAGGCTTCGAGCATGTACGTTTGGTTGAACAGCGCGGGCTTGGGACCTGGTTTCTTCAAGAAGGTGAGCTGCTGCAGACCACGACATGCGCCGCGGACGACAAAGTAGATATTGGCGTTGGGTTCGTGCTCCTTGAGAATCAAGGATCCGCCGGGGTAGCGCCGCACGACGCTGCAGCCAAGCACACATGAAAAATAGACGAGTAAGCAGCGAAAGCCAGCTTGAGAGAGGAGAATGGGGCTTGCTGCCGACGACTGAGCGAGGGTGTCGACAAGTCCAGAGCCCAGAGGCACCCACCTGCGTGCACCAAGCTGCATCAGCATTTGCTTGGACAGATCGGAAAGGGCAGGGACGCTCCCCAGGAATTCGAGCTGATACGCCTCAAGCGACTTTGTGTCCCGACTGACGGTGATGTAGTCGGCCTTTTCGATCTTGATGAGGATGGTCCGCATCAAGCACGAAATTGTGACGCCGCGCATCTCGCGTGGCCCGGTGTTGACGAAATCGCCGATGGAGGCCCCAACCTCGTACTTTTGCAAGATCCGGACGGTACTGACATCTTCGACCGACGAAGGCGGGGCAAACTGAGCACATTCGCCGAGGAGAATGGTGTACCAGGTGGTTGCATTGAGGCCCGACCGGATCAGGACAGTGCCTCTTGGATAGCTCACGATGGAGGCTACGCTGTAGAGCTTCATGCGGGTCTGTCACATGTGACCGGGCAGATATCAGTCAGTCAGTCTGGAACAAGCAAGACAGAGAGAAAACTTGGACAAGGCTGCAACTAACATCAAGGGCGACGAAGCAGAGATTGCACCACTTCCACTGCTACCCCCATCGCCACATGAACTAATCCGTCAACCCACGACAGGCCTTACCGCTGGCGGGAACCGAGCAAAGCCCTTGAACCGGCCGAGGATGGCATCGAGCGAGTCGATTTCTCTCTCTTCCCGGTTCGACGGCGGTGTGCTGAGGACCCGTGTGACCCTGAATGCCCCGATGATGTCGGTGATGTCTCGACAGGCTTGGGCGTTCGAGACCTCGTCGTCGTAGATGCGGTTGCTGATATTCAGCTCCTCAAAGGTCGGCGCTGCATCGGTCCTGGGGTCGTATGTCTTGAACTGCAGAACCTTCAGAGCAACATACAAGACGTAGCGCCATCGCAGCAGCGACTTTGGAATGCCGTCGGGCAGATACTGCACAATTGGGCCCGAGATTTTGGCCATGGCTTTGAGCACCTTTTCTTTCTCGCCGGGCAGGGACATGTCGACCTGATGATTAGCCGACGGGGGCGTCGGCGGCGGCAGCACGATCTCCGGCAGGGGTTCGACCTTGGATTTGAGCTCGGACCTTTTGTCTTTCTTGGATTTGGTTCTGCTTGGTGGAGGCAGGCCAATCTTGACAAGGGTTCCTCGCCGTTCGATCTTGGCGGAGGTGGCGGCTGCCTTGGAGCCTGGTGGAGCAGGCCCCTCGATGGCTGGAGAGCGCAGTTTGGAGACGCTCGACTTTCGACGGCCGGGGGGAGGCGGTGGCTCTTTGTATGTCGGAGAGTCACTTTTGGAGTTTGGAGTTGATGAACCAAGTGCTGGTAGCGCACGGGTCGATTCGTCCGGAAACCTGGGCTCGCTGGGAGTAGTAACGCTGCCTCCCCGCATCGGAGTCATGGAAACGGAGCTCTGTCGGTGGGCGACCAGGGGCAGTGCCGCTGGGTCCTCCGTTTTGCGCTTGGAGCCACTCTGGCGGCGCTCGCGTGACGAAGTAGAGGCTCTCAGTGACGGAAGTCGAGATCCATCGCTGGTACTGTTTCTCTGGAAGCTTTTCGAAGTACTGTTTCGCGACATGACTGTGACGAGATGTACGCAGATCGAGGATGTGGACCACGCCTGTGCAGCTCTGGGAGTAATGTCGCAGACGGGGCCGTGACACAGCTGGAGCAGAGGCACGGCGTATTTTGAAGCACAGCAGACAGCGATGATTCTTGACAGGGACCCGGCGAGACGAGATAGTGGGCGATCTGCCGACTGGAACTGGTCGAGAAGTTCGGTGGCTTGAGTTGGATTACAAGTACAGGTCTGGTACTAGTCAGCCGAATAAACTCTGGAGATAAACAGTGCCTTCCTTCAGAACGAGCCAGCGGTTGATCCAAACTCACTATCTCGATGGCTTTGCTCACAGCGCAAGACAGAAGCTTCGGAGGTCAACCTCAGTTCGATGAGCTGCGTGGTGCATCTGGGCCAGCTCGAGATTTCGGAGCATTTGCGCCGACCAAATGCACCCCGGCAGCGCGAGCTTTGGTGCACCTATCTCGACAGTGTTGGAAAGGACGCTTCGATGCAGGGTCTTCCAACAAGCTTCCAGAGGCAATGCCGGTTGTGATTGGTCGCTATCGGTGTCAATGCAGACAACCAAGATGCCTACGGCAATAGTCGTGGCAGAATAATTCTCTGTGGATGGACATGGATGATGCATGCTACTCGTCGGGCCCTGGTGCGGTGGTGTCTGGCGAATACAGATGCATCGGCGAGCATGGACGCCGGGGGCAGTATGCTGGGCGATTGTTGTTCCGTGGGAACTGGCCAGGTCGTGGCTGCCCGGTAGTGTCCGCACGTGATCGCAATGTGCGTTTTTTCTTGGTGCGAGCAGCCGCTTCGCTCTGGCGCGGACTTTGGACCGGATCGCAGGGAGCAACGACCATCCACCAGCAGCGCAAGACGACGAGCAGCAATGATTATCCCTGTGCGCTGTTTCAGGTGAGCATCTGCCCGAGCCGGGCCGAGCTTAGCTGAGCCGGGCCGAGTCGTGAGGCAGCTCGGCGGCGACGCATGCGGATCGCTGGATGCTCGAGCGCTGAATGCTGATCTATCGCCTCCCTCGGCTACAGTTGCGGCAAGGTCATTGGCAACAAATGGGACGCTTATCTGGCCCTGCTCCAGTCGGACTACAGCGAGTGTGAGGCCCTGGATGAGCTTGGCCTCAAGCGGTACTGCTGCCGCAGAATGGTTCTGACCCACGTTGATCTGATCGAGAAGCTGCTGCAGTAAGTGTTCGGCGCCGTCTGTCTGTCTCGAGGCTCGCACGATGGTGCGGGAGGACATGACAGGAGCTATATCGGCCTGGTGATGCACAAGATCCCTGCAGTACTTCCTGCAGATGCGCCATGCTATCGTCGGCACGCCTCTCACGGACAAATCTCCCCTCTCCAACGGCTTTCAAGCTACGGCAACCAGGGACGACGACACGGTTAAGCCGACGATATCGAATGGATGTACTTTGGACCGGAGGCGAATCTTGCACCAGCGACGTCGCTTGCACACGAATTCCGGCGCCATTCCGAATGCGACTCGACCCGGGACTGTAAGCCGTTTCACCCGGAAGAGTTGGACCAGAGCCAAGTGCCTCAACCCTTACGTTCCAATTTTGTTTGGGGGGGGGCACTGCAAAACCAATTGGGAGGCATATCCTGAATATACATGCATCATCCTCGATGAATCTGAATGGCGACTCGTTGGCTCCATCGATGAATCTGAAGTGGCGGAATGCCCGTTGTTTTTGCAAGGATTGCAGTGGCAGCCTGGCTGGCTCACGGATGGCAATGCTCGCCCTTGCAATGCACATCCTGCAATCTGCACATCCCGCATCCATCGATTCGTATCCATCGATTCGCATCCATCGATTCGCATCCATCGATTCGCATCCATCGCTCCATCATCCCAACACCGCAACACGGCTGTCCTCGCTCCGCTCGCGAGAGCGTCCTCGCCGCGCTCTCTGTTCTCGCCACCGAATTAATTTCATTTTCCGCTGTCGCACAGGACTTTTTTTTTTTTGACATCCGCCAGCATTCCAGAAAACAGACACCGTTGCAGGACCAGCCGCCGTCCTTCGTCAGTAACCAGGCCAGACGTCCTTTGGTCTTGATTAGGCAGCAGCCGATTGTGTCTGTCTCCAGCTCCAGAAGGCCCGCTTGTCTGTCGTCGAGCCCAAGTCTTTCTGTGACTCCTCCCACGGCCGTCTCTGCCACCCAGCCATCGTCCGAGCCATCCCGCTCTGCTCTGCTCTGCAACGTCCACACGGCCAACTGTGTAGCCTGCCGGTATATCCCACAGCATGTCCATATACAACTTCAAGAAGATTCAGGTCGTGCCCTCGGGCCCTGATCTCCTGGACATTATCCTGTCCAAGATTCAGCGAAAGACCCCCACGGTCGTCCACCCCAACTTCCAAATCTCCCGCATTCGCTCGTTCTACATGCGAAAGGTCAAGTTTGCCCAGGACTGCTTCGACGAGAAGCTGAATGCCATCTTGACCGAATTTCCCAAGCTGGATGTAAGCGCAGAATCCGTCCTTCCTTGTGCGCACGACGTCGCCTCCAGCTGCATCATACTGCTGGTCCACATGTCCCTCACTGGTGTGGACCGTCTGGGCTGCATCCTGTGGTAGCCCGCTGCTGCTGTTGGAGCTGAAGCCGCCTGTGCGGGTCGCCAGCGAACTTGTTCTTTGCATTGTGGCACTGTTTCGTCACCACCGCCCTGACAGTCGCATACCACCCCATGCCTGTAGGAAATCCACCCCTTCTATGCCGATTTGATGAACGTCCTGTATGACCGCGACCACTACAAGCTGGCCCTGGGCCAGATGAACACCGCTCGCCACCTGATCGACAACGTTGCCAAGGACTACCTGCGCCTCCTGAAGTTCGGTGACTCGCTGTTCCGCTGCAAGCAGCTCAAGCGAGCCGCTCTTGGTCGGTGAGTACCAGGACCTGGATGTCAACCGCTTGCGAGCGGCGATGCACCGATGCAGCTGCCTCGATGGCTGCTGTGGCAACACCGATTTGGCCACAGACGTGCCTGGCTCGAGACAATGCAGACCACGCTAACGATTCGGCCCTCTTGCTGGCAGTATGGCGACTATCATGAAGCGACAAAAGGACAGCTTGGCGTACCTGGAGCAGGTCCGCCAGCATCTGGCTCGTCTGCCTTCCATCGACCCCAATACCCGAACGCTCCTGATCTGCGGATATCCCAACGTTGGAAAGTCGAGCTTCATGAACAAGCTTACCCGGGCCGAGGTCGAGGTCCAGCCATACGCCTTCACCACAAAGTCGCTCTTCGTTGGCCACATGGACTACCGTGACCTCCGATGGCAGGTCATCGACACGCCCGGTATCCTGGATCATCCGCTGGAGCAGCGCAACACCATTGAGATGCAAAGCGTCACCGCCATGGCCCACATCCGCGCCTGCGTCATGTTCTTCCTGGATCTGTCGGAACAGTGCGGTTACAGCATCGCCGAGCAGGTATGCGTGCCAAGCACACCATCATCGTCGCTGCCTACGCCGAGCTTGATTTGATGGTATTCTCATATCGCATTCCCTTCGCGGCGCATGCCAGGTGAGTCTATACGACGCCATCAAGCCCCTCTTTGCCAACAAGCCCACGGTGCTCGTCATCAACAAAATCGATGTCATGAAGCCCGAGAACTTGCCGCCCAAGGAGAAGGCTCTGGTCGAGGGTATCCTCAAGCGAGACGAGATCGAGATGCTGCAGCTCTCGTGCTGGACTGAGGAGGGCGTTATGGATGTTCGCAATCGAGTAAGTCTCGTCCATATCAGCCAGCTTGGCGGCGCTCTTTGAAGCAGCTTCTGCTCTGTGGACTCCGCTGTCGCCGTTGGTGACTCTTGGACTCGGCAACTCACCGTCTGGTGCTGTCTATATAGGCTTGCGACATCCTTCTCCAGTCCCGCGTCGAGTCCAAGCTGAAGGGAAGCAAAGTCAGCGGCGTCCTCAACAAGCTGCATCTGGCCACACCTACGCCTCGCGACGACAGAGTAAGGGCTGGTTTTATTCTTGGAGTGTGCGGTGCATCAGTCGTGCTTCGATTGGCAGTGCTGAGAGGGCTTCTCGGCGATATTGTTCTCATCTCCAATTCCTGCTCTGTCTGCAGGAGCGCCCCGCCTTCATTCCGGACGAGGCCAAGTCCAGAGTCAAGTACGACCGCAACGACCCCAACCGCCGCAAACTTGCCAGAGACATCGAGGCTGAACAGGGTGGCGCTGGTGTCTATAATGTCAACCTCAAGGGTGAGTCTTGGTGGATGCAGCCATATGCGAGGATCGAGCCGTTTTGCCAACGTGCACCTGCCATCCAACATGATGCGATTGGTTACTGATGCGATGGACTTTGGTTCGACAGACAACTACCTCCTCAAGGACGACGATTGGAAACAGGATGTTATTCCCGAGATCATGGACGGCAAGAACGTTGCTGACTTTATCGACCCGGATATCGAGGCCAAGCTCGATGCTCTCGAGCGCGAAGAAGAGCGCCTGATCGCCGAGGGCTTCTACGAATCGGAGCCTGAGGAGCTCGACTCTGACGAGGAGGTGATCCGGGAGGCCGCGGACGTGATCCGGGAGAAGAAGAAGTACATTCTGATCGAGCACCGCGAGAAGAAGGCGCAAGGCAAGAACCGCCCCCAGATTCCTCAGCATAAGCTGTCGACAAAGGTGAGGCTGGGCGTCAGTGCGCTGCACTTGCATCGTGTGTATGGAGCTGCAGGGTTGTATCGACTCTATCTACTTGTGGAGCGGGGGCAATTGCGTAGTATTGCATGGTTGGCCGGGCCCTCTAACGACCCTGATTCTGTATCCAGACTCTCGACGACCTCGAGGAGCACCTCAAGGAAACAGGCATCCAGGCCGACATGGACTCGATCCGATCGCGCAGTGTCGTCCGCAAGCGCGCACGATCCGAGTCGAGACCTGCAGATGAAGACCAAACCGTTGTTGCTGCCAAGAAGCGGGCCACCAGCGTCGTGCGTGACCGCAGCACCATGGGTATTGCCACCGTCGAGCAGAAAGCCAAGGCTGATGACATCAAGAAAAAGTCGCAACGCGAGCGCAACCAGCTGGCCAAGGCCGGCGAGGCCGATCGCCACATCGGAACCAAAATGCCCAAGCATTTGTTCTCTGGCAAGCGAGGCATGGGCAGCGCGAGCCACCGATAAAGCTGCTGCTTTCCTGGATGTCGCCAGGACACCCAGCTTACTGTATTGCTGTGCTTCTAGAGGCCCGTGCGCTCGTCCGAGTACAGCGGGCTGCGACACATTCCTTCCATCCTCCTATCCCTCGTTTTGCATCTGTGTTTCATATTGGCATGATGGGCGGGTCGCACTCGGGTTCCTGGTCGTCATGGCCGCCCGAATTGGTAACGACCAGCGACCCGTCCTTGCATTGCTGCGATGTTTCGATTGCTCGGGTGTTGCCCGGCTGCTGAATAGACGGCGGCTACCTGCCCACTTGCACACATCTCTCTCAGTGCTGATTGCTCGAGCGTCCTGCAAACTCGAAGCCATGTCGGCTCGCAGCGCCAGATGCTCGCTTGTCAGCGCTTCTTTGCCTTGGCCTTGCGCATCCGCAGCTTCTTCATGAACCGTAGCTCGTCGCCTGACTGCAGGCCCCAGGCAATGAGATTCTGGTGGTCGTCTTGGAGCTTGCCCAGTCGTTTGGAATAGAACAAATAGCTCCTCCAGGTGTATCTCCAGGATATCGGTCCAGACGGGCGTGTTGCCCTGCGCGGGGTCTCGACCGGACAATCGCTTGCCGATGTGGTACTGGCCATCGAATCCGACAAGAGCGAGCCCAGCTTGGTCTGGAATTGCCGCTTGAGATCGGCAAGGGTCGTCGATGGCCTGACGACCAGGTCTGATCGGATGGAGCGGTATGGGCGGCGTGAGCGAGGCGGGCAAGCCTCAAGCATTCGAGACAACGAGCTCGCTGCATAAGACGTTGCTGGCAAAGCACTGACCAATGGGTTCGAGCGGAGAGCGATCGACTCGGACCGTGAATGCCTCGTTGCGCTCGATTGCAATCAGATCCTCCAGCGCGGCGATGGACTGAAGGGCCTGCGATGGCTCCAAGCTGATCTTGACGTCGGCCAGGAGTGGATCGGCCAGAAGGGCAACAATGGCGGCCTCGTCGGAGGCGACGCTTGCTGAGGCATTCATTTGGGAAGCAGGGGGGACGGCGTGGTGATAGCTGAGGCGAGATGTCTGATGCACATCGATCCGAGCTGATCGCGCCCAAGAGCCCGAGATTGAGTGCCTTCTCGCACAGAGCTTTCTTGGCTGCCCGGCTCGTCGCATGCGTATTGGCGGATGCGTGCGCCGACGAAGCATTCACGCCGATCTGTGCGGATGCGATCACAGCGGCGTCAGCAATGGCAAGCAGGAGGGTGTGCCTTCGGTCAACGTGCTGATCGGGTCGTTAGTTCTTGAGCAAGCGAGGCAGAATGCCCTCAGCATCTCGATTCATGCATTGTCATCGCTGATTGGAGGGACACCATGAGCCCTGCCATTCATGCCCCTGTGCTGGACAATGGGCCTGGGCACCGTAGATTGTTTCTGGATCTTTGCTATGCCCGAAAGGTCAGAGTCGTCCCCGTGAGCAGAATCACCGGAGAGAGTCTGGTATTTAGCTCGCTCCTTCGGCCAGCTTTACCGTTTTGCTCGCTGCCTCTTGCACAGCGACCAAATTGATAGCGAGTCTCCACTGTTGTGAATCGAAGCACCGATGGGCCCAACGAGCGCTTTCCGCCAACCGCTATTGACTGCTCTGCTGATCTACCTGTCGATACAGAGTAAGTAATCGAGCCACCTCCCGCGACGGAAGACGGAAGACAGAAGATGCGAATAGCAGCGGCCGCCTGGTCGTCGGATGGGCCCTGTGTCGGTCCCGGGTCGTCATCGAACAGCTCTGGATGACCGCCACTAACCTCCGTCTGACTCGACATCCAGCGAGCATGGCTCAAACCCGACGGACGATCCAAGGAGTCGGCGCAACGTTCCCAGCCAAGCTCTACACTGCTCTTTCGGGGTTGTACTCGGCTTACGATCCGAATTGGAGTTATGCATACACTGGAAGTACTTCAGGTATCGGTCGAACCTCCTTGGCTGCTGGTGCCTCCGGGCTGACCTGGGCTGGATCCGACAACATCCTCTCCAACACCACCTATGTCGGACCGGGCAACACCGCTGGCCAGTTCATACCTGTTCCATCGGTCATCAGGCAAGTGTCGTGGGCCATGATGCCTCTGCGGCCAGAGCGTCCGGTCGCCCTTCGTCGTGATCGCATATCCTGACCCATCCGCTCCGTATCCTCCATTCCCACAGCGGCATCGCCATTGTCTACCATCTCAACATCACCAATCTCACACTGACCCGACAGAACGTTGCCGACATCTTCACTGGCAAGATCGCCTTCTGGAACGACTCCAGACTCGCCCAGAACAACCCAGCACTCTTGACCATCAGCGCCCCGATCCAGACGATTGTGCGGAGCGGCCACTCCGGAACAACGTCCAACTTCCAGTACGCACTGAACTCATTCGACCGTACCCTGCGACTTCCATCTCCACAAATGTACCCGATTGCCTCCTGGGGCATCGCCAACCCGCCGTTCTACGCCGCATCGAACACCATACTCTCGGACGCCATCCAGGTTGCTCCGTACACGATCGGATATGTCGACTATGCCGATGGCTACAATACACTGGCATCGCTCGCACCGGGCCAGAGTCTGTATTCTATTGCCAGCATTATCAACCGAAACGGCGACACCGTGGCGCCTTCGATTGCGAGTCTGAATGTAAGCACCTGGTGCATTTGTTCCAGAAGACGGGGCTATAGCGATCATACAGGGATATGGAGCAATGGCGATCGTACCTCCTGCGTCGACTGAAGCCCAGCCTCGTCCGATGTGCATTTGACACTCGCATCTCTGCACAGGTGGCCATTTCAACCCCAAGCACCGCCAACATCTCGGCCGTCTCTCATTTCACAAACAACATCAGCAGCATCCTCCAGGCAACTTACATCGATTCGGCTACGCCAGGCGCCTATCCGCTGATGGCCCCGACGTACATGTTCCTTCGGCAAGACTCCCAGCTCTACAACATCACCGAGCTGCAGATGCGAGCCACATTGCGCTTCTTGTTTTGGATGGTCTTTGGCGGCACCGAGGCGGTAAGGGTCCAGTCCGATGGCACTCCCCATGTGCAACTGCTGCTGGAATTGTGCGCTGGCTCGCCAGTTTTGTGGCTCGATTTCTGGGGCAGTTGCTCCCATGCTGATCGCGACAAGTCAATCATGTTGCCCTGTCATCACAATCCCTTTGCCTGCTGATCTGGCTGCCCCTCCAACTTCCCTATCACTGCTTTCTTGTGCACACTTTGATGCTTCTCGATGCCTGCACGGCCCAGGTCCACACTCTGTTGGCATGTCCTATCGTTGGCTGATCGCTTTACTGAACCAACTCTCTCCCACGCGGCGATCGCCCCTCCGATATCCACATTCTGCTCTCGGCTCCAACAGCAACCCTCCACAAGATCAACGTCATCGCCCTCCACCAGCACATATTTCTCTCAGAACAACTTTGTTCACTTTGGCGACGCCCGCATCCGCCAGTTTGCATTTGATGCCCTCAAGCTCGTCACACACAATGGAAAGGCTCTCTACGATCCTGCGTCGCCCTGTAATCCGTATTTTGATGCCAACGGGACCTACATCAGCGCCAATTCGTGCAAGAACGGATATTGCATCGTCGACGGACCCTTCCAGGACTCGTCCGTAATCCAGTGCGTCTGCGACGTTGGATACTACAACAACCAAAGACTGGACTGCTCTGAGCCAGCCTCGCCATTTGCCGTCTTGGTGACTGGCGACTACTCTGGCAATGCCGCTGTCGTGGCCTTGTTTACGGTCACCTTAGTCATCAACTTTGGGATCTTTGCCCTGTTGGTGCTGTGGAGAAACAAGGCCAACATCAAGGCCATCTCGCCCAACTGCTGCTACATCATCATGGTTGGATCAAGTGAGTGCTCGGATGCAAGTCTGGTCTGGAGAGTCCTTTGGAGTCGGTGCGCCGTGAACAGCTGCCATCGATTCTGATGCAGGTTGTGGAAGTTTCGTGGATTTGTCTGTAGACGAGACTCGAGCTGCGCGACGACTGACTTTGCATGTGCTCTTCAGTTATCGGCCAGCTCGGCGCCCTCTTCTATTCGGCTCAACCAAGCAGCGTTGTGTGCTCCAGCCGGGTGTTCTTCCCGGTCGTGGCATTCTCCTCCGTATTCAGGTGAGATTGGTTTTCAGCTTGCCAGCAACGGACTTGGCACGATGTGGAGATCATCTGTATCGGCACTATTCAACTGTATCGGCACTATTCAACTGCATCGGCACTGCTTCTCTGTATCGACGCTGTTCAACTGCATCGACACTGTTCATTGCATCGATTTACTACAGCGAGTTGATCCATTGTGTCTGCTGGATGAGGCACCCGTCTGAATCTCGCTGCGCTCGCACTCATACCACATTCAATCTCTCAACCAGCATGCTGCTGATGAAGTCCTTGCGCATATACATGATCTTCGGCAACAAGCGCATGCGTGTCTTCAAGACCCCAGACTGGAAACTCATCCTCGGCACAGCGATCATCGTGGCCATCGAGATCATCATCTGCATTGCTTGGATGGCCGTCGAGAATCCAATGGCTCAGATCGTGGGTACATCCTATTCCTTGGTGTGCTCGGCCACGTCGGGTCCCACCGTGGTGCCCGAGATCCTGCTCTACGTCATGAACGGGCTCGTCATGATCGGATGCGTTGCTGTCGCCTTCCTCACACGGGGAGCCCACAAGCGCTTCCAAGAGTCCAAGGTCATCGGCATCTGCGTCTACATGGTATTTGTCACGCTCCTGCTGTGTTTGCCGATCCTGTATATCCTCTCCGGTAGTGTCAACTCCGATGCCCTCTTCACTGTCGGCCGAGTGATGCTTGGATGCGTCATCGTGGTGATTTCGTCCCTGGTTCCGATCATCCTCTTTGGGGTGAGACTTGTCCAAACCTTCCACAACGAACGAAGCGAGGTCGACAAGCCATCGCAAAACTCGGCGCCAACCGACAACAATCGTTCTGCAATCTCAAGCCAGGGCATGGTGGCAGCCAACGTCCTCGCCTATGCATACGACTGCGGTCTGCAGGGGCTCAAGTTTGGCGGTGCCTGGGTGTCTTCGAACGTGCTGGTGTTCACGACCTTGGACCTGATCGAGTTTCGAGAGGCCGATGCGGACGGAACCATCCAGGCGAGCTTCCGCTTCTCATCGTGTGAGTGCGAGCCTTGTCAACTGGCAGAGAACTCGGACTCGGAGAAGGCCCTGGCTCGCAGTGTCCGGCTCCGACGCAACAAGATGGTGTACACACTCGAGTTTGGCTCCAAAGAAACGGCCCAGATGTTTCTGGAAAACTATGCCGAAGTCAAGTCCCGATCCGGGGCACATTCGGTGCTCAAGGCCAAGACAACGGCCGCGGGGCTGCAAAGGCCAGGATCTTCCAAGCGCGACAACACCGTCTTTGCGATGCTCGACAAGCTGGCGGTCAGCACGAACAACAACCAGTCGATGGCCAGCTTTACAAAGAGTGCTCCGAACCAAAGTCAGTTTGACGCACCTTCAGGGGCTCTTCAAAACGAGTCCGGGAACCCCCAGCCTTGAGTGTCGGCGACAGACGAGCTTTGACTGTGTTTGCACTGCCAAGATGCATTCGGCAAATCGCCATTCACCCTCTCCCAGATCTGTGCATCTTCTTGGATCGAAGGAACATATCCCAGAGATACAATACATTTGGGAGGAGCTGTATTCACGATACTGCTACAGTTTTCAGGCAACGAGGACGATCGGTCGCCGTATTGGTTGAGATTCAGAAAGACACAGATCTAGGTCTTGGAAAGCAAACAGACAGGTTTGCAGAGCCCTGTGAGGAGGGGGGTCATTCCAGGGTTCCATATGGGTGGTTGTCACGGTTCGGCACTGGGCGGTATTGTCTGGTAATGTCCGGTATTGCGCCGCACATTGCTCAGGCTGACTTTCGATTTGTAGAGTCCTTGACCGGGAACGCATGGACGAGCTGCGGCCGACTCCGGAGCATCGAGAATCTCAGGTATGGCATCTTGATCAGATCCATATACATTCCCGTTCCGATGATGACCTTGGCGACGCCAAGCCAGTGCAGGAGGGTGAACGGATTGCTGAACACGTAGATTGAGATGATCAGCGACGCGAGCTTGCGAACACTTAGTATCTGTGTTCCCAGCGCGGCGACCGACGCAGTCGGGTCATGGATAAGAGCACAGGGATTTGATAGCACAGGGTTAAAATCAATCACACTACGCCGTACTATTGTCCTTTGGCTGACATCGCACGGCATGCGCTCGAGCCAACAACGCTCGCCCTGGACTTGTTGGAACGCATATCCGCTCTATCTGAGGTCCAAGCGGGGCAGTGGCTGACAGCCTACCAGTGTGACGGCCACCGAGGAAGTCATCGAAGAAAGCTTCTGCACTCCGGCTATGCATACGACTTTGGGCAGCAAGAATGACGGGTATTGGGTCAGCCGTGGACCTGATATGTCCATTGGGGGTCAAAGCTGGCTGTTGCCAGACGCCGTGCACCATGCAAATGGGTTTGGTCGATGGGAAGCAGATATTGAAGAGTACTCACACTGAGCGACGGTGCTTGCCATCAGGAAAAACCACATCCGTGGGAGACGAACCATGGCCAGAAGCCGCCATATCCAGCTCCAACGGGTCAATGTCTCGAGCTCGGAGTACTCCAGGAGGCCAACCCATGGGCTTTGGTTGAAGTCGTCGATGCTCTTGAGGATGCTGGGAAGGACAAACACAAACGCCGGCAGGGCAAGGGCGTGTGTGTAGAACAGTGACTCGCGCCAGTGCTTGCCATAGGTCGTAAAGGTGGCTTGCTGCACCTGCCCGAGCAGGCACGACAGGATGATGGAAAAGACCATCAGGGCAATTCCGGTGAGGAAGGATATGCTGAAGCCAAAGCCGGGACCGGCACCCGCAGACGCGTGGGATGATGCAAACGTCGTGGTGATGATGCCGACGGTGACGACGAAGATGGCAAAGACTTGCTTCGAGGAGAATCTGAATGAACGCAAATGCCGTTTGCATGGGCGTGGTCAGCGGGTCTGCAGGTCGATCCGAGCAGAGATGATTCGATGCCTGGTGGCCCTCCTTCCCCAAGCGGGCTGCAAGATCTACCTCCGTGAAAAAAACATCCATCCAACGAGCATGTTGGCGAGCAAGGAGCCCGAACGGAATATGATGTTGAGCGGCATGGGAATCGGGTAGCGCATCGCTTGGTTGCCGGTGAGGGTTGACATGAAGAACAGCAAAACCATGATTGCATATTGCTTCAGGGGGATATGGCGAGTCTGAAGCTCGTACGGCAGGGCAGAGCCGGGCTTTGTTCGCTGGATGTTGTTGAGCAGTCCCATGAACGAAATGAATGTGAACTGGGCAAAGGTGATCAGCTCAACGCTGTCGGAGTGGTCTCTGTGGGAAAGGGTGAAGCGGAATCAGGACGCCGGAGCGAGTGGCATGCCGGACAATCCATCGACGCAGCCCACGCAGCCCACGCTGTCCACCGAGTCGGGGTTTGGCAGCAGCAGCGAGTGGCGAGAGCTCCTCAACGCCACCATGACATGCGACCGAATGCATCGTGAACCAGGCACCGCATCCCAGTGCTTGACGACTTGTTACCTGATCAGAACCTCCAGCGATACAACGGTCGAGCAGCAACCCCCAAAGATCATTATCAGTGCCAGTGGCCACTCTGAGAGCAGGACCGCCAGGACCGAAAGAGCGACTCCGCTGATGCCCTTGGAAGCGTGGCTTGCATGCTGGTCGAGCTTGGAGGTTGGCAGAATGGCGGCCGAGCCATCGGCGACGGTCATTGCGAACGACTTTGCGAGCGAGGACAGCGACGAGGACGGCTGCAGGAAGCGCTGCCGGAGCTGGCGGATGGAGTGCTGCCATCCCTGGCGATGCGGCCGGCGAGGCATTTTGTCCTTATGCTGGCGGAGATCGAGACAATCAGATGGCGGGATTGGCTTGTGCAGGCGAGGGAGAGTCGAAAGCATGATCGGGCCGGCTGGCTTGCCAACGAAAAAGAGAGCAATCCCAGGCGGAGAGGGGCACCAGGCGACACAGAGAACAGCGTGGCGCTGTGCTGTGTTGTGTTGTGCTGTGTTGTGTTGTGTCGCGGTCGCACACGTCCCAAGGCTGGCGTTTCCGCTCCCCAGCCACGCTCCTTTTGTCGCTGTGTCGCACGCACCGCGCTCTCTTGCTTCCGTGGCTCTGCCCGCCCATTGGCTGTGGCTGTGCGTCCCGATTTGGAGTGCGGCCCTGTGCGACGCAGCCCAGCCGGATCCAGCCGGATCCAGCCGCCACGTGTCAGATCGGGCGGCATCAAAACCCGTCTCCAGACCGATGCTTCCAGCGTCATCCGCAGCAATGGGCAACGAAGCCAGGTGAGACCCCCCCCTCCATGCGACAGAGACGCAAGTGCATAGGCCTGCGCGGTCCGCTGGAGAAGGATTAGGAGGGAGCGCTGGGTGTCAGAAGAGAAGTGTCTGGGGACAGGCCTGTCTGTCGATACTGCCAAGTTGTATCCCTCTCGTTGGCCCCAACCATCAACGCCACCGTTTCTTGGTCCGGACTGACCACATCGCCTCAACAGTGTTCCTGAAATGAGTTCTGAAGAGCGTGCCGATAAGCTTCCCGACGGAGATCGTGCCTTCACCGCTGTGGAGTTGTCTCAGTTCGACGGAAGCAACCCCGAGAACCCCATCTACGTCGCTGTCAAAGGCGTCGGTAAGTCTTTCCTGCTTGACGCTCCCTTGACCGGTTCGTCCGGAAGAGGGCCGCATGCATACCCGCACTTGCTGCAGGCCTTTGCTTCAATCCGGGCGCCATGATATCGGCTGCCGTTGCACTGGTGTGTCCCTGACCGACGATTCTACGATCCGACCATCGCCAACCGCAGTCTTCGATGTCAGCAAGTCGAGAGCCATGTATGCTCCTGGCTGCGGTTACAACGTTTTTGCCGGCCGCGATGCATCCCGGGTAAGCGTCGGATGGCCGATCTGCTTGTATCCATGCGGGCCTCTCGCTTTCGTTGTCGTCGTCCCATATGAGTGCCTGGCTCGCCGCAGACTTGTGTGCTCCGTCCGATCATGCCATGCTGACTTGTCCATGTCAATGCGCCATTCCCCACTATCTGCGGGCTTGTTGCCACGATGTGTTCGACGCAGGCTCTGGCGCTGAGCTCAGTCAAGGTTGAGGACTGCATTCCCGATCGCTCCGGTCTCTCCGAGGAGCAGCAAGCTACCCTCGACAAGTGGGAGCAGTTCTACCGCAAAAAGTACAACATCATCGGAACGGTCGCTTGATCATGCCAAGGCGCCGGTCCTCTGGCTCCGCTGGACAGCCACTCCGACAGTCCTTGAAGCCAAGGCTACCCATGTGCCCGCTCTCCAGACAAGCAAGCGCTGAGCCCTGGATGTCCTGCGCTGCTCAACATATCCCAAATATATTCTCTGTCCGTAGCGTCAAGTGCATCTTCCTCCATGTCCTCCTGGCTCTTCCTGGCGACAGCGACAGGGATTCAGCGTGTCTGGATTCGGCTTTCGTTTTCTGGGCAGAATATAGGCATCGGAACGCTCGGGTCCGCATGGCGCTGCTTGCTGGCAAAGTTGCGATACAAGTTGTTCCTGGAGATAGCAACGCCCACGAATGTCAGCCCGTTGAGTCGATTTGCTGCATCAAGTCGATCTGGTCAACCCGGTGCGACCCTCGAATAACATGGCCCGAGCAGTCCTGGTGCCGATGGGCGGATGCCGTGTTCCCGCAGCACCGAGCCATGAATGCGCACTGCTGCGAACATGACAGCAGACCAACATATACCAAACGGTGGCGGCCATCAGCTCATGGGCGGCCACAGACGGATGGAAGCAGTCGACGTTGCTGAGCATTTCGATCGGCCATTCTCGCAGACGGATCTGTGTGAATCCAGGATCCAGCACAAGGGCGAATCCTTCGTCGGGCACCTCGGCTTGGTAGTCTTCCCAGATCGTGAGTAATCGTCGATTATAGCTTTGGACCAAGCTGTCCATGCGCTTGCGGGTGACTTGCCCAAGCTCCAGAGGCAGGAATGCGCATTTGCTGTATGTGGAGGGGGGGGGATAGTTCATGAACTCGGTGAAGACGTGCGAGACCATCCGACAGCGTCGTCTGCCATCCGACGGAAGCTTACCACTCAAATGTGCGTCCTTCGTCACGCAGCTGATTGCAGTAGTCGTTGCCGTGAGTCAGGTCCCAGACCTGTTCGCACAAGTACTTTAGTTGACACTCGGCGACTTCCAGCGCCAAGCGCTCTGCCTTGCCTTTGGTGCCGAGTAGATCATTGCATTCATGCATTGGTGTATCCAGCATCGCACCCACTGTCTCCGATATTGTGGGATGCATCTCTGCCATTGCGAGACGCATCCTGGCCCACCTGAGAAATGTTGAACTGCTGCACAATATTGACGATGGTTCGTGGAATCTTGCGCCGGATCTTGCCGAGCAAAGCCCGCATGTGCTCTTCGTAGACGGCAGGCGACAGCCATGTCGTTTCCGATGCCAAGTCGCACCCAAAGCACGCATCGTTGCTGCCGATGAAGATGTTGAGCAGCTGTGGAGGTTTGGAGGCCGTGACCCATCAGCGCATTCCGGCGGCAGTCATCCGAGTCCTCAGCAGTGCAGGCAGCAACAGCAGTATGAGTTACCCACCTTGAAATCGTGGTCCATGTCAATGTCGTCATTGTGCTCCATTTCTTGGATAAGGTGGTCGAGCTCCTGATGCAGATTCATCACCATGGCACCACTCTGCGCCGCATTGAGCTCGTCGTTTGGGCGATGGTATTGATATGGTGGACAGAGCGGTCCATAGCTGCGGAGGCCGGTGTCGGGCACACATCAGATCGTTGACCTTGGTATCCACTCCGGCACTCTGCTTGGCGCACTCGGATGTGTGGCCCTCAGAGCAAAGTGGACGCTCATTGCGACTTTTCATGCTCACCAAAGCTCAGCAAGGTGGTCGCCATGGCTGTATCCCACCAGCGACGGCCGATAGTGTTGGATGAACCGGCTCACTGTTTTGGCATCCGGATCGCCTCCGATGAAAAACGATACCTGCGAGAGCCAGTGTCCCCAAGGGCAGAGCATCCATGTCAGCATATCCCTTTGATTGGCGCTGATGCCACCCAACCCATTCCCGCATTGTTGCGCCCCCAGTGTGGTGTAGCGGTGCTATCGAAGCCGCCATTAGCAGTCTCGGGCCGCTCCAGAGATGCGCAGAAGCGTCAGTGCTATCGCTGTGCTCACTCCTCTGTTTTCATAGATCGTCTTGAGCGATATCGGGCTCTTGGATGTGCGTCCCTTGGCCCCAAAGCCAGCCGTAATGCTGGCATGGACGGTTCCCGTTTGCCATCGACAAAGGCGATACCAAGGACATTGCTGAGTATTCCATCGATTGCTCGATCCTCGCTCACGGTTGATGGAGCGCTGTCATCTCCGCAAATGTTCTGCCGAGAATAACAGCGAAGGAGGCCCCATATCGGCTCTTCAAGCACGGATATCGAGGCGATGGTAAAACCCACCTATCGCCCAGGGCCGCCACGACCCGGATGTCGTCCGGACGCAAATCATGAACGCTGCTCGGCGGAGCCGGTCGTGGATCCAGTGCATTGCAGTCCTCGATGCTGTGTTGCCCGGCAATGGTGTCGCCGAGGGTTGGTCCGGACTCGTGGCCAGATAGATCCTGGACAGCAAGGGCTGGGTTGCGGTGAGCCGAGGAGATGCTGCGGGCAAGCGCTGGTTTGGCTGCGGCAAAACCGAGCGCCAGCACCAGGACCATCAGGACCGGTTTTGAATTTCGGAGGCAGCCGTGCGGCATCGTGGTTTGCAGACAACAAGTGATGTGGAGATGGTCGGTGTTGGTCGAAAGTGTGGGGTTGGGGGGGGGGCGAATCATGGTCCAAAACCCCGAAACCGAGGGCGGAGTTTGGGCTCTCGCTTGGCGAGGGCGAGCGAGCGAGAAGACCCCAGCGAGCACGCTGATGGATCCATGCAGATCGTCATTCCAACGGTGGTGCTCTTGGACGAGATGACAAACATGAATATATTCACTTCTAAGAAATGTGAAATCGGGCAGCGGGATGGGGATAATCTCATTCCATTTCGCACAAGGCGTAGCTGCAGGACTGTGGTTTGAGCAGTCGGAATCGTGGCGGTTGGAGCCGGGGATTCAGAGCACAACGAGTCAGAAATCCAATCGATAGATCGAACCACCATGGCACATCATCACAATAGTCTGCATCAGAGCCCAGCGCCAGCCATTGTCCTCCAACACTGCGGTCGGATGGACCATCGTGAGGACAATGCTTACACTGCCGGTCTAGTTGTGGATCATGGGGCCGTAGTAATCCGTGGTCTTGGGGGGAGCCGAGGTGGTAACCCACGGGGGAATAGCAACCCAGCCAGGGGGACCAAGCGGAGGAGGAATGGCAACTACAATGGGCAAGAGAGCAGTCCATGTGTCAGTACCCATGTGTCGACAACGATGCAGCGCCATGCGTTGGGCAGCGATGCAGCATGAGGACGTACGGGTGGCGGTTGAGCAAGCCATGACGAACACGGCGATGATGACAGTCTTGAGAGACATTTTTGACTGCAACTAGAACCAAGTGCGATGGATGCGATGGATGCGAGTGCGATGATGTCCAGTACGGCAGGCGTCCCCGGTGCTGCTTTTATATTCGCTTTTTTCTCCCTCTCCTCATCGCCGTGTCCTGAAACGAATGCGCATTCTGCAGAGAAGCAAACAAGAGCCATGAATGCGTCTTGTTTGCAAGGGTCTCTCCTTCTGCTCGAAGCACATTTCTCCACTGTCCTTGGCAGCGCCCAGACTCCATCCCCCAGCCCGCTGCAATCTGCCCCATTCTCTATTTCCTGCATCTCACCAGCCGATCCCCCCACCTGACCAGCCCGCGTCTTCGCCTCTCCTCCGTCGCCCCAAACTCTGCCATGATGATCCGATCTGTGGGTCTGCGCCGGAGCTCAATATTTGGCGATCTGTTCCAATCTCAACTCTGTTTGCTTGGGCGTTTCTCGACCAGGTGTTGGCCTGCAATCTGAACGACACGCTTTACTGCACCGTGAGTGAAGCAGCCATAGGATTTCCAAAATCCTTTCGCCTCTGCGGCAGCCCATAATAGAGGCCTGTTTGCTTGTCCTTCCACGGGATCCACCCCCTCCCAGAGCTTGAGTGCTTTCTCTTGCTTGAAGCATCCAACCTAGATAAGAGCCGGCGTTCGGATCTGACAAGCTTGTGCAATGAAACCTACCCGGCGCAGTTCTGAGATGGGCAATCAGCCCAACCCCTTGTGCGCCCTTTCTCCCTGCCAGACAAAGTTTGATTGGCAGTAGGCGATCTGTGCATCGTAGCGCTCAGCGGCGTGTCTCTTGGTGAGCGGGAGCTGGGGTTCTTCGAGTGCACGCGCATTGCTGCCAGTGCGCAGGTAATATTCGAAAGGCACTGCTATGGACACGGCCAGTGTTGTTAGGTATATTACAGCGAAGGGTATAGACAGCGAAGGGTATAGACAACGAGGGGTCGAGCTGCCCACTGCCCTTGAGGCCGGCTGTGGGTCAGCAGCCGCTGTGTACATCGGGGTGGTTCATTTACACTTTATTCAGAAAAAAACGGGACAATATAGCCGTTTCCATGAACATGTAGTATGTGCTGTGCTTGCGTCAAGCAAAGCCACAAGAAATAAAACAGATCACTTTGGCAGCCTCCGAGTGAAGACCGCCGGTCGCTCTCCGGTCTCCACAATCGACCTGCACACTGGTCTCGGAGTGCCAGCGGCGAATGGTCATGGCCAGCGCGCGATAACATTGGGTAACAAAATATTCGATGAATGGTCAAAAACCCGGGTGTCCCGTTTTTTATTGGATTGCCTGTAAATGCGCTCCATTGGAAATGCTGTTCACATGATGCAGTTTTGTGGGCTGGGTACAAGGCTCGTTAATCTTGCGACCGATGCGGCGGGATCATCGTCGCCGCAGGTTTGCAGAGCAAGGCCGCGGCCCAGATACATCACAGTCAGTTGTGGATTATTGGACCGACGTAGAAGCCATATCCGTTGGAAATGTACTGGTACCGAGGGTCGTTCGGCGGCGGTGCGGCTTGCACTGAGCGCAAAGGTATCGTCAGCGGCCTTGACTTGTCTCAGCGCGATGCAGATCCATCAAAGACGGCAGACCCCAGCTCGCTGCACACCGCCAGAATTGCCTATCCATGGAGCGTTTGGCAAAGACTCACCGAGAGCCGAGCAGGCAATGACCATGACTGCAACGAGGACCACCTTGATGTTCATCTTGACTTGTAATCTATCTGTTATGGGCTTGCCCTTGTTGGAGCGGGTGAGGCTGATGGGCTGATGGGCTGATGGGCTGATGGGGAGGTAACAGGGAAAAAGAGTCCTCCACCCTCCTACCGAATGACTATCTGACTGTCCGCTGCGTACCCCCTGCCTGCGACAGCAAATATCCTCAGCACGCGGTTGCATCGGTGTTCTCGGAAGAAGGCAGAGCCGTTCTGATGCTGCTTCGGGCGAACCGACCAATCCGGGAGTGCTTGTCGGGCGTGGGAACGGCGCAGCCAACATTGCCGGCTGGAACCAGCGCATCACGTGCGTGACACCGGCTCGAGCCAGTTTTCTTCGCTTCCACAAAACCGCTCGCCGTTGCGATGCTGGCGAAATGCGTGCTTGCACCCAGATCCGATCTGCGTGCTGATCTGCAGGCCAATCTCCCGACCTGGCATCCTGCCGTCCGCCAAGATCTGCCAGGTGAGACCCCTCCGCCGCCCGTCGGCCCCTGCTGCGGCCTGACAATCTGTCTAGATGATGTAACAAGTTCAATCCATTCTCCGAAGGCGCTGCCGAGACATACGCCTGGCGAGCCCGTTGGAAGGGTTCTCTTTCCTTTGGTGTGAGCCGGGCGTTCCTGTCAACGCGGGGTTTGGCGGGCTTCCTCGCTGGCCCCGGGGACTGTCCTCTGTCTGGGCTCGCTTGCTTGAGGCGACCCTCCCTGTGTCTGTCCGCTTGTCGGATGGGATATGGCGGTGGCGTCTTGATGAGCCTGCTCGGCGGATGGCGCTGTCTCCGGATGCCGTGTGCGTCGATGGCTCGCCGTGCTAATGCCTGCAAGACGCAACCGGACTATCTGATGCTATTCGCGATTGTCGGCATATCGGGCCCCGATGCAGCCGCGACTCTATTTACTGCCAGAAAACTGCGATCGCCATCGAGACTAACAGCTGTCGTCCTCTGCATCTGACTTTTCGGCTCGGTGCAACTCATCAGCCGCTAGATTTGCTCCGCAGAAGCTGCTGCATGCGCTCGAGGTCGCGCTTGAACGTGTCCCTCGTTTGGTCGATGATCTCGGTAAAGGCCGCAATGTCTTTCTCTTTGTTTTGCAGGGAGAGCTGGTTGGTGACTGGCGAGCGACAGACGGCAACAGTGTTCAATAAAACGAGTAACTTGGTGGACATGGCCGATTGCCTCGGATTGGGCGTGGGTGGGTAAAGGATTTCTGCGAGCTGCTTGACCCAACAGCAGCGGGTCCTGTCGGCATGCACACTCCAGAGCAAACCAGTTCGTGCCGAGGGAATCATTCGCGCTGCCGTTCCCCACCTTTGAGGGCCTCGATTTCGTCCTTGGCCAGTTCGAGCTTGACCCGCAGCTTGTCGATCTGTCGCGGCGTGAGGATTCAGATATTGCCGAGGCCAGCAGCACTACCCCTCCTCGCTGAGACAGTCATGGATGAAGAGGAGCTGCTCACCTCGCCTGCCAGCGGCTCGCTTGGAGGCGGGCGCTTGGTGTCCGCTGCGTTCCGTCGTCGTTCTCGGCGCAGTTCGTTCGCTGGGGGTCCAAGCGATCGAGAAATACGGTCCAGGGGTGAGCCGACGATCGTCGCGATGGTCGTGGGAACGTCGCTGTAATCTCGTTTTGGCCTGCAGATGTGCTGACTGAGCCCAGTGGCAAACGAGAAACCCACCCAGCTCGGCTGCCTTGCCCTCGACGGTGTTGATGCGGCCTTCGAGCACCGATCGAAGCTCGCGTAGTTTGTCATTCTCGACCTTGAGGCTCCGGATCGTCGAGTCAAGACCCATCACGGCGACATCATGGCCTGCATTGCGGAGGCAAGTTGGCGGGCAAGATCGGCATCGTTTGAGCGGCCCGGAGCCTCACATCTGCAATGCCAAACAGACCCAGTGTGTCTTGCGCACGCTTGGAAGCACATCGAACCTGGTCCAGAGCTTGGCAGCGACAGCGGTGGAGACGACTGCGATGGGCTTGAGTTTGGCTGGGCAGACGAAACCGAGCGCAGCGATATCTGCGAGACCTCCCGTTGCAGCCTCTCGATCGTTCTTTCGTGCTCCGAGATCTGCGACTCCTGTGCCGTTGCGATCCAATACATGCCAAGCAGAAGCGCAGGACGAGGATGGATTCAGCCCAGGAACAATCCAGCGCTCACGGACAGTCTCGGTCGCCGTGCAGCATGTCCGTGTGCAAGTTCGGAGTGCATTGCCCTTGCACAAAGTCGCTGCCCACGCACCTGCTCGCTGCAGATGTTTCTCAGATTGTCGTAAAGCTTGTCGTCTTTCTTGGAGTGTCGCTCCTGCTCAGTGTTGGCCGGTCCGAGTCATTGAGCCGCTCGCTCGGTCCTGGCCCTCCCGATCGCCATCAGAAGCTGCATTGGTCGTATCCAGTCCAATCGGGCCGACCCTCCCTCCCATCCAGCCCACCTTCAGCTTCTTGAGCTCGTCTTGCAGTGTTTTGATAAGCTGGTCGTCCCTGGATGCTTTCTGGAGCAGCGTCCCGATCTTTGATTTGAGATCCTTGGTGTCGCGCTCGAGAATCCTGGCGATTCGATGCAGTATAACTGGCTGTCAATCGCTGGCAGAGGCAGCTCCGCTGACGACCGGTTGCAAGCGCCACTTTGCCATGCAAGGTGGAAGTGCAGATGGGAAGACTCTCACTTGTTTCGCGAGATCAGGGCACTTTGTTTTGTTTTGGCATCGGCCTGGTCTCGACGCAGCATCTGTTATGGACGAATATGCATCCCTTGGGTTGAGATGTGCCCGTTCCACACAGCATGCGATACGATTCCCCGCTGCATATCGACCCCAGGCGGCTTTTCACTGGACCTCGAGCTCCTCGAGTGCCTTCTCGTGCTCTTGTTTTCGCCCCTTCTCCAGTTTCCGGATCGAGCTGCGGTGCTTGGCATCGTGGGAATCGAGATTCGGCGACTCGGAAAATGAGCTCTGCCGCGACATGGTCCTGCTGGGAGGCAGCGGCCCTGGAGGCAGGATGCCCAAGGACGGTGCGGCTGGGGAGACCCCGGAACCAGGTGCTACCACTTGATTGCTCAGCGTCTGGGTGAGCTCCCGGACCTTTTCCTGCGGTGCGTGGCTGGCCGTTAGAGTCCATGCACATCGCTGCGACACATGCAGTCATGGCCTCGCACGCCATGCGTCTCACATACTTTCAGCAGTGCAATCTGCTGTGACCGGCCTCTCCATGACGGACTTCCTTCGATGAGCTGAAGAATGAAGAGATATGGGTATTCGCTTGGTGTTGGATCGATGAGATCCGGACTGGCCCGGCTAACGTGGAACCATGACGTGTGAGATGCAGCTCGGCGGACACAGCGACGCAAACCTGGGAAATCGGAACGCCGTCTCCAATTTCCTGCGCCAGAAGCTTCTGGAGCTGGCGGATTTCAGCCTTGGCGCTGTGGTTCTGGATACGCTCCTCCTCCAGCTTCCGTGTCGCCAGACTCAGCTTCTCCTTGGCCCCTCTCATCTCAATATGGAGCTGGTCGAGATTCGAGGCCGAGCACAGCTGTATCTTTTCCTCTTTCTGCACTTGCAGCTGCCGCTGTATTTCCTGTCGTCGACAGTGTTAGGATATGCTGACATCACTCCTTGTTGTCATTCCACTTGCAGTGATCTGAATAGAGCAGTCTCACCTCCAGTTTGGCAGCAAGCGAGGCATTTATGCCACGCTCCTTCTCAAGGGCCATGGTGAGCTTTCGGGCCTGAAGGCGTTGTTACCCAGCCAAGGAGAAGCGTTGTTAGTCCAGAGCGGTAGCGCTTCTGCAACTCGGGTCATTCATTGCCGGCCGTATAGCTGACGAGGCAGCAGAGTGTGTCGCACCTTTTTCGACAGCTCGATGATCTTGGTTTGCGGACCGAGCATCTTGACGGCGCCTGCGGTGCCCTGGCCGCCAGCACGAGAATCCGCTGTGGATCCACGGCCGCATATGCCATCGGCGAACAGTAAGCAATCGTCAAGCAGTTGCTACACAGGAGTGTTGAACATGCTCGCAAAAGCCCAACCACTCACCACGAGCGTCTGAATACTCGGCGTCCTGACTTTGACCCTCGACAGAGGGAGCGGCATCAGCCTGTTTTGCATCCCTGAGCTTCTTGTATGCACCCCAGTCGAACGGCTCGCTGGTACGGCCACCATGGCCGGGCTTCTGAATCGGTGCTCGTCCGTCGCTCTCGTTCTGGATCCGCGTCTTTCTGGATGCCTTCTGTATCAGCGCAGGAGCCGTTGGTCATTCAGGATCTCTGTCTCGCTGCTTTGTAGGCTTTCGTGCACCAAACTCTCACGATTGCAGACGCGTATATCGGTACCCAACCTGCTCAACCGATGGCTCGGTATCGTCTTCCAGCTGGCGGTTCGAGGGCGGGATCCGAATTGCTCAAGGTTAGATCAACTGCCCTCGAGCCGGTCGTCGCCAGCCGTGTCTGTTCACCTCGGGAACGCGGCTCATACCTCCAGCCCCATATCGTCATGGAGCGACCATTCCATGCGCTCCTGGAGCTTGTCCGGTTGCTCCTCTCCCTCCTCGGACGAGGAGTCATCTGCAAACTCCTTGGTCTTGTTCAATTTCACCACCGCGATCTTGGCTTGATGCGCCGGGGATATCTGCGCCTTCTTCTTGACTTTGGTCGTGACGGCCTTTGGCGCCGGATCGCTGTGCCGGAGGAATGGCTGGGAAAGCATCGCGTCTCGTGAGGATGCAGGAATACCTGCCGCTCGAACAGAGATTTGAAGAAAGCGGCAGCCGAACGAGCCGGTCGCATGCCTGCAAAAAAAAGAGACGTGTTCACGGAGTGCTTTGGTATTCTGGGTTCATTCGATGCCCCGCCGGGCCAATCGCACATGTGCCCGAATCCAAATGAACTGGGACATCCCGCTGCGAGTGAGTGAGTGTGTGAGTGAGTGATCTTTGGCCACTTTCATGTGTCCCGGATACACGCTCATCGAGAACAGCGATACTGGTGCTTCAGTAGGTGCCGGTCGACCGGCGCTCATGGAGATTGACCCTGTGTATTCAAGAACATGCCCCAAGGCTGCAACGCAGCGGCGATTGCCAACCAAGACCGGGAATCAGCCGCACGGCCGATCGTCTGCAAGCCCACAGATCATCCGACTTCAGGCCGGATGCACTGTGGTTGCACATCACGAAAGCCGGATTTCGTCGCAGCTCGAGATCGTCAGATCCAGAACTGGCCGTTCAAACTTGGTCTCGGCAAGTTCCATTTTTCTGAGGGTCGGACCGCCGTCTATAACACGACCAAAGGCGACATACTTCTTGTCAAAGTACGGCATCGGGCCCAGCGATATCATGAAAGAGGAGAAGTTGCTGTGGGGCCCTCGGTTCACGAACGAAAGTGTGCCCCGATGGATATGCGAGACTATAAAGTTCTCATCTGGTGGCAGTGCCGTTGCACGTCGCAGGGGAGACCCGGTAAGCGTTGGTGCAAGCAGCCGGAGGATGTGCAGAGTGCAGTGTCAGTGTCGCCGCTCGATCCTCAGGATGCTTTCCCCATGTTTCGGATACTGGAAGTTGGCTTTCGGCCCCTGAGAGCAGTCCAGAGCCACCCGAGTCGTGCTCTGCCCGCGCCTATGCTTTGCTACTGTACCTTCCAGCCGTGGCTCAGTCAAGACAGTCTTCTCAGGGGTTGAAAACTCTGGTATGTTCGCAAACGAAGGGACGACATCAGTCAGTGTGCTGGCCGAAAGGACAACCAAGCATGGCTGTTCGTGAATACGACAAACCATATCGTCGAGATACCTCCATAGTGCTGCCGGCATACTCCGTAATCGTGTCTCGTTTGCTGCCTCGTGCAATCGGAACTCACCTCCAGCTTGCAGCCAGCCATTCTTGATGCATCTGGTGAACTTGCTGCCTCGGTAGCAGCACCACGCCTGTGATGCGCCCACAGACTTGCCTTTCACATAGCCCAGAAAGTGCTCCACGGATTTGGGACAAATGTCACTGTAGAGCTGTGTTCGTCAGGCGTCCAGTTATCAGCATCAGTGGAACCGTGAGAATCGGCGGTAGGCGGTGTGATAGAGAGTCGCAAGGAAAAACCAAAGGGATGCAGAGACTGCAGTGGTGTGGCCACTCTGGCTGTCGCAGTTTAAGCCCATCGTCCTCACAGCTATGCGTCGAGCACGCCATCGTCTCCGCTGCTGGTCTGCTGCTCCTGCTATTCTCCCACGGCACTAGCAATACCCGAGCTAGTCGCATGCACATACCTCGATCGTCAGTCGGCCTATTGCTGCCATATCGTGCGCAATATCCAGGAACACGAATGTCCTCCTGGAAAACGACCGCGATCAAGCCGACGAGTGAGCGCCGTGCAGTGGGGCTGCTCTGCTCTCTCATTTCACTGCCTCGCATTCGCTCGAGTCCATACGACTGCGATCCTGGCTGTGCGTCGAGGGATACCGGATGCAGCATTCACCAACCCTTTGGACTGACGGATATTCCTCATGTACTCGAGAAACTCGTCCGAGGCGAGTCCCTCGTACATCCGGATTTCTTCGTCTGTCGGTTTGCCATGGCTATCTCGGTAGTGGTATCGCTCCAAGGCATGTCTCTGGAACTGCTGCAGGCTGAATATCTTGGATCCGTCTTGGACGATGACCGAGTCGCAGAGCGCATCGACGATGTGCGGGTGGTCCTGTTCGTTCGACGACAGCGAAGCTGGATGCATCAGAGTTGGAGCTGACGTGCCCAACCAACCAACCGCCGGCAACTGACTGGACTTGGACACGAGGAGAAACCGGAGTCGGCTGTGCTGCGTGCGCTGCTAAAGGACTTGCCTTTTTCAGATATTGCCGATATTCCACAAAGTCAAAGTAGTGCATGGGGTTGTGCGTCACTTGAATGTCGTTTTGTGAATAGCCAAACCTCTGTGGGAGGAAAGACGCCGACCCAGCAGTTTGACCCGGAATCGAGCGGGTGTGGGAGCATCAGGATACCAGACCAATTAGCCCGAATCGACACAGCCCTGCATAGCGATGCTGAGCAGCATCTCTTCGATGTGGGTGTCGCTTACTCTCAGATAATCTTTGGCATATTGATATTCCCAATGCGCAATGACGCCAGTCAGCCGGATCTCTTGCTTGGTTGATTTGGCCATTGGAGGGCACTTTTTACGGTGGCACGACAAAGGGAGGAGGTGCAAAGCAATGGCGGAATGGTAATGCAGAAAGCGGTGGTGCTGTGTGAAAGCGGAGGTGAGGGTGGCGAGCGGATACGGCGTGAAAGAGAGAGACGAGGAACATCAGCACTCTGTGGCAAATGTTGATGAGGGGTCGAGCCGGGATGGTCAGTCCTCCTCATCTGGTCGTTGCGACTGTCCCCAATCATAGAAACAATGGCTGAGCAGGAGGACAGGGAAAGCACAGCATGGTCTTCCCACGCCGCTATCCCAATTGGTTTCCAGCGACACCGTTTTGCAACTGGCGGGGGCACAGCGAGGAGACGTCTACTATCAGATGTATTTAGCGGCAAAGGAAAGGAAGCTGGACAGAGGAAACAAAAGGAGCAAGACCAACGAAACGGTTCTAGTTTACATATGTACAACGATTGGAGTTGGAGGGAAGTGAGGCAACTTGCAATCAACCATGGCTCGTGGTGGCTCAGGGAGCCGCAAGAGATGCTGTGGCAGCGACTACTGACGACGACAGCTCGCCACAGTCGGCTAATGGGGACGATCGAAGACTGAGGTCCTTCATGAGCGATTGGCTATATCAAACATCGAGCAAGCACAGAGCGGCAGCGAGCTTGATGTGCGGCGTGCTATGCATCGGAGCCGGTATTGCCACTCGACGACCTGCCTGCACGGGCTCATGTGCTGCTGAGACTGACGTCCCAGCTGTTGCGCTTCTGCTTCACGGGAGGAGGGCTATTCACGCCGTTGAGACTTGTGCTTCGCTGCAGGGCGAGACTGCTTTCGCCAAGCCCAACGGAAGCCAAGTCGAAGAATTTGCCATCAGCATCGGACTGACAGTTCTGGTCAGGCACATTGGTATCGGAGGGTCCGGGCTCGGTGTCGGAGGGGATCAGTGACGATGAGCTTCCTTGACGGTAGTCCTGCATCCATGGCTGCTCGTTCTGGTGCTCCGAGAACTCGCCACTGGTAGCGATGGGCTCGGACACGATCGGGATAATCAATTGCGGGGTCGTGGCATCGAGCTGCGGGAGCTGGCCATCGAACTCTAGCTCTTGTAAGGGATTGTGCAGCAGAGTTGGAGACAAGCCGGACGACAGAGGCACTTCGAGCGGCGCGGTAGGTACCGGGTCGGGATGGCTGCCCTGGCTGGGGGCGCTCTGGGGCTCGGTGTTGACGCAGTTGGTGTAGTCAACAACCTCGGTAGCGACATGGGTAAGGATAAGATCAATCAGGATGAAGATGAGCTGCTTGTTGATTTGCTTGTACTGCAGCATCTCGATCAGCTCACGCAGGCGCTCGTTAATGAGCGCAGGGCCCAGGACGCGGACAATCAGCGCTGTCGGAACCAATGGTCGCATCCGGCAAAGCCGAGCCAAGATGGTCGCAGACGGGGGCAAAGGCAAATGTGTGAGCATGGGTTTGCACGGGAGCTACAGTGGGGCCGGGTGAACTCACGCACTCAGCATTCGGATCTAATTCGCATATGGACGACCCCTGCATGGACAGTTGATCCCAGCTGTTTCCAGTTGGCCCAAGGCAGCAAGGCCTCGATAATGCTTACGCGGAAACAATCGATCAAATGCAAACTCGGTCAGCTGCCGTTTGGTTTGGAGCTTCTCAGCTGCACTTCGAGGCGGTAGCGAGTTGGCCCAGATCCCATTCGGCCACAAGCACTCGCGCGTAAGTCGGAAGTACTCTGCGATCGTGTTTTCGGAGACCAGGAAATATATGCCTTCGATGATTGCCCTGGGTGAGATTGATGCAGACGGGGACGTGCACGGGATCAGTCGACTGGCAACAGGGGTCGATGAATCTTGGCTCTCGGCTCTCGGCCAGGGCAGGCATTCCATAAGTCAACGAACCATGGCCGGGTTGCATGCTGTTGCGATCCCGCCAAATTTGACAGTGCATGCGCACTTGTCGACAACCATTCGCAGCACACCTTGGGATCACCCCCCCCCACTCCATGACTCACCGATTCATGGCCGGTCTCAGCAGCACGTTGACAACAGGATCAAGGTATCCCATGAGCCTGAGCAGCGTGCTCTCGTCTCCGCCCAAGATCACCTCTCGCAGCATGTTGAGTGTCGGCTTCTCGAGCTGCTCGCCGGTGTAGCGAGTGACGTTGATTGGACCCAGCTGGCATGGGCCGAAAGAGGCGTTGTTGTAAAGGTTCCAAACGGCTTTGGCGGCGTTCAGGACCGCCATGAGGGTGCTTTTGTTCGATTCGACGGTGTCGTTGTGTGGAGGCTCCGGCGTCGGATCTAGTATGAGCGGCGGGCCGCCTTGCTGCTCGACCTCGTTGCCTTCATCGTCGGAATCTAAATCGGCTGCGTCCTCGGATTCCGGCAGGATGCCCATGAGCGGATCCACCGATGGAATCAGGTAGGGAAGGGGCTCGTGGTCGGATGCCGAGCCCAAATAACTCTCGACTTCGGAGTTGTCCTCTTCGGTGGTGGTGGGGTGGTAGGTCGCCTGGGTGTCAGAGTGCGATCCGTTCGTGTGGGGGTATCCAGAAAACCGCCTGCCAAAGGAGGGGGCCATCAGGAAGCTTTCATTCGGGAGAGGCATTACGCTGAGGACCGGTGGAGTCGATCCCGTGTTGCTGCCGCGCTCGTCGATCCTGCTGGCCGATCGCTTCATGGAGCCCGTGGACACACGCCGACGACCCAGGCCGCGAGGGGCACGGCGCTTGGGTTTCTTGGTGCCCACGTCGTCGAGCAGACTCCCAAACCGGTTGTACTCTGCGGCGGCAGCCTTCTTGTCTCGCTTGGAGCCGGTTTTGCCTCCTCCATCGACAATGTTTTTGATTTTGTCGAAGCCCATGCTCATCCGCTCGAGTCCGCCCACGGTCATCTTCTGGAGACCCGAGGCCGTCATCTTTTGCAGGCCCGAGACGATGGTGTGGGTAAAAGTCCGCTCCATGTTTATGTGGTCGCGCTCCTCTTGCATCGCTCGAGCTTTGGACGACACCGGGCCTTTACGCGGAAAGATCTGGCGTCCGTCGAAGCGCCGGTTGCGGCGGATGAAGGGTGTGCGATCGGGCTTCTTTCGGCTCTCGGACTGTCTTCTTGTCCCGAGCATAGTCATGCTCGGCACTACGGCATCCGACTCCGACCCGGACTCGGAGTCAGGCCCGCTCTCACCGTGCGAGCTCTCCCCGGCGGTAAAATACGGGGTGTTGCTGCTGTAAAACGAAGCCTGGTCGTTTGATAGGTCGTGTGAGGATATGAGAATTGGCGGCGCCACGAGGTCGGGTTCGTTGGCATCTTGGCGCTCCAGATGCTGCAGGCCCTGTAGAAATAACGAGCCAGTTGTTGAGCCAAGAGCGAGCGAGCGAACACTGATGCCTGCAAGGATGCTGACGACGACATGGCTGTAGCCACGGGCACGGCGATGGCAATAGGAGCATCGGGATGGAGCGAATGGCGGTGCTGCATCTGCATCGACATTCATGGGACTCTGGCCCGCTCTCGACGCCACCACACCACACCACACCATATCACACCGCACCACACCATACCATCAGAATCAGCTGGTTGAGATAGTCCGGCTCGGCAATGGTGTCGATTGCCGTGCCGATGACCGTGACCGAGAGAATCTCGCGCACGAGAATGCGGAGACAGTCGCTCTTGAACTCGTCCTTGGGCAGGAGCAGCTCCAGCAGCGTCTCGACCACCTTGCGGAGGTATTCGGCCTCGGCTGACGGAGACGTAAACGCAAAGTGGGGCTGGCTCCCGAAAAAGAGCTCCTCCATCGACTTACCGCCGCCGTAGGCGGTGCCCAGCTTCTCCTTACACTGGCGGTAATCGTGGACATGGCGACGAATGACCTCGGGCAGGTCCCGACAGACGAGCAGCACAAAGTCGACGGAAGCCAGCCGCGTCTCGGCCTGTTTGACAGCAAAGGCGATGGAGTCGAGGAGCTGCTGAAGAAACTCCTGGTCCTTCGAGATGGACGAGTACCAGGACTGCACAAAATCGCGCAGGATGAGGTGAAGGAGCTTGTCGATTTGGCCGTCAACCACGGGCGAGGACGAATACCGCTGCGGCTTAGGCTTTGTGGGTGTGTTTTGGACCATGCAGCTGCGATTCATACGGCGATGGTGCGGGTGGGAGAGACTAGAGACAGATGGGGCGGCAGCGAACAGCCATAATCCTGCCCATCGACTTCCGCTGCAGGACCGGAGACCAGGGAAAACGGACAGGCCAGGGCAAGCCAAGGCCGAGGCGGACGGGCTGGCGATGGGCGAAAAGAGGGCAGCACGGACACTGTTTGCGGATCGAGCCAATCGCAGCCGGGAGACTGTGATTGGAGGTGTCCGAGATGGGCCGCGTGAGCGTGGGAGAGAAGAAACCGGTGCAAAATACAGTGGGTGGCTGCCAACCGACCGTCAATGCGACATGTGTATTTTCCAAAAAGCAACCCGAAAGCACAAGCACTGCCCTCCGTTTCGTTCTGCAATACAGATCGTCCCGGACACGATCCCGCGCCAGTGGCCAACAAGTCTTTGGACACCCCGGCTACCAGAGAGCGCATCGCTGCTGCAACGGGGGCGGAATCAAGCCTTCTCTCGCCTTGCACGTTTGGACTGCTTTGACAAATCCGTCGTCGGAGGGGACACTCGCGGGACTGTCGGTGGTCCGGACAGCGACCGGGTTCGCAGGCGTTTTGATTCTGGCGGGTTCCTGCATGGGCTGGATGGGTCAGTGTTCGTCCGAACAAAGAGGGCATGGCCGGATCACTCTGCCGGACGGGATGTGTGCAATCGACAGAAGCAGACTCTCGGGTGCGCGAACCAAAAGCATACTTTGTGCTCGATGAAGCCTGGGTATCGCTGGAAGGCATGCCAGCGGCGGTATCGTCGGCAGATTGAGCCACCGGCCCGGCCGCCTGACCTGGACTGCTGATCGGGGCGACGGGAATGTGTCCCTCGACAACAGGGTACTCGCCCATAGGCGGGATGGGCCCCCAGGCAAACGGAGCGGCTCCGGTCGGGGACGTCGTGAACACCACTTGGCCCGGAATCTCGCCTCCTTGAGCCACCCAGTACTCCGGGTAGTAAGCGGGTGCGGGTGAATGGACAACAGCGCCTGGAGGCATTGGGTATCCTGATGCAGCATTTGGGGGAGCAGAGAGAGCCTGCCCTCAGATCCAGCCAACGCCGCAAAGCAAGTACAGCCGTTAGTTGGAGAACAAGCAATCTGGGGGTTTGGGACAATGTGCCGGGGGTTTTGTTCAGGAGACCCATCGCACGGATCTTGCCTCTCGTCTGCCATCGCTCAGTCGGTCTTACGTATTGGTGCAAATGTCCGTGTGGGTCGGCTGCAACGGGAAAGCCTGGTGATAGAACCGGAATCCGATCCATCCCCGCCATGGCTCCGTCATGCTGGGGCATCCCAGCAACGACAGTGCCAGGCCGACCCCTGTCTGGATTGGAGGATGTTGGCGACAGGTTGATGGGCATTGGATGCATCTGCAACGTCGACAGAGTGTTTCAGCTCACGCAGCCGTGGGCAGCACAGATGCATAGGCCAATGAACAGGACAACAGCGGTCCACTTACGGACGGAACAAAGTATGGAATCATCGTAGGATCGTGGCCTGGTGGATAGCCCTATGGAATGAACAGCAACGCAAGCATCAGCAGCCACTAATCGTCCTTTGTGGATGAGAGAGGACTGGTCGAATGAGCAGCCTTTGACCAACGAGCTGGCACAAGAGCACACTGAGGGAGTACGCCAACATTCACCAAAGCTTCCCAACGAGGCTCTGCCGCTAAGGCCCAGTTCCCTTACCACCATCGGGGCCATCATGATCGGTGGCTGGGCTGCCAAATTGGCTGGGAAGGTTGATGTCGGAACGATGGGCTGGGGCGGCAGAGACGGCTGCCTGGGGGGCTCGGTGCCCTTTGCGGTCTTGGGTCGGGCCTGCTGGCCAAATCCTGTCTTGGGCTGGGTCGGCTTTGATGACTTTGCTCCAGATGGTGTACCTGAAGGGTATGCGGCCTGGGTCTCGGACAGCGACACAATTGGCCCGTGCTCAGTCAGGTCGGCAGCTCCAGCATCAAAGTTTTCATCGTCGTCATCTTCTTTGACTTCGTTATTCTCTAGATTCTCGAACTGAGAGGCAGGGGTCAGGATCACGCCAAAGCAACGGCATCGCAGAAATCCATCGGCCCAAGAAAGCCCGACCAGCCTTTCGAGCGATGCTAGCACCGAATGGACTGGAATGTGGACGGCGACTTACATCGGCGTTTGTGCGGCATTCGTGCGGCTCCTTGAACTGATCCAGCAGAGCAGAGTCGTCAGTCCACAGCAAGCAGCGATATCGGCACCGAAAGCATCCAAATCACAGCCAAGCTGATGGACTCAAGACCCGACAGGAACAGCATACCTCTGTGTATCTCAGCAGAACTCGGTCCATGTCGCTGCTGGTGTACTGGACGAGTTTGTTGTTGTGGCTAAAGATGATCAGGCCGATCTCGCAGCCGCACAGCACACTCAGCTCGTATGCCTTCTTGATCAGGCCATATTTTCTCTTCACGAACGTAACCTTGTTTCGTGAGCCCGATGGCGAGGGTAATTGCAAAAGCGGAATAATACGAGTGAATAGTCGAGTCCAGCGCAACGAGCCGCATCTCACGCCCGCTGGTTGGGAAACGGTGGTTTGTCTGAGTCGTGAGATATCCTGAAAGTCTCGGCGGCATACCTGCCGATTACGCTCGTCCGTGATCTGCTGGATGCGAATCTTTTTTCGTCCCATTTATCAGAAATCCGGCTAGATATGAAAGGTATTTGCTCGTTGCTGCTGGCGGCAAGGTTGTTCGGGCGGATACGTGATGCGAGTGCTTGGGGCTTGGGCTTGGCGACGTCGGGGCACTGGAGATGTGAGAGCCGCAGCGAAGCGCTGTTGCAGATCCATCAAGAAATGATGTTTTCAATAAGACAAGTTGCTCCGGGTACCCTCCCACAAGGAGGACGGGGGGGGTGGAGCATTTACCACTGGACTCTTTGGTCGCAGCAACGGCCACAACGATAGCAGCACCCTTCCTCGCACTTTCACACGGCAGCCGCATACCCAGACCGATACTGAGCGACGGGCTTGCTACTGGATGATGAAACGGAAGCAGCGAGTATCTATTTTAGGAAGACGGCAGGCAGCCGGTGAGCTTGCTTCCGGGAACGACAGGCGACGAGGCAACGGGCCGACCCTTACCGAGGCCGTGAAGTGGCTTTGTGCGGGGGAGGGCAGTCGGCGCTGTCTACTTTCTGCCGAGAGATTCGAGTGGAGATGCGCTTCGAGAGACCGATTCTATTTCGGTGTAAACAGCCGAGGCAAGTGCGGTGGACTGCTGGCGCTGGTTCTTCGTGTGCAAAGTACTGATCAGGGGGCCGGGGCACTGCGTGCATTGTTATGGCCAAAGATGCACTGCAGTGTAGAAAGCTGCGATCGGCAAGGATTGGATCCAATTGGGGCGAGTTGCAGCGAACTGATTTTAAAACGGGACACCTTCACACGCAGATGGCTTGTGGATCGGTTGGTGTTGATCGACCTGGCTGGACGGCTTTGATCGGTACCCAAACCAGCGATATCGCTCTTTGCCCTGCGTCTTTCCTCATCCCAGGTATATCTTCTCGCTCTGCCTCGCAGTGACTGCATCTGCAGCGGCTCGCTGGTCCCCGTCGTGCCCACTCACTCCATGCATCTCCCTCACACAGGGAAACGATTTGACCCACTTGATCGAGTGTGTGATATGATTCGGCTACGCCGTGTTTGTCCGAGTGAGACGATGTGTCCCATTATTACTTCAACATGATGTATTACTGGTTGTCTTGCAGCGGATCCGGCAGCCAAGGCACAGCGGTTCCATGAAAGACAGCAGATGTTGGACGGAGTGAATCTACTACTGGCTGCCACCCCGTCCGCCGGATAAGAGTCGATACATTGCCCATATCGTCTCGTTGGCGGGGGGAAGCACTCGCAAAGGGTGTCTCTACGACACAGCGCCACAACATGCGATCGGAGAGTGCAGTGCCCCGTGATGTCGCTGTTGCGCTCGTCTTGGATTGAGCGCACTGCCGTTCGGCGAGATGCCTTCGCTGCCGCCTCAACCGCTCTGCAAGCGACGCTGCAACATGATGGAGAATCGCCAGGACCCGCAGGCAACGAGCGGGCTCCGCCCAATAACGCCGTCGCTCCAGAAGCTGCTCGACAGCGATAAGGTGTGTTGGCTTTACCTGTCGCGAGTTTCTTCCCGAACCTCCTCGCGAACCTGCATCGTGGCTCTAACTGCCACGAATTTCTCGGCCTGCAGATCAGCGTGAGGATTCAGAACGAGCTGTATCTTCGCAGCCATCCCGAGATCGCCAACATCCTCAACTACTTTGTCAACCAGGCACTCAAGAGGCAGCCGACCAACATTCCCGCGTTCGCCGCAGGTGGGAGATGCAGCCAGACGCTGAGACTGCATGCCGAAGCAGCACGGCGGCCGACCGTTCGTGCACTCATAGTCCTGGCTAACGGACGCTCACCCTCTCGGCCCATACTCTCAGAGCTGCTCGGCGACCCGCAACTGGAGGAGAAAGTGACGCGTTATGCACAAGATGCAGAAGAGTTTCAGAAGACCGTCGGCGGCCTGACATGAGTGCTTCCTCCCAAGTATCAAGATGTTTGGAGCGCAGGACGTGTGAGCAGCGCGGCGGCCGTGTATCCGCAGCCCCCGGCGATAGCGACTTGGTGGTGGGAAGCTGAACATGGATTCAAATACTGCACGGCGTTGCAACCACCAAAGGCCCCAATCGGAGTGGGAAAGGGTTTCTTCATATATTGGATATTGACAGCGATCCGATCGAGCGTGCATTCGATTGCATCTAGGCTTGGTAGAGCGAGGAAGTTCAAAAGTACAGCATAATGGCCAGGAACACGACGGCGACGAGACGCCAGTAACGAAGCAAAAGGGAAAGGGGCAGGCAAGAAGGCCTGTCTCCACCCGCAAGTTGGGGGGGGGATCAGCAGAGATAGGCGAGAGTAATAGCGGGCGAAGCATGACAGCATATCGACAGGCTCATTTGGCTTCATTCAAATATATCCGCTGGTTGGCATCTCGAACACGGTCTCGGAGAGGTTCTGCCAGCCCTCGGTCAGCTGCTGGGCGCTGCGGATCGAGAACGTCACATAGCTCTGGTAGATCCTGGACAGATGCGCCTTTTGTTGATGGAAGAATCGGAGCTCCTGCCACAGCGACCATCTGTAAAAGTCGAGTTTTCGAAGCTGTGTGGCGAGCTCCTGGTCATCCTGTGGAGCAAGTGCGATGAACAGGCGCATGGTGAGCGAATGCAGGAAGCACGACCAAGTGAGTAGCGGAGAGCGAAGGGGCCCAGTACGCCTGCCGGCTCGTCGGTGACTTCATCGCGCAATGCCCTATTGGAATAGGTAAGATCCAAGGATTGCTGCATGGACACGCCGCGGCGTGCCGCCAGAGCATGCGTGTGCGGACCTGATTGATGAGCTTGACCAGGCGTTCAATCTCCTTTGAGTTTCCTTTCGACTGAGCGTCGGACAGCCGGGCGTGCGTTGCGGCAATCTTGTTCTTGAGACTCTCAATCGAGATGGTCGCAAACACTTTGTCGCGGCGATCCAAGAGCTCCTGGTGACAGAAAAAACGCCAAGAGTGAGTCGGTGAGGGTTTCGGTGAGGGTTTCGGTGAGGGTTTCGGTGACTGGCGACTCTGGTCATCAGTGTCGCTGCGCGAGCGTATTTTGTCACCGGAAGTCGAGCTTACCACCAGTGAGACCAGCAAGTCACGGTAGGTCTTCAGTCCTTCGATGATCGACTCGTGACCATCGTGTGCCTGGAATTCGTGCGGGCCGATTGGTGTTCGTGTAGAGAGAGTCAGCGTTCATGCTGATCAGCATCACACAACAATGCGCGCTCTAGGGATTGCAGCGAAGGTGTTGCCTACCAGCTCGTTGTACGTGCGCGCGATACGCTGGAACCCGTTCGACAAGTCATGGAAGCCCAGGTTCAGCTTGGCACACGACTGGCACTCCTTTTCGATGCAGAGATGCTTTTCGGGTATGGGGCTGCGTGGGGGGGGGATAGGATGGGGTGGATGGGGTGGAGTGGGATCAGGGCTCTGGGCTGGAGGTCTGTCCTCTCCATAGTCAGTGTCGCCGACACAGCGATGATCGTGCGTCGTACCTCAAAACTGTGGAATATCGAAGGAGATCGCTGGACGAGGCTAGAGAAGGAGGGATTAGTTAGCGTCAGCTCTTGGAGATCCATTTCGTCTGTCTCCGCGAGATCGTTCCACCGGAATCAAAGGAATCAATGGATCAATGAGCGTGTGAATCCACATCATTTTACCTTCGGCACGCTTCGAGAATCGCTCGATCGAAACCGCCATGTTCTGGTATGCATGTATCGATGGCACGAGATCGCCACGGATCACAGTCAAGCGCTCGTCGAGATCGGCAGGCACCTCAACCAAGCGGTCTTGGACGCCGGTGTCTCCCAGGAACTCTTCATTCAGCAACACTTGAGTGGCTTTGCGATGCTGTGTAAAGTCCTACGAATGATAGCAGCCAAAGTCGAGAGCCAAAGAGTGAGCACGGCATGCTCGAATGCTCGAATGCTCGAATGCTCGAATGCTCGAATGCTCGAATGCTCGAATGCTCGAATGCTCGAATGCTCGAATGCTCGAATGCTCGAATGCTCGAATGCTCGAATGCTCGAATGCACATCCGCACCTTGGATTGGAGGAACTCGACGACCTCGCTGTCGGCATGCAAGACAGGGTGGTTGACAATAAAGTTGATGAAGCGCAAGAGTCCACGGCGTCGCTTCTCCAAGAACACGGGATCAGACTGGCCTGTGAGACAGATGATCGGGGACATGGATGAGATGCAAAGGCTGACGCACAGTGTGTCTGATGTGTATGGTGCGATGGCGGCCAATCGCACGCCTTTGCGGAGCCAGCAGCCAAACCATGACTGGGCTGCTGTGGAATACGGCATCGTAGAGCTCACCACCAACTGCCTTGGGAGGAAGCTGTTTTGTTCGTTGATGGGAGAGATAGTCTTGAGTTAGGGATATACCTCTGGAGGCAGAACCTCAAGCGTATGGATATAAAACATGCAACTTACGGTGGGCACTGTGTCCCCATTTCAGACCAAACGGCGATAGAAAGGGGTCATGCATAAGTATGCTGCAGCCAAGTCAGGCGCATGGACGTGGCCGCCCACATGCAAGGGCGCATCGGCCGAAAGATTTGTGCATCCACAGACAGCCGACAGGCAGACATGTCCAGAGATGGCATCGCCGGTGGCGCTGCAGGAAAGACTTACATAACCGCGACGGATACCGCTTGTAGAGAATCGTCGACAGCCACGCGAAATCCGAGTAGCGACGAGTGATCAGGTTGTGGGAGGTCTGTATCGTCGGAATTCAAGCCAATGCTGTGTGAGGGGCGGGGAGAAGCAGCTGGGGAGAGGACAATGCGACGGCTCCGCACTTGGAGGGCATGCGCCCAATGGCGACGGACAGCGACGGAGAGCGACGGACAACAGCATTGCGCCATGTGCCCCATGGCAGCAGCAACAGCAGCCCTTCGGGCATATACAGACAGACGATCGCTCATCACTGCGTTTGCATGCAACGTATGCCGCAATCCTGCAGGGATCAGCCAAGAGCCCACCTGCGACTCGAGAAGGTAGTTGACATGCTTGAAAATCACGCCACCCTTGACCGGGGCGATCTTGACCTGGGTCGGCCACGGCAGGATCGACAATGCGCCACCACAAGTCCGAATTAGAAACGGCGGATGAGGTTGCCGGCCAAGCCATCCTCGCCCACCACAGAATCGCCGGCCTGCGGAGCTGCTTACGCTGATATTTTCGACGTTGAGATACCACTGGAAGTCCGAGAGAGCGCTGGAGGAGCGGCTCATCGACGACCGCAGCGACTTGACCGTTGGATTGGGCAGGACATCGACAAGCCCCTCCTCCGCCGCCGCAGGAGGAGCAGAGGCACTGGGGCGGATGCCCAGAGCGTCCTGCATGGAGGGCACAGGACGACTCCATGGATCCTCGTCCTCCAGAGCCGAAGGGACGACCGGGTGCGGATAGGTGTGGGTGGCAGAGGCTTGGAGGATCGACAGGCTACTCGAGTTGGACGACCCCCTGGTGCTGCCGAGATGCGGACCAGAGGAGCTCAGGCGCGGCGAATTGTATCCAGACATGATGGAGGACGGCGACAGGACAGGATTGGATAGGATGCTCTGATGGAAGCTGGACTCGACCTCTGTGTGGATGCGGCGGGGTCGTCAGGGCGCATTGGTCGAGGCTGAGCGGACCGACCTCATTGGGGCGGGACCACCACACCCTAAGGCGGCCCAATCCAGGACGGACCGCTGGACTCCGAGGACGACGGTGGCCGGCGGGCTTTACGATGGAGATCCTATCCAATGCACCCGCACGCTGCTGGGCGGCCAAGCGAACCCACCGTCGAGGTCAGCGCCAGCCTCCCAGGGATTGACGTGCGTAATAGCGTATGAGGTCCGGGCAAGTGGGGGATGGGCAGGGGCTTCGAGAGCGGACGAGACGGCAGCGTCGTCGGCGGGGACACTGCTTTCGTGGCTGTTGCTGTGGGTCTCCATCGCAGCTGAGCAACCGATCTGGGCAGGGCCGGGGATGAGGCGTGGGCCGTGGACGAGCAGAGAGATTCGACCAGGGAGATGGTGGAAGAGCAGCCGGGGAGGATCGAACGCTGGTTTTGCCATCCAAGGACGAGCGCGGCTGGTTCGGGGCCCTCTCTGTCTCGGCGAGAGCGGGCGAGAAGCAACAGCCCGGCGCTCCCACGGCCCATGACGATGCTGTCGATGGCTTCTCCGAGGCACGGCTTCTCTGAGGGACAGCGAGCAAGTGCAGTCGGTATTGGGCAGGACGTATCTGCAAGCACTGGCTTTTGGGGGATGCGTGGATGGAGCATCGAGATCGGCCTGTTACAGCTCATCGGAGCATCGCTTGACTTGCGAACGGATTGCCCGAGCAGTGAATGGTGCTCTTGGATACTGAATATGGAGGTAACATTCCTCAGGCTATGAGCGAGGGCGTAACATCGCAACACGGCGGTGCGAAAGCCGAGTGTGTGGCGAATGGTCATGGCCAGGGTGCGACGGTATTTTGTAACAAAATATTTGATCAATGGTCAAAAACCAGAGTGTCCCATTTTCATGTGCTTGCTGTATTCAGAAGCCAGGGAATACGGTCGTTGCTGGCCATATCGACATGGTGTCCCGCTTCACACTGCACAGATAGAAAGCAGGCGCAGTATAATTCGTCGTCGAGGTAGTGCGCTCAAATATGTGTGCGTGGAGCCAGCGACGGTCCAAAGGTGCAATCAGCCGCGGCAGCACATGCTTCCTGGCAATCAGGAGCCCCCGGAGGCACCCTCCTTCGGCTCCTTATTTTTGCCCATGAGCTTGTTGAGGAAGCTGGCCTTGCTCGGCGACGCTGTGCCGGCCGGGTTGGAGAGGCTTCGGACCGAGTTCTTTGGGCTCTGTCCGGGCGACTGGGAGTCGTCGTTCGAGAGCGAGACCACAGATGTGTTGGTGATCACCACGGACGATTGGCTGGCGTTGAGTGCGCTCTTTTGCAGGAACGACGACAGTGTTCGTCGCCTTGGTCCTTTCTTCGCGCCTGGCGAGCCCATGTCAACGACCCCGGTCATGATCCGGATGATGGAGCCAATGACATTCTCCTCGATCGCCTTGAGCTCTGCTGCCTCTTTGCTGTAGTCTGAGCAGTCCAATAGCGTTGGTGTGTACCGGAGCGAAAAATGTTGAGCAAAGCGGTCTACGTCGATTCTGGCCCGTCGATCCAATCCATCGATCCGATTCATCGATCCGATTCATCGACTCTGACCAAGCAGTACGATCGATGGGTGCGTGGGTGCATTGCAGGAACAGGCAACACTGGCCAGCGTCCGGTACTCACCCATGAGCGCCACGATCTCTTCGTGGGATAGCCCGACTCGTGCGCCCAGCTCCTCGGCAGTCTCGCCGGCATCGTTCACGATAGTTTTATCAGCACCAGACATGAGTAGGTATTTGACAATCATCTTCCGCTTCTGGCTCATCGCTTCATGGAGCGGAGTCCTGTGTCAGGCAGATCGGTTGCCGCCTGGGTTTAGCCGCATCAACGGTATCGCAAATCGGACAGATCGATGGGGGCCAATCGACTCGACGAAGCCGATGGAACTCGATGGATGCATCAGCACAGCATGTGATATCTTGATGACCCCCCTCCCTTCCCAGTTCGTCTCAGAGACTTCCCCTTGCATGCGGAGTACTCACCACCCGTTTTCGCCCTTTTGGTTAACATTGGCCTTGAGCTGCACCAGTCCGATGGCCACTTCCAGGACACCCATGCGTGCGCACAGGTGCAGCGGCGTCGAGCCTTTAAAGTCCTTCATCTCCACCGAGGCCCCGATTCGGATAAAGAGAACCATCATCTCCAAATCGCGCTGGACAAGGAGTGAGAAGCACGAGTTGGCCAGCATTTTTCCATCGATCCTATTGATGAGCAGCGCGTGGGAGTGAGGATCTGGGGACTCGGGCGGTCGCTGAGGTCTGTGGGAATGTGCCAGGCCTGGCCAGCACTGTTGCCAATCGCTTACCTTGACAGAATCGTTCGAACCACTTCAATATGCCCACATGCTGCCGCAAGCTCAACCGGCAAGATCTTGGCGTCCTTCCAGGCTGGATTGTCATCCACAGCGTCGACCTTGGGCTGGCTTGAGCCCCACTGCCTGATGGTCGAGAAAATGTTCTGCTTGCTCTGGACGGCCTTGGATTTGTCGCTTTTCAGCTTCTGGAGGAGCGTATACTCCCTCAGTGGGAGGCCGGCGGTGATGTCGGCATTGTGCTCTATCAGCACCTGGACCACGCCAATGTTGCCCTTGCAGCAGGCAACATGCAAGGGCGTGAGATTGTACCATCCGACGCTCGGATTGCACCTCTGGCACCCGCAGAGATAGAGACAGAGACAGAGACAGAGACAGAGACAGAGACAGAGACAGAGAGGTCAGAGTGGATTCAGTAGCAACTCCGCGGCCGCACGTCCGTGACCGCACATCGGTAACCGCACACCCGTGCAGTAACCGAGGGCTTTCCTTGCCGGAGACCCACCTTGATCATCGTGCGGACCACGTTGTCGAGGCCAAGAGCCACCGCAACCACAAAGTACGACGGGAATATAAACCTCGGATTCCTCGACTCCATCGCTGGTGCGTTGACGTTCACCGGAAAGCCCTTCTCGAGCATCATCATGCAGACAGGCTCCATGCAGTTCACCATCGCCATCACGAAGATCTTTCGGGACTCTTCGGGTCGCTTCTTCTTCAAGGTTGCTGCGGAGAGGTCCTCGATCAAGGAGCACGCCAGAGAGGTCTTCAAATCTCGGATCGCCAGAAAGAGGAGGTGGAAGATCCCTGGAAGAACATGGCCACCCATGGCAAACCGTCAAACGCTGGACTCGGCAATAGTACACATGGCAGTGGCTCGAGGGCACATCGCCGGCACTCGCATGCAGCGCCGATGCTGTGAAGGACAGCGCTGCACACACACGGCGGTAACGAAAGCAGCCGCCGTACCTGCTCGTGTCCTCTTCCTTCTTTTGCCTTTCATGATGAGGTTGTTGAGCTTGGTGAGTGCAGCGGGTTTCTTCTTCGGGGACGGAGCCTCGCCCTTGGGTGACTTTTCGATAGGCGATGTAGCCGCAGAACTCGCTGTTGCATAGCCAGAAAACAATGCGATTAGACCAACGGAGGCTCGACTTTGACTTTCAGCTGTTACAGTGCGGCAGCAAAGCGTTGTGGAGACATCTCCCCAAGAAAGGTGACGTCCAGGATCCCCACGCGGCTTTCACCGATGCAACAACATGCGACCGTCTATAGTGCTAGCACGGATCCAGGCCATCGAGCGCATTTATGCCACATCCAGTGTTTCTATTCCCTCCACCACTGCCCAGCGCCTGATACCTCTGCTTGATCGCTTGGAGACCGCGGATTCGCGAGCAGACACTTGCAGCGATTGGTTCTCGGCATTGAGCTTGCGTATCATATAGAGGATCCGCCGGTGCTTTTTCGAGTTGGTGTCTGTCATGATAAACTCGCTGTAGGTCATAGATTTCGCCGAGAGACTGGCCGCAGGGCACTCGGCCATGTACGTGGCGCTTCCGCGATTGCCGATAGAGGTGGGGTATCCCGAGAAATGCTGGTCCGGAATCGGGGCGATGCCGCCCTTGCGGCGCGGCGGGATCGATGGGGAGTTTGGATAGGGGCTGCCCGGCATCCCATTGTTCGGGGTGCCGGCGTTGAGCATGGTGACGCTGCCGACCGAGATTGTGCCCGATTGCAGCATGATGTCTTGAAGAGCCAGCGCTGGCTTCTGTGTGCCGTCAGTTTTGGAGACCGGCGTCGACTGTGATCTCATTCTCAGGGCCGGGAGCATCCGTATGGCTTTGGGTTCTGCGGTCGCGGATGCTGTGGCGGCCGGGAGAGGCAGAGGCGACTTTGTGAACAACGGTGAGGCCGGCCCCGAGCTCCCGGTGGTTGACGACCGCGGCGAGGACAGCGAGTTTCGCTGCAGCTCCAGAGGGGCGACTTTTGTGTTTTTGGCTGGGAGTGTTCGAGTTGGTAGATATTACATATCGTGCGCGTTGTTGCGTGGGAGGAGGGAATGGCAAGAGTCCGACCGGATCATTGGTGGTAATTGAGTGCGCGGTGGATAGATTTGAAGGATGCAGAACCGCAGATAGCCGTTGGATTTCATCGATGTTGAAAGTAGTGATGGTTTGATTGTTCGAAGGTTGGTAGTTTGGTGGGTTGGTAGTTTGGTGGGTTGGTAGTTTGGTGGGTTGGTAATTCGGTGGGTTGGTAGTTTGGTGGTATCACCAAAGATAATTTGAGTGAGAACAGGCAAGAATCGACCCACACACCTCGAAAGCACTCAGCCAACAACATGCGCCTGCGCGACAGCGACTCGCTACAGTATGTCCGCTGAGCGAAAGAAGCCGGGACATCTGGCGGCGCATGCGCCAGACCAGTTTGCAAGCACCCCTCTGGACACGACAGATGACGGCAAGAGGCCTCGACGACTACTCCCTCTCCGACGCCGCTACACTCACACGTCATCGTGTGCAATCAATTCTGAATGATGCCGTTGCAGAGAAGCCATTGAGGTGGTGCCGTTGCAATGCGCGGGGAGCCCAGAGAGAATAGAGGTAGAGGAGAAATGAGCCATTGCAGCGCAGCAATATTAGACAAGCGACGCCCCGCCAAAAGCGACTCGAAGCCTATGCACCGATATCACGGTCGAGAAGCGTGTTACCACAAGAGAGATATGGCACCGACGTATCGCAACTGGGCGAGAGTGCGAGCTGGCGGCGGGGATTGTTGAGCGCCAGAGTTGGCAAGTTCGAAGTGGGCGTGGGGAAATATCCCCCACTGAATTGCAGGCGTAGGCTCGAAAGGGATACTGGGTTTGACCGTGCGAAGAGCTGTGCTTGCCGTTTGACTCTTCAGGCGCGGAGAGTGTGTGAGAACCCCAACGAAGCGGCAGCAACCTGGACGAACGGTCGAGTTTCTCACGAGTCTGGTGCTTTCGGCTGTGCTGAACCGCAGCTACGAATAAAGAAACACAAGGCGTCAGATGCCGAGGACCAAGGGTCTCCAACAGCAGCACCGAAAGGATAAGGAGAGCGATATTTGCATTCCAGCTCCGCTGGCGGCAGAGATGGAAGAAGGCGGGGCTCGAGGGTTCGTTGACGAGGCTCGGACGAGTATTGTAGCGGCCACAGTCTCGACAGAAACCAACCCTCGACTCGGCAGTCAATCAGCCAAACCATCGGAGAAGCGTATCATTCGCGGGTGTCGTTGCACCGGCTTTGCATTGCACTGCGTATACATCGATTGGCTGCACTCGGCCAGAGTCCGCGTGCAGTCCGTTCAGCACAGAGTCAACATCCAAGCACAGCCATTGCATCGCTCAAGAGCCACCGCAGAGACCCGCAATCAAGCCCCCGGGCCATTCATCTGCTGGCCAATACAATCGCTGGCCAGAGTCTGAGTATAATACGACGACTGCAGCACATCCCCAAGAGTCAATGTGTTGCGCGGAAAAGTAGACTCGGGCATGCGCCAACCGCATTGGGAGCGATGGAATTGCCGATTGCGACCATGTCACTGAAGCTGTAGTTCTTCGAATCGGATTAAATGGCGGCAGTAGCTGCATACCGGCCCAAATGCACAAGCTACATCCCGGCCTAAAAGCACAAGCAGCGCCCTTCACAGCGGGCTACTTGCTGCGGGCTTGCATTGCTCGTCGGAAACAGTTCATGTCGTGCAGGAGTGAGGCGAGGGAGGAGTCAAGGGCTGCATCAATGTCTCCTCCGAGCAGCTGACAGCTCGGTGCGGAAGCGTTCGGAGCCAAGTCCCCCTCTCCATGCGCATGCTGTTGAGCAGCCGATATCCACTGCTCGGTGGTGTTCAGTAGATCGAGCAGACTTGGCATCCAGTCAGGACGAATTCTGGCAAGATACAGCTTTTGCACCCGAGAGAGCTGGCCTTGCAGTTGGCCGAGATGGCAGATCCCAGGCGGCGACTGCAGCGCAAACTTTGTGGCAGCTTCCCATATGTGCTGCAGCCTCTCGCAAGCAATGTAGCACTCGAGAAATGGACACCCGGCGTCCGATGCATACTTTGCGTGGAGATCAACACAATACTCCAGCAGAAACACGGCGATATCGGCTGAATGGTGCGGGTAAATCTGTCGAAACCAACGGCTTAATCGCTCGAAGGGACTAGGGAATGAGTCTGCTTGGTGAGTCAGCAGTGACTCGATCAGCCGGCTGTCCCATAGCTGCATCGAATGGCAGTAAAATTGGCCGAGCGTGCGAGCAAGCTCGACGTTGACGGAGCGCTGCTGCTTCATGGACAGTATTGGACTGGATCCCAGATCTGAGTGCAGCCGAGAAAGCCGAGTCAAGTACTTTGCGGCGGCAATGAGGAGGATCGAGACCGATCCTTGTGTACGATGAATCGCAAGTGCAATCCGAGCCAGAACCTCACCCAGAAGGAGGCAAATGCTCTCGTTGGCGGACTCGAGCACACCCCAAAAGCCGAGCTCATGGCATCGAAGTAGCTCGGAGCCGAGCTCCTTTTCGATGTGATGCCGCAGATGGGTCGTGAGCTGCTCCATCATGTATGTTGTGGACATGGCCAAAAGCGATGCGTGTCGACGGAGGTCTGAAGTAGTCGGGTCGGTTTAGGAGTGACCCCGCGGTGAGGAGCAAGGGGAGAGCAGAGGCGGATATAGTGCGGATGGCGACAAAGTGCATCAAACAGGTACAGCGTGCGATTGAAGAGAAGGGATGCTCACCAGCCGAGCCAGGCGAGCCCTTGACAGACCCAGCGAGCAGCAACAGAGCCTTGACGGATCTGAGAAATGTCATCCGCGACAAGGCATCTTGATCGTGCATGCACACATCGGCCACTGATCGCATGGGAAGGGTGACGGAGCAGCAAGGAATCTGTTAGAGAGACTCTGGACAAACATGGACATGAGAACGGAATGTGGTGGTCGGCGTGGCTGATAGTCACATCGAGACTCGGCCAGCTTGGCCCTCTTGACGGCCGATTCGACCGCAGAGAGCTTTGGAGGCTTCTTGCGCTTTGAGGGGCGAGATTCGGAGCCGGCGGAATCAGGTGGGACTCTGCTCTGCCGCTCAAGCTGGAGCTCTGGTCAACCGACAAAGTCGATGAGGATCAGTATGTTCTTGAGAGCGAGAGACAGATCACCTTCTCGTGAGCAGCTACCAACCCAACTCGAGCTGGAATATCCTTTCCTCGAGCGCCCTGGAGGAAGCATTGCTGTTTGGAGACAGAACGGGCTCCGGCTGGGTGTGTGCTGTACCGCCAGCCTTCGAGTGGGTCTCCAAGGATGCTGAAAGACCAGGGTTGGAGTCGATCAAGAGCGGCGAGGCTGGGGAGCCTGCGCGGCGGATGCTGGGCGAGTCTGGAGTGACATGGTGCTGGCTATCAGCAACGACGGTCGGCGTGGGCGGATCGTCGCCGACGTCGTCAGCGAGTGCAGCCAGGAGGACGACAAGCTGGGTGTGGTCAAGAGCCGAGAGCGACGAGTCGGCCGATGGATCCATGATCGACACTGCGCGGGAGCGAGAGCGGGTATGATCAGAGCAGCGCGGATGGGAAGTTCGTTTGCCTTTCCAGATGACAGGCAGATCCAAGGCCTGTTTGACATGAAACGGGTTTGACCGACAGCAGCGATTACAGAGCGGTTACAGAGCGATTACAGAGCGGTTACAGAGCGGTTACAGAGCGGTTACAGAGCGAGTGCGGACCTGTCGTCCATGTTGATCATATCGACAGAATGCATCTCCAACTTGGCCATATCGACTGCGACATGGACTCGCCCCCAGACCTCTGATCTGTCTTTGTCGGCGCGAGCATGTGGTTGCCTTTCAGCCATGGCCCGCCGAGGCCCCAACGTCTTTGCTGCATCTTTGCTGCATCGTTGTCGTATCTTTGTTGCAGCCATGTCCACCGCCGGCATGAATGTCCTGGGTACATGTGGCTGAACACCGCCGTACCGATCCAAACCCAATCGCAAGTCCAACGGCGGACAACCATCGACGACACAACCAACGACGGCGCATCCAGCCCGCTGCGATCCCAATGCATTTCACCACACCGATATGTCCTCCGAGCGGCCCTCGCCCGCATCCGCTGCATCGCTCCCCCGGCACATCCCCAACTCCTGCCGTCCCCGCTTCCTTGCTCCGATGTGCCCCCACGTGGGCAGTCTTCGATTCGAAGGTCAACAAACGGCAGAGTTGCAGCTCTCGCATATGACCTTCTCCCACAAAGCCGCTCCGGCGGCCGGCCCCAGCCCATCCATTCACGATTTCCTCCGGCAGGGACGCCGAACGGGCTGCTCTACTCTGCTCGTTCACACTCGCCCACCCCCCGGTCCTGCTTCTAGTCGACGCTGGTTCGCTTCCTCCCACCCGTTAGGATCAGTGCCCCGCCGCGCCAACTGCAAACCAACGACACTTGCTGCCGTCCGAAGATCCGACAGAAGCCAATCACACTATCGCCCTCGCCGGTATGTGCTCGGTGCTGAGGTGGCCCGGAGAGCAAGACAGCCCACGGCCGAAGCCGGCGGGGTCGGAGAGGGGACCAAGGCTGCGAAAGTCACTGCCGCTGTAGTATCCGCTGCTTCGTCGTCGTCTGCCGCCGAGTCGACCTCGGCCGGGTCGGTTGCATGGCCACTGCAGCGGGGAATCTCAGCCAAACCCGACATCGTCTGCGGGCGCCGATCACTCGAACGGCACTTGATTCAGTCGGATCCTGGTTTCCCAGAACTGATACCCGATACCTGCCCTTTCACGCCGGCTCTGCATCTTCCCAGCGCCCGGAAAGCTTGTCCTCCAAGAAACGCCTTCCACCAACCCATTTCGCCGCCGTCCCTCGCCCCCGGTGGTGCACTACAGTCAGTTAGAATGGAAACCGCAAAGCCCGGCTCACCCACGAACAGTTCTCCACGGACCCTGGGCATCCCGGCCATCACCGTTCAAGACTCGCCGCTCCAAATAGCCCCGCCCATCTTTGTCTTTGCAGGTAGTGCTCGACAGCATTGCCTTCCATCGTGATGTGCAGCACGATCTTGCCGCGCCGGATTCTTCGTCGCCACGCATTATGCGATTCGTCGTGGTGCTAATCAGGCAAGCAACATTCCTCGCCCAGCATCAAGGATACACGTTGGATACATCAGCCGCATTACCCTGACAAACACATCGGCCTCCGCGGCCGTGGCATTCAAGTTCAAAACGAATGCGCCGACCCGGTACTCGGTCAAGCCTGTGTACGGCATCCTCGAGCCATCCAAGAGCATGGAGGTCTTGGGTGAGTCTGCACATGAAGCAGAAACGGGCCGTCTCCTGGCCATCCCGCCATCTGGCGCCGATAGTCCCGCTGCTGGCAACATTGTGGGCCGGTCGTATTGTATGCCGACGAGCCTGCAGCGTCTCGGTGGGATCCGGGCTGACCCTGCTCCACGCCGTGTGCCGCTAGTGCGCTGCGAATCGTCTCTTGAGAGTCAGGACCGCTTCCAGCTCCAGGTTGTCACGCTCCAGTCCGAAGAAACTGCCAGATTCGCATCAACAAGTGTATGTGAAGCTGTAGCTTGACAAGAGCTCGCACTGGGCTGCACGTCCGTCGGACTCTGTCGGTGTAGATCGCCCAGCACTCACGATTTCCAACTACCTCGCCCCCTTGATTCATTGTGGCATGATCACTCCTGTGGGGTCTCTTCTCGCTGGTGCCTGATATAGTGGAAGTCGGTCGCTGCGACACGCATCAAAGATCTACTGCTGGACTGTCGGCTCATGCAGAATACCACGCCGGGCCCGACCGTGGGGCGGAAGGCATCGCAGGAGCTCAAAGCCGAGAAGCCCTCGAATCCGACCATCAAATTTCACGGTAGGCACACCTATCGTCACCACTGTCCGTGGCGAGGTTACTGCCTCTGCAGATCTTGGCTGCAGCTTCGGTACCGCCACGGACTAGCACATGCCTGCCATCGGCAGCGGCAGCTCAACCATGGGGATATCATCATAACGCATTTATCAATCGCAATGGGTGATGTGATCGGTGCTGGCACAGATGCCCCGCCGCCTTACACACCACAGGGCACCAATTCTGCGCCAGCCATGATTCATTCGTCGCCGTACATGGGAGTACCTCAATCAAGCCCGGGCATTGCGTTGTACACCCCGACGCAGGAAAAGGCCGACCCTCCGATGCTCTCTGGCTGGAGACAGATCAGCATTTTCCAGCTCGTGCTCATCGCCATCCTGTGCATTGCCCTGGGGGTTGTTCTCGACTACAAGAGCGCTGCCGTGACGCTGGAACAGATGATGCGGTGGTAGCCGAGCGACTGGGCGTGGTGAACGACGATGGACGATGGTGAACCGGTGTGGAGCAGACTCAACCAGGAGTCCCCGCGCCTATGCTTCTCGTTCATGACTCGTTCTTTGCTCCTGTTTGCGGCGATTGGTCGTTCTGCTGCTCCCCCCCCCATTCTGTTTCCGACCTCCCTTTCTGATTGAGCCCTCAGTCTTTTGGATACTTGGGGGGCAGAGCTTGCCAGAGCCTGCGGCTGCCCGATCCCGAAGCTGTGAGACGCTTTTTGTAAACTAGATTCAATGCAACTCAATGCAATGCAAACCAGCTGACATGGCGCTGCGAGAATGACCGCTTGACATGAATCGACCGTGTCGACCCTTGGGGGAGTCCTGCGAGCATACGCTATCATCACAGAGGCAGAGTGTTGGCATCCGACGAAGAAAACCGCTCGGGCTCCAGAGCATCCGGCCCCAGTCGAAAGGTAGTGTCAGCAGGGTCGCAGGCTTGGCTGCCGATGCCATCGATCCGCGTGGCCGCCCTTGATCTGCCTCTCTGGCCTGATCTTGCTGGATCTTTCCAACCCAACCCAACTCAACCCAACCCAACCGGCCTGCTGCATCGATCGCCTCCGCCATCGACAACAACCACACACGATCGAGCTCGCCATCGACTTGGAGTGCCCAGGCAAACATGGCTGCTCCATACCGGCTGCTCCGGCCCACGGCGACCTGTCTTCAGCGATTCCCCAGCCGACCGCCGCTGCTCTTGCACTGTTCGCTTCTGCCACTCGCCTCTCTGGGTCGAGCCACCCAATCGTCATATCGACCCTATCCCTTGGCCGCCTCCCTGTCTCAGCCCTTCTCGTCGTCTGCGGTTTGTGCACACGCAGCATCTAATGCCAATGGCGATGCCGACGATGCAATTCCTGCTCGATGTCCTGGCTGCGGCGCCCGCTCGCAAACGGTCTCGCCCGACCGCCCGGGATACTACCAGCCGAAACTTGCCAAGGAGGCCAAAAAGACGACGCCGCCGCCATCGTCTGTCCACTCATTCGACACAGGATCGGGTCTCCCACGGATGCCAGAAGGCGCAATCACCATGGCCGAGGCCCGGCAGATCCTCCGGGCAATGCGGAAGCAGGGCAGCAAGAAGGTCTGTCGGCGATGCCATCACCTCAAGACCCGCAGCACAGGCGGCGATCCTGTCTATCCTGACCCGGCCACGCTGCTGGCCCCCGTCAAGACGAGTCCGTCGGGCCTCGTTTTGAATCTGATCGACATCATGAACATCCCCGGTTCATTTGTGAGCAATCTCCCGACCCTGGTGGGCCCCGACAAGAAGATCATTGTCGTAGGTGTTTGTGCGGGCTGGCTGGCATGACGACATTCGGGGTATGCGATGGCCTGCATGCTGACTATGACTGCTCCTGCGCCAGGTGGCCAACAAACTCGACTTGCTCCAACCACACTACTTCAACGACCGGCATCTTGTCCGGGAATGGCTGATCCGCGAGCTGCGCCAGCGCAACATCAAGTTTGACGATGTAGCCCTGATCAGCTCAGCCCGGAGCCAAGGCATCCAGGAACTGATGGAGGTGGTTGAGGAGCACCGATCGCCCAACGAAGACATCTTTGTCGTGGGGCTGACGAGCGTCGGCAAGACCCAGTTTGTGAATGCACTCCAGCAGATAGCCCACCCAAACACAATGGGGGCTGTGAGTGGAACCACATCGCTGCAGCCCGGAACGACAGTCGAGACGGTTTCTGTTCCGTTGTCGCAGCTCGAAAAGTGCTTCGAGGGAGCGGGCAGCCGCCTTGGGCCTCAGACGGGCTTGGGCGGCCATATCCACGACACCCCCGGTCTGCTCAAGCATGGCCAAGCGGCGCACATCCTGAATGAGCAGGAGATGAAGATGATCTCGATGCCAAAGCGAGTGAGCCCACAGCTATGCCCCCTCAACAAAGGCAGGTCTGTGTTTCTGGGTGGCCTCGCCCGTATCGAACTGGTGAGCCGATCTGTACATCAGCGCGATCTCAAGGTGCTTGCCTATGTCTCCAGCAAGCTGCGACCGCATCCTTGCCAAACGGCGAACGTGCCGCGGCTGCTCGAAGGGCACCTGGGCAGGAAACTCTTGTCGCCGCCGATCGGCGCCGATCGAGCCAGCCGACTCGGCGAGATGAAGCAGGTACTCGATATCGAGCACAAGTTTGTTTTCTCCAAGGGCGGTACAGTCGAGGATGAAAGTGCCAAGGCCAAAGGCTATCTCGAGCTCAGCTTTGCGGGGTTGGGATATGTAACGATCGAGAGCGACGTACCCAACGATGCAGTGCGGCTGATCGTATATGCCGTCGACGGGCTGCAGGTGGACCAGCGTTCGCCGATGCCCCGGCCAGGAATGTAGAGCGAGTTGTGGATGTTGTGGATGTTGTGGATGCTGGTTGTACATCACAAGCCAGGGACCAGTGTCTATTCAGCATCGAGCACGAACACGTTCATCTTCGCAACGATGCCGTCCAAGACAAACTCGGCTGGAGGCGGCAAGTGCAGAGGCGTCGATGGATCATGGATCATGGATCGATGGTCCGGATGTTCGATGCTCGGCAATGGGCAATCAAACTCCGAAAGAACGCGCCCATGCGGGGAGGGATGGCTGCACGTGCCCGCGTGTGTGCGTGCGTTCCCAAAATAGCCAGCGTGACTCACGCGTGCCCTTCTCGCCGAGAACAATCCTCGCTGCCGAGCCCCTCGCCGAGAAAGCGCCGGCTTCTCGCTTGTGTTCCATCATCCACGTCGGTCGTGGGCCTTCTCCTTCTGCATCGCAGAGCACCTCTGGGCTCCTCGGCCTGCTTCCTGCTTATTCCTGCAACTCCCGCCGACCGCCGCCGACCATGCGCACGAAATCAGCCGTCGCCCTGCTCGCCGTTGTCATCGTGGCCGTCCTGGGCCTCTCCATCATGTCGGCCGTCAGCCTGTCGCCCTCAAGCGAGACCGACGGCTCCTTCTTCGCCCAGCTCACGGACTCACCCGCCTCGGGATCGTACAAGAGCAAGTGGACGGGCCTCTTTTCGCTCGGTCAAAGTGCCGAGCGTGTGCCGATGGACCCGATTATGAGCAAGATGGGCAATGAGACACTAAAGTCGGTATAGCCGTCGCTGCTCTCGTCGGTGCTGGATGAGCCGCATCGAGCCTGGCCAGCCGTTGAGTCGGTCAGTCGGCCAGTCAGTCGGTCGGTCAGTCGGTCGGTCGGTCAGGGAGCTGTCGCTGACGGCAGTCACCGAGGCCAAATCCCGCTCGGCTGCAAGTGTTGGCGTGCCATTCTCCCACATGTTGAGCTATAGCTAACGGTCGATTCGCCCGGTTACAGAGCCGAGCTGGGACGATCGTCGTGGCGCCTGATCCACACCATGGTGGGCAAGTTCCCGGTCACTCCTACCGACGACGAGAAGGAATCGCTGCTGGACTTTATCTATCTATTCGCCAAGCTCTATCCCTGTGGCGACTGGTATGTGCTCCCTTGGCTGTAATCCATTTACGGATGCATCGACTGCAGTGTCGGCGGCTGCCTGGGCAATCATGCCTCTCCCGGGAACCACCGACACAGTGGATAGCACAATATTACCATCACGACCGAACTGCATTTGCACCGTCGATGAGGCCGCTTGCGATCCATCGCTGTAGACGAGTGGGAGCTCCTTGGGCCCGCTCGGTCATCTCACCAAACTTGACTCTGCTCCGCAACTCAGTGCCCGACACTTCCAGAAGATTCTCCGAGCCAACCCGCCTGATGTTTCCAGTCGCGATGCCGCTTCGCAATGGGCATGCAAGGTCCACAACTTGGTCAACAAGCGGCTGGGCAAGCCCCAGTTTGACTGCTCGACGGTTGCTGAGATCTGGAAATGCGGATGTGCTGAGGAAGACGGCGCAAACTCGACATCGACAGCGACATCGACATCGAACTCGATGTCAACTTCGTTACCAGCAGCGTCAGCGCACTCGACCACCCTGGTCCTCTGATACACCTCCTCAATCTACGTTCTCGTGAGCGAGCACATCCCTATGATGACCGACTCGGTCTGGCGTGCCACTCGCCTTGGATTCAGACCCGCGTGGCAGCAAAGTCAGCCATGGCGCTGCGCAGAACAGCAATTCTATTTCTTTGGCCTCTTGCTATCTCTCTGCCGCGACTTGTCAGCAACAGCACTGCAGCACGCACCCATCAGCCACCATCACTGCCGTTGTCGTTGTCGTTGTCGTTGTCGTTGTCTGTGGCACTGGTGTGATATTGCAGCACATGCGAGGTCGCTCTGCCTCGTCTCGCCCCTGCCGAAATACAGCGTGCCAGCGGCGATTTTGGTGCATCAATCGATCGGTCAGGAGTGACTGGCGCTGTCGTTTGCAATCAAGCTACTTGATCGGATGTGTGATTGACCGGAGGAGCTTCTGAATGGCTAGGTCGTTCTGGTGCAGCGGATGGGCTGTCCAGTCAGTGTGACTGCGAGGGGCATTGTCCCTTCGACGGGTGCTGACGACGGCAGTGCCATAAGCTGTGGAGCCGAGCCGAGAATGCGAGCAATCGGTCCAAAGCACACACCTGGATGATGACGACTTTGGAGTTGCGGATCTTTTCTTCGTACTCCTCGATCGATTGCTCCATCTCCTTCAGCTGAGTCTCAAAGGGCTCCAGCACCCCGGCGGTTTTGCTGAGCGCCGATACATCACAGAACCAAGCGGCAAACGAGTCGAATGTGAGAACGTCATTCGCTCTGGCGAAATCCGGCGAAATCCGGCCCCATCGGACTCGTATCTCTGTGGTTCAGAGGAGTGTATCGGCCCTGGAGTGTTCGGAAGGCACCGTCAGTAACGCCCTCACCTGAGCTCCTCGGCCAGCAACTCGCGATACTTGAGATTCTCCACTCGCCACATCTGAAGCTCCTTGTTCATGCTATCGGCATCTTCTTGCATGTAGTCCATGGTTTTGCCGAGAGGATTGGTGCTCTGGCAGAGGGTCTGGATGGTCTCTCGCAGCTTCTCGATCTGGGGGGGGGGATTCGTTGTGAATGTGAGTGGCATCGCATGAGCGGTCTGGGATCGGATGGCCTGTTGCATCGTATGCATCGTTTGCATTGACGGCCCATAGCCCGCCGGCTCTAGACAAACAGAGCTCCATACCTCTTTCTGCGCCGAAGCCTTGTCGTCCTTGATGATCACCGTGCGCTGGCCATCGAGGCCACCGTCCTTCTTGCCCTCAGTGGGCTCAAACTCGCGTTTGGTATCGAGAATCTTCTTGACCAGCCCACCTGAAAAAGTGGAGCAAATCATTGTCGGCAAACTCGAATTCAATAACCATATCTTCCTTCTGTGTGGACGAAGACTGCGAAGCGAATGCAAGTGCCCGAGTCTATTCGGCAGCCAGCCCAAAGGGTGGTGGGAGGAAAGGTCGAATCTCACCGTGTTGCTCGTCGTCCCCAGTTGCGCGCTGGGCTGCATCAGGCCGACCAATCTAAGTCGATCAAGTGCGTGCGTGAGTGCATGAGTGTCTCGGTGCACTTGGTCTTGCTCAAGGTATACATACCACGGGTTGAGCCACGGCGTTAGTGACGACAAAGTTCTCTTCTTCGTCGTCGTTAGTTTCGTTTTCGGTTATGATGGCGGGCATGTTACTGCGTCGACACGAAGCGCAGATCGTGAGAGCGGATGTGACAGCAAGGCGTAGGGCCGTGGCCAGTCCATTTGTTGATGGCGATTTACGAACCGAAGCCCCGCAAGGGTGCCGATACAATATGCTGTTAGTGAAATGCAACGATACGGGGCCGCTGGGTTGCAGATATTTATGCAATTTGTCCGTCGTCATCATCACCACCACCGTCGCCACCACCATCATCCATCGGCTACATACGTCGGAATCTCTTCCATGACCACATCGGCCGCTCGCTGCTTTGGTGGCGCCGGACGAGCGCTTGATGGACGCTCTCGTCTCTTGGGCTGCAGGGCCATGCGCATCCGCTCGTCGTCGGGTGCATTGAAGGACTCGTCCACAACTGCCGATCCAAAACCAAACGCAGAGTCAGCGAGCCAGTTCCGAGTACATCCCTGGGTATCCAGCAACAGTGACGATGGCAACAGCGCAGTATACCATCATCGGTAGCGGCAATGGGCTGGGCAAGACTGTGGGTCGAGTCGGACGGATCGCTTCCACCAGACCCTTGTCGCTGGACCATCATGGACTGTGGAGCGGAAGGCTGAGCCGATGTCGCTTGAGGAGGTGCCTGGGCCGGAACAGCTGGTCTGGGCTGGGATGCCTGAGCGGGAACTGGCTGGACTGTCTTTTGAGGTGCTTGGTTCTGTGCCGGCGGTTGTGACGGCCGCTGTTGAGACGGCTGTGTAAGCGCTGCCTGTTGAGCCGGAGCTGGTTTGGGCAACTCTGGCTTGGAGACGGTTGCTGCCGGAGCAACACCGGCAGTGAGCTCGGGCTTGGGCTGTGATGTTGCTTGTTGAGGTTGCTGCACGGGTCTGAATATCGGCCATGGTTATCGAGGAGAGAGAGAGAGAGAGAGAGAGAGAGAGGCGTCAGCCAAGCACAGAAGCAGTTCCAGGGACAGGGACGGTCGCTGTGATAGAGAGCGAAGCGCAAGCTGTTCGAAGAATACTTTGAGAGCCACCGTGGCACATGTCTGCGAGCGCAGGAGTTTGCAATATCATGCTGGAGCAGACTACCTTGGCTTGTCGTCGGTCTTGGGTGGTGCTGCGGCCGGGGCTTTTGTCACTGGAGCGGGTGCGGTCGGAGCAGCAGCGGGGACAGGGGCCAGAGCGGGAGCAGCTTGAGGAGCTGGTTTTTTGCTGAAGGCATAAACCACCTGGGCTCTGAGTGTGATTCCGAATGATAGCGACGACGCCGCGACGCCGACGACCAATACACCCGGCACATTTGCAGGGTACATTGCGAGTGCGTTGTCGTCCGATTGGAGACGCATGCACCCAACCTACATGGGCTGCTGCTCGCCGGCCAGTACTCGTTTCACCGCATTTGTCGAATCAACCTGGATACCAGCGGGATAGCCGCGTGTGAGCGAACATGAAGCACAACAGGGACTGGCGGCGCTGGAGCCAACAGATTGCCGATGCGTCGCGATCAGCCAAAGACGAAAAAGTTGGCCCAGCAGGGACTTGGTCTCGGCCAGAACCCGCACGTACCTTCTTTAGAACGGCTTTGCCGATGAGCTGCAGAAACACATTGGTATCGATGGGATCCATGCCGGCGACGATCTTGAGTGGATTCGCCTTGACCTCAACGCCAGTCGCCAGGGCAGCGCAGTTGATCATCTTGCTCAGGTACGCGACTTTGGCATCCTTCTCCTGGATTTTGTTGGCAGGAAATCGCGCATGATGATCCCGGCGAGGGCAGTGAGCGTAAGTCAACCAGAGCAATGATACTCCCAGAGCATGGCGAGGTTCATTCATGCAAGGAAACGCGTCATGAAAGCGAAGACGCATCGACAGGTTGCGAGAAGCAAGGGTCGCGGAAGGAAGATGCTCGACGAGCATAGAATGGCAACGATCGAGCGGCTACGGTCGAATGTCAGGGGCTGCGGACACTAGAGAGAGCAGCAAGAAGGAGGCGTTACCTTGACGTTCTCCGAGTTCATTTCGGCATCGCTGTAGAGGCCGACGGCAAACCCTGTGGTCTTTATGATCTCGGTGAACATATCGTGCAGATAGCGGAAGGGCGGCTTGGAAAGCAACTTGCCGTTGAGAGGCGGCTTCTTGATGATGCGACCGAGGATGTCGATGGTCTTTTTGGTGGCATCATCGATGGGCGAGGCTGTGGGTGCTTCCTGTGGAGGCGACGACATGGCAGGCGCGATTTGAGGAAGCACTAGCACCGTTCAAGAGAAGGAATGGTGGCTCTGGACTCGATCGTCGTGGTTCGTTAGGGCTGAAATGATACAACAGCGTTTTCTCAGATTCGGGGGTGAATGTCGGAAGTTCGAGCAGGATGGTAGGGTTAGGGGATGGGGCGAGCAGGGGCGGGAAATCGAGCGAGCCAAGGAAGAGGGTGACGCTGGAGAGGAGTCGACGTATATGGCAGAGGGTGTTGGTTTACAGGCAATCCAATAAAAAACGGGACACCCGGGTTTTTGACCATTCATCGAATATTTTGTTACCCAATGCTATCGCGCGCTGGCCATGACCATTCGCCACACATCCGACTTTCGCACCGCCGCATTGCGATGCTACGCCCTCATCCATAGCCTGCGTAAGGTCGCCTCCATATTCAGTGTATCCAAGAGCACCATCCATCGATGGCACCGAGGATGCAAGCTGGATGACCCATCCCGGGTCCCAGCTCGCAGATCCACTTTCTTCGAGCAGGCATGTCCAGTCATTCGCACCCTGATTGAACAGGACCCGTTCCAGACTGGTCCTGTGCTGCGATGCAAGCTCGAGTCCATCCCCCAGAGGAAAGTATCACTCTCACTCTGCCACACTGCCATCCACCGAGCAGGTCTCTCACACAAGAGGGCAACACACCTCTACAAGTCCAAGCGACTGGATGAGCGAGTGGCACAGTTCAGGGACCAGGTCCGCTCCATCGACCCGCGGCGATTCGTTTTTGTCGATGAGACGGGGATCAGGAAATCCATTTTCCCTCTTTACGGATACTCGCCGAAGGGTGCTCCGCTTCGCCAGTGCAATCACATGAAACACAAGTCTGTCTCGGCTGCATTTGCCATCAACCACTCTGGTGTGCTGCATCGCATGTACATCCCCACATCATTCAAGACACACTCGATGGTCGAGTTCTTTGAGCGAGCGACCTTCCCAGACGACTCTGTGATTGTGATGGACAATGTCAGCATGCACAAGACAATGCCTGTCCTGGACTGCATCGAGCGCCGAGGATGGTCAGTGATCTTCACCCCACCTGCTTCACCCGACTTCAATCCCATCGAGAACTTCTTTGGGATTGTGAAGCATCAGTACAGGAAGGCAGCAGCGCTGAATGCGTCCGAGGGGTTCAGAGTCGGGATGGTGACCCTGTTTGAGTCTGCCGTTCGGAGAGTGCTTCCAGATGTCTTCCCACGGCTGATTGAGTGTGCGCTTCTGGGGTTGAGTTCCCTCCGATCAAGCCGCCGTTCTCACGTTCACATCCCTGGCTTGAACCTCTCGGCGATTTTTGAACAGGGTCACTTCCAACCAGCCCGCAAAGACGGGCTCCTGCTCTCGGGTATAAATGCCACACCTTCGTCCTGCTGCTTTCTTCCCTCATCTCGCCTTGATCTGATCATCGCGCTATTGTACGATAAAAAAAAGTCTCTGCTCTGACCAGTACCACTGGCAGGCATCCAGCATCCTCTGCCCCCATGCCTCCGAAGCGTAAGGGTACCGGTGATGGCCAGCCTCGGCCACCCAGGCCCAAGAAAGCCAAGTCACAGTCGGAGCCTGTCTCTGGTTCGTATTCTGATCCCACGCATGCTTGGTCGTCTGTTGCTCCGTCGCTCACCACCACTGCTTCTGCAGATCCAATGGATGTCGATCCCACCGAGCCTGGTCCATCTACTTCCTCGAGTACCGGCAAGCGATGTCGCCAGTGCGATGGCACCGATCACGAACGTTGCAACACCAGCAAATGTCCAAAATACCGGCCCCTCAAGAGCTCTGTCGTCCCACTCGTGGATGGAAGGTCATCGGCCCCTCAGTTCAGCTGCTTCAAGCAGACCATGGACGGCATCTTCTGGAAGAATGCAAAGAAACAGTGGCTCAATCCCGACCTCTGGGGCAAGATCCAGGCCACTGTCGCAGCCATGACCCAGATCCAGTTCGAGGCATCCAGGCTGCTCAACCTGCACATCCTCCGGTGCATCGAGCAGGATCTTCCCGTCCCCGTCATCTCCAAGTCCACCCCTGCTTTCGTTCGCCAATGCTTCAAGATCGTCCAAGCCGATGCCCTCTCCCCGACCGGGGACAATGAGAAATACAACGAGCATCTGGTCGCTTCCTTTCGCGACTACCAGACCACTCGACATGCAGACCTGCCTCCGGCCCCTCGTCTGCCTGATGGTGCTCACAGTCAGCTTCTCACACTGGCTGTCAATGCCTATGCCACCAACTGCACCACCCACCTCGACCTGGCCTACTGGCGACTCCTTCGCCGCTTCTGCGCTGCCGTCTTCCCAGCCAACAAGCACAAGCACGACGCCATCGAGGCTTGTCTTGAGCTCTTAGAGAAACCAGGGCAGACTCCACCCAAGGCCGATATCGAGTTCCTCTATCCCGACTTTGGCCACGTCCTGGACGAGTTTCGGTACAGCAACGACCAGGACCACTTCCGGGCCCTCCATCGCCTCTCACCCCATGTGGGAATCCTCGCCCGAGACAAGATGGTCGACAATGTCCACAAGTGGATCGACTGTGACATGCCCGCCCTCCGAGTCACCGAGCTGCAGCGCCAGGCCAAGCTGGACGAGCTCACTGCCAGAGGCATGCCCTCCGGTGACAAGAGGTTCGCCAAGGTCAAGTCTGAGCTCGGCACCACCAAGTCCAAGATCAACAAGCTGGCATCCAGGATCAAGTGGGCACTCAAGCAGCTCGCTCTGGACACTCCTCCGGCCGTGTGCACGATGGTCCCTCTGTGCACAGCCAAGGCCAAGTATGTCAAGATTGACACGGTCACTCTTTGGAATCTCCTGGGTCCAAAGAAGCGCCTTGGACTCACCAGGGACAAGCTCAAGGAAGAAGGTGATGACGGCATCAACAACCAGGATCGTCTCTGGCGCAGTTGCTTCAAGCTGCGTAGTTCCCTCTTCCAAGAGCGAGTCAGGGACAGGAAGCTGTTCAACTACGAGATCAGCACCGATGGCATTGGATGCACCATCGGCCTCGTCAAGTTTGTGCCTCGAACCGATCGCACCGAGACCATCGAGCCTCCTCCGACTGCCGAGCAGCGTATCCAGGCCCACATCGGCGACCCAGACCCCAACCGCACCACTTGGATTGGCATCGATCCTGGAGTCGGCTCCATCTTCACGGCGGTCATCCAAGCACCGGGTCACCAAGACGAGGTGGTCTCATTCTCGAATGGCCACTACCAGCAAATGTGTGGCCACAAGTCCAACACCAAGTGGCACAATATCATGAAGTATCGACTCAGCATCGAGACCTGGATGTCGACCACCCCCTCGCCCAAGGTGTCGTCCTCGGAGGCCTTCAAGGTCCATCTCACCCATGTCCTGCGACCGGAGCTGCGAGTGCAGCTCGACTTCCACCTTGGCAAGAAGGCCCGTCACCATCGCTTCACGGGCCACAAGAGGCGCCAAGTGGCCGTCGACAAGATGTGCAAGGCCGTCCTGAAGCACGCCCCGATACGGGCCGATGTGGTGATCGCCTTTGGCAATGCATCATGGCGACAGGGCAAGGGCTATGCATCCAGCCCTCGGAGGCAGCGGTTTGCTCAGTACTTTGAGCAATTCGAGCACCACCGACGCCGTCCCAATCACCCTCATGGAAGCGTCAAGGTAGTCTCGACGAACGAGTTCAACACCTCGCAAGTGTGCTCCAAGTGCCTGGAGCCAGTTCGGTTGGAAGGACTCGATGCGCCCAGTGTTGCGAATTCCCACTTTGTCAGGAGCTGCAAGAATCCCAGCTGCCGGACAGTGTGGAATCGCGACGTCAATGCGGCGCGCAACATGATCATAGTATGCAGGTCGATTGTGGAGATCGGAGAGCGACCGGCGGTCTTCACTCGGAGGCTGCCAAAGTGATCTGTTTTATTTCTTGTGGCTTTGCTTGACGCAAGCACAGCACATACTACATGCTCATGGAAACGGCTGTGGTGTCCCGTTTTTTTCTGAATAAAGTGTAAATGGTGTTTGTGTTTTTGTACACCAGGGAGCTTCACCGAGTACGACTGTTACCAGTATCATTTTGGCAAGCAAAACATGACCCTGGAAGGTATTTCCTGGCTGTTGTGTGTGTGTGTGTGTGTGTGTGTGTGTGTGTGTGTGTGTGTGTGTGTGTGTGTGTGTGTGTGTGTGTGTGTGTGTGTGTGTGTGTGTGTGTGTGTGTGTGTGTGTGTGTGTGTGTGTGTGTGTGTGTGTGTGTGTGTGTGTCTTGGATGGCCAGTGTTTGGCTTGCCAGCACTGGTTTGCTTCGCCACAACCCGCCACTCTCCTTCCATTCCATCCATCTCGCATCGTCTCATCATCATCTGGACATCATCATTGAACTCTCATCACAATCCACACATCGAGCATCATGGCTGCCAGTGTCCATCCCTCAACTGACACGGTTCGACCGGCCATCAACGAGCATAACCCAGATATCTTCACCATCATCTGCTGCAACGACAGCTTCCAACTCGCCCTCGACCTCAGCACCATCAAGGCCCTCCTTCGAGTGTGTAAGCGAGCCCAATACCTCCTGAGCCTCAAGCTGCCTCGCTTCAACACCTGGTGCCAGAGTATGGAGCTCCTCAATCCAGATAGACAGATGCGGATCGGTCTCACACCCAGCGACAAAATCGCCCTCTCGCTGTACTGCGATGATCAAGCCACAACTGACCGATCCTGGCTCGAAGATCAAGCCGATAAGGGCAATGCTGCTGCCTCGTATCTCCTGGCTCGGATGTTGCAATCTGGGATCGACTCGGAAGCAAAAGATGACAGTCAGACTGGCGATGACGATGACGGTGACGGTGAGACTGACGACGACGATGAGCCTATAAAGAATGCCAAGAATCAGCAGATATTCCAACATCTGATGAAGGCTGCTGAAGGCCAACATCCAATGGCGCAGTCCCACCTCGCCCAGTGTTATCGCAACGGAACTGGAGTCGAACAAGATCACACCAAGGCCACCGGGCTGTATCGCAATCTTGCCGAACGTGGGATCCTGCAAGCCCAAATTGTCTTTGGCGGTTGCTACGAGGTTGGCGAAGGTGTTGATCAAGACTACGATGCAGCCATCGAGTGGTATTCCAAGGCCGCAGATCAAGGCAGCGAAGATGGTCGGTTCCACATCGTGTTCCTCCGTGGATGGTTCTCATTCATCGGTCACGGAGTCGAACAGAGCGACGCCGATGCCCTCGCTCACTGGCAGGAAGTCAGCACCCAGTCCACCAACCCAGTCATCAAGCCCATCGCCACCCACATGGTTGGCTGGATGCACTACCTCGGCCGGGGCACCGTGCGCGACGAGCCAATGGGTGCCAAGATCATCCGGGAAAACCAATCGGACGATTTCAAGCTCGGAGAGGACCAGTGCCTGGCAGCGTATCGGAAGAATATCTCGTCCGACTCACCGGCACCCCCAAAGTTCTTCCAGCTGTGCCAGCTGGGATCGGACCGAGACTGGCTTTGCAGGCACTTGATGGCTGTTTGTCTGCATCAGGGATTCGGAACCACCGAGGACCGGGAGAAGGCAGCGGTCATCTTCGAGCAACTCGCCAACGACGGTCACAGCGACAGTCAGTACTGGATCGGAAGGTGCTACTCATATTACAACGGGGGAGTGTCGCGGAACCTCAAGATGGCTTTCAAGTGGTGCGGCAAGTCGGCCAGCCAAGGCAACTCGTTTGGGCAGTGGATGTTTGGCGGTTGCCACTTGACTGGAGACGGCATCACCAGGGACTACGCCAAGGCAATTGAGTGGTATCGCAAGTCCTCCGAACAGGGCAATCCATATGGGCAGTTTTCCCTTGCATCTTGCTATGAAGCTGGTTTTGGTGTCCCCGTGGAGATCGATACCGCCATCTTCTGGTTCCGCAAGTCTGCCAACCAGGGTCTTGGAGGATCCATCGATTGCCTCAAAAACCTCGGCAAGTGGCCCTGATCCCGATTTTCGTTCGTGACGATGGCATCAAACAGTGGGCTTGCAAAGTGGCTCCGGTGAAGCGACAGTGGTCGAGTGAAGTCGTTTGTTATTCAACACGTCAAATATACAACCAGGGTTTCCCATCGACACCAATTGATTGATTGTAGGCTATCACTGTAGTGCTGAATGCGTCGCCAGCGCAACCAAATATTCCCGCTCACACGACCATTTGCATTCCATCCATCCATCCATCCATCCATCCCTCACTTCCCTCGTAATGGCGGGCGAGTAATCAAACTCCCTGTTGGGTTCTTTCTGTGGGAGCAGCCTGGAGCACCGTTATGAGGGACTATTCTGAATGTGAACGATCGACACCCTCCTGTGCGGGATCTGAACACTCTTGACACCCTTGTCCTTGAAGTATCGAATCGCCCCTCACCATCGACCGAGACAATCGCCCTGAGCTTGCCCATGTCGACCGTTTCGTTGCCATCACCAACGACGAGCAGCAAGCGACCACAGAAGCAGTGGTTGATTCGTGCGGCGTTTCTGCATCGAGGTTGGAGAATGCATGTCTCGTTCATCAACGCCCCTCTGTGCGGTGGTTGATTCGCGCAGCGTTTCTGTGTCGTGGGAGCTGCGAGCGTGCTGTCGTTGATGACCGCCGATGCCGAGCACCGCGGGAGGATCCGAGACTCGAGGACGGTTTGGCTGTGGGACAGGCCGTAGGTACCAGGTCTCAACGACGGCGATGATCTTGGGCCGGTGTCAGTGTGAGCGGTCTTTCTTGGCCTGGCCCGATTGGACGGATCCTGCACAAACCGAGGCGCATTCTGTTCGGCGAAGCACGGCGCCAGCTCTGTTCCCGTCACGTCCGCGATCCAAGGCGACGACTCCCCCCCCCCAGAGCGATTCATACACAGAGAGACCCCGCAGCTTGAAAAAAAGCACCATGGTAGGCGTCGAGATGAGGGGTGTCGGCCGCCCCAACGTCTGGTGCCTGCAGGATGGCCAAGCGCACTGCTCGGCAGTCGTCGGCTACCTGACACGACCGACGAACTGTTCGCATGAGCGAACGTGATGACAACCGAGCGGACCGATTAAACACCACACCCGCCTCGGAAACAGGCTAGCTTATCTTCTAGCGTCGTTAAAAAGATCACCAAAGGTGGGCCTTGGAATCAGCGTCCTGCATGAATGCATGCGCTCGACAAGCTGCCCTGGAGGATGGGCATCTGGGCACGCATCCAACTGGCTTCATCATTGGAAACCTGAGCGAGACGCCAGGCGACGGATGCGAGACTCACGGGCGAGCGCCGACTGCATATCTGACACCCCTCCTCCGCAGAGCTTGGTGGGCTGATCTCAAACCCTCCGGAGGGAATCAAGGTGATGATGAACGAGTCCAACATTTCGGATGTCCAGGCGTGGATTCAGGTATGCACGTTCATCGCCTGTCATGCATGTCATTCGCATCTCGAGACGACGCAGAGTTGGATGGCACCTGCGCCTGTAGTATGCACCCACAGCAGGTGCAGACAGCGAGCGGGCAGTATGGGCGTTGGCGGTGGTGAGGACTTCATGGCCACGGCGAGATCAGAGGATCCTGCCAACCGGCATTCGCGATTTGCTGACTTGCTCGCTCGACCCTCTCGATGCATCCGTTTGCGAATGGCGCTGCTGGGCATGCGTGGGGCGGGGTATTCAATGCGCTATCAGGGCCCAGGTACGGACGAAGGATGTGTTGGCGATACCTATCATCGGCTGCAACCTCAATCGGCGGCAGGATCGAATCCGGATTGTTACTGACCAAGATTGTTGGATCACCCTCGCAATCCCACGACCTTTACTGCGACCTATATCTGGGCCGAGGCAGTAGGCAAGTATCAAAGATGTCACTCGATGCAGCCCCAACCGGCACCGCCCGCTGCTCTGGAGCACAAAGTAACCAGATCATTCATGTGCATCCACAGGGACGCCCTATGCCGGAGGAACATTCAAGGTCAAACTCACACTCGGCAGCGACTTTCCCCAGTCGCCCCCCAAGGGTAAGAGCTGCCGGGACACTCGTTGCTATGCCTCACGGGCGGCACAGTCCACAACTCACCTAACGCCGCCCGTTTCTCGGGATCCGCCAGGCTACTTTGTAACAAAAATCTTCCATCCGAACGTGTCCAAGCTCGGAGAGATCTGCGTCAACACACTCAAGAAGGACTGGAGCAAGGATCTGGGTATTGCACATGTGCTCCTGGTGATCAAGTGCTTGCTGATCGTCCCGAATCCCGAGTCTGCGCTGAACGAAGAGGCTGGCCGCCTGCTGCTGGAGAACTACGAGGAGTATGCCCGGCATGCCCAGATGATGACGAGCATCCATGCCAATCAAAAGGTCGAGTTTGGGAAGGAGAATCGGTCAGGCTCGCCCACAGACGAAGATCCCAGCACCCCGCAATCAGGCTGCTATGCACCGGCACCGACGACCAAAGCCTCCTCGAGCGGGCCCCACTACCGAGTCCATCCGATACCCCAAGGCGAGCACGGCTTCTCGAAACAGGGCGACTGCCACCGAGCCGGGGCCGCCGATGGCCAGCGTGCAGGAGCCGATGTGGTTATGGCCATGCACACCGACGGCCTCGAGGTCCTTGGGGTCAACAACGGGCCGAGCCTTGCCGGAAAGAAACGGCCGGCCGAGAAGCGGATGGACAAGCCGGACAAGAAGCGGGCCATGATGAGGCGGCTCTGAGCGGGGCGATGCGGTGGATCGACCTATGGATGATACAGATACAACTTGCTCCAAAACGGGACAGCGCCCATATGCGTTCCCTCATATCAACCACGACGTTTTTAGGGTGCAGTGGGCCGGCCGTGCGATTGTGTCCGAGTTGTTGTTTTGGGAGGACAGTCTTGAGATTCAATATGCATTCGGCCATCGGAACAGCTCCGTGCAAAGAGTCGAAAGGGTCGCTTAGGAACATCTCTCTTGCTTGGGAACATCTCTCTTGCTTGGGAACATCTCTCTCTCGTCGTGGTATCTGGTCACAGCGGTATCTGGTTATAGTGGTATCTGGTCATAGTGGATGTGTGTTCAGGACTCTGCGAAAATCGAGACGCAGAAACGCAGCCAGAGAGCCCCGTTTGATCTTGGATGCGGTGCAAGCATTGGCATAATGAAGATGAGGGTGTTGATACTTGGCTGTCCGTCCATCGATCGAGTGAGATGGTGTTAACCCGAACATGTTAACTCGAACATGTTAACTCGAGCATGTTAACTCGAGCATGCTTCCACCAACGCCCAGGATGCGATCCCAATTTGCCCGTTTCCGTCGCCCCCCCCGGTCGCCCCCCCTCTCCACAAACCGACAAAATCGACAGATCCGCACCGCCGTCTCGACACCGACCGATCCTTCCATCGCCGATCGATCGCCCTTCGTCGGTAAGCGCTCGCCGTCGATTCCGACATCTGCCCTGGATGGCCCTGCGGACGGCCCATCGCTGTCGCCGTCGTTTGCTTCGGCCATTACGACCTTTGGCCATTACGACCTTTGGCCATTCGGATCTTTGGTCGTCAGGATCTTTGGTCACTCCATTCGCCGTTGCATCCCAGTCATGCCGTCGGCCATCGGACTGCCGCCCCGCCGTATCGTCTGCCACCCCTCTCCTCTCCCCTGAACCGCTCTTCCCCACAGAGCTCCCGCCCCGCACAACCATTGCGGCACCCATCCATCATCTCGCCATCTGTCGTCACCCGGGATCACTCACAATCGCCCGAGGCCTGAGCGACGATCGGCGCTTGTCCGTTCCGCTCCAAAGACATATCGCCCTCCAGCGATCCGTCGTGCTCTAACAATCCCGTTTGCTCCACAACTCTCGATCCACCCTCTCGTCATCGCCCCATCCTTCAGGATCGTTTCTGCGCATTATTCGCTGGCACACCCAGAAGCAACTCAAGACCGATTTGTTCCTGGCCCCCTCGACCTGCGGCATTCCCCGGCCAGCCGAATTGGTCCATCGATCTGGACAGCCCATACACCGCTCCCGTCGCTCCAGCCCGAGACGCTCGTGGTGGACCTTCGCTGCTGCCGTCTCCTGCTTGCTCGGTTGGAAGGAATATTCCACAAGACTCTCGGCGACTCTGTCGGCCCAAGTCCGCCTGGCATCAAACTCTTCCCAATGGATATCCATGGCATTCTCCACAACAACGCTTCGCCCGTAACCGCCCAAGGCCGTCCCGCCCTACCGTCGTCGTCGTTCGGATCTTCACCCGAGGCTCTGTCGTCGCCGCTCGCCTCCATGGTCTTCCCCAAATCGGCAGCGACCGCAATGGATCTGGACTTGATCACTTCTCCATCGGCCCCAGCGACGGGCTTGATGGCCCAGAACGGCATCCCAAGACACTCCTCCGAGTTTGATGCTGCCAACAGCTTCCGTGGCCAGGAGCGCTCAGGCATCGATCCACTTCAACCCGGGCGGCCTGGTCTTGGCTCGGAATATCTGCCGACTCATTCAGAGCCCTCGCGGATCGGAGGAGGAGGCCACGACGACGACCATCCCTTGCCCTTATTGCAGCCCAAGCTCAACATTGCCTCGCTCCTGACGCACTCGGACCGCTCCCTCAAGACTGCTGACCCAAAACCTCCTTACCCTGATCCAGCAACGACCGCGTGGCCTCTCCATCAACGCAACGCAAGTCCGTGCCGACAGAGCCCAGATCGTGGGCCCGGTCTACATCCAGATGCTGAACGGTCGGATGCCATGCAGACCGATTCGCCTCGCTCGCAACACAGCCCGTCCCGGGATCGACTCGATCAAGACAGGCCGCTGTCGTCGTCATCAGCACCATCGTCAGCCTTGAACCCGCGAGGCTCTGTCGGTAAGCCCGAGGCCCGTGTGCTCAGAGACTCGCTGGATCGACAGGCCACGGTGGAATCCGTGGGCTGGCTCGGCTGCTATAACTGCTTTGCGTCGCCCTTGCTCACTACGTCTCCTCCCAAATCGATCGCGTCGCTTTTCGGCTTCGTCGGCGGTGGCCTCAACGGAAACGCAACGTGCTTCGCCATGTGGGCTTTACAACAATCAATCGCGCCTCAAACGGCCAAATCTGACAATGACACTACCACCGCTGTGCCAATGACACCCTAACGTCGCCATCGCGGCATGGCACCAATCTCAAGACTCGAGACAGCCTCCTCCATCAACCATACCCCGACGGCTGTCGAGCGATGGTCTGAGCATCAAGACGGCCACGCTGCACTGCTCGCCGCCCAAGAAGCGTCTCTCGAAGCAGTTCACCGACCCATCTCTTCGTGGCGATTCGGGCGAGAACGGCTCTCTGCCAAGCCCGACCAAATCAGCGGTCGATCTGGAGACACAATCGCCCCCCATACTCGGTGCTGATCGGGGCGTCGATGCGGATGCCGCCAAGCCTATGGGCACTGCTGCGGATGCTGGCTGGGGAAGCATCAAGCACGAAAGCACGCAGGACGGCCCACAACCGGCGGCGAAAGTAGAGATGAGCAAGCGCAAGAGCAATAGAGTAAGTGCGGGATATCGCTGCAGTGCATAAACGCCCCCGTATATTCTCCGGTTCTGGAGCCGCTGTTGATGTGCAACTCTTGCTATTACTCTCTGGTTTGGCATTTGACGCTGTGCCTTGCCATGTGAAACCCACGCACTCCATTGACTACAACCGGCTCCCAGGATCAGTCATCCACTGAGACCAAGAAGCACCGGATAGAAGCATCAGAGCCCAACCATCAAGTGTTGAAGCAGCGGAACTCGGGGATCCTGTCGATCGGTATGATGGTCAATGCCCACAATGTTGAAGAGCCTCGGTCCGCCGCCCGTCCTACTCCAGCGCAGACGAACGAGGGCCCAGTCGCCCACGGCGACACGGCCAAGTCCTCAGTCTCCGCCAAAGCGATCGACACCGCCACCGCCGCAACTCCGCCGATCCAGAGCCCCAAGCAGTCTGGCCGCCAGGCACAGTCATTGTCCAGTCTGGCGGGACAGAGCGCAACACCGACGACTGAAAAGAAAAAATCCCATGGTGGCAGCGAGTCGGCCAAGAAATCCAAGTCCAAGTCCAAGTCACAGTCGCAATCACAGTCGCAGTCGCAGTCGCAGTCGCAATCGCAATCCCAAACACAAGCTCAGGCACAAGCCCAGACGCAGGAAAAGTCGCAGCAGCCCGAACTGTATTGCTACTGCCGGAAACCGTACAACGACGACGATGGCGGGTTCATTGCCTGCGATGGCTGTGACGAGTGGTTCCACTTTGCCTGTGTCAGCCTGGAAGAAGACGACGGTGACCGGATCGACAAGTGGTTCTGCCGGTCGTGCGGCGACAAGGTCGTGTGGAAGCAAAAGTGCAAAAAGTCTGGCTGTCAGAGCTGGGTGGCATCCGAGCCCGCGGAGGGCGACGGGTTCAAGAGCGCAAGCTTTTGCTCTCGGAAGTGCGGGGAGCTGTACGGCGAAGAGCTGCTCGAAAATCATCGGAGCAAGATCCCGCTGAAGCCACGGATCGGACGGATCATTCACAACGAAGCGTTGGGCCAGGCACTCCTGGCCTGGGGCAAGCAAAAGTGCGGGGACGATACCACCACCCCCGAGCAAGAAGATCAGCGTGACATGGCATATCTGAGAGTCACCCTGAAGGGCCTCAAGGATCAATGCAAGCGCCGCATCCGGCAGCTGGAGTATCGGCGACGCTTGGTCGCCGAGGCCGTCGAACGATCACAAAAGTCGATGAGCGAGGCGAACGAGGTGTGCTGCGGGTTCGACTCACGGATCACTCGGGAGTGGATCCGCATCGAGCCCCCGCCTGAAGAGCCGAAGCGCGATGGCGATGGCGATGGCGATGTTGCAATGGCCGACAGTTCGAGCAGCCACGATGCAGCTGTGCCCGGCCTCTCATCGGACCAGAATGTGACCATGTCCGATCCCGAGCCCAAGACCGAACCAGCACCTGCCGTTAAAGTTGAAGCAGGGGCCGAACCCCAGCAACCAAGACTGCTGCAGACAATGTGTGCCACGCCCAAGACAAAGAAGTGTATCCTGCACGAAGACTGGCAGAGCATCAAGATAATGGAGGTCGAGCTGGAGCTCGAGGAACAGGTATGGCGATGGTGCGAGGGCAGGACGTGTGGCAAGTCAGATCCATGGCGGCGAGACAACAGCGGTGAGGAGTGTTTCTGGTTGTGCCTGGCCTTGATGGACAGTGCCGAGCCAAGAAAAATATGATTCCCAGAGGGACTGGGCCGTCGATTTTGGCGCTCGTTGCTCTCTCTGGGCGACTGACGCTCCAATGCTGTGGCCGCAGATGGTTGCGCTGGCAAAGCTCCGCAAGGAGGAAATGCTGCTCAGAAACCGAATTCTCAAGCGAAGGTCGCTCTACACGGAAACATGACTATGTCGAGTCCAGTGCTTTCCTGGTTGCTCTGTCTGTGCTCGCCGTACACACATGCGACTGCGCCTCGCACTGCTGATGCAAGAGAAAGGGAAGGAGTCTTGCTTTTGATGATGGCCACCGGAAATACAGCACTTGCAAGTGAATGTGGTGCTGGTGGTGCTGGTGGTGCTGGTGGCGGCCGTTATTCGTCGGCAGCGTCATGGGGATGGCTTGTCTCGGGTCATTCGGTTACCGCGCGTCCATTGTCCTTTGTGCCAGGAAAAAGGTCCTTGGGCACGGGGCGGCGTGTGAGCACGACAGACATGCAACAGAAGGGAGGCAGGCACGCACTCGCTCACCATCACCACTGCTGTCTGGAAGGACATGCAGGATCGAGATGCCCAGCAGCAGATGCCCTGCAGACAGCCCCGAAACGGAGAACGGGAGGCACGGCGGACCGACAAACAGAACCGAGACAGAGGATCGGCGGTCTGGCGCACACGCCACCGGCGACAAAACAACGACAAACCAACGACAAACCAACGACAAACCAACGACAAAACAAGGCACCCAAATGAACAAATGCTCAGCACAGGCATCCACAGCACAAGGGGCCGGACCGCTGTCCCTTGCGGGCATGCGCGGCGAGGACGGTGTGCCTCCCGAGCGGGAAAGCGAGTGTCCTGGAGACTTTCTCTTGCACGGCCTGTTTCGCCGCTCCCGTCTGCCCGCCCCGTCTGCCCGCCCCGTCTCGTCCGTCTCGTCCGTCTGTCTCGTCCGTCCGTCTGTTTGGCTTGGCTCGACGCTCTTGATTCACCGACTCGGTCAAGGAATTTGGCGGCGAATCGCACCCGAGGTAATCGCCGGACCTGGTGGGTGCATCAGGGTTGGTCGCTGGAGTATCCCAAGCCAACATCGCAAGTATCCAGCCGCAGCCCCAAGCACCACAAGCTTGATACTGAGCGACACCTCCTTATATCGAGCGGCACCTCGACTCACCCAGCCGCCATCACTGCTCCCAGATACTCTCGGCTGCATCGACAACAGACCACCACGACAGACACCAAGTGGCTCCCGCAACACTTGTCGCCCACAGTGCCCACCGGACTGACAGCTTGATCAATTAGCCAAGATGGCAGACTCGAGCACCACTGCCAACTACAGCGCCGCCGGCTCGCAACAACACCCGGATCCAGCCCTCGAGCCAGTACCAGAGGCAGCCGCCTATCCTATCAGTCCCCGTTTGAGGTGGCTGGTGCTGTTCCTCACTTGCTTTGTGCTGTTCGGTAACTTTTACGGTAGGGCCGCGAGCACAATCGCGCGGACCAGGCTGCTGATGGCCGAGACGAGGACTTTATCCCTGCGGACTACAATCGGCTGCCCCCCCCCGCAAAGCAGTGCGTCTGACCGCCAAGCTGATGTCGTTTCCATGTCTCCTGTGCATCTGGCATGATCCATCGCAACAGCGTACGACAATCCTGCCGCCCTCAATCTGCCACTCCAAATCCACCTGGGCCACGACTACGACCGCTGGCAGTACGAGCTCAACCTGCTCTACTCGGTCTACGCCCTGCCCAACATGTTCCTGCCCTTTATCGGCGGGGTGCTGCTGGATCGGTTCGGCAAGCAGCGCTCGCTCCTATGGTTCTCGTCCATCCTAGTGCTTGGGCAGATTCTGTTCTCGATCGGGGTCGCGCAAAAGTCGATCCGGCTGATGCTCGTTGGCCGATGCATGTTTGGCATTGGCGGCGAGACCGTCGGGGTCGTGCAGTCGGCCATCACAAGCACCTGGTTTCGGGACAAGGAGCTGGCCTTTGCGCTGGGTCTCAGTGAGTATTGTCAGGGACGGCGGCATGGCGATTCAATTCGGTTCGGATGTCTGGGTGGGCCTGGTCTGGCACGCTCGTTCACCATTTCTGTATTGCCACTTGCCACTTGCCACCGCCGATCTACTAATCGCAGTTCTCTCGCTCGTGGGTACTGGAAGACCTTGGAGTCGCCCGGCTCGGCTCCGTCGTCAACGCCATCATGTCGCCGCGGCTGGAAAAGTGGATTGGGGTTGAGTTCGCCGTCTGGGCAGGCACGGCCACCTGCATCTTGTCGTTTGTCGTTTCGATGATCCTGAGCGTCGGACTCACCTCGCCGGCGGCATACCAGGCGCTGTCAGGTCACAGCGCATCCACCGGCGAGACGATCAGTCATTTCGATACCGTCTCGACCACCATGGCGCCTTGCGACACTGAATGCGGTGCATCAAGTTCCATAGATGCCGATTCGCACGCCACCATCTTCGAGCCTTGTCAGTCCAACCCGGTGCTTTGCGAGGACGAACTCTGCACTCCAAAACGTCACCAGTCCACCGCGGGACTACTCGCATCCCTTGCCGGGCTGTCCCCAAGCTTCTGGACCGTCTCGGTCCTGTGCGTGCTTCTGTACTCGACGGTGATACCCTTCAACAACATTGCCTCGGATTTCCTGATGTCCAAGTGGTTCCCCAACGACACCGAGACTGCCGGAGTCGTTATGAGGTGCGTATCCGGTGCCAAGAGATGCCGGGATTGTGTGCAGGGTCAGGCTGGGTTGGGTGAATGCGGTAGAATGACTAGAATCACACGAATCATGACTACCGAGCACGAAGCATCCACCATGCCCATTGGCAAGCCCTCTATTCCCTCGGACCTGTCTCCTGATCGTCACAATATCTTTCTACTCACCGACACAGCATTCCCGACTCCGTTTCTGTGCTGCTGATCCCGCCTGTTGGCTATTTCGTTGACCACTACGGACGTCGGATCACTCTGCTGTTCGTATGTTCGTTCATCTTGATGGCGTCGCACTTGCTCCTGGGCCTGACGATGCTCAACCCGGTCCTCCCGATGTTGATGATGGGTATTAGCTACTGCATCTACGGAGTGACCGTGTGGCCGTCGATCGCCATGGCCGCCACCTCACACAGCCGCTCGGGCTGGCAAGTTGTGGGCAAAGGCACAGACACAGACGCAGGCGGCAGACCGAGGACAATGACCAGCGCACCAGAGACGGCGATCAACTCCCCCGCAAACGGCGGATCCCCTGCGACGACCTTCTCCGAGCTTCCGCGGTGCGAGGCAGAGCAACTGTGCAGCGAGCAGACTCCCTTACTCGCAAGCAGCGGGGCTCCGGTGGCGAGCAAAGTTTGCGACCGGCTGGTGCAGGAGGAGCTGCCGCTCCTTGGGATCGCTTTTGGGATTGCTTCGTCGCTGCTCAACACCTTCCTGGCGCTGGTCCCCCTTGCGGTCGCCCAGATTCGGGTGTCCTTTGGCAGTTTCGTGGGAGTCGAGCTATTCTTTGTAACGTTTGCATTCGTGGCGGCGCTGTGCTGTCTGGTGCTCGAGCAACTCGATCGGCTCGAGGGCGGGGCTTTGCAGGGAGCGCCGGCACTAGATGACCATGATGACCATGATGACGAATAATATGCAATTGCTGTGTATTGAGCAGGGCGGGTGCGCGCTTGGTCCAAGAATAAGATGCACACAAAACTACAGGTGAAGGATAGATACAAGGCTGGATTGGGAACCAGGTGCTGTCACATTTGATACACGAGATGAGTTTAGTTCTCGACAGCGACAAACTGCTTGAGGTAGACGTCGCGGGAGGGGCGGGCATCGGTAGCAGTGTCGAGGCGGTTGTAGGGAGTCCACTGTGTAAGGTTACGGACAGAGAAGCAGAGTGAGCATGGGAGTCTCTGGCGTCCAACCGAGCAGATCAGCGAAGGAATTGGAAAAGCACAGGGCAGGCAACACAAGGCAGGACAGCACAAGTGGAAGCCGGTTGGGCGGGATGGCAGCACCACTGTGAAGACATGCCCCAGACGTACCTTGGGCTCGTCGTGGAAGAGACGGAGGGCAACAATGTAGTTGTTGGTGTCCAGGGTGAAGCGGTGGTAGATGCCAACGGGCTAGAACCAAGTGTGTAGGATCCGTGGTTAGTCATGGCCAGCCAACGACCACAAACCGCATGGTCGGTGCCGATGCAGACAACCCCATCCAGTAGCCGGGCCACACTTGTCACTTACGATGATCAGGAGATCCTTGGGCTCAACCTGGATGCGGATCCAGCGGTCGGCGTGGTCGCGGACGTCAAAGTAGCCGGTTCCCTCCTCTGCACGATGTCGGCGATGCAGAACGAAAGGTCAGCACAGAGCGAGGGGGCGGACGAAGGCCAGAATGCGGGCAATAGACGGGCGCCGCACACGACCGAGCAAACTGGGGCGAGATCAACAGGCCGATATGGCTCGAGGGCCGCCGATACGTACTGATGTAACGGATCTCCTCATCATCGTGGAGATGCCTGGAGGCACAGGCACAGAATGGGACGGCAGTCGTTAGACGAGAGCAGCTCGGGCTAGAGATCAAGCAGGACAGCAGAGTCCAGGCCAGGGTCTGCCGATCAAGCCTGGTGGATTCGGGCAGGAGGAAGGACAACTCACTCGGTGAAAAAGTTCTCGAGCTTCTCCTCGTAGTTGGGGAGCTTGTCCTTGTGGATGGTGATCTGGAGGCAAGCGGGTCAATGACGTCAGGGTGAGTTCGTCTGGGCCGATCAGGCCGAGAGAAGGCGAGGGGGGGGGAGGTCACTGCCTCGGGGCTTGGCTTACCAGGTCACGGTTCTTGTACTGGCGTTGGAGGGCAAAGGCATCGACGCTCTCCTGGTCGTCAAACAAGTAGTACTCGACGCCGAGCTTGGCCAGCTCCTCGAGCGAGACGGGCTGGTTGGGGACGAACTGGTGCAGCTCGCGCTTGTCCTCGTCGGTGGGGTTGAAGAACCAGGCGTTGACCATGATGGCTGTTGGAGGTGGGTGGGTGGCGGAAGAAACGGGGAGGATTGCAAGACGGCGGGAGAACGGGAATCCGGTACCGCCTTTATATATACGCCCGGAGTGTGTGTGTGTGTGTGGTCGGCTGACTCACCGATGGCGCGGCTCTGAGTGGACGGCAATGGCGTCATTTCCGGTGCGGCGCACGTCGCGCATGCGCGTCGGCTCGTGGCACAGGCAGCGCATGCTCGCGCCAGCACCGCCACAGATGGCGGCATCGACCAGCCATGTTTCCTCCAGGGCCATCACGCCGACACAGGATGATATCGGATGATATCGGATGATATCGGATATTGATGCGTGCAGCCCGGCGCTACCGGAGGAGGCAGTTTGTTCAAGGGGGAGGAGATCATTGTTTATTGGTTCCCAGTTGAGTTGCTGCACCCTCGTCGTTTGCACCATCGTCGTCTGCACTGCTGCCTCCCTCTCTGATCGAGCCTCTGGCAGTTGCCCGCTCTGCCAATGCAGTCTATGCACATGCTTAAAGTGGCCCGCCTGTCCCGGCTCAGAAGCGCTGTATTGATGGCCCATCTCTTGGATCTCTCCAACTCCTCAGGCACACTGCTGGCTGGGACCTCCACAGTACGCCCAACCTCATCGTCACCGACAATGCCCATGCAAATCCGCAAAGCATTCCCACGACAGCCGCAACGCCGCTCGTCCGCTCTCTCCGCCTTTCCCAAAGCCTTGACACACCAAACTTGGCTCCTTGCACGCAAAAGTGACATGTGGCATCCGGGTTGGTCCTTCCTCACTCTCTCGCCCTCCCACCGTGTGCGGGTGTGTGTTTGGCTTGAGTTGTGCTTGGTGCCGGGGGGGGGCAGTTGCGAGGCTTTGTGGCTGATGTACCATGTCGCAGGGCCAAGTTTGATTCGGGGCAGCATCCGGATCTCGCGACACAGGACGCCCTTAGTGGATTTGTCCTTTGATGTCAACGCCCTTGCTTGAGTTGGCCTTCTCGAGTTCGGCAAAGACTGAGTTGGAGAGCTTGGCATCAACGTCACCGCGGGCATAGTCGTTGTTGCTTGCAAAGATACAGCCTTTCAGGATCAGCCACTGGCGACATGAGCGTGTTTCCTCATCGTCGGGAGCTTCGTTGTCGGGATGGCTGAACCCCAGAACTTGAGTGAGATATTGCACTGGAATATCCGGCCGGAAAGCCTTGCAGATTACTTTCATGGCCCTGATACGCTCACGATCGATAAATTGATCCATGAGGTAGCCGCTCATGTTGGGTGCCTCGAGGTAGAGTCGGAAGAGTTGGCGGTAGTTTCCTATCGCTATCGATGAACGGACTGCAAGGGCGTGTCTCACGGATTCGGACGCTTTCTGGGCGTCAGTCAGACTCGAAATCGCGTTGAACAGACCTGCATCCAGAGAAAATAGGGTGTCGGAAAGAGGAGCGTAGGCGGAGTGGAGAGAAGATCGGGGGTCAGTCGCCACGCCGTTCAATACGCCAATGAACGAACGAACGATACAGTAGGCGACCCTCAGGTACCAACTGACCTTGCCGATTGATCGTGTGAACAAAATAGAGTATCCGGTATCCCATGAATTCGTCGACATGCCCAGGGAGACCGTGCTCGTAGAGCTGCTTGAGCTGCGCTTGGCACTGGTTGTATTCTCCCAGATCACTCTGCAACGGCGGACGCAGTGGTGAGCAACGCAATCGCACCTCGGCTTTTGGACGGCGTACAAACAGGCAGAGACACAATCCGGAACTCCAACAGAGTCCATTTTTTACGAGTCCGATACCCAGAAAGAAGAGCAACTTTGTAGGTGTCCGAGTCGGCGCTGGATACTACGTGGGGCGATGCGGGGCGTCGCAGATGCCCCAGATATCGGACACCCTACCTTTTCCAGCGCTATCCGAGCATGCATTTCATACACAGTCACCGTGAACTCGTTCTTGATGCGCTGCACAGTCAGATCCTGTCGTAAACTTTTAAACTGATCACAAATGTAAGTGTAGTTGCGCTCGCTCCGCCATTTCTTCAGTAGCAGCTCAAGGGTTTGTTTCAGGATGTGGAGTGGCCGAACAGTCGCAGGATCCGGGGCCTGGAAAGCCAAGGGGTAGAGTAGGTGGGATGAGCGAGACGCGGCAATGGTGGTTGATTCAGCGCCCCGTTGCACTCTGTTATCCGTTTTCACACACCCCCTCAGCTTCGGATCAGGGCAGCTTCGTACCGATGTCAGCCGAAGATACCGCTTCTCCAGCTGAGTGCTGGTCCCCACGATCGTGTGCTCGTCCCAGTCGATAACGTCGGGGTTGCCCTCAGCACCAGCGCTAATGGCCGCCATCTTAGCACGCTTGCTGATGGTCTGGTTCTGGATCGTTTGCCGCTTCTCTTGTTCATACGACTCCTGGAATCGCTTGGCTCGCTGTTCCCGTTTGGTCTGCTCGTTGAAATCCTCCACAGAAGGAGCAAAATCCTTGGTCGTGAGCTTGGGTGACTCGAAGCTTTTATTTGCGTCCTGAACACCATGCTTCTTGCGCTTCTTTGATGATGCCGGTGAAGGCGACGAGGCAGCGACTGGAGAACCCCCATCCTTTGGTAAGGCTTTGAGGTCCATCAAGCATCTGATGAGCAAGAGCCAAGGTTTGGTCAGAATTCCGGCCACACTGCCTACCCTCTCGGCGCTCGGCCAAGGTCACGAACATACTTTGGCAGAGGCATATTCTCCCAGTCGGTCGTCCACATCGCTTTGCGGTGATTGATTCCTTCAATCAAAGCCGTAAGTTCCTGGTTGGCTTTTTCCCGCAGTGCTCCATCCGTACACGCACTGTAGACACGATTCACATAGTCCCTGTGTATCAAATATTGGATGGACGACGGTGTTGGTGTCGATAACGTCGATGTCTCTTTGGTCTTATGCCAGACGCCCATGCTTGGGCAGGCGACGTGCGCATTGGCGACACTGATACACCACCGACGGAAATAGTGCCAAAGGCCGGGGCATATGGAGCAACGCAACATACGCAGACATTACACGGCGCAGGCGGCTGATGCTGCGCTGGGCTTACCTGAGAGTTGGAGGGATCGATCCGCTTTCAGAGGGGCCGGAGGATGCTGATTTACTGGAAGAGTCGTCTGCAGTACTTTCTTGGAAGACCGCAGCCACCTTTCCGGTCGCTGGTCGACTCTTGACTGAGATATACGCGGGCTCTAACAACAGTGATGAAGAATGTCGGTGCAATGCAACCCCGGGTCAGGAATGGACGGTTGATCAGTCCCGCGGGAGTCGCGCCATTGGAAAGCTGATGTCTCGCCGTTTACGATGGATGCGACATCAAGCAAGCAAGCACAGGGGCTTCACGCCAGTGCCAACAGCCTGAGTATGCCATCAACTTACTGGTTGCAGCAGGCTTCGTGAATGTGTGCTTTGCAACAGCAGGGGTTTTCTTTGGATTGGACACGACGGGCGGCTTATGGCTAGGGGCTTGGGGTTGCGGCGCACTATAGGCTGGAGCGGAATGTTGAGGGGCGTAAACCGGAGCAGGTTGTGACGGAGGGTAGCCTGGAGGTGCTAGTGACGGATGCTGCTGAGTTGCCGGATACGCCGCTTGCCTGTAAAGCAATCAACAGATAGACACCGAGCCATGTGTCGTGAGCAACGGTCGAGCGCTTTCCGAGCAACATACGCATACAAGATGCTTGCACCACCCAGAGGGGGATGAAGAAGCCTCATACGTACGACGGCCCAGGTCCGGCGGCATAGCCCTGGTAGCTTCCAGCGTAGTAGGCCTGGTATGCTTGATCGGCAATGTTGGAGTACTGTTGCGAGGCATACGCCGGGTACGGTTGCATCGATGCTTGCGGTTGCGAGGAGTATGCCGACGGATAAGTGCCGTAGCTCCCTGGAGGAGGAGTTTGGGGCCTCGACGCCAGCTGCGGATAGTTCTGAGCATACCACTCGGCGTATTCGGGGGAGTTATAGTAGGCAATCTGCTCCGGCGTCCTGTAGGGATTTATGTTTAGCTCAGAGTGAGCTCGAGAACAGCTACTACGTCTATCTGCGGTGCTGGATGGGCGTCCAATATGCCAGTAGACAGGCAGCGCAGGCAGCAACCAGCACGACGAAAGCGACCACCCGAAGAAGGAGGCCTGCGCTGGGTATCGCCCAAACGCTCATTCAGAGCGCGAGTGCCGCCATCACATTTCATCCATCACCGGTTGCCCGATGCCCGCCGTGTCCATGCGTCCACAGGCAGGAGCATCCCAGATCAGCCCCGGCCAGATCGGATCCTACCATTGAGCTGGAGCGGTCATTCCTGGCTGAGCGAATGAAGACATTGCTCAAATGTGCCTGGACTCGATATGGATTCTGCAGGGGCGGCGCTCTCGAACCGGGTATGCTCCTGTTTCAGCTTCAGTTTCGGTTTGGACCGATGCCGGCGAAAGGTGTCGATCGCTCGCGATTGAGATCTGCTGCGAGGACGAGAAGGGGAGGCAGCGAGGGTCGCCTGCGTTTTACAGCTTATCGCAGCGCAGGGAATGCCGTCGGTCCCGATAAACAGCTTCAGAGTCGCACTGGACTGATCGTCGATGGAACACCTTCACACAGACTGACCGCACTCTTGCTGCTCTGGCTGGTGTGCTGTTGCCGCCGCTAGCGTCGCTGTCGATGCTGCTGTTGCCGTTGCTGTTGCTGTTGCTGCCAGAGCGATGGGGACAGGGAAGCCGCCAACAACGGATTTCGATTTTGGTCCGGCCTCTCGGTCACGTGGCAGGTCATATTGCGCTCTGCGCCACCGCCAGTCCAACCAGCCAGAACCGATGCTTGGCGCAAATCCGACACGAGCAGAATCACCAGTGCAGCTCGAATGTGCTCATGGAGTGCAGTTCAGTGATCGTGTATCGCGATCGGCCTCCAATGTATTCGGCATCGTACCAACGCCACATCCCGATCCCAACTTGGACTGCGAGCATGGGGATCGCTAATCATCATCGCACACCTCCATCTCAACATCGTCGTCGTCGCCGTCATCGTCATCGTCGTCGATCGAGTCTGGCGCAGTATCGACTGTGTTCGAACTTGGCTCGACATCAAATCGCGGTGGACCAGGCGGCAGCATCTGCGCCGCATCTCTGATCGATGCCGCGTGGTGTTGCATCGGAGGCGGGGCGTGAGAACCAACATCGCCACGTTGGAGTTCTGGACTTTCAGCGTCGTCCATAGAGACATTGGATGAAAACGACCGATTCGACTCGATCACAGGTACCTGAAGTCGATATGGAGCATGCCCAGCTTCCAGGTTCGAGGAGCTCCGGCTCCGAATGACTCCATCTGCCTCGCGACCGTGGGGCTTTGTTATCCGCGAGCGCGCCGAAGGACCTGAGTCGCTTTGAGGAGTTTGAAATATCGTAGATGGCTCGCGCACGTCATTGCCGAGAGGGATCGCGGACCGTGCTTGCGCGGAGGGATCCTCGGGTAAATCATCGCCGTAGGTACTTTTACCCTCGCCATTGGCCGACCAGGAAACAAGCACGCCGTCGTCGACATCATCATCGTCGAGGAACTGGGGCTCATCGGAGATCTGTGACTTGATTGCTCGGGTCAAGAGATCCGCTGATATTGCATCCTGCGGACAGAGTGCCAAAACCTGCAGGAGCCACCCCACACAGCCAAGAGGGTGAGCATCAACGATCATTTCCGGGTGAGCCGTTCGATCAGAGCTCTGCTGCTTTATGATGCAGCCCAAAGCCCACGATTTAGCGCCGACACCCTTGCTGTGACAAGCTATCGAGAGATTATGTCGATCTCCATTGGCAGCAAGAAACATGGGCAAGTCCAGATAGACAGACATGATTTGGTACCTTGTGATAGTACGTGATTGCCTCATCAAAGTCGCGCTCGATGTGTGCCATCAGCGCCATCGCAGCAAGGGCGCCAGCGTGATTAGGGTTGAGCATAATGAGCCTCTGGAAATATGGCCTCGCTTCGTCGTGGTTCCTGAATGGTGGAAAGTTAATCGGACTCGGTGTGCGGCAGCCCTCGACCACTTTGTGGGCCAACCCTTTCCATCAGGCCCCACACATCATGGCGGATCCTCGCGACTGACAGATGAGAAACTTGAACAGGGGCCAGCACAGTGAACATAACCAACCTTAGGCGCCGATGTGCGTGACCCAGATTGCACAACACCGACTGGAGCACATTAGAATCGCGTTTCGAGACCTCATCCATGTGCGCGAGAGCCTGCATAAGAAACTGAATGGACTTTTCAAACCTGAAACCAAGTCGACAATGAGCACCACAAAGGCATAGGCAGCAGCAGAGCGTATTCGATGTAAAATCACTTGCACGCCCCATACGCAGGTGCCACCGCGCTCTTGACTGAGGCACTTACTCCTCCTTGCGAAAGTACAAGGCACCCAGTTCGTTGTAGAGCAGCGGATCGTGCTTGCATATCTCGTGTGCCATTAAGAGATACTCCTCGGCCAAGCCATCGTTTTGGTTCTGAAGATGCTGCATGCCAATGAACATTATCGGGTGGTGCATCCTAGTTGCCAGCCCAGGGAGCAATCATGAATAGGATGAACAGCCATCAAACCACGACTATGCCGTCGGGGCTCCAAATCAGCCGGTTGGGAGACCCGGGACAGGTTTCTGACAAACATGTCGTGGGGAGGGAAGTAGCTGATCCAAACAAGATCGACGGGCACTTACCCTGGAAAGTAGTTTCTGGCAGTTGAATACGCTGAAATTGCCTGATCGTGCTCGCCTTCATAGGCAAACGAATGGCCAAATCCAATCCACGCCGCGCCAAAATGGGGATCCATCGACGTAGCCTTGCTAAAGAATCGCCGAGCATCAAGATTCCTCTGGACCGACAGATAATACGTTCCGATGCTGTGCCACGAGATCGGGTGGTCGGGGTGCTCTTGGACTAGCTCGTGCGAGAGTCTGAAGAGTTCGTTCTTCTCGCTGAATTCCAGCAGACATGCCAAATGGATAGGGAGACACTTGAGGCTCATAGGATCCTCTCTCCACAACCTGTAAGAAAGATTGGGTGAAAGCACATGAGTACATGTGCCGCACAATGGAGACACGGCTCTGCTACTTCCACCGTTCTTGATGCTGTTGATGCTACTGATGCAACTCAGTTCACATACCGCTTGGTGATCTCCAGACAAGGGCGATACTTGCATTGTGCATACAGCGCGTCTGCCCGATGAAACATCATGTCGTAATTGCCCTTCAGGCCATATTCTCCTTCTAGCCGACCCAACGTCGCTTCAATATCGTTTAATTGATGGTACTGCGTGATCGGAAAGCGAAAACGATAGACTTCTCGTAAATGAGCCGCCCCATCAATCCAAGAAGCAACTCGCTGCTGCACTCAGACAGCCAACGCTCTCAGCGAATCAACAGGCCGAATCAAATATCGGACTCAAGCCTGCTGCACCTTCCGTAGCTGCGACATGTACAGCAGCCTGAACATTTCAGAGTCCTCTGGACATTGGCCAGCAAAATCAAGAGAGTTGCAAAACTGGATCTCTGTGGTTCATCGAGATTTGATCGCAGGTCGATCGGCGCGGTATCAGTCAGCACATAGCATGGCTGTGCTGGAAATGCGCCGACAGCGCCACGTATATCCGCAACCATATCTCCGCGGATGACGCCAAGGACAGTAGTCCCAGGGCTACGATCAATCCAAATCGAAGCTGGTTCAGCGGCGAGCGAGCTCCAGGCAGACTTACCTTCCTCTGCGGTCATCATAAAGTTGTCGATCAGCTGCTGAAAAGCCTGTAGAGCACGCATCCGTACAGGGTCAGTGAGTCGAGCAAAGGCGGCGCAGTCCATCGAGGATTACGATCGGCTGTGGACGTTACATCGATGCATTTGATATCATGCTTGACTGCAGCCATAAAATCTCTCTTGGCGTAATGGCTGAGACCTTGCTTGCGATAGGCCGTGCCACGAAGGTACAGACGAGCCGATTCGAGCTAAACAGCACAGCGCCGTGTGAGCAATGAGACGCTATGGGCCAGACACGCTTTATAGAGCGACGTATCCGAGCCTGATTTCCCAACTCTAGATGCCGGCCCCGATCACTCCATATTCCAGCTCATGTGCGACAAGACATTGAACGAATGTGAGCAACGGCTCATGGTGGGTAGTGACAATCGCTGGGAGCAGGCAGTGGTCGGTACGATACCTTCACAGCAAACCCAGGAAGGTGCTGGACACTCGTGTCGAGCACATCATCAGAATCGTCGTCAGTTGGCCGATCGGCAAGCAACTCCACAGCCTCCTTCCAGCGCTCCAGCTTCAGCTGCAGTTGCGCGACGGTTCCGTGGGCAGATAGCCAAGCCATCGTCGAAAAGCGGTAAATAAACAGGGTGACCGAGAAAGTTGTCGTCAGAAAAGATGGTTGCAAGTCATGAGACGGCTCAGGACGGTGCTAACATTTGTCGACACGCACCGCACACTGAGCGGCCAAATAACGGCAATGGGGATTGCGCTTGTGTTTGGCGGACTTGGAGAGGAGCACTAGTGATCTTGAAAATTGTCCTGTCAGGTAGTATATCTGGCCAAGCCAGTAGGCGTCGCTCGATGATCCTGTGGAGGCAACGCCAGCAGGATAAGGTATGGCGATCGTGTCAAAGAAGCCAACATGCACACCTCATGTCCGCGGGCGGTGTAGATCGGAAGGACGATCAACAGAGCGGCACTGAGGGTGGCGATTTGGGAAAATCGGCCGGGGCAGCCAATCAGGCACGCTGCCGGTGACAGGCATCTGACCTGAGATTGACAGGATCTTGTCCGCCCAAAAGTGGGCCGTGGAATATAGATGCAGCTGGATCGCAGACTGCCTCGAGACCCGCATGCGATCGAGTATCGAGGGTGCTCCCGCTGGATTCGCCTGCATCGATGCTACGGAGCAGACGCTCTTGGTCGACTGGATCTTGGATTGGGCTGAGTCGGACGCCGCCAGATGGCCATGGACATGGCTGGATGGGGGATGTTGCTTGGGGTTCAGGGCTTTGGAGACGGCCAGCGGAATCGATGTCGGCAGGCTGGATTTTGAGGATGGAGGAACTAGCATCCGGTGTGACGGCTGGTGGATCCTTGATGCGAAGTGAGATGCGGCCGTGGTGGACGGGCGGTTGGCATTGCCGCCCGATGAGCGAGTCGGATGCGACATGGGATGGTCTAGAGTCTATGAAGCGGCGAATCAGATGGCAGGGACGCGGCCGTTGGCGAATGTGGATGCGGAAGCCAGCGACAGACACAGGCGAAGATCTCGGAAGGTGGATCTGGGATGCCCGCGGCAATCGGAGCGATGAGTCGCTGATGTGGAACGTCGCTGCCGGGGGGGGGCGACGGAGAAGGACTTTTGGCGGAGGTGAAACCAGCAGCAGCAGAAGCCCAAAGGCAAGGACAGGGAAGCCTCGCCGGCTCGATTGCGGATGGATCCGGATGCGGCCCCCCGCACAGAACATGGACACGGAACGCCGCTCGTGCGCAGCCGCTGGGCAGCCCATATATGGTTACATGCTTGGTGCGCAGTCGGGTGCTGTCCAATCGCCGCCGCGCCTGCCTTTTTGGGACAGATGAGGGCCACCAGCAGTATATATTCGTTTCCTCCTCCGGCACCAGCACGATCGCCATCCCTCTCTCTGTCCTATCGCTGCACTCATTGCCCCCTCCCGAGCCGCCTCCTGTCCGCCGCTCTTCCACTTCACCCGTATCTCTGCCGACAAACACAACAGCCATGCTCGAAGCCCGCCTCGATCAAGCCAGTGTCCTCAAGAAGATCATGGATGCCCTGAAGGAGCTCGTCTCCGAGGCCAACTTTGACTGCAACGACACCGGTATTGCCCTGCAGGCCATGGACAACTCCCACGTCGCCCTGGTGGCCCTGCTGCTCCGTTCGAACGGATTTGACCCCTACCGCTGTGATCGCAACCTGTCCCTGGGTATCTCCCTCGTCTCGCTCGGCAAGATCCTCAAGTGTGCCGGCAACGACGATGTCATCACCATCAAGGCCGAAGACAGCGGCGATCACCTCAGCTTGATGTTCGAGAGTCCCAGTAGGTTGACTCTTGTTCCCTTCCTCCCACGGACCTTACCTGCAGAACGATCCGTGTGCCGTCGTCGGTGGGGGGCGATCGGCTGATCACAGATCTGGTCCGGACGTGGGAGACATGCAGCCGAGGACAACAGTGCCCACCGATTCACCCGCGTGTGGCGACGATCCTGGCACCACCCTCCCCGAGTTGGGTGCCTACCAGTTGCAGACAGCGGTGGACTTGCTGTGCTGGATATGTTTCCAGTCCCGTCGTTGACGATCCCCGCTTTCCATGCAACAGATCAGGACCGCGTCTCGGAGTACGAGCTCAAGCTCATGGACATTGACAGCGAGCACTTGGGTATCCCCGAGACCGACTACGACACTGTTGTTCGCATGTCCTCCGCCGAGTTCCAGCGGATCTGCCGCGACCTTCGCGTCCTGAGTGAATCTGGTGAGCGCTGCACATCCAGTCCTTCCTCGGATGATCACTGACCGCACGTGCCGGCACAATGTCGCTTTCAATCGCTAACTCTGCCTCGGGCCTCAACGCAGTCACAATCGATGCCACCAAGAGCGGTGTTCGCTTTACCGCCACCGGCGATGTTGGCAAGGGTAGCATCACCCTGAAGCAAGGCGGCACGATCGATGATGAGAAGGGCTCCAGCAACACCACCATCGAAATGAACCAGCCCTGCAGCCTGACCTTTTGCCTGAGGTATCTGACAGACTTCACCAAAGCCACTTCCCTCAGCGACACCGTCACTCTCAGCATGTCCGATGGTGTCCCTCTGCTGATCGAATACAAGATCGAAGACATGGGTTACATTAGGTAGGCATTATGGCCAAGTGCTGTCCTCGGGTTCGGGACATCCCCATTTTCGCAGGTGGTCTTTGGCCGAGAAGGCAGGGCTATCGACTTGCACAGAGCTTGGGAAACTAATCTGCCCGCTGCCCGTTGGTATCGATATAGATACTACCTGGCTCCCAAGATCGGCGACAACGAGTAAACCCTGCCAGGCCATGATCCGAATGCAGGACGATCGCTTCGCTGTCTGCCCTGAAGTATTTCTCCACTCCCTTCCATTCCATTCCATTCCCCCTACTTCTGTTTTCGTGGCTTGGCTGTTGCTCCGGCTGCAAATCCTCACACCGATCTGTTTTGATTGTTTTGATATTGGCCCATCTTTCCTGCTTGCGACGCCTGTGCTCGACTGCGCGACCACACACAATGCAGTGACAACCGTGGTGAGCATGGGAACGGGCAACCTGCTCCGTAGGATTGTCGCCGCCTCCGCCTCCCTCAAACAATAAAGAGTATCTATAAAGCGTACCCAAAGCGAAACGGAAGTTGTTTTGAGCAAGGGCTATGGCTTTTTTTGGCCCTGGATACACACGCGCCATCGCCTGTGAAGATCAAGCAGCGCGCTCAGAGTGACCGGAAGCCAAGCGACTCGAGAAAGTCAAATATCTTGGTTTCGAGGAGCCACACTTTGCACGGAAGCTGTCTATGCTGCCATACGCTGTCGGATCGGGACATCTACACAGTCACCCGACATCGCTGCCTGCAAATGGCCTTACACTTGGACTTGTTCAGGATAAGTGGGAATAGGCAGTGCGCATCGATATGCTGTGTGAATCGGCGTTGCTCGATAGACCCGCAGTACTCGAGGTCGGCCTCCCGAGCGACAGTTGCGAGCTCGCTCTGGGGTGGCTCGCCTTAGCGAGACAATTATGCATCCAGCATGCTATCAGTGGAGTTCCAGGCAGCGCCCTGCCACCCGAATATGAGTGGGGCGGCTGCGAGCGAAGAGGGTCGGGGATTGCAAGGCACCACTGCTGTGTATTCAGGGGTCGGCAGGCCAATCATCCCGCTGCAGATCGTGAGAGAGCGAGCGAGCGAGCGAGAGAAAGGGAGCGAGAGCGAGAGAATGTGACGTGACGGAGAAGATCAAAAAGGAGGGGTGAAGACTGCTATGATTCTTGTACCGCTGACAGCAAGCCACCATCAACCAGTCGGGTGCCTTCTCAGCTCAAACCCGGACTCATCCATGGCGAGTTGTTCCCTCCGTAGCAGCCCTGGAAGCCAGGAGATGGCCTTTGGGTGACTTCAGATGCTGTGTGGTTGAAGGGATGGCAGGCGTAGTAGAGTTCTTTCGAAGCAAACAGCGCAACACTGGCTATCTTCGTCGCCCTTTCTGGGCATCCAATCGAAGAGACCGTCCTCCCGAAAGTCTCTGCCACAGATCGGTTTGGGTTGCCCAGGTTGTGTCGGTATTCCGGTCGTCAGGCCAGTCTTTGGAGCCGTCGTTTCTGGATTGTCGGTTCAGCCGACCTCCCCGAGCCGAAGATCGTATTGGTCCGACGGTTGCTTCTACCCATCGCTGATTCAGCCTCGCACCCGCTTTGCCTCGCAAACCTCTTCTTCTCCCGCCAAGAGCCACGAGTGGCCATTAAGCGGTGGCCGCATTGACTCATCTATTGACTCACCATCATCCTTGCTGTCTCGAAAGCCATCGCCAACATCCAAGCAACGTTGCCTTCGTCTTTCATCTGCTTCGGCACCGCTGTTGTTGACTTTCATCGATTTTATCACCGGCCCCTCCTTGACCTGGACTTGACCTCGGCCGACCGAGTTCTGTGTGAATACCTTCCTTAAAGTCTCAATTTGAGTGTTTTTAGTGTCCCACCCAAATCTTTGTGGTGAGGCGGGTTCGTATAGAGTGTAATTCGCGACTTTGTTGCCTGTTCCTGCTAAAAGTGTCGGCAGGTTGGATGCCTCTGACGCTGTTTGCTCGATATGCTTCGCTCGCCTTCATGAACCATCTGGGTCCATTCATCGTTCGCGGAAAATATGCCGTCGTTCCTATCCGTGGGCGCTGATTCTGTTCATGAATGACAGGCTATTCTTCTGTGTTTGTCCTGTCGACCGTTCTCCAGAGGAGGGACAAGCCCATCCTTTCGTGTTGCAAGTGTCGAAGCTGCTTTCAGCTGAATCATCATCATAAGCCTCGGGCTATATCTCCAGCGATGGTATGGATATCGCATGCAATCGACGCATGATTCCACTTTATGTGCACATCTCCGTGCAGGGGTTGATGCCACGAGCCGATCATCGTGAACCGAGTTCTGTGATCCTGGGTCCTGATCAGGACGGCTTGTCGAGAACTTAACAGGAAATGGCCATTCAGAGATGAGTCAACTAACCATGGCCTCCGTTCGGTATACTGGCCTTCGTGCAGTACCAGCTTGTCTTGGCCGATCAGCCGATCCAGGCACAAACCTCTGGCTTCGTGCAGGAGTTCTACGGGCGCTCGATCGACCCAATCCCGCTCCTGCAGTTGCGCTACCGCGATGATAGCGGCGTTAACGTTTCAAAGTAAGCAATACTGTGACACTCACCTCATGTGTGGCATCACACACTCCGAGTCATCGGCAGGTGTTCTAACCAGCGTGTGGAAATATGGCCCTACAGCGCAGAGCATCCGGCGATAGCTGCGTCCGTTTCGTTCGTGGTGCACGTCCAAATCGAGATTGTACAGGACAATACGACGACGAGTGCATCAAAGCCGGAGCCGGCAAACTTGGCAGCAAGAAGGGAAAACCCAGCGCATCGTGGTATGAATGTGCTTTCGATGATCGATCAACCCATTAGTGACCAACCCCAGGCCTGTGCAGGCGGGACGAGTCAGACCCACACTTTGGACCTGAGCGACCGCGCTGCACTATCCCAGCGCAATCCAAAAGAACCAGTTTGGGATGGACAGGATGAAGCAGCAAAGCCCCAAGCGCAAGCAAACTGTCAGGTCCCCAGGCACTTCCTTCGCGAATACGGTCACGGCGCTGACCATCGCAGTCTTGCGGACACTCAGGAATCCAGCCTGTTTGGGAGCAACGAACTTGACAGTAACCAAGAACTTGACAGCACGGAAGAACGTGACAGCACGGAAGAACTCGACAGTAGCCAAGAACTCGACAGTAGCCAAGAACTCGACAGTAGCCAAGAACTTGACAGTAATCAAGAGCTTGACAGTAGCCAAGAAATCGATAGCGTCACGCTCGGAGAAACGAACGAGAAAATGCAAGGCCGCGCCTTCAGGCGACCTCGCAACGGCATCGAGGCTGTCCAACGATCCATATACCCTCTCTATGGCAACCTGGTGTCGCCCAGCTACTTTGCGCGAGGGCTCGACGGCAATATTGGCGTCTTCTTCATCTTTGGCAATCTCTGTATCCGATACGAAGGCCTCTTTCGGCTGCGCTTTATCCTGGTCGATCTGAGATTGTGAGTTGACTCTGCTGCACAAGGCAAACGATAGAGCGTGGCCTGTGTTATGGCGTGGTTAGCATGTCCGCCCAAGTCAAGTCGCTACGATCAGTCTTGGGTGACGGATGCCGTAGCTGGATATGCATTCGCCACTCGTCCCTTGAAAACGGCAGAGTGCAAAAGCAGCGACAACAGGGCCCAAGTGCCCCTGCAATACAACGAGGACGCGAACAGGAACGCCCAAGCTTCCCAGCCCAAACGAAGGCGGACGCTGGATCGGTGGGGACAGCCCGCGATGGCCGAATATCCTCGACTTCCGAACAACCCTCAATCGAATCAACTACAGTAGCAAGCGGGCATCCACTGCATTCGATATCACTCACGCCATCGGCACCATGGATTGCGACGGGCTGTATTCGCTCGCCTGTTCATGCTGCATGGATAAGCCGAGGCTTTCCGTGAATGCCTCTGCTCCTCAGCCCGATACCCATACTTACCCTTTGTATTTACGAATGCACCGCAACAACATACCTTCTAGATCAAGCCCGATTCCATTGCCTGTGACTCTTCTCTCGATGGTCTCCGATGCGTTCAGGGCATATCGCTGGCGCGAATTTCCAGGAATGATGAGTACGGTGTCTGACTCGCTGGCCGCAAGCAGTTGGTCTCCACGGTGATGGCTCGCTCTTCGGACGCCTGCAACATCCACCTTGGTTACCCCGCTGATGCCCATATCGATTCAACGTCTGCATGGCGTGTGGGTGCTGATATGAGCGCCGGTGTGGATGTATCGACGACCGAGCCTATTAACCCTCCGGACTTGACCATCGTGCCCAGAAATCACTCCTCTCGCGAAGCATCTCGTTATGCAGGGTGTTGTCAAGGTCATCCGCAAAGTTCGCCCCAAAAAAACAAAACCCGCAAAGGTAGATCCCAAAAACCGCCCCCTCAAATGGATCATGGTGAAGCCTGAGATCAAGGAGCACACCGACGCAACTGAGGGCCAGACTGCTGCTAAAGGAAGCCGAGCAAATGGCTCAAAAAGAGGTGGTAGGCCAGCAATCCCTGGACGCCATATTTCCAGCCCGGTCGTACCTGGAAGAGTGGAAGCTCAACGTGGGCTCGCAAGGGAAAGTGTAGGTGACGTCGTCGACAATCTGTCGTATCCTCTGTCTGGACAGAGCAACCGTGGCCTTCAGTCTGCGTTGACCTCCATTGATGCCCGATGTTGCTCACCAGGTTACGGAGGACGGGAAGAATAGAGGAACGAAACAGCAACAGAAGAGATCGAGGGTAGGAGAGGTGTAGATAAAAACAGGAAATGATAGCCGAACTGACTCTCAAGCCCTCCCAAGCCCTTCTGGATGCAAATCATATGAACCTAGAACCGAAAGGACAACAGACGCTGCAGTGATAGACCGGACCACGGCTAGCAAGGATGTATCCTCGCGAGCGAGAGATGGACATGAGGTAGCGGCGAGGATTCCAGGACGGCAGAGATGTGTCTCGAACCGGCGACAGGGGCAGGGCGATGAGATCAAGTCAGAAAACCCAACCGAATGCGGGCGCTGGCACGAAAGCCAAAAAGCGCACGACTTGATTCAGGCGCACCCACAACCCACAGCGACCTGCCAAAACCTCGTCACCAGGAGGCTGCTGCATTTTCCTCAGACTCCATGCGTCGAGTCGATTTGGAGCCTCGGTTGTCGTCCTGACGCTGTCGATGGCTCGTTTGCCTGGCCTCGTTCTCGCCGTGACGATACATAGCCTGCTGTGGCGCGGGCACCCGAAAGGCGAGATCATCACCGAACCACCCGAGCTTCCATCGGCAGATCGCCCACCAGCGATATATGCGAATGCAAATGCCATTCGCGGACAAGCATATCGAGTGGGTATGTAACAGGCGAGTGTCTGCATACGAACCGGATGCGGGTCGCACTGTACAAATGCATTTGCAGCGCCAATAGCAACTCGTTCATCTCGCCGACCGAGATTGTTGATCTGGACAAGCAACTGGGCAAACGCTTGAAGGCCGGCACAACTGAGATGTCCATCAGCGCTACCCTTAGCTTAGGCAGCAGCATGGGAGTGCGAGGAGCCCGGGCTGCAGCGATACAACTCGAGTCGAAGCTGCTGATCAGAGCCGCTGATCGGAGCCGCCCAGGTCCACAAAAGGCCGTGGTGGTCGTTCAACTTGAGCTGGCGGTGATGTCGTCGAGGCATCCAAAGGAAAGTGTGGCATTCCTCCTCCAGTATTCAACATATCCGAGCCAGTTCGTTGGAAATCGACTCAACTCGGTTGACAGGTCAAGGACTCTGAGGGACTCCCTCTCGCACCCGTTGCACTCAGCATTGATGCGAGCAGGAGGCTCTCATGACAAACATATCGTCCAGGCCAGCAGATGTGAAGTGTATTCATGTGCAGATTCTAGATGAAGGCCGAGCCCAGCCAGTGAGCCACCCCTAACCAAATCAGTCCTCGCGCCTCGATTGCGTCCTCACAGCATCGAGAAGCGGGCGTAAATTTGCGACGGCACTCCCCGCCAGTGCATGGATCGAGGTCGATCCAAGCAAAGAGCTGAATCCGTCGTTCATGTTCAACCGACGGGTCCTACTGATGTTGGGTGAGGTCATGGAGTCGGTGCTTCTGTCTTCGCTCCTATTGAGCATGAAGACGATAAGAGTCAGGATCAGGTCTTCAAGTCGTCGAGCCTGGGCATGGTGTTGTCTGCCATGGACGGACTTGAAAGATCCAGGCGGGACAGACCGCTTCCCCGCTCGCGACTTACCTCGAATATCTGGGCGATTTCGAGCTGCAGCGGCGTGCGTTCCGGCATTGGTGCTGTTGTTGTACAGTCCGAGCGAGAGTGAGGAGGCGAGCCGAGACTCGGTGCATACGATTTTACGAGGCCCCGCTGCCATCGGACCCGCAGTGACCACGCTGGCTATCCGCTACGGTCGACACTGGCGGAGGGCCCGAAACAACTTACCGAGTGTGAGAGCAATGTCCTGAAGGCTTTGGTTGGCAAGGGCCAGGTTCCTCAGCATCACAAGCCCCTCGTCGGTGATGAAGGTTTCATTGGCTGGAGCAGGGACAACACACAGCGCATAGCGCAAATGCCAAATCAGTGCAAGGTAACAGTATACATGGGCCGATGTGCCACACTGTCGACGAGCACAAACAGGACCGCACCTGGCTCCGCAAGCCGTAGGAAGCATCTCACGCAAGATGAAGCACCCTAATTAACTTACTCTGGCGGCCACACAGGACCAGTGACTTTAGGGTTTTGTTGACCATGAGGCCATCGACGAGACCGAGGACACCATAGTCGCCAATTCGGTTGCCTAGCGAGCCAGACAGCGGGATTCCGAAGCCAATAGCCAGTCAGCGGTGGACGAGCACGTCACGACGGTTCTGAGCACACACGAGCGAAGCCGGGACTCACCTGACAGGAGGAGACGATGCAGGTTTTTGACTTTGGCCATCAGCTTGCCAATAGTAAAGCATCCCGCCTCATCAATGCCACAGTCTGCTCCATGGTGTAGAGTGTTAGCTCAAGCAAAGATGGATGGCAGGAACATGTCGCGATAATCCGTTGCGAGATGGATCTCCAAAATGATGCACTCACATCCAATCTTGAGAATCTCGAGCTCGTTCTTGAACTCAAGGGCCTGAACAAGGGAAATGCCGCCTTCGTTTCCAAATAGATTGTCTGAGGATTCGACATTGCGGGTCGTCAGGTCCAAGTTTGAGCATCCGCACGATCAAAAAGCCCATGCATTACAGTGCAAGTATCGGGTGATCTCAACAACAGCGGCCTCGCATCCACGTTGCAGAGAAGATGGACACTCAAGGGACCGTCGTTAAGGAAAGCCACTGACATCGTAGATCGAGATGCTGGAGCCCTATGTTGCGGGCAAGCATCGCCGCCAAACGGGCAGCACCTTGCGGCTTGACTGCACAATCTGAAGAATCACAAGGCTCCATCAGTCGCCAAGATCGTCGACACAAGGCTCAAGCGCCAATTGAATCTCCAGCAGCGACCGAGTAGAGAAAGGCGTCTGCTGTTATGATGACGGTTACAATTGTGCAGCACTTACTCGACATCAACAGAAACTCCAGGGTGGTGTTGTGGATGAGCGATTCCGCTATGGTAACGACTCCATGGTCGCCGGCTTCGTTAACTGCAAAAAGGCATTGCGATAGCGACAAGTCCGACCGAGAAAGCACATTCAGTAAACAAGTTCAGGATGATCCGCGGTTGCCACATGCAAATACGATATTTCGATACTGGGGCTCAGTCCACAATGCGTGCAATCAGAGTCCATCGCGCTTCATCAAGTGCGATCTCATCAACAAGGCTGTACCAAACAAAAGCACAGATGCCAGACAATCGCCAGACAATCGCCAGATAATCGCCAGATAATCGCCAGATAATCGCCACTGTAACTTACATGAGACATCCAGGCTTTTCAAGCCCTTGTTCACTCGGAGGCCGTCGCCGATCAGGTTCATGCCGTTTGGAGTGATGCTATTGTCTGGCGGGAAAAAAACAAACGGATGAAGAGTAAGTGACCAGAGCTACAATCCGGCGGTAAAAACAATCGGCTTATCACAGCGATTTTGCAGTGTGGTTGCTGACGTACTGGATATGTCGATTTTTTCGATCTTATCATTCAAGATTAGACACATCGCCAGGGATGCAGCGGCATAGTCACTAAGGCGGTTTTCTGGGGTTTGTTGAATGAGAGCAGCAGCGGGATAAGAAAAGAGCCACAGAGAGCACGCGGGATTGATCGTTGGTGACAGAAACAGCAGGTTCAAGATGCCACGCATAACTTGGCGAATACTTGCTTGAAATCTCGAGACGAGTTAAAGTGCGGTTAGTCTGCAGGGTGTTGAAGAGGGTGATCATGCCAGTAGTGCTGATGCCGCATTCTGATTGCCGCGGCGAGGGAGGGTACCAAGGGCTTGTGTGAGCGACAACGATTTTGGAGCGGAATCCCCTCCTCCCAAGATCCAAGGGCTGATCCCATACGCCGTGCGGGTGACAGAGGGCACTCCAATCCCGGAACTTGTTGCCTTCGCGTGACGGCTCACTTGACGCCCGACTTGGCCTCGATCCAGAACCAGATCCAGATCCAAATCCAGATCCAAATCCAGATCCGGATCCAGAACCAGATCCAAATGCAACTTATCAACAGCATCGATGAATCTGGGTATTACTGTCCGTACCGTTGAGTATGAGTCTGACGAGGGTGGTGTTGGTGGCCAGACTCTGCGCGATTGAGATACATCCATCATTCCCGAGTTCGTTTTCTAAAGAAGTCAGTCGGCGACGGGAGATTGCGATCCAAGATGCCGCATTGGTGAGTACTTCACTTGCCACGATCGGCTCCTGGCAGCGGCGAATGAGGCGCGTGCTTGGGCTGGCGAGGATCTTGCTGCAACTTACTATGAAGGTCAAGCTCAATGAGGGAGCAATCGTTGACGACTCGGCAGATAACCCCAGCTCCGATCGGGCCCACAACATCATCTGTGCAGATCCGAGTCAAGCCGTTCCAAGAGCACCGTGCCGTTAGCAGCCAGCCAGCCGAAACGACCATAGAGCACTATCACGACGGACGATCCACGAGATACGAACCACAGATTCCCATTTCCTTTACCAGCGATGCCGAATCGAGCCGCCGGAGCAGCAGCTGAACGCCATAGTCGCCGATGTGACATCCTGGGACGAGAAGCGACGACATGGTCCAAAGTGAATCGCATAATCACGCACAGATGAAGGAGTGGCAATGGTGATCAGATTGATGTCACTTGCTCGGGCGTTGAGGTTGTGGTGCTACAGCAAAGTACCGGAGCGACTTGGCAGCACCAGCACCAGCAGCAGCAGCACCGTGCAGAACTGGTGATTGCAGGGCACTGCCCCTGGCTCATGGACAAACCAGCAGTGCAGAGGACTTACCGCTGAGTCTCAGCTTTTTCAACTTCGTAAGCTGCAGAGCACCACCCAAAGCCGATACCTGGCTAAGCGACAGCTTTTCATCTGTGATAGAAAGTGAGCGTGATGGGAACTCAGAGTATCAGAATATCGCAGGTGTTGGGGGTTCTGAAGACATCAAACTCCGTGTCAACATGGCATGGGCACGAGGAGGGATCCAGCAGAGTCCAGGCAAAGTGTTCTCCGGTAAGAACCGGATCTGCAAGAGCGGTGAATGTGCCCGCAGGAATATGCTCGCAGGTAGATGTACACAGAGATGCCCATGCAACAGCAGGATGCTGCGACAATAGTTCTGGGATGATCCGAAGCGGCCGTGCAGTCCCGGCCTGCTCTGCGTTCGAAGGTTTACCTTCGAAATAGAGCCCCGGACGACTTGAAGCCGGTAGCAATAGAGCGAGGCGATGGGCGTCGAATTCAACGTATCCGTATAGAAAATCCGAGATCTGCTCCTCGACCGAGTCGGAGACATGAGCTTGCAGGGCCTGGTTGTGGAGGGCAGCGGCGAACGAGAGCTGGTCGACCGGGAGATCGATGTAGTGCAAAATGAGCAAGAGGATGTCCCAGGGCAGCTCTTGAATGGCGGATGAGCTTTGGCGGATGTGCGGGGCCAGGGCCGAGTCGGACATATCCGAGCCCGGATATGTAGGACGGCGCTGGCAGGAATGGGACGACAGCAGGCCGGCAATTTCTCGCTGAAGCGCTCGGCACGACGGACAGCTGGAACAGAGATTGGCCAAAGCCGAGAGCGAGGGAGGATACGGGCATGGCGAGACGGATGGAGGGCAAGGAGACGGCGAGGTGGAGGGAGGACAGGAACGCTTGGCCGGCTGATAGTCCGAGGCGGGGCTATCATGATGATGGATGGGCGGCGACAGCAGGCAAGGAATCGAGAGCTTTCTTTTCTGGGAAGCCATTGAGGCGAGGACGGGAGATGCTAAGCAGGCTGGGCAGGCTGGGCAGGCTGGGCAGGCTGGGGTCGGAAGGAGGGAGGGCCAGAGACGGACGCAGGCTTTTGGAGACGAGGTTTTGGTGCAGATGCCAGAGTCGCCGGCAGAGAACAAAGGGCCCTGGACAGAGCGGTCCTGGGCAGGCCGTGCGAGATCCAGGCAGATATGCAGACGGTCAGGATCCGGAACGACGGCGCCCAGGATGGCGGGTAGAAGACTCTGCTGATGGAGCAAACCGCCTCAGGCAGCACAACGGTCGAGGAGAAGCGCGGATTTGAGTTTACTCCGGCGTTCAAGGAGGAGGGCAAAACCTTGATTCTGCTGGGCTGGGCGAGCCGAGAAACGATAGGGGGTGTGGGAGGGCGGGCCCGACAAGGCGCCAGCGATGCTGATTGAGAGCCGGGAACGCCGACTGATGTGATGCAGTTCAGAGATGCCTGGTGCAAGTCGGCTCGACGGACGATGCGGCGAACGAAGGAACGCACGACAGATCGATTCGACGGTCGGCTCGGGGGTCACCTCGATGGGACATTGATCCGGCAACGGCGACAACGGCAACGGCGACAACGGCAACGGCGACGACAATGACAATGGGCGATCTGACGTGGGCCGAAGCCATCCCGAAGGCGACACTGCACAGTCCCTCGCTCCCTCTGGGCACTCGGCCCTGATAGCCAGTCGTCGCCAGGTACAGCTCCCTTCCCCGAACGACACCGGCGACCCACTCCGAGCATGGTTACTCGCAAACGACTTGGCTCGCATTCGGCTTGGCTCGCATTCGGCTTGATTGCGGCTGGGGCGATCGCGCTCGTGGGCACGAATGAGAGCAGGGCTCGACCCATGCCGAGCACCCACCCACCTCTGCCGCAATCGCATTTTTTCGGATCGCTCGCACAGACATGGAGACGCTGCCCCTCAACGAGATCCAGGCTGCCTTTGAGGCCGAGACGGCTATCAAGGATGTAAGTCACCGGCAGCCAGCGATCTGCACATGTCCCTGGCCCTCGCCCAAACATGCACCGATCCGCCTGGCCGAGTGCCGCGACAGCATCGGATGCAGGACTCGATCTCGGCTTCGAGATGCATCACACGGCTCGATTGCTCACCGCCAGACTCCTGTCTCCCTCATGCAGAGCATCAGCCAAGTCTCCAAGGATCTGGAACGTGCATGCAAGAGCATCGGTAGGCTTGCCACTTGAGCCGGCAGCAGCGACGGCTTTGGCCTCACAGCTTCGGCATATCGTTGCCTCGAGAATGGATGGCCTCGCCAACACGGAGAACTGCATGTCCATCGCCTCCTTGGCTGTACCGCCTCTCTATTTCCCATGAATGTCGCCCAACGCCTTGCCTGCTCATATTGTCGTTCCATTGGTTTCGTTCCATTGGTTCCGTTATCTGCCAATGCTGGCTCGCTCAGTCGCCGTTCTCAACAAGATCCACATCACCACGACCCAGGAAGGTGGGTGTATCCGCTGGCTGCCCAGAAACCAAGATGTGCAGATGTGCACTGGACTGATCGCCGGTCAAGTCGATGTCAAGGACACCGATTGGTTGATGTGAAGCGGTGCCCGTCCGATTCTCCTTTCGATTGATCAATTGATCGATCAATTGATCGGATCTCAGCCAGGGCCATACTCACTGCCTCTCGCTGTATATCTGCTGCAGTGATCGACGATGCCTGCGGCAAAGCCCTGGCCCAGTTCCAGGATGTCAAGACCCATCTTGGGCGACTCGCGGCAATTGTCCCGGCAAACATGTACTTTCGATACAGCGGGCTCTATTACTTCCCGATCCAGCAAGGTGCGTCCGGGCAAGCGACCTGATGGGCCATCGCACCGAGGACTTGGTCTGCATCTGTTGCATCTGTTGCATCTGTTGCATCTGTTGCATCTGTTGCATCTGTTGCTGCGATCTACGGATCGGAGGCGGCAGCCGTGCCTCGCTCTCCTAGTCGGAGTCAGACTTGACGCTTCGTTTTGCCGATCGGCTGCAGCTGTTTCGTTGGCGGCCTTTGTGATTTACCTCAAGCACGAGCGACTCATCTCGGTTGAGGAGCTCGAGGGCATCCTGGGTTTGCAGCTTGCCTTGGGCAAGGAGATCCATGAGTTCCACCTGAACCTCGAGGATTTTGTTTCGGGCATTCTGTCGCTGCCCGCCGAACTCTCGCGCCTGGCTGTCAACAGGTATGTGGGCCATCCAAGCCAATGTGCGAGATCTTTTGGTGGCTGCTGACCCGCTACTGGCCCGCTGCTGACCCGCTGCGTCCTCGTTGTCTCCAGCGTCACTCGTGGAGACTATTCTCGCCCGCTCAGGTAACGATGGTTGGCCGCCACTTGGTGACAATCGCTCAAGCCGCAACATCGACATCGCAATAACCCGCTTTGGCCGGCCCACAGGATCTCCAAGTTTGCCTCGGAGATGTACTCGAGCATGCAGATGCTCAATTTCAAGAACGATGCGCTGCGACGCAAGTTTGACTCTGTCAAGTGTAAGTGTCTTTTCTGAGGACCTGGTTGCTGAGGCGAAGCAAATCGACTGCCCTCGTTGCTGAACACCCACGATCTGCCCACGATCATCTGCCCACGATCTGCCCATCGTCGGCATACAACTCACGCATAGTCCACATATTGTTCGCTCATTCCACCACATATAACCCATACATGGCCCACGCCCTCCGCACACTCCATACCACCCACGCCTCGATCTGCGCATCCCGGCGTCCGGCCTCTTGCTCCCGCCCCTCCTCGCCTCCCAGACGACATCAAGAAGATCGAAGAAGTCGTCTATGATCTCTCGATCCGTGGCCTGAACAAGCCATGAGCGGGCTGGCTGCAACCGGCTCTCGCGGCCCCATCTCGCGGCGCCCTCGCGTCCTCTCGCCCGCTCTCGTCCCTCGCCAGTCCGGCTGGTCACGAGAGACAGCTTTTTTTCCTTCGCCGGACACAAAACTGGGCAGCGTTGCTCCCCTCCCACTTTTCGTCCCTCTCCACATCGCTCCATCCCGCCCTCTCTGTCCGTCCTCCCCCCCCTTCCCTACTTCAGAAATGGCTGCCACCAAGGTAGGATCTCGCTCTGGTCGTGCTCTGTTGCTTCTGCTCTCTGTCTGCTGACCCCGATCGGCTGCTGATTCGGCCGTGCACCAGATCTAGCACATCGCCCTGTTCTGACTCTCTGTTCTGCTCTTCCTGCTCCTAGATCTTTGTCGGAAACCTCTCTGTAAGCCCGAATACATAAACCTCTCCTGCGGGTGTCTGCGCTCCTCCCTCCTCCAGCGGGACGTCTCCTTGCACTCCTCTCTCTACCGCTACGCTGTGCTGCCGAGAGGTGCCTGGTCCGGTAGTCCCGGCACTCGCACCTCTTCCTCTCCCCCCCCTTCTTTCCCTCGAATTGCTCCAGCGCTTCTCTGGAGCCTCAGAGCTGCTCCACAGCGGCAACGTGGCTCTTGGTTTGCTGCTGGAGCCTTCTTTGTCCCTGGCACTCGGCTCTCCAGACCCACGCCCAGTGTGCGGAACTGGCAGCCGCACACTGTCTCTCTCCACCCTTCCCCCGTATAAGGGAGAAGGGAAGGGGCTGTTTTTCCACGCCACGAGCATCTGTCCTCGAGGTGCAACGGATGGTACCGATTGACCCGGGTGATCTTGCTCTACCTCTCCACTTCCCCCCCATCTAACCCAATGGCTGCGGCTTTCTTTAGTGGAACTCGACCGACGAGTCCCTCCGCCACTGCTTCTCGGCTTTCGGAAACGTTTCCGACTGCATCGTTCTCCGCGATCGTGAGACTGGTGAGTAGATCAACGCAGATCCAGTCTGTCTCTGGCAGTTAGGCTGCTCCTGCGGCCATGCCACATCCGATCGCCCCTCTCCCAACGAGCTGCGCTGCTCTGCTCTTTCGGTGACCGTTCGCTGACCAGCTTCTTTCCTTTCTGCATCTCCTATCCTGCGTAATCCCTCACAGGCCGCTCCCGTGGCTTTGGCTTTGTCACCTTTGACTCCCCTGAGGCTGCTGAGGCTGCCGTCAACGGCATGAACGACCAGGATCTCGATGGCCGCAACGTCCGTGTCAACATCGCCAACGAGCGCCCTGCCGGCGAGGGCCGTGGTGGCTACGGCGGCCGCGGCCGCGGCCGTGGTGGATACCGGGGAGGGTAAGCATCCTTGCTTTGAGCACTCTGACTGACGTCCAGCGGGTATCCAGCGCTGGCATCTCTGACCATGTGCTGTCAGCGGTGGTCGGCGGACAGCCCGATCGATGCTCGATCTTTGATCGACTGGCAGTCTGTCGGTGTCAGGCGGTTTGTTTGGTGCCGAATCGAGCTGGGACTCTCGCCTGCTCAATCACTGACTTGCTCTCGCCTGGCTGCCCTACCCTACACAGCTACCAGAACCGTGGCTACGACAACGGTGGCTACCAGCCTGCCGGTGACTTCTAAGCGTCGCCTGGCGCACTGGCCCGCATGAGTGTTTTGCTTCTGGAGCCCGAGATGTCCTCTCGGCGCCGTTGTTTTGTTGCTTCATCCTGTCCTCGCAAGATGGACGGCTCAAAAAGAACTGTGCTCTTCTCTGTACATAGGATTGGAATTCTGTTTGATTTGGCCCCCGCTGCCCTCTCTTGTGCTTTCTCACCATAATCCTCCTCCGCCTCCCCTCGATCTCTCCATCGCTCTTCAGCTCTCCCTCTCTCTCTATCTCACCCCTCTTCTCCGGCCGACTGATCCTTGCTGATCACGATCGTCGCTGTGGCTTGTTCTCCGCTTGCCTTTTGTTTCTCCTTTTAGTCTGGGTCTGGGCCTCCCTGCATTACTCAATATAGCTCCAGCTCTTGCTCATCAACATTGACTTTGGGCTATCCAAGCGACAGGTGGTGGTGGTGGTGGTGGTGATGATGATGTCTGTCCAAGAGGGATCTCTGGTATGTGGTAGCTTCCAGTCGATCCAATAAAAAACGGGACACCCGTGATTTTGACGATTGATCAAATATTTGGTTACCCAATCGCGCGCTGGCCATGACCGTTCAGTGATGGAATTCTGGGTCTGAATCAAGGACGCCACTGCGAACAACATCGCTGCCAGCCCAAAATGCGCTGGATTTGAGGAGATTCTTTCTTCCCCAAGGGCAGACCCAGCCATCGTCGCTATTTTCTCGCCAGATGGCTCCCCACAAGCGAAAGACACCACCCAAGCAGCCAAGTGGGTCCAGAGCACCCACAAGGCCCTTGGTCTGCCGGAATGGATGAGCACCACACCAAGTCCCAAGATCCCTGGGTTGGCTCCCTTCCTGCGATACATTCGCCATGTGTTCGATGGAGACATGCTGGACAAACAGCTGTACTTCAGCCTGACCCGGCGACGGCGATTCAAGCGACTCGATCTCCAGGCGTGCTCACATTGTCGGGAAGCCAAGCGACTCGAGAAGGTCGAGCATCTTGATATCGAGAAACCACACTTTGTCCGGAGCTGTGCAAGCTGCCATACACTGTGGGATCGAGACATCAATGCCTCAAGGAACATGATCTCGGTATGCCAGTCGATCATTGCCACAGGAGATCGACCGGGTGTATTCAAGACTGTGCTTCCCAAACCAACCAAAACCACTCGATTGCCAACCAAGACGGGAAACAATCTCACGGCTTGCTCACTGGGGCCTACAGTCAGCCAGCGAGGTTCAGACATCTGAAGCCAGGAAGGAACTGTCCCGTTTCTCTCTGGACCGACTGTAGATTCTGATACCAATGCACCAGCGATCAGATGTGGCAAGGTCGCCTTGACGGACGCTGTGGATTCGCAGTGAGATTCACTCGATGTTCGCTGTTATGAGGCATTGCCATGTCTGATGATGCTTGTGTCTGTTACAATAAGACAACCCCAAGCGAATGCAACCAACCCACGTCCCATCACCATCACCATCACCATCACCATCCTCACCATCACCATCACCATCACCATCACCATCACCACCACCATCGTCGCCGATACCAACAATAATCACACCGTCTCTTTGTCGGTACGAGCTGGTTTGTTCATATGTATTTCCTTGGATGAACAGCGTACAGTGCACGCCCCCATCGAATCGGGAAGCCAAACCAGAGAGAGAGGAGAATAGAATCACATAGAAGAGGGTCATAGAGTACAGCATTCCAAGTAGAGGCCAGCATTCCAAGTAGAGGCCAGACATCGCATCGAGGACGGGGAGGGAGAGAGAAGATTCAATCATGTGTACCGTTGCCGGGCGACAATGAAAGAACACGCACTTCCCCCCTGGTCCCCGGCTCATAGAATTACAAAGTATTAGAATATTAAGCCACACTGTGCGGGGCAAGGCCGACGGGGGCCAAAGGGGAGAGGAGAAATTTAGCACTCCTTGGGGAGGGGATCGACGAGACCCATACACTTGATGACAGTGTTGTAGCGGGCAATGCGAGCCTGCTGGTTGGCGTTGGTGCCAGCACCCTGGTCACACTCGATGGGGTTGATGATCTGGGTGGCATTGGCAAAGCCGGAGGCGGCGGCAATGTTGTTGAAATCCCAGAACCACTTGGTGGTCTGCCAGGCAACGGTCACGTTGGTCTCGACAAGACTGGGGTTGTTGACGAGGTCCAGGCCAAGAGCCTGTCCCGCGGCGGCGTAGTTGCAGACCCAGGTCAGCTGGATGAAGCCTCTGTACAGGTGTTGGACAAGTGTTAACGGGAGAAACGGTAGATTGGATTAGTTAGGGATGAGCACAATGCATGGCCGTATCAGGGCCAAAGTCACGAAGAATCTGCCGCCCGTCGCCGTCGACGGTGATCCGATGGTGCTCGTTTCGTACCTTCCGTAGTAGTGCTGGCCGGCGACAGGGGTGGTCGAGCCACAGGGCCAGCCTTGGCCATCAAAGTCCGTGAGGCAGCTGGGGTTGGCGCCGGGCAGAGAGCAGTACTCGCTGTGGGCCATGCGGGAACAGGACGAGTAAGAACAAGGCGATGGAGCAGCCAATGATTACTTCAGATGCTGGTGGAAGTTGTCGACTCGCTTAGCGCCATGCAAACGTACCGGAGGGCAGTGAGGCCGTCACTTTCGTGATCAATCTCACCCAGGAAGATGGCCAGCTTGTGGGGGTCGGTCACCCAGGGCTCGTCGTTGAAGGTGGAGACGAGACCCGTGAATCGCTCGTAGGGAAGGGTGCCATTGAGCTGGGTGAAGATGCAGTTGAACTGGTCGTAGGTGATGGCCAGGTTGCCAGAGCTGGGGGTGTTGGTAGGGGTGGTAGTGGGCGTGGTGGCGGTAGTAGTGGTAGTAGTGGTAGTCGACTTGACGGGAGTAGTGGAGGTCTTGGTGGTGGGCTTGGTGGTGGTGGTCTTGGTGGTGGTGGTCTTGGTGGTGGTGGTGGTCTATTATAGAATGGAGCAGTTCGATCAGCGGTCGTTCCCATCCAAGCTCTCCTCGTCTGCACAATCTGCTGCATCAGTGAGCATCCTATCTGCAGTGCCAGGTTCAAACCTTGCTGCGAGTGGTCGGGACCGAGCTCGAGGTGGTGGTAGCGGACGCAGTGGAAGGCAGGTTGCAGATGATCGAGTTGCCGCTGGGGTAGCAGACAGTGCCAGGTCCACAGGTCAGGGCGTAGTTGGTTCCGCCTGGATCGTGCAAAGGAGTTAGGTTCAGTGGCAATCGCGCCGTGATGTGACCAGACGCCTGATGCGATCGACAACAGACAGGCACTGACCAGCGCACAGGGTAAAGTCGGGCAGAACGCCGGGCGAGACACACTGGTAGGCGCCTTCGGTGCAGGCAGCCGAGGCAACGGACACAAGGCCGGCAACGATGGTAGAGAGGGCAAGGGAGCGGCTGGTGAACATTCTTGAGGTCAGAAGACTGAGGTCAAAGAGAGGGACAGAGAGAGCGGGTGGGAACGGGCGACGAAGGACTGGGCTTCGGATGAGGTGCTGGCTCTCGGAGACAGATCGCTTGCGATGGCTGTCTCAAGACCGAGAGGGAGGGCCCTCAATTTATATCTGTTCTTGCAGGGCGATGGGGGGAAATCGCAAGAGGCCCCAGCCTGACCGGCTGATCAGACGAGCAGCAGGACCAGAGGCGCGAGCACAAAGCCCATGGGAGAATGACTCGTTGGCCAAGGCACAGCAGCAACGGGAGCGGCACGAGCAAGTCCCCGAACGAAGGCAGCGCGGCCAGATCGCCATGCACCGGGTCTGCTGGGCCGGCGCAGCGCAACAAACGCAGCGACACCCGAGCAACACCCTGCGTCCTTTGTCGCCCCCACCGAGGAGCCCTCTGTCTTGGACACGCGGACATGTGAGCCGACTTGTGCGAGCCGAGGTGGGGGGCCAACGGATTGTTGCGGCATGGGGGGCGAGAAGGTGGATGCGGTCAGGCGACGGACCCACACTCCAGCGATGGAGTCACACCAGAGGCCGATGTGGCGACTCGTGAAGTATGATTCAGGGTATGCTGGACTGGACTGGACTGGACTGGACTGGTCGAGTGCAGGATCGAGCATGGACATGGACATGTGCGGGATCAAGCAGCCGGCCGGGCAAGACAAGTCGCGACGCGCAAGTGCCTGGTCACGCGGCCGTGTGCTACTGCGCACAAAAATGTGCCTGTGCCGCGCACGATCACGCGGCCGGCGCGTCCCGCCCGCAGACGCGGCGTTACGAGGCTGGGCGATGCGACCGTGCAAACTGGGGTTTTGGATATGGAGGGGGGGGGACCTGAGCTGGCGGGGCAGAGGTCCAAAACAGGGGCCCAAGGCAGTGGCCGTCGGGGTCTCCAACCGAGTGTCGGGCCTGGCATCAGCAGGACGAGGACGGCCAGAGCCGCGTATCGCTGTCCTGCCGGGCTGCTCGCTCCCCGCTCGGTCTGCGCAACATGCCACCAACCGTCAGGCGATCAAATGCAGCCAATGTGTGGGGGGGGCCTGCCTTCATGCGTCTTGGGTGTCGGCTACAAACCCGGGGGGCCGCCGGCCTGGCGACCTGATGTGCTGTATCGAACGTGCTGTGCAGCGTATCCTTCCCCCCCCCCACGACATCGTGGTCGTCTGGTGGCGGCTCTGTCAGGCGGATTGCACAGAGAGCACCCCCCCCTTCGCCCCTCTCCGTATCCCGTCGCACGGCCACGGAAGATCTTGGCTCCGGCTCGTCCGGGGACAGGCGCTCCCTGGTCGATGCTCACGCGACCGCAGCACGAGCAGCCGAACTGCCCGGGATCGACGGTGGATGGCAGCTCGAGCACGGTGGCATTGCGAGAGAGGAAATCATAATGTATTGGCGAAGAGCGCCTGTAATTACAGTGCAACATGGCGATGCACAGACAAGTCGAGTCAAGGACAGCAGGATTGGACTGGCAGGCAGCATGGGCAGTTAGGCCCGGGCTGCAGGATGTACGCTTCGAGAGAGGAGTACCGGATGCAAGGACGGCGAGACTGGTGGCCAGAGGCCAGACTGCGAGGAGTGCAAAGCAAGGGGTGGGGTGGGAATTCAGGCGGAAATGGCAGCGTCGTGGGCCTCTGGTGGCCCGGATCGGGGACCCATCCGTCGGTCGAATCAGCGCGAGTGCCGGTTGTCGACAGTATACAGGGAGAGATGCCGATCGGACTCGCCCTCCGCTGACAGCAAGCTCGAGCGATCCGAAGAATTACTCGAGATGGTGCTGTGGCGAGCGGCAAACTGCCGGTAGTTCATGGGCTTGGCTGCCGTCGTTGCGCGCGATCCGACCGATGACGGCACCATGCTGGCCCGAAGCCGAGATCCGCTGTCTTGGCTGTCCTCATCCGAGTATGTCGTCGACGATGTTGCACTTCGCAGAACATCGCCCAGGGTCATCGCCTGGGCAATGGGCGGCACCGAAACCAGGTGGTCGACAACGCGGTATTCTTGGTGGTCGCTGGGCTGGACCACCATGTCTGCGGGTTTGAACGAGTCGGCCCGCATGCCCGACGCCGAGCCAAAGGCAATGTCTCCAGAGTCAAGCCGCTGGAGGTTTGCAAGGCTGTCTCGGCGTCCGTGGCTATGGATCTTGTTTTGGATGGTCTTGTGGAAGAGCTGGCGACGAAGCGTCCAGTTGGCCACGGCCTCGAAGGCGCCCGTCATGGTTCCCACGAGATTGGGCACTGCCCACGCACCTGGCGAGGCGGGAGCCTCGGGCTCCTGTTGAGGGCTGGCGGCGGTGGCGGCAGGCTGGTCGGCATCCCTGGATCCGGTGACGGAGGATACAACAAAGGCCTGCTGCTCGACTGATGAGACGCTGTCTCGGCTTGGGTAGTAGACACTTGGGTTGGCCGTCGGATACCTGTACTGTTGGCGATAATCGTCGTCGTACTTGGAATAGTCGCCGGCGCCACCGCCGTTGCTGTAGTCATTTGGCCGGTAAGTATACCCTGTCACTCGGTCGGCGCCTGGCTGGCTCATGTATCCATCGTCTTTGTCGCTCTGGGCTTGGAATTGGAGCGGACTGCCGGCCCGCTGGCGACTGGAGTCGGACTGAAGGCGTGCGCTGTCGGGCTGGGGACTCTCTCGCCGAGCCGACCTCGAATAAAGGTCGAGCAGGCCACCCAGAGTCGACTGCGACTGCTCGTCGTCGCCACTGTGTGAAGGGTGTGTGGCTTTGGTTCCAAAGAACGGGCCCAGGATTGGGAGTCTCGAGTAAAAGTTGGTTGCGGGCATGGCCGGCTGCCTCTGGGCTGCCAGGTCCGACAGCAGCGGCGCATTCGATGCACGACTATGGGCACTATTGCGGATGCGATTCAGCGTTGAGTCGGCATCGGACTGCCGATCACTCGAGAACGACAGCCGTGCTCCGAGCACAGAGCGTGCCCCACCCGGTCTTCCTTCGACGTCGTGGAAGCGACTCTGCCTGAGCTGGAACTGGCGCTTCTTGTACCATCGCCGACCAAGCACGCAAACGGCAACCGCCAGCACGATGGCAGTTGCTGTGACAAAGACTCCGGTGATGATGGCGTTGACGGGTAGACCTGTTCCGGACTGCGATGCGCCGATGACACTGACAGAGCCGCTGCCGGTAGGAGACGACGTTGCCGATCGAGTGGACAGGGTCGATATCGAGTCCGAGGGCCTGAGCGAGATAGGCGACGTCACAGCAGTGCCAATAGTGGTCGTGGGGGCCGTTGTGCTGGCAAGGGTTGATGTCAAAACGTTGGCTGCGGACGATTCATTGGATGTCGGTGAGGTAAGATCGTCTTTGGGCACAGGCAAGTGGCATAACCGAGTCAGAATTACTGTCCACATTGAGCGAAGCTGTTGTCGATGCAGGCTTAATGGATCCAAGTCGCTGACTGGGGTATTATGAAGTGGATGAATGCAGCGGCATGGTATGGCAACTCACCTGATTGCTGTGAAGTATCGGAAGGTACGAGAACGATGTCTGTCTCAGGGGCTGGGGGGAGTCGTGTGGTGATGACTTGGGGATCAGTCGTGATCGCGGGTGGTGGTGGTGGTGGTGGGGACGCTGGTGGGGGTGCCGTCGGGAGCTGTGAAGTTGGAAGCTGTGAGGTTGGGATCTGTGAAGTTGGAAGCTGTGAGGTCGGATCTGTGGGTGGTGCAGCTGTGGCGGTGGACGGAGGCGATTGGCGAGTTGTAACCGCCGACGAAGCAGCGGCGGTCGTGGCTCTGGTAGCCGAGGTGGGTTGGATTGAGGTAGCGGCAGCAGTGGTTGTCGTTGAAACAGGTGCTGCAAGTGTGGTAGTTGTTGCTGTGGTGGTGATAGTGGTAGTGGTAGTGGTCGTGGTAGTGGTGGTGATGGTGGTGGTGGTGGTGGTCGGAGACGGTGCTTGTGGGGACACTGAATTGCTTGTGCGTCCGTCAGGAGTATCGCCCGGAGATACATTGGAGGCGATTGCAGGCGCCGATGAAGTCACAGCACCATTTGCTGTCGTTGCTTCCGGGCTGCTGGCAACCACCAGAGATGAGCGTGGGCTCGGACTTGACACCTGAGACAAGCGCGAATCGCTCCGGATCGAGTTTATTGTCGGCGTTGGCGTGGGGATTGGGCTGCTTGCGGATGATGTCGGGAACCCGGTTGGGAGGAATGGCGCTGCCGATGGAAGAGCCTGTCCGGAGCTTGGCTGACCGTCGATACCGCCACTCGGGACTGGGATGGTTGGGCGGCCGGTGGATAAGGTGGGATGTGCGGAGGCGGACGGCGATGTGCGCGGCGGAAGCGAGAGGGAGACAGTTGTTTGAGACGAGGAGTGGGTCAACAATACGGATACGAGGGGGTCCTGTGAAGCCACGGATGGCAGCGAAGGAAGCGAAGGAAACGAAGGAAGCGAAGGAAGCGAAGGAAGCGAGGGAGAAGAATAGCGAGTGCCCCGAGAGGTGGAAGGAGAGAGATTGCTGGTTGATGCAGAGGTGTTACCGGAGCCAGCATCCGGCGAGGAGTCCAAGCCAGAGTTTCGAGCCCGAGGCGATGCCGATGCCGGCCTGGCGGTGGGAAGGACTTGGGACGAAGGCCGGGAGGAAGGCCGGGAGAGCGATGCCATTGCGAAGGCCTTTTTTTGCAAAACAGATGCGATGGCGATGGCTTTGCAAATAACAGATGCGATGGCGATGGCTTTGCAGAGCAGAGCAGAGTCGGTGGAGAGTCCCTCCCAAGGCGACCAGGGCGGGGCAGGCAGCCAAGCGTCCCCTGCCGGGTCCTGAGCGCTCATATACCGCCAGGGCGTTTTTTTCATGGAGCAAGCCCGGGGCGCGTTCCGCTGGGCGCATCCTTGCGGGCGCCGAGGCGCAGGGCGGTGCCCGCCCGACCGTGGCCCGACCGTGGCCCGACCGTGGCTGCGGCGGAGCGCTTGTTCGAGTTTGCCTTTTGGCATCGGTGTTCCGGAGTATGTGTTCTGGGGTATGTGTTCCGGAGTATGTGTTCCGGAGTATGTGTTCCGGAGTTTGCGTTCTGGGGTTGGCCTCGGTCGGTACCATCGACACTATCAACAACACCATCGACACCATCGATACGATTAACAACACCGTCTGCTCGTTGGCGCTCGGCGTTCCCGCTGCCGCCTGGCCAAATGCGACCCATTCCCAGAGCTGTCCCATCCCCCATGTGCGATCTCTCCTCCCCCGGGCTGGCCCCATTGGCCCCGCGCGCCACCCTCCCCCTCTTCCTTTCAGCCGCTGGAGCGCTGGCTGAGTGAGTCGCTGTGAACACCGCATCGGCGCATGGTACGACTCGGTCCGTGTTCATCCTCCAACTGCAGCCCTCGATTGCCGCTGGGAAGCTGTACATGTCACCATGCTGGCTGCTTTCACTCACGCCAGCACGCCTACATCTGTCGAGCAAGCGCGGCGTGGCGGGAGGGCGGGATAACCACAACCTCGACGGGACGGCGTGCCCGGAGCAGAATCCTACAAGACAGAGGGAAGGGTTGGATGCCAGGCAGATGTCATGGGGGCCCTGTAACTACTCCCACCCGTGTTCGGACGACGACACCAAAGTCCCCTGGTCTGGCGGGAGTGGCTCTGCTCCATCGAGATTGCATCGTGCCAGACTTACCCTATCCAGATCACCAAAAACATATGGAGGAGCTGGGTGAAGGTCGTGGACACATATTCCGATGGTGCTTGGCCAAAGAATTGCATCAAGAGGTTCTGCGGCCGGATGTAGCGTCGGCAGCGACATTGTCAACGGCAGTGTCGGATTGTTCTCGGACACGGAGACAGACGATGAAGAGCGCACCACAGCACATAACCTCTATCGGGACGACGCTTCGGGGTCGCTCTGCTCAGATCGTGCGTCATGCTGCAGTCCCGGCAGCGGCCCTCCTTTGGCTTCCGAGTGCCAGAAGATGTAGTCTACATACCACGCATGTGCCCAAGGCGTATGTACTGATGATGTTTTGCGAGCGGCTGTGTGAACAGAGTCCTGTGTAAGAACTCAGACACTCAGCAAGGTAGTGTTCGTCAGCTCCAACCATGCGGTCGTGGAACCGGGCAGTGCGGCAGTATCATTACTCGATTATCTCGGCTTTCTGGACATACGGCTCCAGGAGCTGCCACTTGTCGTCGAGAAGGAGCCAGTGAATCGGCTGACCGTCGGCCCGTCCGTTTGCAATTCGTCTTTTGTTTTCGACGTCATCGCGGCCAATAAAGTCCGCTGCAGGGAGAGAAAGCTCGATAGTGTCGATATGGCCCTGAAGCTGGTCAATGCTCTGGCGTATGATCCAGAGTACTTGAATCATGTAGGCCGAGCCACAGATCACGACGCCAATCTTTGAGATCGGCAATGTGAGGAGGAGAAGGAAAAGATGGATCGAGTGATGAGAACCCAGGTGCTTGACTGTGAGCTGCTTTGGCTGCCCTTGGCCATGCTGAAGCATCGTACCATTGATCCACTGTCCATGTATCGGTTCAAGATCATAACGGCTGCTAGCAGCGCCGAGAGAACTGCATGTTTCCACCCAAAGATGGGTTGATTGTGAGGCCGAGATGGCAAATCATCCGCCGACTTCTGCGACGGCTTCCGCGACGGCTCTGCGACGACGCTTGCCAGAGTCCATTCGACTGACAGGAGAGCAGTTGCAGACACACAGACACGCAGACACTTACTGACAATCGTCCGAATCTCAACAGGCGCCAGCCATCTGCGCATGATATACCATCCCTTGGCGATCAGGAAGAGGCACACGAGCAGCCAGAATTCCGGCGCAAACTCGACTGGGTAGATCAGCGACTGGCACAGCCACTGGCGACCCCCAAAGTATCCAAGATAGGCGAGCGAGATCCAGTTCAGCAACGCAGCCCCGAGGAACAGAATCGGCAGCATAAACACGGTGCGGTGCAGTCCATTTGGGACCTCGCTGTGAGTTTTGGCATGGCGTGCCCATTGAATGAGAATCAGCAGCCAGAGCGCAACGGCGCTTGTGTAAACGTAGAAGAGCTGCAGCTCCTTGGCCATCAGATGTGTGACGAGCGGGAACCAGGAGGAGTTCTGCAGGTCACCCGAGACCTACAGCAGATCCAGTGTCAGTTGTCGGCCGCAGAGGCGGATATCGTCAATGTCTGCAAGGTGAAAGAGCCATATCGGCAGTTCAACCAAAGTCACCTGCCCGGTGGCCAGGACTCACTTGCACAGCAATGTTGTACATCGTGGGAGCGCCCGAGTAGTTGCCGTATATGTTGAGAAACTGCCAGTCGCAGGCAACGAGGAAAAAGTCATACGTGTCGGAATACTGGATCGCGAACTGCTCTTGGAGTGTGCTTGTGGACAGGGCCGCGATTTGGCATCCCGGACCGATGGGTGTGACCGCCCCAGGATTGCAGAGGGCATAGCGGAAGGCTGGGTCGTCGGGGCTGAATTTGTCTGGAGACTGGGTGTAGGAAGGAGATCCGAGGTCAGGACGTCCTGACGAATGCAGCCCATCCTGCATACAGTGGGTCGAGAGAGTGTATCCCGTGTTGTTGGCGAGCTTCTTCAAGAGCCGGCACTGTCTGCAGCAGACTTGGCTCTTGGCACGCACGCGATTGGTGAGGCATACGTACTCCCAATATGGAATGGCTCTGAGGGCATCCGGCGAGTCGTATCTGAACGATTGTCAAGATGGTCTGCTACGATCCGGTAGGGTGATCATGAGTTGATGAGCAAGAGTGTCGGACGGCACAGGATGACCGAGTTAGTTGTAGAACGCCAAATACAGTGGCTTTATGGACGATGTGTGTGATCAAGTGAAATGATCAAGTGAGGTGATCAAGTGAAATGAGATGGAGAGCCGGTGGTGTGCAGCAAAGAGAATGTGCAGGCTGAATCTCGGAGTGGAATGAAAGTACACTGGCAAAGTGCATTCAATCCAATGCACTTGATCGAACGCTGATCAAGTGCAGACAACGAGAAATCGAATGCAGCTGTTTCTGGCAATGTCGCCGTTTCCTCGCGGCATGGTCAACGGCGCAGTTGGCACAGCAAGACTGGCTTGGGAAGGAGAGGCTCCACGTCGTGAACAGCACACTCTGGTTTGGCGACGGTGCGGTGTGTCAGGGGACAAGGGCTGCAATACCATATATGAGCTGCCGGAGCTGTTTGAGCCGCCAGGCGATGGGTACCCTTGAGGGAAAACTGATGCAGAAAGGGCTGCTTGCCCGCCGGCAACAAAATCAAAGTACTGCAGCTGAACCACGGGCCGATCTTGGGTCAGGTCAAAGACGCCATTGATATTGGTGGACAGGACGCGCGGCCATGCCGCCCAACTCAGCAGCAAAATGGCGAGGACATGCGAAGGTGGTGTCATGGCGAGTCGTTGCCGTTGGCGAATGGATGCTGGATAGAGGACGATGAATCTGCGGCTGTTGGTGGGGATGGCGGGCTTTGGCATGGCATGTCTTGGGCCGGGCGGGCATGTGGCCAGTGGCCGGTCGGTGGCTGGCCAGGGCAGGTGGCGCTGCGCATCCCCACCCGTCCCGGCTTTTGTCTCTCCCGCTGCCGTCTCGCCGTCGTCTCGGCCCGTCGCTGGTCGGTTTTTTCTTCGAATTGGTCCGCCAAGCACCAGCCATCAGGATCTGGACCAGCCCGCACAAGCCCTGCACCCACGATCCCCACGAGCCTGGCTGGCCTCTCCGTCGACATGGCCCACATCGCAACCGTCGTCCGTAACGCCTGGCGACCAGCATCCGGCATCAGCCGGCTGCCATCCATGATCAGGTACGATCTCAGCGAAGCAGCCAGTCAGCCAGCCAGCCAGCCACATGCCATAGCGGTCCGTCGACAGCCGTTCCTGCGTTGTCCACGGCGTATGGCCCTGTCGCCACACCGCAGATGTTCGCTGAAAATGACGGCCCATAGCAGCAACTGATGTGCGGTGTGTGTTTCTTCCTTGTCCTGGTAGCTGGGATTGCTTGGATCTGGCGGCCCGCCAACACAAAGTGCAGGGACATCTGCAGGGCCGGATCGCCCATGCCTCCCTGTCCCGACGATCAATCTCGTATTCAAAGCAAGGTCGTTCTCCCGCGGCTTCATCCAGCACATCTCAATCTCAAGCTCAATCTCAATCCGGCGCACACAGGCCCCGGCAGAAGCTGCGATCTATGCTGCATACCGAGGGACTGACCTGGTCCGAAATGACCGGAGGACAACGATGTACGTATCTTTGTGGAGTACAGCATCTCGGCGAACCAGCCGGTACCATGATGGTGCCGCCACCGTGTTGGGCAAAGAATGGCAGAGGCCGATGGCTGGACTGGCTTGAAGCGCTGACGAGATACATTGTGGTTGCCCCTTCAGTTGTCTACTTTGTGAAGCAGATTGGGTACACTGGCGTGATCGCCTTTGGTGAGGAGCAACTCGAGCTGCCAAGTAGCCCTGATGCTGAATTGGGCGCAATGGCTGCTGCCGTCCATCAGGCCATCGGGCCATCAGTCCATCAGGCCATCAGCCCGTCAGCCCATCAGGCTCAGTGAATCGGGCTTCGATAACCTCTGTCACGGACAACATCACTAACGCGACGTGCGGCGCGATCATCAGGCTTTGCGATCTTTTGCGGAGCCACGTACTATACTGCTACCGAGCTGATGGACAACCACATCCTCTCGCAAGTGTTTCGCCGCTCCATGGAGAAGATTGAAGATAACGAAAAGGTAGACTGCACGAACTGGATTCTCCGGACTCGCACTGTGCCCCAAGCACACTGTCGGTTGGCCCTTCTGCCGTGCCATTAGGTGGCACATGGCCGAGTTCATGCTGCTGACCTGTTGCTGGCTCTGCATCTGCATCTGGCCCCTCTTTCGCCTCACCCAGCTTTGCAAAATCCTCGGCACTCCCATCCACGGATACGACTCTGTCGACTACGGAGGCATTGCTGGCCACAAAGCAAAGGAGGGTCAGCGCAAGATGGTCCGACACTTTTTCGAAGAGAATGGCAAGCGACAGCTGCTGCTTCGGTTTCAAGTGAACGGTCCGTTACAGAGCGGCATGGCCAACGGCCATCTCATCAAAGTAAGTCTGCAGCCGACGAAGAGTGGGAGACTGTGGATGCAGCGAGAGGAGCCGACAGAGCGATGCTGACCACTACCCCCACACTGCGCTTCTGTCTTGTTTATCGGACACGATCCCTGCAGAACAACGAGACTGGAGAGTGGGAGTTCCACACGCTCTTTGTCGAGTCCTCGTCGACGCATGAACGGATCTTCCTCGTCGACAACCGAGTGCGGACGATCGTGAAGCGCGAGCCCCAGCGGGTGGGATGGTTTGGCCTGATCAAGCGACCGCAATAGACCCAGAGCAGCGACAGTCGTTTGCGTGAGGCAGCTTGCTCGATGCCTTTGCCCTTCTCTCCTCCTGCCTCGAACTCAGCTGCAACAAGCCGGCTGAACGGATACTCCTCATCTGCAGAGGGAGTAAAAGTCGCAAAGGGCATCCATGTCCTCACTCGGCCTGCACAAGGGCCCAGGAATCGCGCCCCCATGTACCATAGTATGTCGCAACAAGCATTGCTGAAAAGGCGCCGCTGAGCCCAATAGAACCTCTTACAGCTTGTGTGCTGCTGCCCGTGACATTTGATATCCCACTTTGGCATTCGGCATGGACATTCGGCGTGGACATTCGGCATGGACATTCGACTTGGACATTCGGCACGGACATTCCGCACTCTGCATTCGAGATTCGACATGTGCTGGCGATGGAGGAGGAGACCGCTGGACATCCCGTCGCCATTGGGCATTCCGTCCCCGCTCATGCCCATTCTCCTCCGCAGCCACGCACATCGACCGCCCTCCGTCCATATCACCCATCGCCGTCATGCTCATGCTCATGCTCATGCTCATGGCCTGCACCCGATCTCCCGAGGGCGTGCCGTCCTGGCCATGTCCCTGTCCCACCCCACACGCCCGATTTGGCAGCGACGAGCCTTCGTTGGCCGAGCGAGGCTGAGCAGCCCGCGCACACACGCACCGCCCCGGCCGCCCAGCCCCGTCTCGGCCCAAAAGCGTTGCTGGCCTGGGCTCGCCCCGCTTGCTCTCGCATCTTTCCTTCGTTTGGTAGATTCCTGGAGAACGTTGCAGGCTCGGCTTTGACCCACTTCCCTCCTCTTCACCCTCAGGCCCAGCTCCTTTTTCTTTCTTTTTCTTTGTTTTTTTCTCCCCTCCCCCTTTTTTTCTTATTCTTTATCATACTTTCTTTGCCGGCACTCTCCAACCCTTCCCTGGCTCCTCGTCTCATCTTCGTCTCCGGCCCTCTCCTCCGCCTGGGCCCATCTCTGCATACGATTTCTTCGTCGCCCCACCTTCTTTGTGTGTGATTCCGCTACTTCAGGGACTTTGTTTTTCTCTCTGAGCTCTCTTTTTGGCACAATCCATTGAGCTTTGGCATCCATCGCAACTCGGTATGGTCCTTGCTCCGTACTCTCCTCTTAACCGCACATCCTCATATGGCACCACCCGTGTCGGTGTCGTCCGTCTTGTTTCGCAATCGTCCGCGATCGACTCGACTGGCTCGTACCCTGCTAACCTATGGCCTTGCTCGTCACCTGCCTTGGCCTGGTCCCCTCTGGTCTTGACGCTGTCTCGCTCATCGTCGTGATCTGGCCTGCTCTGGTGGACGCTCGTCCGTGCTTGGACTCGTTTGACACTTTGCTGCTTTGGGACTGTGGCTCCGGATCGACGGGTAAGCATCGCCCGCGACTGCGGCCTCCGTCGACTGTGCCTCCGATGCTCGGCTCTCGATGCCGATGCTTTCGAGTCTGTTGCTGTCCCGCGCCGAGGAGAGTGTGCTGCGGCTGGCCCGTCCGTCGTCGAGATATCTCTGACCCCCGATACAACAACTCTCCTGGCTCGGCAACAACCTGTTGGCACAGATCGCTTTCCGAATACGTGCGCGGCTGTCTGCTCCAGACCCCGCCTCCTAATCACACGTCATTTTTGAGCTATTTAAGCAACCAAAAGGTACGCTATCGCCGTCCTGCTACCTCCCCCCCTCTCCTGGCTCGGGCTCGTGTGTGGTGCTGTGCAGCGTGGCGCCGTGTGGTTTGGATGAACGATCGGTCTGGCCGGCTGCGAATGGGTGGATCGCTCGCTCTCTCTCGGCTCGGAGCATAGTCGGATGCGTCAACGGCCCATGTGCCTTGGGATGATAGAGAGGTAGGTGGCGTATGTCATATCATGGATCGATGATGTCTTGGTCCTCTGCTCCCTCCCCGCCCCGGCCGCCTGCTCGGACCCAGATCTCGTTCCGATCTCCTTCCATCTTGGCCCCCCGTTCTCGTTCTCGTTCCCGTTTCCGTTCCCATTCGCACATTGTGCTATCGGTTCCGTCTTTCGTTGTCTTTCCGTTCACCCTTCCCACGTACACGTACCCGTACTCTTGTCGGCTCATTGGCAAATCCGCCTCACTCTCTCTCTCTCTCGCTTGGTTGGGGCGCGTCTTTACATCGATGCTTCAGCGCTGCGAGCTCTGCTGTTTGCTGGCAGACGCCAGCCGGCCCAAAGGGATGCTCCCGTGGCCTGCAGCGAGTCTCGCAGCGGAGCGCTGCTGCCCTTCTTTCTTCCTTGGTCGGGCTTGGGCTTAACTCTGCATCTCGCTCTCTAAATACCCTCGGCATCACACAACTGCCTTGAATCTTTGGCTTTGCTCTCTCTTCTTCAAACCTCGGCTTCAATTTCTCTTCAATTTGCTCTTGCGCTTGATGCCTCGATTTGGCGGCCTTTTCTTTGCGGCCCCATGACTTTCGACTTTCGATTCTTCCTGTGCGCCGTGGGGCCTGGCCGAACCTGGGTGCTTGTGTTTCGGTTTCCTCTTCTGCCGCAACACCCCAGCTGCCCATCCGTTTCCGCCCGCCCTTCCGTTTGTATGATTCGCAGCCACGCCCCTGCTCCTGCAACCCATCCCATCCCGTCCCATCCCACGCCCGCTGTCGATGAATGCATTGCGTCGCTGCTCGTCATGGCGGTCCTTCCTTTCACCCTCCCCTGCATGTCCGCTGCCTCCCTCCCTCCCTCCCTCCCTCCGGCTCTTGCTCCTGTCCCCCTGCCTGCTGTTGGCTGTTGACCGGCTTTCGGCCCTCGCCCCGCCCACCATGCCGGCCACACGTCGCACAGCGTCACACAGACTAACCCGATTCATTTCTCTCCTCATTAATTTCATCTGACCGCTTTTGGACACGCGACTGCTGCCTTTGCCTTGGCTTGGAATCTCGTTGGATCTCTTGGTTCCTGATGATCTCGTGTCTTGTCGACTATCTGTCGCCACACCACACCACCACCACCACCACCACCGCCGCTGCCGCCACCGCCACCGCCAACGCTGCCGAACGACGCACTCGCTGGACGATCGCCCTCGGCACACTCTCTTCCCTGCGCCATCTCCGTCGACACAGTGTGTGCCAACCTCCTCTGTATAGCCGCGATCCACACTTCCCACTCACCCTCGAGACATGAAGCGTTCACTAGATACATCCGGCATGGCCGAAATGAACAAGAGAATCCGGTATACCCAGCACTCATATCCCTATCCTTATGTACATGGCGCTCTAGGCATGTCATTCCCTCAACCCAGCACCGATATGTACGGCCAGTTCCCCGGCTTCATGGCCAATGGAATGCCCCAGTACCAGTCGCAGACTGGCACCCAGATGCAACAATACCAGCAGCACCAGCAGCAGCACCAGCAGCAGACACAGTTCCCGGCCCCACAGTTCCAGGGACAGGCCAACTTTGGCTCCTACGGCCAGGCTGCGTACGGCCAGGCTGCTGGCCAGTACGCCCAGGGCGCAGGCTTCGCCAGCAACCTCACTGTCATGCGAACCGTCTACCTCGGCAACCTGCCTATGCCCATCACCTACGAGGAGATTCTGAACCACGTCAAAACCGGTGCCGTCGAGCACGTCCGCATCCTCGAAGACAAACAGTGCGTCTTTGTCACCTTTGTCGAGCCCATGTCGGCCATGCAATTCCACAACGACGCCATCCAGAAGCGCCTCTGTCTTCTCGGACAAGAGGTCAAGGTTGGATGGGGCAAGCCTTCGCCCATCCCCACCAACATCCTCACGGCCACCCAAAACGGCGCCTCCAGAAACGTCTATATCGGCAACATTGACGAATCCGTCACCGACCAGTATCTCCAGTCCGAGTTTTCCAAGTTTGGCCCTGTTGACCAGATCCGCGTCCTGCTGGAGAAGCGCATCGCCTTTGTGCACATGACCAGCATCGCTGCTGCCATCAAGGTCGTCACCTCGCTGAGCCAGGACCCCAGCTGGAGCGGCCGCCGCGTCAACTATGGCAAGGACCGCTGCATCCCGAACAAGCAGATGAACCCCGCGGCCGTCTCATCCGCCCTCGGTGGCGCCTCGGGCATGATGTTCCAGTCTGGGTTCCCCAGCCAGTTTGGCGGTATGCTAAGCAGCGGGTATCCCTATGATCCACATTACGTCGGCGGCGGAAACCGCACGGTGTACCTGGGTGGCATTCACCAAGATGCCACCACCAAGGACCTTTGCGATGTGAGTAGTATTTTCGGCCGGGGTGTGTGCACGATCATATCGATGCAGTCTGGCGCTCTCGAGCCACATCTTGGCGTTGTGGCTGGATCTCGACAATGCCGACTGACCCCCAGGGTCGTTCCGACAGGTCATCCGCGGTGGCATCCTCCAGAACATCAAATATCTGCCCGACAAGAACATTGCCTTCGTGACCTTCATCAGCCCCACCGCCGCCTACAACTTCCACAACCGCGGAACGTACGAGGGCATCGTCATCAAGGGCAAGCGCGTCAAGATTGGATGGGGCAAGGCTGTGCCGATCCCCGCCAACGTTGCCGCCGCTGCACAGAGTGGCGCCTCGAGAAACGTTTACATTGGCGCCATCGATGAGACAATTACCGAGGAAAAGCTGCGCAAGGACTTTGCCGAGTTTGGCGACATTGAGCTGGTCAACATCATCCAGGACAAAAACATTGGCTTTGTCAACTTTACCGATATCCTGGCTGCGGTCAAGGCCGTCGAGTCCCTCAAGATCTCCCCCGAGTACAGCCGATTCAAGATCAACTACGGCAAGGACCGCTGTGGCAACGAGCCCCGCCCCCCGCGAGTGAACCCGTCTGCCGCGCACGGCTCGCACTCGCATGGCGGCCCTGCTGGCCCCAGCAACGTCATTAGCCCCGCGACCGAGTTCCGAGCCAATGGCGGTGCAAACGCCGGTGCCTCGGGTGCCCTTTCGCCCTATGCAACGGACAACGGAATCGGTGGTGTCGAGGGCTACCAAATCTCGGACCACGGCAGCCCCACCCAATTCATCTGAGAGTAAGCTGTAGCCACAACTACTGCCGCATTCAATCAGCCCAGATGTGGTAGCAATGCATGTGAGAACCAAAGGCCCTTGAACCAAACCATGGAATAAAGCACAACGCACGTCTCCCCCTCCCTACTTCCTCCTCTCTGTCTCTTTTTGTGCCAATACAAAACGAATTGGTTTCTTTTCTCATGTATCGTCGTGTCGGTCGTACTCTCTGGCACTGGTCCACAACCTGAATGTTGCGTCGATGGCCGTGTCGATTACCACGAGAATGCTGCTTCCATCCCTCGTCTGTTCTTGTCTTGCTGCCAACAGATGCACCTGTTGTTTCATGTACTATACTTCGATGAAGCCACATCTAATCGCTGCCGCAGAATGAAGGTCAGAACTGGAAACGTGATCCTCGGGTCTCGGGACTGCCTCTTTCCGCTTGGAACACAGCACCCATCTTGACGCTGCTCGGTCCATGCGGTGCGATTGTACCCGGAGAAAGCCAAAGCCAACACCGATGTCAATGCCGAGCCCGACTCTTCATTCCACCACGGCTTCTCCCACTCCCCCTCTTCTTCCTGCTCCCGTCGCCTTTGGAACAGGACATGCTGGGCGCTCATGACGATGCCGCCAAAGGGTTGGGTGGATAATGCCAGCTTGTATATTCAAGATTTAGCAAGTAGCCGGGGCTGGACGCCAAGGGTCATTGTGAGATAAACATGCAAATGGGCTGTGCCCTCGTTGCTTGGGATGGTCAACACACACCTTCGCAAAATAGCCAACAAATGACCGAACGAGGGCCCAAAAATATTCGAAGAGATTGTAAAATGAGGAAGAGAGATAGATGGACGAGTGCTAGCATGGAGATAGAGTCGGAGAGTGAAGTGGCGGGGGGGGGAACGGGAAGGAATGCAAGGATCGATGCAATACGAACTTTGGTTTGACGGCAGTCGGGGATGATGATGATGAAGATAATGATAAGGGCCACGAAGGAGTTCTTGGTGCGATAAATATTGTTGGCACAACAGAGCACTACACGCGATGGGTGTCTATAAATCTTTCAGGGGAGGGGGTGAACGATTGGAATAGTGTAGATGATGGTGTGGCCAAAGCCTTCTAGCATAGGAGACGGCGGTCGGTGTGGCGGACCGGCAGGCCTTCCCAGGTGGTCTTGTCGGGGAGACTCTCGCCCTTGACCACGAGCGAGAGCGGGTTGACGTCGACTTCGTTGCCGATGGCCACGTCGTAGAGCACGATCGTGCGGGTGCGGATGTTGCAGTTCTTGCCGATCTCGATCGGGCCGAGCTTCATCACGCGGTCCTCGAACAGATGTGTCTGGAAGACTGCATAAGAGCCGACGGTGCAGTTGTCGCCAATCGTCAGCAGGTCGTGCTCGGTCAAGTCAACGGTGGCCCAGAAGACATTCTTGCCGACCCGGGCGCCGAGCATGCGGAAGACAATCGACAGGAAGGGTGTGCCTGCGTGATGGAACCGAGTATATCACCAACAGGTCAGCAAATGAAACAGGCCGACATTGACATCCATGCAGTTCAAGCCACCAAGATGCGCCATGGCCACCGCATCGCCCGCCTGCCTCTGAACCCTGCCTGCACATCAAGCATGCAAGTCGTGCGGTCTGCTGCACTCACCCATGAGTGCCCCGAGGAAGGGCGCAACATTCTGCTCCTGCATGCCCGTGAGGAACTCGGTGCGGCGGACAAAGGTCGAGTACATGGGCTGCTCCGTCTTCTTGTAGCGGCCAATAAAGATCCACTTGAGCACGATCAGCAGCAAGAGCTCAAAGACACCGAGCAAGAAGGCGAGGGCAGGGAATGCAACCATCTTCTGGACACGATCCATGTAGCTGTCAAGGAAACCTTGCGCAAAGTACTCAAGCTGGAAGAGCATAAAGGCGGCCGAGATCGCAGAGGGAACGAGGATACGGAAGGCCTCTGCAGGATACGTGGAGGATCCAGTCAGCAAGCAGGAACTCCCACTGCCTCGAGTACGTTCTCCACCGAGACCGACACACACTCATCATCATACAGCACTGAGACTGTCACTCACCCCAGATGTAGCGATGCAGTCTCATCGCAAATGAGGGTTGGTAGGTCGACGAATCGCCAAAGCGGTCGTTGCCGTCCTTGTTGCGGAAGGGGATACGGACAGCCTCGTTGCCCAGCCAGGTCTCGCCTTGATTGATGCAGTATCCGCCAGCCTCAGGGTTACGAGGGCATCTCGGCGGCAGGGAGGCGACGCCTGGAGCCACGGGGACAATATACAGGTGGGGCTTTGTCAGTCACGGAGCTGCACCGTACGAGAGCGACGAGCCACGAGGAAGGCTTCGAGGCAGGACTGGAGGATACGCAGCCATACGACGCAGTATCATGTCGTTTGCCTCGAAAGCGAGCAGGAGTGTGCAGCATGCGTCTGTCCATTCTTTCCACAACATACCCAGAAGCGAGTCGCTGGCAATGTGTGTGTATGCGGGAGCAACAGCCGCATTGCCAACGAAGCTCTTGTCGCCAATGTGCACGGGTCCGGTGCTGTACCAGCCGTTCGAGACGTAGGGCGGAGCAATCACGGCGGCATCGGCAATGAAGGATCCTTGTCCGGTCTACAATCATCAGAGCGCACAGTGAGTGTCCTGAGCATGGCCAAACAGGCTCGGAGTGGCAGAAGATTGCATGTCAAGGACAACGTACCGTCAGCAGCTCGCCAGGGAACGGGCTGAAGAATGCCACTTCGGAAAACTTGCCCAAGCGGCAGCCCATCATGCGGAGCCAGGGAACCACATACTGGGTGTTGAAGACGGTCTTGAAGGAGGTCAGCATATCATGGTACTACGTTTGAAGAAAGTGGCCATCGACAAGAGGAATGTGAGCAAATCGCATCGCATCGCATCGCATCGCAGACAAGACACTGGACACAGCAAGCCTTCTGATGCAGTCCGAATCCTCGACGGCGATGCAAGCTACTCACAAAGGCATCAAAGAGATAGTATTTGATGTAGGTGAACGACACCACCGGGATACGCTCGGCCTTGACCTTTCCGAGGAGGATCCACTTGAGAACGATGGCCAGGAAGAGCGAGAACAGAATGTTGCTGGAAGTCCAGAGGAAACAGAGTCAGCGACAATGTCGGTGATGGAAACGCATGCTTGAATGTACGTGGCATGCTGGGCCAGCCGCTGGTTCGCACCAGCTGCAGACCAAAGCAGAAACCTGCATCGCCGTTGTCGACTTACATCAGAGCCGCAGCAGGGGCAAAGGCCCAGATCAGGTTCTTGGTTCCAAACACCGAGCTGGCGTACAAGTACAGGGCAAAGCCGGGGTAGAAGGTGAGGCCCTTGAAAACCTGGGCCATAAACCACGCGAGGATCATCAAGATCGAGTAGGTGAAGACATAGATGAAGTTGCCGTCGGAGAGCGAGCGGGCTTTGGCGGAGGGCTGCTTCTTGCCGCGGTCGCGGCCGGGGCAGCCGCCCCAGTAGTGGTTGGCCTCGAGAACGTCATTGCACGACAGGAGCGACGAATCCATGAGCTCGGAGCCGTCGTTCATGATTCCGCCGGCCTCGACAACGGAGCTGACTCCGACGACACAGTTTTCGCCTGAGACGGGAGAGCAGTGATGTCAGTGTGATAGTTTGGGTCGTATGCGGGGATGACTCCAACACAGACTCATTGGCAGACCACTTTCATCGCCCAGGCCGAGTGCGGCTGAAAGATCCAACAACGGCAAGAACAACCACACTACTGACAACCTCCATCAGCGACACTTACCAATCTTGATTTTCTTAAAGTGCACGTATCCGTTGGCAAACTCGTGAGCGATGATCGTGGCATTGTTGCCGATGGTGGATCCGTGGCCAATCTCGATCAGATCAAATCCATCAACGCTAGTACTGAAGATGTTGCAGTCACGGCCAATCTTGCATCCCAGCAGACGAAGGATGAATGGGAGCAGGAACGAGCCTTGAAGATCCGTCAGACCAAGGCTGCCAGAAAGTGTCTTGACGATCCACCATCGGAGATAGAAGAAGGAGTATACGGGGACGGAACGCTCGCGCATCTGGCCGAGGAGGAGCCATTTGAGGACAACCACAAACATGATCGCAAAGATGCGACCCACCGAGGTGACGAGGAGGAAGAGAATGGCTGTGATCAGCACAAAGTGCCAAGTCCAGAGCTCCATAGTAGTTTGGAAGTTGTAGAGATAGAACATGCCCAGGTAGAGAGGAAGGCCACTGAAGAAGGTCGAGAGGTACATGAGCGACGCTTGAATCAGGCCGCAGAATGCCTTGGCCGGAAGCGAAGGGCGGTGGACCTTGGCGGTGCGCTTGATGCTGCTGAAGCGCCTGCTCTTGCGCTCCTCGGTGCGGTTCTCGGCCTGGGCGGGGGCGGCCAGAGTGGCGAGCTGGGCGATGGTGGGGTTCTCGTAGAGGTCGCGGACGCTGAGTCCGGCCAGTCGAGGATGCTTGCGCAGGGCACCGATGGTCTTGGCCGCAAGGAACGAGTCTGGGGAGTAGAACGAGATCCATGATTAGACTCTGCTCGTCGCTCATACAGGATTGCAAGGCGGTCACAGCGAGCCGAGTGGGGCACTTACGTCCGCCAAGGTCGTGGAAGAAGTTGTCGGTATTGGCGATACGATCGCTGCCCAGCAGGTCCTTCCAGACGGCAGTGATGACATCCTCCATCGAGCCATTCATGGGCTCTGGGCCATCGACTGACTTTTTGGGGCGAGGTTTCTCGGAGCCAGAAGCGGCGGTCGGGCTGGAGCCAGAGCCAGAGCCAGCGCCAGAGCCGGAACCAATGCCTCTATCGGCGCTCACGGGAGCAGTGATGGGAGGCAGCTTCTTGCGGTCAATCTTGCCGCTGGTCAGGCGCGGCACGTCCTCTGGGAGCATGCGCTGGAAGACCGAGGGGATCATGTACGGTGGCAGAGTGGCACGGAGCTTCTCGCGGATCTTGCGGTCGTCGATCTCGTGGCACCAGGTCTCGAGCACCAGATA